CTAATCTCTTAAATTTAATAAAAACTCCCTCCTAATCTATCATCTTCAATAAAATCATCCAAAACATTCATTTATCATTTCTATTACTAAAAAAAAAACCTAAACCCCCTTCTAATATCTCATTTCTAATAAAATCCTCTCCAAACTTCCACTTAATCTCTTAAATTTAATAAAAACTTTAATCTACTATCTTCAATAAAATCATCCAAAACATTCATTTATCATTTTTATTAATAAAAAAACCCTAAATCTCTATCTAATATCTCATTTCCAATAAATATCTCTCTAAACTTCCTTCTAATCTCTTAAATTTAATAAAAACCCCCTCCTAATCTATCATCTTCAATAAATTCTTCCAAAATCTCATCTCTAATAAAAACTTCTTTAAACTTTCTTATCATCTTTAACAATTCTCCACTAACTCTCGGGCTTTTTTCTCCATTTTTCCTATAATTAAACGGCAATTCTCAATTTTTATTTCATTATTCTAGATTAAAAATCTACACCTCATTCTTCTACATCTTCTTCTATATTATATATAAACAATGGATATATGCACTTTTTCATTCTAATCTCTTTTTTCATTCTTTTTACAACATTCCCATAACAATCACTCCCAACAACATGATTTTTATCATTTCCGGAACTCTTATTTTCATTCCTTCATTCGGTTTCACTTCTTCCTCTTTCTCTTCCTCTTTTTGTGTTTCTGTTTCTTTACTTGAATCACTCGTACATCTCGTAGGTTTGCATTTTCGCATCGACGTCAATGTCACCGTTGATGTCACTGTAGATGTACTTGTCAACGTACTCGTATGCAACGATGTACTCGTCACCCATGTATCTGTCGTCTGAACTAATGTACATTCTTCCGTTACCTTCCCTCCATCTACCGACTCTGTCGTCGTTGCCGTCGTTGTCGTCGTCGTCGTCGTCGTCGTTGTTGTTGTCGTCGTCGTCGTTGTCGTTGCTGTCGTCGTCGTTGTCTGTGTCGCCGTTGATATCACCGTATGATGCGGTGTAACTTTTAATCCTTCTATTCCTTCACACAACTTGTCTATTTCTTTACAGGCCGCTTCACACCCTGGGCAATCCTTTCTAAACCCGCAGTCTCCTTGTAAACCTTTACATTTCTCTTTCAATTCTAAATACAATTCCAATGCTCTCGCCGTTGCAACAAATGCCTTCTTTTCTGGTTCTGATACTTCTCCACTTACAAATGTTCTCCGAACAAGTATAACATTACTCGTGTTTGTCGTTCCACTTGGTGTTGATCCTCCTGGTGCTGGTGGCCCTGCTGGTGTTCCTCCTGATGGCCCTGATGGCCCTGCTGGCCCTGCTGGTGGTGTTCCTGGTGCTGGTGGTGGTACTGGTACAGGTGCCCCTCCTGGTGTTCCTCCTGGTGCTGCTGGTGGTACTGGTACTGGTGCCCCTCCTGATGTTGGTTGTGCTGGCGGTGCTAGTGTTGGTGCTGGTACTGGTACGCCTCCTGGTGTTGGTTGTGCTGGTGCTGGTGGCTGTACCGGTGGTCCCACTGGTTTAGGAACACTGCCATCTTGAGCCTTTGATCCTCCACCTTGTCCATCTTGTTCAGGTCTTGATAATACTAACTTAGCTTCCTTCGCAAATTTTTCTGATTCCTGTTTCACCTTTTCGTATTCATCTTTCTTCTTCTCTAATTCATCTTTCTCATTATCCAGTTTATTTTTTAGGGTTGGACATTTTTCTTTTACTTTTTTAACCAACTTTTTGCAAAGTTCTTCTTTCTTAGCATCTTCACATAGACTATTCAATGTTTGATTCCCTTCTTTTTTCCATTCAGTACAATGTTTTCCTAATGTTTCTTTACATTTAGTTTCATCGCTTAAACTACCTTTCAATTTATGCGTCAACTCATTCTCCAATTTTAACTTTTCAAAGAATGGCTTGCATTTCTCTTCTAGTTCTAAACAGACTCCTTCTCTACCCGCATTGTTTGATTTTTTCAACCTATCTGGACAATTTTCTATATATTGATGACAATATGGATCAAACAACGTGCAGAGTTCTTCAACCAATGTTTCATTTCTTTTTCCATTTTCAATTTTTTCTATAATTTTCTACCAATGTCCATGTTATTTTTTAAAAAAAGACACTCATTTTCTGTTTGTTCTACCATAAAACTACATGTTTCTTCTCGTAAAGCACATGAAACACTAAAATCTTCTTTTCCTCTTCTAGATAATTCCTCACATTCTTTCTTTAATACTGCCGTACAATTTCCTTGAGTTCTTAATGCATCATCTCCTCTTTTTAATAATCTTTTTCTCAATTCTTCTGTAACTTTTAAATATTCACATCGTCTATTCAGTGTATCACATTTCTCATGATTCAAATATGAATCACTTTCAAGATCTTTGCACTTCTTCTTCAATTCTACACAATCTTCCTTTCTTGGAAAATCTCTTCTCAAATTTAAAACTACTTCTAATTCTTCCGATTGAAGAATTACATCATCTAAAAGTTCATAACATAGTTTAGTTGGTAGATGACACTTTGTAAAGTATCTTCTATCCTCCTTAAGTTTTGTATAATTACCTACTACCGATTTTTGACATTTTTCAAGATTCTCAGTAACCAATTCTAAATCACCAATAAGCCCTTTCAATCCTTCTTGAAAGTATCTATTCAACACCCTATCTTGTCCCTTTTTATAGCATGCTACTCTTACATTTTCACATGCTTTTCCAATTTTATTCGTACATACACCTTCTAAATGGAAACATTCCGATTCAAACTTTATACAATCTTCCCTACTAACCAATTTTGATACCTGTCCCCATGAAAAATAATCTGATTCTTTATCTTTTTCAAATTCCGTAGACAATCCTTTCAGGTAAAGTTCTAATTTAAAATTCGTACATCTATCTTCTACTTCTACTAATTCTTTGCATCTATCCTCTTTATCTTTATCTCCACATAATTCTTCTAATCCATAATCTAGGTGTTTAAAAGATTCACAATCTTCTAACGCTTTTTTGCATTTTTCTCCCTCATCTTTTCCATTCCTTTCTTTGATCAACAATAATGCTAAATCTCGCAACGTCTTATATTTTGGTTTTCCAACAATAATTCCCTTAGCTTCTTCTTTTTTATAAAGATTTTCCACTTCAATCTTTTCTGGAAATCTTGGTTTTTCTCTAACCGGACTAAAATCTAATTTTGGTCCTTCATATTCAATCCCTTTTCCCTTACATTTATTCTTGACTTATATCCATTCTGTATCCCATCACGTTGCGTCACAAAAAGAACAGTTAAAAAAATATTACTCACGTTATTCCACTCATTCCTTCTTTACATGTTCATTTTCTAATGGCTTTCAGTTAGGAACGAGATTCTTTTCAAGGTATTAATGCGGGTAATCCCATTTCAAATATGAAAACAAAAATGAAACGAAAAATTCAATTCATCATTGACAAAATTCTTTCAAAATTTTTTTCCATTCATTTTTACAATCATTTGTCCCATCAAGAGTTCTTAAAAGAGTTTTTAAAGGAATTCCTTGAGGCATTCGTCGATGACACGTATGATAAAATCTATCGCTCAACTTTTCGCGATTATTTGGAAGACTTTTTGGTTATAATTGTCATAATAATAGACATTTTCATCAATATTCATTTACATAGGTCATCTGTTAGGTTTTGGAATGCAGTTTCAAAAGCACGCAATAAAGCTTCCAGTTCAGTTTCAAATTTATCGCTCTGTTTTCGGTCTTTTCCTTTTTCGTAAAGATTTTCACAAAGTCCATTAACTTTGACATCCACACTCTCCAATTTTCCATATATTTTCTTCAATTCCTCACAATAGGGTTTGAGGTTTGCCTCGCATTTATTATCATTATTATAACCACTTTTCACAATTAAACCCAAAACCTGTTCCTCCTTAATCTCATCATTTCCTGCTGCTTGTCCTGCTGCTTGCCTCTTAACCGGCTGTGCCATCGCCGCCTCTTTCTGGGCGACTTCCTCTACCCATCGCTTGTCCCTGAGTAGCATATGACTGGGTGAATCAAATCTAAATCTTGAAATAATTCTTTCAAAATAACCATACATTTTAATTTTTTTATGATAAGCATACATTTCCTTAATCTTTTATGATAAGCTTGGACTTTACCCTATAAAGCAAAATCGCGGGGTAAAATTGCGGGGTAAAATAATCAAAATTTCAGTTCCCAATTCTTCATGCTTTATTAAAAATTTATACATCATTCTTCTATATCTTATATATTATATATAAACAATGGATATATGCACTTTTTCATTCTAATCACTTTTTTCATTCATTTTACAACATTCTCATAACAATCACTCCTAACATTATTTTTATCATTTTTGGTACTCTCATCTTCATTCCTTGACCTGATATCAGTTTTCCTCTCATTTTTGTTTTTCTACTTGAATCTGTTGTACATCTCGTAGGTTTGCATTCTTGCATCGACGTCAATGTCACCGTAGATGTGACTGCAGATGTACTTGTCATCGTACTCGTATGCAACGATGTATCTATCACCGATGTATTTATCGTTCGAATTAATGTACATTGTTCTGTTGCTGCTTCTTTTATTGACGTTGTTACTGTCGTTGTCATTCTCATCGTTCTCGTAATTATTGATGTCACCGTTATCATCAATGTCGCTGTTGTTGGGCATTGTTGCTGTTCTCGTCGTTGTCGATATCGTCGTTAATATCAGTGTATGATGAGGTATAACTTCTAATGGTTTTACGTTACACAACTTGTCTATGTCTTCACATACTGTCCCAAAGTTCAAGCAATTCTCTCTAAAACCGCAGTTTACTTGCAAAGTTTTACAATCTTCTTTCATTCCTAAATACAATTTCAATGCTCTTGTCATTAGATCAAATGCGTTCGTTTCTGTTTTTGATACCCCTTCATCTACAAATCTTCTCAAAATAAGTCTTTGCTCCGTTGTGTGTTCCGTTCCGCCTTGTGAAGAAGCCGATTCCGCTGCTGTTGGCGGTGCTGTTGACGGTGCCACTGGTGCAAGAACACTATTATTTTGTACACTTAATGTAGCACTTTGTCCATTTTCATTTTTTTTAGGTTTTGACAACAGTAAGTTAGTTACTTTCATAAAATTTTCTGCCTCCTTTTTAACCTTTTCGTATTCATTCTTCTCCTTTAATTCATCTTTTTCTTTATCCAGTTCATTTTTTAAGGTTGAACATTTTCTTTTTACTTTCTCAATTAACTTCTTGCAAACATTTCTCCTAAGATGTTCACTTGAACCATTTTTATCTTCACTTGCATTATCGAATGTTTGATTTTTTTCACTTTTCCATTTAGTGTAATACTTTTCTAATGTTTCTTTACATATAGTATCATTAATTAAACTACTTTTCAATTCATGAATTAACTCTCCCTCCAATCGCAAATTTTCCCATAATGGAGTACAATATCTTTGGAGTTTTAGACAGTGAGCCCTTTTAGTGTTAATGTTTTCTTGTTTCAATATTTCCGGACAATTCTCTATATATTGATGACAATATGGATCCCAAAACATGCAGATTTCTTTAGTCAATGCTTTATTTGTTTTTTCAATTTTATTAATAATATTTCTGTCGTTCATGTTATAAGCTAAATTATAACACTCATCTATAACCTCTTTTACAATAAAATTACATGTTTCTTCTGGTAAAGCACAAAAAGTAACAAATGGATTCTTTTTCCTTCTAGACAATCTTTCACATTCTTCCTTTACCGCTTTTATACAGTTTTCCCTTGTTTTTAATGAATTATCTTTTTTTTCTAAAAATATTTTTTTAAATTTTTTTCTAGTTTCTAAATATCCACAGTTTGTATTCAATACTGAACATTTATCATCATTCGATTGTGAATAAGTTCTAAGATTATGGCACTTCTACTTCAGTTTAAAACAATCACTCTCCTTTGGAAATTCTTTCTTTGAATCCAAAAGTGCCTCGAATTCCTTTGATTGATCAATAATATCTTCTAAAAATTCATAACATAGTTTAGTTGGTTGAAGACACTTTAGAAGGTATCTTTTATCTTCCTTAAATTTTATACAATTTTTAACCATTAATCCTTTACATTCTTTAAGTTTTACTTAATACGATTTTAAATAATCAAGACTTATAAATTGATTTCGAATTAATTTATTAAACGCCAGATTTTGTCCTTTTCTATAATACGCTATTCTTAGATTTTCGCATGCTTTATCGATTTTATTAGTACATACATTTTCTAAATAGAAACATTCCGACTCAAGCTTTATACAGTCTTCCTTACTAGGTAATTTTGGTACCTGTTCCCATGAAAAATATTTTGAATCTTTATTTTTTTCAAATTCCGTAGAGAATCCTTTTATGTAAAGTTCTAATTTAAGATTTGTACATCTAGTTTCTACCTTTACTAATTCTTTGCATCTGCTGTCTATATTTTTACTTGCTTCTTTGCATAATGCTTTTAAATTATAATTCATGTATAAAAAATTACAATCATTTAAGATATTTTTGCATATTTCTTGTAGATTTTTGCTATTATTTTCTCTACTCCACAATAATATTGTATTTTCTAGGCTCTTTTCTTGTAGTTTTCCAGTGATAATTTCTTTAACTTCCGCTTTTTCATAAATTTTTTCCAGTATAATTCTATCTAGTGTTGCTTTTATTTCCAATGGATCAAAATCTTATTCTGGATCTTTGTATGTAATTCCTTTTTTTTCGCATTGATTCTTAATTTTATCACATTTTGTACTGCGACAATTTGATTTATAAAAATAACAGTTTTCAAAATATTCTTGACATTTTTCCTTTAATTCATTCTCATTCAATATTCTGTCTAAACGTGTGCAAACATCTTCCACACTGCTTTTGAACTTTTGACATGTAACATTTGGATTAAGGTATGAAAACACAAATTCAAGACCGTATTCAAATAATGCTCTACAAACATGTTTTATCCTTTTTTAACATTCATTCATATCATTATAAAATACCACAAAAGTGTTATAGAAAATGCCATATACAAAATCTTGACGTTTCCTTTTAGAACATTTATTTATCAATTTAACGCAGTTCTCCTTAAGATTAATTGGATCTGCTTCTTCTAAAAATATACACTTATCCTCATATTTTCTACAATTTTCATCTTTTATGTTTTTGAATGCTTCTAAAAGTTCCTTTTTTAGATCTTTTGATTCTTTTTCAACTTTTTTAGTTCTTTTCATTTTTTATTTCCACAAAGTCCTTTAACTTTAGCATCCACATTCTCTAATTTTCCATTTATTTTCTTCAATTCAGCACAATATTCTTCGAGCTTTTTCTTGCATTTAGCATCATTATTATATTCCTTCTTCACAATTAAACCCAAAACCTGTTCCTCCTTAATCTCATCATTTCCTTCTGCTTGTCCTGCTGCTTGCCTCTTAACCAGCTGTGCCGTCATCGCCTTTTCTGGGTAATTTCCTCAACCCATTGGTTATCTTGAGGATAGCCTTTAGGAAAAAAAAATTCATAATCATTTTTTCTAAAATAATCAATTTCCGGATAATTTTCAAAGTAATTCATACTAGAATCCTTATTAATTCTACGATTCCAAGTGCCTTTAGAGCCTCTTATCTTTTCCAATCGTAATAATTTTTCATTTTCAAATAACTCTATCACTAAAGTTCTGGAAAAAATAAGTAAATGCTCAAAAAAGAAAAATATGATGTTAGATGAATAAAGTATAGATCTAAATTAAAAAGCAATGAAGTGATAAAAAAATTTCACATAAACAGTTAAAATTAACTAAAATATCATTTTTATTTCACTTTGAATGCTTTTTCAGTTAAATCTTGTTTAAATATTCTTTTTAGAAAAAAAATGAAAATGGGAAAATGAATCACAACTACTTAAATTTTTTAAAAAGCTTACCTTGTTCATTTATGTCTGATATCATTGCATTTTCTAGAGCGACTACCAAAATGCAACTTAAATATGTAAAAAACGCAAAAGATGTACTTTTTATTGATTATAGATCATAAAGAAATAGAAAAATAGGAAAAATAATATTCAATTGTCGAAACAAATGTTAAGCAAAGGAGAAATATTGACCATAAACTGGCAAGCTTTGTTGGGTTCCAATAAAAAGTAAAACGAATGATTTAAACCTAACCTTAAAGTCTGATTCTAGGTCTAATCAATTATTTCGATTTGGTAATTTTACTCCTAGAAATATATGGACATCTTGCCTCATAATGACCCTGAATCGTCTTCTCTAGAAGATTTAGAACCATCACTCCTTGAAAACTTAGATTCCATAGAGCTTGAGAAACTTGAAAATGAGGCAATTAACATTTGTTCACAACATTATAATCGGAATCTGTACCAATTCTATATTAATCAAGCTGATATTCAAGATCAAATTCAAGCAAAATATCAGGTATGCATTTAATAATATTCTAAATATATGGTATGAACTTAGAATATAAGGCTGATACTTTAAGAGATACTTATGAAAAATATCCGCTTCATTTATATGATCGAATTCATGTTCAAGACAATATTTACAGAGAGAATATACAAAAAGATATATTGTTTTTAGACACGAAAAATACTTTCTATAATAGTATCCACTCCGATTTTTTTAATATTGATAAACACGATCGTATAAACCAATGGGACAATATGTATCAACCGTCTAATATGAGCCCACGGGATAAATATGGTAAAACTATTCAATTAAGTTGACTAACAGATAAGTCTAAAATTTAATGAGAGAAATTGGTATCTTGGGATAAACAGATATTGAAAGCCGAAGAGATGCAAGTAGTCGATGCAAAAGGAACGGTTTTGCAAGATGAAATAACAAAGGTTTTTGATATACAACATCATTAAAAAGTTCTAAAAATATGTAGTCTCAATCATATATTAGGAGCTTCCAGTTAGAACGAGATGAGTTTAAAGTAGTGGCTCGATCTAAGTCTAAAGAGCTTGTAATGACTCAAACTTTATTTGATAAAGTGCTTATATTTATTTATATCTTTAAGAGTCTAATTAGTTAATAGAAACAACAATTGTATACGAGTCCTATAGAAAATCTCCAAAAACAATACGTATTTTCATCGGAAAAACATATTGTTACTCAGAAAGAAATGGAAGATAACTTAAACCAAGTTCTTACCGAAAACCGTTTTCAAAAAAAAGGACTCCAAGAAGTGGAGGAATTAATTACGCAGTTTGAGTATCCTAAAAAACAAGTGAATTGTTCGTTTAATATGCCTTTTGAATTTCCAACAAAAAAAGCTTTTGAATCCGAAGAAAAGGTTATAGATAGTCCAGTAAAACGAAAACGAAGATCAAAAAAATATGTTTCTTTAGACAATACAGTCCATGAATATGAATATGTCATGGGAAATTATTATTTAAAAAACAATGAAAACTTAGAGTTACGAGTAATATCAAAAGCAATATTTCAACAAATAAATGATAATAAAAAACTTCAGGTATGAAGATCAAATGAGTAAAAGAAATAATGTTTATTGCAATATAGTTTATTGAGGAATTATTTGATTATCGTATTGATTATATTTTCAAATATAATGATAGCACAATTTTTGATATACTTTCTTCTTATACGTTACCTGGATTTTCTGTATCTGTTTCATCAATTGTCGTAAAGTTTATTACTAGATCTCTTACTACTTTAAATCCTGTTTTAGTTTTTTTATTTTATTTAATGGATTATGTAATGGTTATATGGAAAATTTGTTTAGAGAAAAATTATGTTTGTATCTTAATTTTACCATATATGACTAAAGTCTTTAGAAAGAACCAATCAGATATATGGTATCATTTGTGCATTTCATGTTTGTTTTTCAGTTACATATTTTTAACGAGCTAGTCAATGTTGATAAGATTGAATTTTTACTGATGTTGTTGCAAAACACAATAATGGAGTATATGGCAGTAACAAAAGAAATAAAAGTTTTTGGATACATAGATGAATTTGTTATTCAAAAGTGTTTAGAAATTTTAAATATCATTGTAAGTTTATCTCAAGAAAATACACAAATTGTATATAAGTATGTTTTTTTGTATTTAGATATTAATCTGATTTTTAATTAGAATTTCCTTATTTCTGGAGTTTAATCAGATTTTGATATTGCTAAATCCTTTGCATAATTTATTATTCATTAAAAAAACATTGAAATTTTTAAATAAGTGTATTCTTTTAAATTGTATTCAGTATACTGTTAAAAAGGATGACTTAATATGTTTTTCTGATTATTTTTCGAAAATATTAGATATTGTAAGTAGATATTTAACTGAAAAATATGAAAATTATGATATATTTGAGGTTTGCTATTTTGCTAAAAGAAATAAATTAAATTACAGATAGCGTATGGATTTAAAATTGGAAACTGTTATGTTCTTGAACACTATTATATCAGCTTCTGTGAATGGAAAAGATCTTCTTAGCTTAAATGTTGTTGTTGTGTCACAATTATGTCGTTGTTTAGCAGAATTGATAAGTTTGCACGATACGTCTGAAATTTCTAGACAAAGGTATATATTTTTCATGACTTCTTTTGCTTATGATGCAAGAATAAATTTGATTCAATCTATTGTATTTATTCTTCATGAAATTATTTCACCTATCAACATATCTTTGCATTTTGCGCAGCCATGGACTCGATATGCGTACATTGTTTCAATGACTCGTTTAAGTTTTGCTGAGGATGAAGACGATCATGGAAAAGATATATTTAATGATAGAACTATAGAATTTGCTAGAGATCTTCTTGAAATAGTTGTGGATTCAGAAGAAGGCAATGAGTTGTATGGTCTTTTTAATATTTCCAATTAATTTATCTTTGATTTGTGTTGAGGATTATATTATGTAAATTATTATCAATATAAAAATATAAAATTAGAAATTAAAATGTAAATGTTCTGTAATTTTAATTAACGCAAAAAATAAGTTTAGAAAAAAACATTGTTTTAAAAATAATGAATGAATATTGCTGGTTTCCTTCAGAGTTTTTGTCAGGAAAAGCGACATCGATTTTTAAAAAATATGCTATTATTATTTTAAATCAGCCGTTATCTTTAGAATATGATAAATTTTTAGTATTATGGAAAAAAGGTAGATTTATTTTTCAGTATTATTCTTAATACATATGTTCATTACAATAGCATCTTTGAAAATATGTGCTGATGGTGGTGCTAATCAACTTCATATGTTATATAAAGATAATCTTGATATTGTAATTTTGATTTCGAGTTTCTTAATAGAAGGTTAATTTTTTAGCTTCCAGATTTTATCATCGGAGATATGGATTCTTTGTCTAGTTGTGCTTTAGAAGCCTATAGTTCAAAAGTATATAAATCATTTCTTTAATTAAACTGTTAATATTAAAGGGTGTAAAAATTATAAAAAATTTTGACAAGAATTCTAGTGATTTTGGAAAATCTATGGATCTTATTAACTCAATTAATCTTTCTGTAATTGAGCTACATATATATATAATTTCTAAATAATATAAGGTTACAGATGTAATTGCTCTTGGTACATTTTCTGGTCGTGTGGATCAATCTTTAGAATCGATAAATCAAGCATATCTTGCATCTCTTTTAACTCCTCCCATTAACTTATATCTATTTTCTGTATATAATATTACTTTTTTGCTCTTACAAGGAATAAATAAGATACATTTAGACTTATCAATTTTAGGGCCTCATTGTGGACTTGTTCCGATTGGGAAAAAATGTATCGTAACAACAGAAGGAATGAAATGGAATATGAAAAATCAAGTAATGGAGTATGGCGGACTCATTAGCACTAGTAATATGGTTTTTGAAAATATAATTATTGTGAAAACAAATGAAAAGGTTTTATTTACAATAGAAATTCGGTCGCATGATAAAATATTTTAAGAAAATATACAGATAATCAATATACTTTTTTTGATATCTACTCTTAGTATGTTTATTATTTTTAGATGTCTTAAAGTTTCCTAATTTTTTTTATAATGTTATGATATTTTATTTTTTTCACAATTATTTTAATATTGATATATAGATAAACAAATAAATAGATAGTAAAACTGTTATATAATTACTAGCTTTGTATTTTTGAAGGGTTTTTGGTTTGATTTATAAAAAAGTTTATGCAATGAATTTGAATCTTTTTTTTGGATTTTTATTTTTGACTTTTATATATTAATAAAAATTAAAAATTATTTTCAAAACATGTATTTATTTTGTTAATTAGTAATTTAATTTTAATGAATATTTAAAACAAAAAATTTAAAATTATTAGCACTAAATATATAATTTTTTTGAGTTTAATTGTAAGTATAATTTTAAAAATATACCCGTTAATTTTATTGTTTATCTCTTGAAACATTACAATTCTTAGTCTTATAAAAGTTTATATTTTAAATTACAAAGATTTAGAAAACGATTCTACATTTTATAAATAGTATAATTAATTGTGGTTTTTTATTTTTTTTTAAAAATAATAACAGTAAATAAAATCATCTATAAGTTTCGATATAGATATAAATATAAATTGACAATTTTATTATGATTAGATAATTTACAATATGCTTTAATATAAATAAATGCATGTTTTATGAAATTTAAATAATAATTGTTCGATGATTTAATAGATTCTTATAAATCATTAGATTCTGTAATCTCTATATCATCTTCATTGCTAATTTCTTTTATTGCATTTAGAAAAAAACAATAATGAAAGGATAAGTTACCATTATTATAAATTTCTGGATATTTTTTAAAACATTCTTGCATTGCTTGAAATTTTTTTATACATTCCATACCTTTAGGTTCTTCTTTTGAATAAACAAAACATGAAAATGCATCTTTAAACTCTTTTCCACATGGTCCATGTGCCACTATGCTGTTAGTTTGCTTTTAGATTTTTAAAGTTTCCCTACTTCCACCAAGACATGGACAATCCCTAGATTTATTAATATTTATCAATTGATAGTAACATAGTCTTCCCAATTTATTTCCCCAGTTTCAGGATTAAACGCATATTTTTCACCATTATTCTCCGAATTAGAGAATGTTGAAATTTCTTCATTATAATTATTTGTATTTTTTAACTATATATACGTTAATTACTATATATTATAATAAGAGAAAACAACTGTTCCTCTATCAGTATCTGCTTTAATAAAAGGAGATATTGAATATGCTATTAGAGGCATAAATAATAAAATTTTAAAACTTTTAAAAAAAGTTCGATAAGTTTGTAGTTTAAAAAAAAAAGTAGAATGATTCACTTGTTGAGAAGGCCATAATGTAAGGTATTGAGTAAATTTTGGAAAATAAAGTTTTTTAAAAAAAGGCTTGATTTTATATCTCATTTTTTTTATTAAAACTAAGAAATAATAAGATAATTTTATTTTTTCGATCGAACTAGCTTTTAAAAAAGGTTTTAAAAATCTTAATATATTTTGAAATTTGCATCTTTTTGGAGATTTTTTGTATATATTTTTTTAATTTAACACTTGTTATTTGTTTATATTATTTAATTTAATTTTATATAGGTTATTTTTTTGATCAAATATAAATTTTTGTTTTAATAGTTTAAGATTTTGAAAAAATAACTTTTAAAGACTTAAATCATTCAATTTCTTCAAAATTTGTTTAATCTTAAATTATTAAAATATTTATTTTTTTTAAAAAAAAACATAAATTATTGTTCATAAGATTTTTATTAAAAATATCTACATTTTTAATTAGAGATAGGTGTAGATAAAAAAAAATATTTTTTATGATTTGTTGGTTTTTTTCCTGATAAAATAAATTTAAGTTTTAAATTACTATTTTTTAACTTTAATCATAGTAATAAATAGAATTATAGATATTTTTATTTCATTAAAATTATTAAAAATATATAATTTTAAATAAACCTTGGATTTAATTATTTTTTTTAAAATATGTAGATATGTTTTTATTGAAATAAATATAAAAAAATTATAATAAAAAAATATTTCTAAATAAATATTTTTTGAAAAATAAACAATTAGCTGAGAACTAAGTAAAATTTATAAATAATAATAAGTATCAAAATATAATTTTGAAAACATATACCTGCTTATATTAATACAAAATAGATAGTTAAAAAAAACTGAAAACAAAAATAAAATTCAATTTATAATTTTATATTTACAAATTTTTAGAAAAGATATATTTTTAAAAAAACCCTTGTATAATTTTGTAAAATATTATTTTAAACTGCAAAAACGGGTTAATCGATATTATAGATTACAAGACATAAATATAATAAAATTGCATATAAAATTTATAAAGTAGCATAAAAAATCAAGTTAACCGAGAAATTTTCTTTTTTTTTTTTACAAATGTAAGGGCTGTTATATTATTTGAAGTTGGTAACCTGGGCTTTTTCCAATAATACTATTTTATTAATTTTAATTTAAAAGTTTAAATATCATGAACTACCTGTTTATGTATTTTTCTTGATTGTCTAATTGGCCTTATAAAAGGTAGTAGACTTGCTTTTCTTTCCTCATTATCATCTTCTAAATTAAATAAGATAAGAAAATAATCGAAATTTTAATATTATACTTTCAGGGACATAATACCATTGATTTTCAAGTGGTTTTCCACTAGCATCTTTTCCTTCTCGTTTTATTTCTGCGATAAATTGTCCGGCATTTCTTAGCCATTTTTCAACATCTTCTTTTAAAAAAGTACTAGGAAATAAACATGTAAGTGTAGATAAAGGTACAGCACTTAAAGGAGAAAATGCAAGAGTTGTTAAAACAGAATCAAGCAAACTAGAATCAATGGAATCAGGCTCTGGACCAAAATTTTTGATATCTACAGACAAAGAGTTATTCGTATTTATCTTAGCTTTATCTGTAGACAAAAAAGTTGAATAAGGATTATCCGAGCTATGATTGACATAAGTGTCACTATTATCTAAAGATGCTGATAGAGGAAAATAATTAGAATTAGGAAATATTGATGAATCATATATTCTAGTATTTTCAAAGTCTTGATAAGTTAACCTTTTCAAAGGAGACCTTTCTGGTTTATTTTTATAAAATCCCAAATTACGATATATTTTTTGAGAAAATGGCTGAACATTTTCATTATTAGTATAAGGTGAGTTGATTTCATCAATACGTGTTTTATTGTCAATTGAGAGTTCTAAAGATGTAGGCCATAAAACTCGAGAATATGACCCTGCAATTTCAACAATAATAGAACCAACGTTCGGCACCCATTCAACAACACTTGTCTCCCCTTTTCTTATTTTTCTAGGCCCATGTTCTGTTTGAATATGAAGTAACATACCATTCCATCCTAGACACGTAACATAAACTGCCTTATTTTCCGAATGATATTCAAGCTTTGCATGGATACGACTAATAAACATATTTTTTTTGGATATAGAAAGGTTGCATGATTGACTAGAACGTCCAATATAGACTGCTTTTGATTCATCCAAACGAAGAAAAGGAAAGTTGTTAAAAGAATCATATGTATATTGTGGAGACAATGAAGGATATAAATCAGCACATGATGATAGATCTGGAGTTAAATATGGATTTTCTAGTGCCGTTACTCCTATCTTTTTAACATGCTAATGATGAGACTTACTTTCATCCGAATTCTGAAGATAATATAAAGGCGAAGACGATAAGTTCTGAGTTTTTTCTTTAGAAAATTTCTTAGACAATTCTTCGTCTAATATTTCTATTTCCATAATTAAAATAAAATAAATTGTTTTATTTTATCTATTTTTAAGATTTATTTCATAATTTCATTAAAAGATACGACGCGTACCAAAATGTCACGAACAATATATATATATCAATTATAAAATTTAAAATAAATAAGAATATTAGAATAGGAATTCTAATAGTCATTAAATTGATTATATTTTTAAAAAAATTGAAAATTAGGTCAAGTGTTTATTTTTTTAAAATAAATATGTAAAATCTGAATACAAGTATATTTCCTTTCTGATACTTTTTCTGTAAAATGTTAAGTATACTATTATAAAAAACCTTAGATATTATACAATAGAGCTATTTATAGGCTTATATTTTAAATTTAAAAAGAATATTTATATGTTATATACTATTATTTTCAAATCTATTAAGCATTATACAATCTGAAAAAGCAAGATAATTGAAAAAACTAGAACTCCTTCCCATTACGATATTTTAGAACTAATTATGTTAACTAAAATTTTTGAAAAATAATTTTTTACTTTTAAAATATAAATTAAGTTACCTATTTGAAATCGAGAATACAAATTAACTAATTTTTTTCAAATTATAGTTATAAGTTTTTAATATTCCAAAAATTATACTTTTTTTTGTGAAAATATATACTAATATTTAAATATATATTTTATGCTTTTAAAATCTTAAATTTATTTACAAAAATGTATATCAGAAAATCTTCAATATTCCGGTAATCAAATAAAAGTAATATTTTAAAATTAAAAACTTGATTTAGATATTTTAATATTAATTTTTTTCAATTTTAGCGGTAAATAATCAAATTCTAATCCTTAATTATAAATTATTTATAAAAGATTCTATAAATAGATATAAATATTTTAATAAATAAAATAACTTATAAACAAAAAATGTCTTGAAATTCATGTTATATAACTTAAAATTGTATCAATAATAATACATTCAATGTATTTTTTTTAAAATATATAATAATAAAATTTTAGTATTTTCAACAATTATAACAATAAAAATATATACCGTAAACGCAATACATTATTAGACATGGTATAAATCATTTTTTAAAATTTAGTGATTTAAAGGTCGAAATTTTATTTCATTTGATATTTAGCTATTTATACAATATTTCTTTATAATTAATTATAGATAATTTAAAGAATTGATTTTTGATTTTCTCCATTTTTTTTGAAAAACTAAATAAATTGATTTATAATATTATACTCTTTTTTTCCCATCATTATCCATTCGTTCATACTTAAGAACAAGAGACTTAATATGTTGTTGTTCTTGCTTTTCTGCCTCTTTTTTTGTTCGTGTTGATATAGCTAACGCAGAATCGGATGGAATGTCAACCATATGAGTCTAAAAAATATAAATACTAAAAAAATATATTATAAAAATATACCATTGGACGATTTCCTCGTTTAACAAGAAGTGCAAAAGTGATATTATTATTTGAAACATTTGATGTTTCTACTTCATTACAATTCATATGAAAATTTTGTCGTTTAATTGGTAACGGAAGATCAAATATTCCTTTACGATCAAATTTACGAGCTTCAAGACTTTCTGAGACTATTTTTGAAAACTCAATATCAAATTCCTCCTCTTCTTTTTTATTTCTCTCTCTTCTAAACATGATTATTTCATCATCTTCGTTAATATGAGAAGATTCGTTTTTAATATTATCCTTTTTTTATAAATTTTTAATCGTAACAAAATATAAATATTACCGCTAAATCATCTTCTTTCTCCAGAATTTCTCCTTCTTGATCATCAAATATAGGCACATCATCATCGTTAAATGACTCAGTATCTGTACTGTCATCAATATCATGAGAATTTGTTTGAATATCTAGTAAAGTTAATAAAAAATAAAATAGATTTATCATATATACCATAAGATTTAATATATTTAGCAATTATTTCGTCAATTCCTTTTGCTGCTTCTTCAAGCGAAGATATTAGTCTCAAATTTGGACGAATCAAACGCATAGTATCCTGTAAAATAAATTCTACATCCATAGTAAGTGGAAGCTTAGTATGAATATAATACTGATTCTGTAAGAATAAAATAATTTTGAAAAATCTTTTTATAACCTGAAAAAATGATAAAAAAATGTCCATTTTTTTTCTTGAAGAACCTCTATCAAAACACAGTCCACATGTATTTAGCAAAGTACATACTAAATGTATACGAAAAAAGTCATCTGGTGCATCAATTGGAGTAAATTTACATGGATGAGGCCTCCCTCCGGCTATTTAAAACCAATAAATATAAAGATAAATAATATTTATGTTTATACCATGACCAAATACAACTAACGTATATAAAGTATCAAATATAACAGGTGTATCAATAATTTTATAATTATATAGTTCCCCTAAATATCTAACTAATGCAATTTGTTTTTGATTATGTTTATAATTATTTTCTTCCAATCCAACTCGAATTTGCTCAAGAATGCTGTCAACTAACTTTATAGTAAATTCATGATGATAACATGATAAACTTTTAATTAAAATAGCTAATAAATGTATATTATTGAAACGAACATTCCACACTTTTGAAAAGAGTTTAAAAAGTGTATATTCCACCTTCATATGTGTTATTTAAGCGAAACTAATAGGATAAAATCACCTCTGGATTTTCCCAATGTAACTTTCTTAATTGTTTGAGTATTCTCGGATAATTCTTTTTATTTAAATCAAGATAGATTAGTTTTCTGATATAAAGTTCTTCAACAGATAAAGTTCTACGCTGAATTATTGGCTGTTCAGGAGGATTGACCTGGTTTTTATTTTAAATACTTTTTTCCAAAAAAAAAAAATAAATTACGTAATAAAATGCATTTTCAATCATAAGACGTTCTTGTTGCCCTAAATTTTGCGCGCTTTTTTTCCTCATAATTGTTTCTAACTATAAAATATTAACTTTTATAAATAACAAAATAAATATTATACCAAAGTAACCATTCTTGGATTTGTTTCTGGATGTCTAAACAAAAATCTACCACATTCTTCCAGCAAAATAGATAAAATCTCTATAGTTTGTTTAGAAAATTTATCAATTGCTATTTTAAAACAATGAAATATTAAATGATGAGGAACAATATTAAATTTTATTAACTCGGATAAATATCGAGCATTCTTGAATCGTAAGAAAACTTTATGAGTTCGATTATTTTTACCCTTGTACGTAATTCCAAATCCTTGTTTCCTAAGGCGATTATTTTTTTAAACTGTTTAATAAGCTAAAATATTATTATTTTTAACATAAATAAGCAATAATAACTAACATATTCTATAACAGAATCTCTAACATTATGTATATATCTACCTAACGTCGCAATTAAGCGTGAATAATAGGGGAATATGTCTTGACGATTTCGAGGAGGTTCACAAAGAGCCTTTAAAGTAAGAAAATTTCCTACAAATTTTATTTTTTCAAACCTTTATCAATTTATTTCTGGAAGCTTTTGAATTCAAAAAGCAAAAATCTATTGCTGCTTGATCAATCATATCACGGTTATTAAGTTCTAATAAACGAACAATATAGACATCAATTTGCATGCTAACTCCTTTAGATATACTTAAATCTTCTTGTAAAAAATCACTAAGCATTATTTTAACTATAAACATAATGAAAGAGCTATACCTTTCATTAAGTTCAGTTTCAATTCCTTCAATATTATCATCAGTAATATCTAAATCCATTTCATCAAGTTTATCTATAGAAGATGGAGTCTTATTCTCGGTATATGCTTCATTTTCTCTGCTTTGTTTTTTATCATTAGTTAAAAGGGAAAGAGGAACAACATCTTTTAAATCAATAATATCCTCATAAAATTTTCTTTGATCATCATCATCCCATAAAAAATTCGAAATCATTTCTTCTTTATCATGTAGAAGAGAATTGCTGGAGCGTATACATGAATCAACATTATTTATAGGTTCTTCATTCTGATTTTTTAGATCAGGCATTAATAAACCTAAAATGTCTGCTAATCTATAACATTTAGAGTAGTCCATATAAATAGGTATTAATTACATTTTTGTATTATTAATTAACCTTTCCAGATGTTTTTCTAAACGATCAAGATTGTTTTGGCGATCTTCATTAATTTCTCCCCGGCTAACAGATGCGTCTGAAATATTTTTCTCTTGAATTTTAAGATTCTAAATAAACATTATATAAAAATATCCAACAAATAATACTAACTTTATACTCTTTTATTATATATTCCTTTAAATTATCAAAATACTTATATAGCAAAAGCTTAATATTTTCTCTAATATCAGATGGACAAATAGAAATATTTTCGTCAACATATTGTTGTAAAGATTCTATAGAGTTTTCAGAAGTATTCCCGTCAATAATTTTTCGTAGGCGTTTCTGACTAACACAAAAAATATCACTTGCAAAATTTCTCACAAAAGTTACAATAAGTGGTAAATTAACATAATCACGATCTTGAAGAACAATATCTTTAATAATAGAATATATAAATGGCTCATTTATATAATTCTCAGAGCGTTTTTGACATTTCAGCGACTTCAATTGAGGATTATTGTTTATAGTGAGTCCAAGTGGAATTGCGTCATTTAAAGTGCGCAAAATTCCAACAAGCCAAAGTTCAACAGAAACACGTAAAAGAATACGTTGTCTTGAAATACGCTGGGAATCTTCTTTTTCACGTTGTTCAGGTGTTAATGATGCCATATAACTTTTTAATGGCTGAGTAAGACCGCGTGCTATTTGAAAAGTCAAAAAAGGTGTAAACAAAGTCGAAAATCGTTGATGAAGAGCAGAAATAACCTAGAAATATAAAAAATAGTCTAAATAATTATTAAAGATACTTCAATAGCAGTAAAAATATCTGCTGATGTTTTAGACTTCTGTAAACCCTCAACAACTGCTCCCACTATTTCTGAAATATATTTTTCAAGTGATAAAGTTTCAAGGTCCCGTATTAGTTGATCATGAATATCTGATGTAATTCCTGTACGTAAGCGTTTAATAAAAGCTGTATTCTTCTTTAAACTAGTATCAAGATTAGGTGCTGTTTTAAAAATTCCTAGTAAAATTAAAAAGCTCAAAAACATTTTCTTTAATAAAACCCTTCATTCCATTCCATGTTTCTATATTTCTAGTGCGAAGTTCTAACTTTTTTTTTCTTTTTTCTTCATTAAAATGAACATTTATATTCTATATTCTTATTAATATTTATCTATTGTTTCTTAAAAAATACTAACATCTTGAATATCTTCCAATGTATTTGCATTCATTTTAAAGTATTTATTTATATTTCTTTTTCAAAAAAAATGATTACTTTTAACGTTTAAAAAAATCAATATTAAAAAAAAACGATCTTAAAAAAATAAAAATAAAAAAATGCCATCGAGAAAGACGCATCAGAGGCTTTCTCCACACCTTTCAAATAGTTCTATACAGCAATTGAAGTTATTAGATATGGAAATTAAAAAGTTATCGAATATTGAAAAAATAAATGAAAAATTACCAAGAAGCCATAAGAATATGCGAAAACATACAAGATTAAATTCTGATGAAAATAATGATAATGAGGTACGTTTTAAATTTTGTATAAATTTGTTTTTGAAGATTATTATTTTCTTTTCAATTTTTTATATATTAAATAATATTTGAATGAATTTTAATGTAAACTTTGAAGGAGAGTATAGGTTTTTGTTTTATGAAAAATAGATCAAATTTCTTCTTAAGAACAGTATGGACATTTGCTATGATTTTTGGGTTTCTTGTGATTATTGCAGCTGGACATATTTGGATTATTGTTTTACTCACTTTTATTCAAGTAATAGTTTTTAAAGAGTTAATTGCTATTGTCAATATTTCAGATAAAGAAAAAAAACTTCCTTGGTTTCGAACTTTGAATTGGTATTTTTTGTAATTTTTATTGTCTTTTTAGTAGATGGTATTAGGTATTTTCTTTGTACAACTTTGTATTTTGCATATGGTGAAAGTCTTATCTATTACTTTAAACACATTGTTATTGTGGATGCATTTCTATTTTCTATTACGACTCATCATCGGTTTATTAGTTTTATACTTTATATCGGGGGTAATTTTATAATAAACCATTTATTTTCAATTTATCTTTCTAGGCTTCATATTTTTTGTTATGAATCTCAAAAAAGGGCATTATAAGTACCAGTTTACACAGTATTGTTGGACTCATATGATATTGTTGTTAATTGTAGGACAAAGTCATTTTATTATTAATAATATATTCGAAGGCATATTTTGGTAATATATTAATTTTCTTTAGGCTTATTTTTAATGTTTTAGGTTTTTATTGCCAGCTTCCCTTGTTATATGTAACGATATTTTTTCATATTTATGTGGAAAACTTTTTGGCCGAACTCAGCTTATTAAACTTTCGCCTAAAAAAACTGTTGAAGGATTTATTGGAGGATGGGTATGTACTGTTGTTCTTGGGCTTACTATGGGGAATATCATTTTACATTGGAATTATATGATATGTCCATTAAGAGTAACTAATATGTTATATATATTATTAACCCTAACAAATAAACTAAGGATCTAGGGGCTACAGCGTTAATTGGGTTAGAATGTATTCCAAATCCAACATTTACTTTGCAGCAATTTCCTCTTCCAGAATTTATAATTTCATATTTAGCTCTTCCATATCATACTATCACTATAAGGCCAGTCGAGTTTCATCTTATGGTGTTTTCTACTTTTGCATCTCTTATTGCTCCATTTGGTGGTTTTTTTGCATCTGGACTTAAACGCGCATTTAAAATCAAGGATTTTGGGGATTCTATACCAGGACATGGTGGGTTAACTGATCGCTTTGATTGTCAATTTATAAATGGATTTTTCGTTTACCTTTACTATCATAGTTTTATTGCGGTTATATTTTTGAAAATTATATTAATAACTATTAACATTTATTATAGGTAACGCATGTTTCTGTAGGATCAGTTCTTCAAACAGCTATTACATCCTTAACATATGATGAGCAAATAAAACTTTCTAATAGTATATATAAATATCTTGTTTCTAAGGGGGTTTTATCAAATGCTATTCTTGAATGTCTTAGAAAATCTATACCTCCTTAAGGATATGTATTTTATTTATTATTTAATATTTTGCCATTTTTTGTATATTTTTAAGATTAATTTACGATTTATTTTTATAATTTATAGTCAAAATTTACTTAGAAAATATACATATTTTTATTATAAAGATATTGATTTTGCTATAGTAAATCTAAAGGATTATATGAATTTAAAATATTAATAAAAAAGATAGGATTTTAATTTTTGTACAATATAAAAAATATTCAAGAATATTTTGTTAAATTTCACAAATATAAATACTGCAATTTCAATAAAAGGAATTGCCTTAAATATCAACCATTGATATTTTAAAGAAGTATTTCAAATATTAATTTTCTTTTTTGGTTTATTCTACAATAAGATAATATTGATTAGAAATAATATCAAAATAGTTCCTTGTAAAATTCATACATTCAAATTAATAGCAATCAAAAATCTTTTTAAAATGTAATAAATTTATATCATTATTCATTTTAACTTTTAACATTCAACCTAACCAATGATATATTAAATAAAAGAAAAATAATGTAGATATAACTCCTCCCCAAAACAATATTTTATCTTGCAAAATTCTTCTCTCAATAAATTTAATTGTACTTTTACTAAGTCCTAAAATATTTCCAACATTATAAATTTCCCGCTGCACTCGCTATTTCGATAAGACGTTTCATTAATTTAGTCTTAAAATAATATACCTTTATATAAAGTTTTTGTTCTATTAAATCATTAAGTATGGCTTGTCCTCGTCCTAAAAAATCATCTAATTGTGAATCGGTATTCTTTAAAAAATCACTTGTTGACAAATTAAAATTTCTCTGTTCATTTAAGTTATCAGATTTCACATGTTCATATGGGTTTTCTGGTAATGTATTTGTATGGAATCGGCGTTCTAAAAGTTCGTTTTTTTGATTTAAATGCTCCTTTTGTACAAAATTAAAATAATAATAATAATAATAATAATATCACCATCTGTTTATGTTTCATTTTAAGATCATCAAATTTTTCTTTTAATTCTGAGTACTGTTTTTTAAACTCCTTAACTCTTGAAATAGCCTTTTCTTGTTTTTCTATATTCATTTCTTTTTTTGACATTGTTTCATATTCATGAATAGTCCTAGAAAGAGAATTTAAACTCACAGTTATTTGACCTAATACAATTGTTAGAATTTTTTGATTGGATAAAATCAATATATTTTTTACAAGTGTTAATTTTTTTTACCTTGAAGTGGAAGTGTTGATGAAATATTATCTGTAATAGATGATTGAAATGAATTCAAGTCTTTTTTTAAGTTCTGAGTCTGCCTAAGCGCTTGATTATAAAATATATTCATTTTATTAAATATATAATATTCGAGTTCATCGATAAAAGGGTAGAAAAATTTATATTTTTATGATTAACCAAAAGTATTTTTTTTTTTGTAATAAACAATCTACGAATCTTTATACATGAAAAAAAATCAATAGAAGACATTATTTTTATAGATATTTTCTTATTATTTATTAGATAATTAAACAGATCCTTTCATTCCTGTATCAGGAACAGATGGTATATGTGCAGTATCTTGTTCTAAAAAATTGTTTTCTGTGGAAACGAAATTGTTTTCTTTGGAGTCATCTTTTTTTGCTTTTTGAGATTGTGCTCTTTCTGCCATTTCTCTTTCCTCTCTTGCAATACGTTCAATCTCATCTGCATCAAATTTACGTTGAACTATAGGAGCCGCAAACTTTATAAGATCGTCCAATTTGCTCTTATATATAGCTTTTGTTGTATCCTCTCCTTCATCATATAACCATTCCTATAAATAAAATTAAGAAAACATTACTATTTCTGACTTTGTATTACCTCTGTTTCATTTAACAACTTCTCAAGACCAACTTTTTCTTCATTACTAGCATAATCAGCATATAAATCATATAGCTTGCTACGCATATCATAAATATATTCTTCTAGCGCATTCTTCTGATTTTCTGTATTAGCAATTATTTTATCCTCCAAAATCATTGCTTCTTCTCTTTCTTTAAGAATCTTCAACGTATCTATGTCAAGAGAAACATTTTCCGACACAATAGTTAAATCTTTTTTTTTCACTAACTTTTTTACTTTACGTGTTTCAGGCTTTTCTTGTTCAACGTCCATCGAATCAGGAAATACAACGCCATTCACTTTTTCTTCACCCTTTGGTTCTTTATCAGTGGATTCTTCTTTTGAAACAACCTCTTCGATTTCCTGTTCTTCTACAATATATGCATGCTCGAGACTTAAAAGGCCATGCAGATTGAGCCGTGCTCTAACTTTTATAACAGAAAAGTCATTATTTACATCCGGTACGACATTTTTGATATGATATCTTCCTATCCAGGTATTAAAACTTCCAGGTAAAGTAGATGGATCTGCATATGAAGCTTCAATAGTAAAAGGTTCTTTTCTATAAAATGTAAGAATTTTAGTACTTGGAACAACGTTGTTTTTTGGAAAGACAATAAGGTTTGTTTCTTCATCAGAGACCTCATGAGAAGCCTCCCAAGAAAATTGAATAGGATAAAGAGTTAAATCATGAATTGAAAATTCGCGCACTTTAAAAATAGGAGATAAAATAGCGCATGCAAACGCGCAGCCACGTGCTACAGCCTCATCTTGATTAAGTGTAAATGAAAGCGGTTTTCCAAAGAATGAGGATATTTTTTCTTTAATAGATGGTATTCTTGTACAACCTCCAATCATCTCAATAGAATCAATATCAGCAATTGTCATTCCTGCACTATCCAAGGCTTCTCTCAAAGGAAAGGTGATACGATTAAATAAACATTGAGCTAATTTTTCCATATCTTCTCTAGATATTAAAGAGTTAACATCAACATCATTCATCAAAGATTCAAGGCTGATTGGTGCAACAGCATTAGCAGAAAGAATCTTCTTCAACTTCTCAACTGCAACTGTCATTCTATATTTAGCTTTGGCATTAGAATTAATATCGATTTTATATTTATCCAGAAGTTCCTTAGCAAAATGATTAACAAGAACTTTATCAAAATCACGACCTCCAAAATTCCGATCATATGCAGATGATTTAACAGTAAGCTGTCCCTTTTTAAATGCTACAATTGAGACAGAATAATTGCTATGACCAATGTCGATAAAGCATACAATTCGCGACTTATCTTCAGGAAGATCTGTTTTAGTGATTCCATAACTTAATGCAGCTGCAGTTATATCATTCATAATTCTAAGAGTGTTAAGACCAGCAATCTCAGCTGCGTCTAAAATGCCTCGACGTTGTGAATCTGTAAACCACGATGGCACAGAAATAACAACATCTGGAATGCCCTTGGTTTGTTCTTTTTGAAATGTCTGTTTAATTTTTGTAAAATACATAGCAGCTATTTGAGTAGCTGTAAAATATTCTTCTTTTCCAAGGAAATTGACCTATTAGATTAGTTCTTTCTACAAAAATAACATCTAATTTAATACCTTTACACCAACCTGTCCATTAATATCAACCAATTGTGCACCTACATAGTCCTTTTCAATTAGAAGAATTTCCGGATCTGTGTATTTTCGGCCAATTAACCTTTTAATGCAAGAAACTGTATTCTTAAAATTACTAATTTCTTGAGTTTTCGCCGATTCGCCAAGATATCGGTTCTTAGAGCCGAATGAGACCATAGATCTATATATGGTTAATATCAATTTTTAAAACTCTCTTATAAAAGAACTTACGGTGTGGATCTATTGGAAACCTCATTTACTAAAATATCTACATTACCTCTTTGTGCAACTGCAATTACGGTTTTAGAAGATCCAAAATCAATTCCTACAACTGACATTTTATAATATATTTTAAGGTTTCTAACCCTTTTTATATTTTGAAACTCAAAATTTTGACAGTCAATTTATTCTCAAGTTATCGAGAAAATTCGATTACTCGAAAATTCGAGATAATCTTTTAAGAACTTTAACAATGACAGAAATAAAAAAAAAATCTTTTGAAATGAGCAGATACAAAGATTACTCTAAAGGTATAATAATAATTATAAGAAGTTTTTACGTAAATAATTAGTTTATTTTTTATATATGTGAAATATAATGTATTCATAATATTTATTATTTTTTCATTCAAATAAATTTACAATATTTTATCACTTTCTGTATGTTTTTTATAAAAAATTATGAAATCTTTACTTCTATACAAGTCTGATTTTATATGAGTGATGATGTAATTAAAATGTATAAAAATGTATAATTTAAAATATCAATGAAATGTTTAAAAATTAGTCTGTAAAATAATGATAATATACAATTATTTAGTGTTTGGTATAAACAAAGCATTTAAAATTATATAATTTTATAATTTTAAATTTTTATATTGTAAAAGCTTTATTTGATAGATTAATTATTATTTGAAAGACAAAGTGGTTGTGAAAAAAATATTTGAATATATGTTAAGATTTAGATTAATCTTTTAAAATATAAAATAATTATAATTTCATTAAAAAAAAACTTAAATGAAAGTATTTTATTTTTCATTAATTAATATTTATTAATCAAGAAGTTTTATTTAAAAATATTTTTTTATCTATTTAAATATATAAATAAAAAATGTGTATAAAATATATAATTGTGCTTAAATTACAAAGTTTTATCATAATATTAAATGTTTTCTGATTTTAATAATATAGTTTAATTGGTCTGTTTTAATTAAATAAATATCTAAATGTGTTAAATGATATTGAATTTAATGTCTTGATATTATATATTATATTAAACAAGTAATATTAACAAATAAATAGATAATTGGCATATTTATTCCGATTAACCAAGTTATAAAAAAATATAATAGCATAGTTTAATTTTTGATATTATCTAATAATATTTAATCCATAATAAAATTGCAAAATAGAGAAGGAGAAATAAATTACATTTAAAACATTCATCTAAACAAGTTCAATAAACTATTATAATTTAAGAAAAACTTAAATCTTAATAAAAAATTAGTCATATATTCTAATAAAAATATATAAAAATTATACGTTTGTTTTGTAAAGACAATTAGGCAGAAAAACTATGATCAATAAATAACTATTGTTAGTGTATTGAAATATCGAATTTAATCATTATTAGAAAAAACTATTGTAATCCTTTATTTTTTTATATTCAACTTTTTAAAATACATATGATATTACAAATCATAAATTTAAGATTATCCAAAGGGGATATCTTTAAGAATGATTTCTATAAATTACTTTACGAGAAACAAAACTATGTTTTTTTATTAAAAAACATTTTGAATATTTAACCCTTAGGTAATATCTTCCATATAATCTGCTATTTAATGAATAATTTGGTTATAATATATAAAAATAATTGAAATTATTTTTAGAATTAAAATATATTCTATCAATAGAATCTGAATTCCTTTAAAATGATGGAATTTTGAATAGAAAACCTTTTGATTCAACAAATCTTGCAAAAATAGATATTTATCATCGTTCTTTAAAAACATAATTTGTTTCATTTCATCCTTTTTACATAACGTTATCGTACATAATTTAATATCCTGTTTCTTTTTTCATATTTTAGTAATTTTTTCAATAAATTACCAATCCATTGCTCATCAAATGCCAAACTAACATGTTTCAGAAGGGTTTCAAGGCTCTCATATGTCTTTTTTTTTAAACCATTGGTTTTTCCTGCTACGCTAATGATTGTCCATCCTAATATTGACCATTCAACTAAAATTTCTTTTTCTTCTAAAGTTACAATGTTTATTGTATAACTCTCCAAATGAATACATAAAGATTTAAGTTTCTCCTTGTTTTCTTTATAAAAACTGTTATATTCTTTAATAAATAAACGTGTTTCCATGAAATCTTTAATATTTTTTACAATAAACGTTTAATTCTTAACAAAGTATATGAAAAGTCTAATATAAATGAAATAGATGTTGTCCTGAAAAAAAGATCCTCTCTTTAGAGAATAAAAAGCACTTTTGTAAAGATTATAAAATAATAATAATAATTAGGATAACATGTAAATCGATTTAATTTATTAAAAAAATATAAAAAAAGAAAATGAAAAGATGTCTATAAAAAATGGGAAAAAAGGACAAGAGAAACGTATGTTTGATCCTTCAGATCTCCCTGAAACAGATGATCAAAATGGTTAGTAAATTTAAATTATAATATATACAACTGATAAATTTATAGCGATTCTTCAACAAGTAGAGTTTTATTTTTCAGATTCAAACCTTCCTTTTGATAAATTTTTATGGTCTACATCTCAAAAGTGCGATGGATGGGTATCTATTGATTTAATATCAACATTCAAACGGATGCGGCGTTTTCGTCCTATAGAAGCCATTGTTACTGCTTTACGTACAAGTAAAGATCTCTTAGAAGTTAGCGAGGATGGAAAATATGTACGACGAAAGACTCCTCTTATTAAGCCTAAAGAGAGTGAAAAAAATAGTTATATTCAGCGAAGTGTCTATGTTAAAGGGTTTGGGGAAGAAACGAAAACTACTCAAATAGATATTGAAGATTTTTTTAAAAAATATGGGAAAATTAATGTCGTAAGATTGCGTAGAGAAGATAATGGTTCATTTAAGGTATTTGAAATGGGTTACAAATTATGTATTTAATAGAATTTTTAGGGTTCAGTGTTTTGCGAATTTGCAGAATTAGAGATTAAAGAAAATTTCCTTAAAATCGAGCCTAAGCCTCAATATAATGGAAAAGACCTTTTGATTATGTCAAAACAGGAATATATAGATATGAAGTCTGTGAAATCTCGAGAAAAACCTCCAAAGAAAAAGGCTACATTTAACGCTTTCAAGGAAATGGAATTAAATAGTAAGCATTGTGGAAATAGTAGCGGCAACAAACGGAAAAGAGATGATAACTATTCAAGGTTTCAGGTTAAAGAAGAAAGCAAACATTGTAGATTAGATAGTCAAGAAAACTTGTTTGAAAAAAATATCGAAAAGGGTATTACTTTAAAGACACAAGAAATAGAAAACAAATCGTAATTGGAAATTCAATTAAGCTATATATTGTCATAGAAAATGCCTTTTCATCAGCATTTTGGTTAATATTTATATAAAAATTAAAAAAATTATTAAAATCATTTTATAAAATTTATATAATTATAGTATAATTTTTATTAATATTTTCTATATGAATGACAACATATTGTACTTATATGTAGTAAATATTAATGGTATATTAGTTTATAGATATTTTGTAATTATTATCCAAGATTGCGACTACGACCTCTATCGCTACGCCCTCCACGTCCTTGAGTATTTTGCATTCCACGACCTCTTCCACTAATAATACCACGCCCTCCTACTCATATTAAAAAAATAGTTGATATATCTTCTCGTACCCCTCGAAATTCCCCTTTGATTTCTATTATCACGATTTCTCTCATTTTGCATTTTAACAATATTAATAATCTAGATAACTTAATTGATATACATATAAAAAAAGAAAAATAACCTCATCAGGTATTCGTAAATATTTAATATTACTTCCTCTAATATAACACTCTGGAAGCCGAAAAAACCGATCACCATCCTAAATCAAAATAAATTCTTATTGATATATATACAATTACTAACAGCATTTGTTTGTACAACTTCCTTTAAAATTAAATTCATCCATGTATCACATTTCACCATGTGTCTTAAATATAAGTATAAATCATTAATATAAAAATGTTTTTAGGTTTATACCCATTATATGTTTCTCCATTTTTAAGTTCAACCAGCTATAAAAAATTAAAAAAAGAAAGAACATAAGTATTAAAAAGACCATAGGGTGGCCTTGCGTTGCTGTTAATAAAGATAAAGGCAACTATAATAAAAATATTAATCTAAAAGAAAAGGTTTAAATATTTAAACTTGCCATTTTAAAATTTTTTTTTTTCAAATTAAAAAAATAATAAACTTCTTAGATAAAGTAAATAAAAAATATCTTGAGTATTTCCCCTTTATTATTTATTGAAAAACTTATATATTTTATTAATGTTATTTTTACAGCATTTTTAGAAACGAGTCGATGTTATTTTAAAAGATAGTAAAAAAAATTTGAACATATTATTTACTAATAATCATAATCAATTATATGAAACTCTTATATTTTTTATGTCTAGGGACTAAAATAATATAGACATAAATGGAAATTTATGAGGAATTAATTCATAACAAAAACATGAAATTTAATATTTATATGTATTTTTAAGTATTAAAAGTTTATAATTAAAAAACTTCTTTAATAAACAGTTCTGAAATATCTCAAAAATATGATTCATAAAGTAAATAATATAATAAATTTTATGAAAAATGTTTTTATAGATATTTATAAATTTTTTCTATCAATAATGTATTTTTAAATAAAATTTAAATATTTAGTATGTTTCCTCAACAAACTTGATTCCCTTCTCGATATTTTTTGAAAGCTCTGGAAAACAAAGCTCAAGAAGTTCTCTTTCATACAAAGAAATATTTCCAAGTGGATGTATATTATGAACTCCTTTGGGCTAGTTTTTGTTAAAAATTAAATTATAAAAAGATCTCATACCCCAAGTTCAACATTTGTACTAAAAAAATGACAACCTTTGTCTTGGAACAATGGTGACTCTACATATGTTGGTTCAATAATACCTTTTTCTCCAGACATAGCCCGTAAAAGAGAGTCAGTAAAGCGAGATGCACTTGTATCTTAACAAACAATTCCATATTTAATTAAAACTTACGCAAATGCCATTGATAATGTAGCACTACCTGAACCATTTTTTGCTTTAACAACTTCATCTCCAGCGTACTGGATACGATTCGTTAGAAACTTAATTTCTTGATCAGTAAAATTATGCGAAGTCTGTGACAATAATGGAACGATTGTAACGCCCGAGTGCCCACCAACTATATGAACATGTTCATTTTTTGATTCTATATCTTTCATATCCGAAATAAATTGAGATGCACGAACAACATCCAAAGTAGTTACACCAAAAAGCCTTATACAGTTTATGTATTTATAATTTCATGGAAAAAAAATTACCTTTTGGGATCATAAACACCTCTCTTTTTGTATACTTCGGCACAAATGGGTACAGTAGAATTAACTGGATTAGAAATAATAAGAAGATGAGCTTTAGGAGCAACATCTGCAGCTACTTTTGCCAAATCTCGAACAATTGATGCATTTGTAACAAAAAGATCTCAATTTATTTAATTAAATATTCAAATATTGAATGTGATTGTACCATCTCTAGTCATACCAGGTTTTCGAGGAACACCTGCTGGAATAAGAATAATATCCGTATCTTTCAAGGTTTTAATTAATCCATCATCGTCTTCTCCATATCCAACAACCTATTATTTAAGATAAACATGAAAAAAAAAAATCACTAACTTTGCAAGGTGTATTGATATGATTGCAATCTGCCGCAACACCCGGGGCACCACGAATATCATAAAGTGCCAAATGGCCAACTCGAGGATTTGTTTTTAGTAAAAGTGATAATGGTTGACCAATACCACCTGCTGCACCAAGAATAGAAACTTTGGTAGCCTAAAATTTAGATAAATTCATAGAAAAAAACAAAGATCATGCTTTGTTTTGTGTTATCTTACATTATACGTAATAGAGGAAAATCTGCGGGAATAAAAGGCAGAGATAAAAATAGACCAAGTTTTAAACATTTGTCGTCTTAATTCTAGGATTAGAAATGATCTTAAAAAATACGTAAAAATTAAGATAATTATTTATTAAATAATACAATTAAGAATAAAAATTTTAAACATTCTTATTTATTATGTATAAATGCTCAAATTTTTAAATTTTTTTTATAATAAATTAGATTTTAACTAAGACTAAAAAATTTAATATTCATTAAAAATCTTTTAATTTATTTAAAATTAGTTTTTTAATAACACATAAAATAGTTTGTATTAATTTCATATATTATCTATGTAAAACTAAGATAAAATAAGTAAAAAGAATAGTAAAGTAGAAGTTTAATAGTAAAAGCTTTATAATTAAATATATTTAAAGTACAAATAAATGTATTTAATTATAATAATATAAATTAATTGGAAAATAATAACTTAAGTCTGATAAATCTATTTTAATTATAGTAAAATTTAAAAATGTACATAAATATATATTTTTAGCTAGTTATACTTTGAAATCTTTTCGGGAATATAAGATATTTGATATCAAAACCAAGCTTTGTAATTTAAACGATTTTCAATGATAAAACATCTTAAATAAAAAATGTAAAAATAAAAAATAGAAGATAATTTTCTTGATAACCCCAGAAACGATATTATAAATACAGATAACTAAATATTAATAATATTAACAAATATCGAAGATAAGTTAGTTTTTTCGTTGTATATTTAACAAATCTCTAAAGACTCATATAATAATATTTATTATTAAAGGTATTTTTATTTTTTTGTTGGTTATCTATAAGATCTATTAATAAATGAACTTTCCGACTTTTAAATTCATTCAATATATATTTAATTATACATGAATATTCAAAATATATAAATCTTTTAAAAACATTAAAAATTTAATGTTAAAGAATGTATTTTTTATTATAAATGTAATTTTTATTATAAATATATATCACGTTTTTAAAATATTTTAAAAAATAAAAATATATTAAATATTATAAATATGCAAACTTTTATATTAAAAAATAATTTTTTTGGTATTTTTGTATTTTATAATCAATTGTTTGTACTAAAATGTTTTATATAAATAAAATTGAAAAAAATGTTAAATGAAAGATTCTTTTAAAAGAATATATTTTTAGTGGAATTTTATCAAATTATATTTAGTCTTACATGATTTCGATTCTTATAAAATGCTTAAAGAATATCATATAAACAAATATAAATATATAATAGAAATTGTATAAAAATACGTTATAAGAGAAATAGATAAATTATATAAACGAAAAAAATAACTATTAAAAAAATTAAGTAGATCACAAAATTTCCAAACATATATTTTTTTTTATATACTAAATTATTTAATAGATTATATTTCATAATTATCTATTAATATCAAAAATAAAAATAATAAAATTTAGATATTTAATTGAAAAGATATGTAAGATTAATATCAATAGTATTCTTATCGTATTTAATATACTTTTAGAAGAAATAAATTAAAAGTGTATATTATATATATTTATACTTACTTTCTCTTGATGTTTAGAAAAATCGCTATTGAAGTATCTTTAATAAATTAATTATAAATTGCAAAAAAAGGAAAAAGATACTTATCGTAAAATCGCGTATAAAGAGGAACAACAATGCGTTTTACTTCTCCAACTAGAGTAGATTTAAGCTCTATATCATTAATGACAGCCATTTTATTTAATTTCAAAAGTTCATCAAACTCGTTATTAAAGTTCTGAAAGAAAAAATTAAAACAACTTTTTTATATTTAAAAAAAACCTTAAATTTCTCTTTTATAGCATCACGTTCTTTAGAACCAAGTGTTAATTTTATAGAATTTGCAATTCCACCTCTAACATATGTAACATCTAACAAATTTTCTGCACATCCTTTCCATCTAAACAAATTATGATTCGTATAAAATTCAACAAAAACCTACGTTTCTAGATATTCGTCTATATATCTATTTTTTATTTTTGCTATTTTTTCAAAAATATTTAAAGATATAGCACTTGAAAGATTTGTATTTTTAATATTTTTTTCAATATAAGATAAATTATTCAAAAGAAAAAGTGATAAATGGGAATTTTTCTTTAAAAGAATTCTCGCCTTTTGCTCTATCTGAGAGTATAAAATATCAACTACTTCAGAGAAAAAATTCCTATAAACAATTTTTTTATCCGTATTTGAATTAAATGTTTTTTTATTATCTGTAAACAAAAAACTATTCCATTCTTCATTTTTCATAGACATAATTAGATAGGTAACAGTTTCTTCATAATCGTTTATATAAAGTAGACGAGAAATAGACTATATTTGTGAAGATAATATAAAAATAAAGTAATGATTACCTCAATTGTAATTTCCGAAACATTACCATCTGTAGGCATTGAACTTATTGAGGAAATCCTCTTTCGGATTCTTTCAATTATGTCACTCAAGGAATAGATTCCAGTATTTTCCATCATTTTCATACTTTTATTTAATTCATTAATTACTGGTCCTTCGTTACCATATGAATCAATAAATCTCATAATTTTTGAAATTTCTTCAATAATTTCATAAGAAAGTGCAAAATCTGTAGACATATTTTGATGAATATGCTGATTAAGTTTTTGTACTGTATCACAATATGTAACAATAGCAGGATAAATTAATATCAATAAAACATTCTGATAATTCTTGGGAAAAACATCTCGAATAATTAAAGATTCAGACTTTTAAAATAAGAAACGCTAAACTAAAGAATATGTATACATACTTTAAACATCCCTAATAATGCTTGGGTATATATAATAATTCCATTGCTATTTCTTTCGTACATATTATTTCCTCTTTTAAGAGCCGTACTTAAAGAACCTTTTGATAGCAGTTTTAAAGATTCTGACAAATATTCTGCTCGTATTTCATGATAAATTTTCTCTATTTCCTTTATAGATTCCGGGAAACCAGTAGAATAAAAAAATGACGATAAAAGCACAATATTTGAAAGCGAATCCTTCGGAATAACAGGAAATTCCAAATCTGCCTTCAGTCAGAAGAAATATATCTAATATTTGAAATACTTTTAGTTGTATAATATAATGGTTCAAGAGGAACCGAATGATCCAATAAGATTTTTTGAAATATTTCATATAATTGCAAACATCCTCCTTTCCATATTTGTGTCTAATAGCTAATTAGAAGATAAACATAAATATTTGGTGTACCAATTTAAGTATTGATTTCTCTGAACTCCGAAAATTTGATACGCGAAGAATAACAAGACTATTTTTAACTTTTTTTAATGTATTAAGAAAAAATGTTAAATCTCCATCTGGTCTATTAACATTTAACAATGACTAGATAGGAAGAACTTTAAAAACCCTCTTTTAATAATTTCTTCTGCTTCTGGAATAATGCTAAAGTATTTTCTTGTTCTATCTATTGCCACAATAGTTTCTTGAATATCTACAGAAAAATGTTATTTTAATATCAAAATATAAAAACAAGAAGTTTTCTACTTTCAGATGTCTTAATCAAAGACCTTGTTGTCTTATAAATCGGTTTAAATGTATGCTCAACTTTCTCGAGGCGATAATTTAGTGTAGAAAAAATTGTCGAAATCTTATCTGTTAGTTCATTTGTTTTTCTCAACGTTTCATCTAAAACTCCAAGATCAGCCTTGTCATCGTCAATATCAAGCCATATCGACGTTGAATTTAACATAGTGCTGACTAGACGCTTTTTTGGTTTGCTTCGTCGTTACTGAAGATTATCAAAAAAGCTTAATGTTAATATATTTTGGCTTTATATATAAGACCAAAATTAAATATTATTTCAAATGTCTTAATGGAAAATATTTATTAAAAATGAACGAAAGATATTTTTATAGCAAAATTAAATATTTTATTAATATAATAAATTTTATTAAATATAGATTATAAATTGTGCAAACTTTTCCCTAGTTATAATTTAAGCGTTTATAATATCATCTAATAAATATAATATGCTAAAAAATTAATAGACTTAATATTTTTTAGTATAGAAAACATGTTATTCATCTAATGGACATGCTTCAATGTTCCATATCCCTTCTGCGTATTCTTGAATTGTACGATCACTAAAAATATCATAAATAAAATAAATTAGATGAATAAATCTTACGAGGAAAAGAAACCCATATTTGCAACCGAAACAATAGTCTTATATACCCATAAATCTTTATTTTTATATGTTTCATCTATAAGTTCGTGTGCGTTAAGATCTAAAATCTATAAGAGATTATAAAATTAAAAAAATCTTACATGATTGAAAATCGTCCTGAAAAAACATTAGTTTAAGAGTATTTAAAAAAAGGTCAAAATACACTTATAAGATAATAATCATGTCCATAAGTCAATGCATTTATAAGAGGAGTAAATAAACTTGGTTCACCAAAAGTCCCACTATAATGAATAATAAATATCATTATAATAATCATTAAAAGTACAAACCTTTCTATTGCATCACAAACCTTTCTTAATTCTGGATCCATAGGAACATTTTCATGTACATGCTTATGGCGTAAATTATTCACATTTTCACTTAAATTTCCAAATAAAAAAATATTTTCTTCTCCAATTTCACGAGTAATTTCAATATCTAAATTATATAAACATATATACATATATATAATAAATGGTGCATACTAGAACCGTCAACAGTCCCAATAATAAGGCCTCCATTTAATGCAAATTTCATATTACTAAAATATTAAATATAGACAAATAGAATATAAAATTTACCTTGTACCACTAGCTTCAGTTCCAGCAGTAGATATATGTTCTGAAATATCACTTGCAGGAATAATAATTTCTGCTTTACTGACATTCTAAATAGCTGTAAGATTGAAAATTTTAAACAAAATATCTACATAATCTTCAATAAAATGAACTTTAAAAATATCTCCGATATCTTCATCATTGTTAACAACATCCGCTACAAAATTGATTAATTTTATCACGCATTTAGCCATAAAATAACCAGGAGCAGCTTTTCCTAAATAATATCAATTATAAATAAAAAAACAAAAGCTCGAACCTCCAAAAATAGAAACTCTAGGAACTTGTCTCAAAATTTCTTCTTTGGACATAGCTTTTAACTTCAAATATCGATGAATTACACCGAAAATATTCAAAGTTTGCCTTTTGTACTAAACTTTATTAATTTATGAGTTAGCAGTAAAACACATTTAACCTCATGAATACGCCTTAAATATCAGCATATACAAAAAAAAAAGAAAAACATACTTCACTTGAATATCAAATAATGATTCTATATTTATTTTTAATCCCTTAGTTTTCTCGATATATTTTGCTAATCTAGCTTTATTAAAAAGCTTTACTTCTCTCCACTGAATACTGTTAATAAATAAATAATTATTATCGATAACAAACTTCTCTTTGAAATTCTTTATCATGCGCATATTTCTCTAATTCTTTAAGTTTAGACAAATTAGTTAAAAAATCATATCCTCCAAGTTTTTTTGAAATTAAATTAGACAAACTAGGATTAGCTTGAAGTAACCATCGACGCGGAGTAACACCATTAGTAATATTAACAAATTTATCTGGTCCAAATATCTTAACAAAATCCTTGAAAATAGCTTAATTATAATTAGTCTGGTTTTATTTGTTATTTTTATTAATACTTGTTTTTATAAGATTGCTATGCAATTTTGCTACACCATTGACTTTAGATGACCCAATAATGGCAAGAAAGGCCATGCGAATATATTTAGGAGATGATTCTTCAACGATAGATACACGTGATAAAAGTTCTCGGTCCTAATTTTATATGAAATAAAGCAATATAGTTTAAAATAAGTACTTTAGGGAATTTTTTTTCAACTGATTGTAAAAAGAAAAGATTTATGTCATAAATAATCTGCATATGCCGTGGAAGTAATGTTTGAAACATAGGAATTGGCCATTTTTCGAAAGCTTCCTAAATAATAAATATTATTCTTAAAACAAATTCATCTTACTGGAAGAACAGTGTGGTTTGTATAACTAAAAAAATTAATAAGTTAATAAAATCTAAAAAAAAACAACCCAAATGTTTTTAAAACAATACTCCATGCTTGATCCCATTCAAGAAGTTCTAAATCGACAAGAATCCGTTGAAGCTCAACAATAGCTAATGCAGGATGTGTATCATTTAATTGAATAAATACTTGTTCTGAAAATTTGCACCAGGGTTTTCCGGACTTTTTAAAACGTCTTATAATATCATGCAAACTTGCACAGACCCAAAAATATTGTTGTTTAAGACGAAGCTCTTTGCCCTGATAAACATTTTCATTTGGATATAAAACAGCTGATAATGTTTCAGCACGCTATATAATTTTAAATTAACATATAAATATATATTTACAAACCTGCTGTTCTCTAACTGAACTTTCATAATCGCCTGCATTAAATTTGCTAAAATCAAATTCGCTCATTGGTCGACTAGACCATAATCTAAGATTATTTGTATTATTTGTTCCATAACCTTTAAAATTAATATAGTATATAATAGAAATATTTTAAAAAATACCAGGAATAGGAACATCTGAAGCAACAGCTAAAACCTGTTCGCCGTCTTGCCATGAATATCGTGTTCTTCCTTCCTCATCACTATCATTTATAAGAAAAAAATTAGGATAAAAAATAAAATTACATGTATTTTCTGACATAACCATAAAATCTAACAGGGATCCTAACATCATGTCTAAGCATTTCCCAAGGATTATCAAATTGAAGCCAATAATCGGGTTGTTCAATTTGATATCCATCGACAATTTGTTGTTTAAAAATTCCTAGCTTAATTAAAAAAAAATATAAATATCAACACGAACCATATTGATATCTAAGACCTTAAAATGTTAGATAATTAGTCATTTAGGATAAAAGTAAAACATTACCATAACCCCATGCTGGTAAATTTAACGAACTTAATGAGTCTAAGAAACAAGCAGCTAATCTTCCTATTTATAAAAATTAATATATATTAATATACATTTAATAAATATATTTTATACCAAGACCACCATTTCCAAGGGCAGCATCTGTTTCTGCATCAATAATATCCTCGATATTGAATCCGAGCTCGCTAATTCCCTCTTTCAAAAATTAGACCAAAATAAATATTATACGAGCGTAAAAAACCCTTTATCATATCTTTTATTCCAAGATTAAGCATAGAATTATCTAAAGTTCTTCCCATAAGAAATTCTATGCTCAAGTCTATAGCAATTTAACAATAACAAAAAACACAGATTATTTTAAGTACAATAAACCCGTTTAGGATCTGTTCAAATTAAATCATACAATTTAAAAACTTATTAAAAAATACTTTCTAATGTTAACGTTTGTTGTGTTTTATTCCACCGTGTAATAAGTCTATCACGAACAGAATATGCTGTTGCTCGATATGCTGCCCTATAAAACTAAATATTCCATTCATTAAGATCACAATCAATTATTACGCATCATCACAATTATACATTGACCTAGATATTATCAATCAATATAAACAAAATATCAAATAAAATAACCTAGCAAGTGTTGTTTCTACATAGCGAACAAAATCTCTTTCAAATGCATCCTTTGTATTTAAATTTCTCTCAGTACAAGTTTCCCATACATTTCTTTGACTTTCAGGGATTTGCTCTTGAAGAAATTTAATCTGCTCTCTACCAAGTCCTAAACAATTAAAACTTCTATTCCTATTTAAAATATAGAGAAACCTGTATGCGTTCTCTTGTGACGAACCATTATTCTAGTTCTATCATCTTCTGATGCTAATTGAGAATCTATTGATGACATGAAAGAGTCTTTAAGAATTTTTAAGGAGGGTTGAATTTTAATCGTTCTCGATCAATTGTTTTTCAATTAAAAATTGTTTGAAAATTAAATAAAAATCAAAAAAAAAGATTATTCAAATATGAATATTTAATTAATATATATTAAGATATAATTGATTTAAGATCAAAACCTTTTTATTTATATAATACAATGCAAATGAATAGATAATATTAAAACTAAATTATTATGTATAAAGTGGTTTATATTTTATAAACCAATCGAACAAAATATTTCAATAGATAAAATATTAAATATATTTTAAATAAAAATTTATTTTTTAACAGAATATACATTTCTATAAATTATATTAAATGGAATGTATAGAAATGTATGATTTCAATTCTTTATAAATACAAATATTATACCAAGAGATTAATAAAAGAACAAAATACTTAGGAAAAAATTATTTGAAAATATTATAATTAAAAAACCATTAAAACTACATTTAATATAAAGTATAAACAAATCTCATTAATTTTTATACTATTTTTAAGTATAAAATTTAATAAATTATTTTATTCAGCAATTCAAAAACCATTTAAAATAATTTAAAAAAATTTCATATTTTTTATAAATATATCTATAATCAACCATAATCTAATCGTATATTTCAAAACTCATATTTATCACAGTAATTCTTCTATTCATTATATCTTTTGCATTACATAGATAATATATATCTTTTATTTTACCGATCTCAATTTAATACAAAAAACATTATCCATACTTTTTTAATCACAAATAGAATCTATAAAAATATAGTTTTATATTTATTTATAATTTATGTATAAATCTTAAGATTCTTTTTTCGGTATATTTTCTTTAAAATTCATTTCGACAATCTCACCACATTTAAAAAGCATAAAGGATTATAAAATAACAATGGATAATCCTTCAAAAGGAAAACAATCAGTACTTTACATAATTTGTGTGGGATTGTAAGTGATATTATACATATATTTGAAAAGTAAATAACTGATTAATTTAGTCATCATGCAAGAGGACCAGAAATAGAGTATTGTTATCCGGAATTACAAGAAATCCCATCAACATGGTCTCTCCTTCCATTTATGGCACTTCCTGATGGAGTACATTTGGTATAGATACTTAAATTATTTATAAAACTTATTTAAATATACTAATTATTTTAAGAACGAAGAAGATTTTTCGTATTTTTGCATTAAAAATGACCAAAAAAACACATCGACTAATAACAATAATCATATTCTATTAACAATTTATGGAATATCGTGTACAAGACAGTTGCTTTCTTCTGAACTTATTAATAAACCTGTCGATGTGACTCGTTCGACCATACAAAAATCTATTGTTGTACTTGTATCAAAACCTGTTTTTGGGCATATTAAGGAAAAATTAAGAGCAGTAACGCAGGCGTATTTTTCTCAACGTAATTTTGAAGATAGAAATATTCTTATACATTTATATAATAGTCTTGTACAAATATTCCATGATGAAATCAATGGTTACGATATTTATCTTGGTATACCTCTTCGTGAACTTTTATATCAATTTCGTTGGAAGACTCTTGTAATATTGAAGGCTATGCTTCTGGAGAAAAGAATACTTTTCTACGGCACACGTTCAGAAACGCTTTGTATGATACAATACTCTCTCTTGTCACTTATTCCTGAGTTATTGGAAAATCTCCAGGATGCAAGTGATCCATTATTAAATACTGTCGAAAATCAATTGACAAAGCCTACATCTTTATCCACAAGTAACCATAAGTCATTGCTTTCATATATGGGTATGCCATTTCAAATTTTTGCTAAGGGTTCTTTTTTTGGTCCTTATACACCTCTTCAACAAATAAAAATGCTTGATAATAAAACTACAAAATCATATATTATTGGGAGTACAAATAGTTTGTTTTTACAAATGAAAAAAAAATACGCAGATCTTGTTGTTAATATTGATACAGGAGAAGTGGACATCCTTCAACCATTATTGAAGAATGTATTATCATTAAGTTTTTCGGATAGAAAATGGATTAACAATATTATTATGTCTGTAATAGATTCATGGGATGAATCAGATACGAGTAGACCCAAAACAATGGGCTTTTTGAATAGCGAAGAACATTTACGAGCGCAATTTGAGGAATACTTTTTGGCTCTTGCTGCTACTGTAAAATACGATAATTATTTAGCTAAAATTAAGAATTCTCCAGATTTTAATATTACATCATTAGATACATGTATGCATATATTAATTTGTCGTTTTATATTAATTTTATAAGATGAAAATATAATTCGAGAATTTGGTCAATGTTGGATTGAACAATGGAAATTTACTGAAAATTATCGGTTATGGAACAAATACACAGATGATGAACTGTTTAATATAATTTACCCCAGACATCCTGTTATTAATCGTAGAATTTCATTAGAAGATGTACAACATAAAATTTCAAAGTATCTATCAATATTCATATTAAATAATAACGCTGATAATTTCTAAAAGGCAAGTACAAGAATTAAAATTGAATGAAAGAGCTGCAATAGCTAAAGAAACAATAAATAGAAGTTGGAATAATGGAAGTCAAAAAATATCTCAAGTAGTAGGATCACTATTAGATCAAATGGAATCATATAGAACAGAACGATGGAAACGCTATCAAGAAAATCATAATCAATATATTACATCTGTTTCCTTAATTGGTTCTGAATTATGTAAATTAATCAATTTTGAAATAAATAATTTACCGTTTATAGCTTCGCATTTTGGAGATATGCAAAATAAAGCAGGAAATTATGTATCTATCTTTACTGATTGGGCTTCCAATAAAAAAAGAACAATTAAACATAATTAAATATATATCATCAAAAACTTTTTGGAAAATTCAATCTTTTATTTAATACATATTTTCAGGAATCTATAGATCAATTAGATATTTATAGCAATTTTCATTTACATTTATTTAATAATATTTCTTTTCATTTTTGTACAGCTACATATTTGTAAAATATAAGATTTTATTCAACTAAATTATATTTTTCGATGCTTTTAGATTATTGAAAATGATAAAACTAATAAACAGTTAGGATCTTTAGAAAATAAACTTCATAATGGAACATGAAACAAAAAGTTTTGATGAGAAAGAAGAATATAAAAAACTTTTTAAAATTCGTGATGAAATATTTATGAATATGCAAGCAACCATGCAATCATCTGGAATGGAGTTTTTTAATTCAAATATGAAGATTAAGCCTCCTTTAATAAAATCAAAATCGTTAGGGCCCCAAAGATATCCTCAAACCTTATCAAAGACATTTTTGAAGTATAAACAATTACCAAGTCCTTCTGCAGATGTTTCTTTAGAAGATGATAGAAGCAGACTTGAACGAATGCTTCGTGCAAGGATTGAGAAGAGGAAAGCAGATGCTAAGTTATTAATGGAGCAAGGACCATCTAAAAAGCATATTGAACAAAAAACATTTTCAAGTCAAATTCATTATAAAAAAAATATAAAAACATGGGATGAGATAAAACAAAACAAAGAAGCATCTAATTGCGATATGATTTTTTCTCCTTCAGATATTCAGAAGGATTCATCTCCTGACCTTAAACATACTCAGAAATTATCGGTATCTAAATCTTTTGCTTACCATAACGAAGAATCAAAATATAATGAAACATACAATGAAAATAATGAACAGGCCATTGACTTTTCTTCATCCTCTATGGCTATTCCAGGATTAAGAGTTTCTGCCCATATTTGTGAAGAAAATATAGGAAAATCTACAATGCCTACAATAACACAAAATGTAAAAGAAAATACACGCAATAATAAAGGTAATTGATATAAAAATGTGCATGAATACTGATTATTTATAGTTATATCGGGTAACTCATCTATCAAATCTCCCAGTTTATCTTTAGAATCTAAATTAACATCTCATGATTTTCAAACATATGAGTCAAACATACAAAACACATCAAGATCATCTTCTTTTGAATATAAACCACGATCGCCGACTTCTCGTCCTCATTTATCTCTTCTATCATCCCCTAAAGTAGCAGAAAATATTGATGAATCAGAAAAATTAACAGAAACTAAATCTGTTTCAGAATCAAAATTACATTATTCTCATATAACTAAAGAAAATTCGAAGATTGAAGATGAAGCGAAAAATTTAAAGGAAAACAAAAGGATAGATTGTTATACAGAACAAGGCGATACATCCAACTCAACTAAACAACATCCTTATGAACCTTACAAACAAATAACCTCTCCAAGGCCAATGCATTGGAAACGTGATTTTTATCCATATTATCAAAGACGATCTACACCTACATGGCATGGTCCACAAAATTATTCAGGCCATTTTCTGCCGAGAGATGACCCATCCACATATTATCAGGATAGATCATATTTTTCTGCACATCCTCCACCATCAATTGGATTACATAATCTTTACACTGGTCCGTATGACTATGATCCATATTATATCTCGGAATTCCCACCAATAAGGCCATCTTTATCACCACGAATGACTCATCTTTATCCATCACATTCAATTCATTTTCCACATGCTTCACCGTTTCATCAATCTCCATCTTTGCATAGATACGCTCATGATAAATATTTCACACCCGCATATCTACCTCATCCATATTTACTGCATCATTCGCCTCGATATGATGATTCAATGACTTTTTCTCACGATTCTGGTCATTTTTATCAACCTTCACGAAACACTTGCGAATGGGAAAATCTACGAAACTGTGATTTATCTATAGAACATTCTACATCTTATCCATTGAGTTTTAGGGAACAATATGAAACAATATTACCCTATGAAACATATCTACATACTGAGCAATCTAGTCTAGATACAAAACATTCTATCAATGATAGAAACAACGAATCAACTAATTGGAACCGTGTTCGTTGATTCAATTGGAACTACATACTTCAATACTTTTTTCAATTTATACATAAATTTATAAATATTGATATTAATCCCGAAAAATTGCACCACATGCAGTTTTATTAAAAAATAAATAAAAAAGACAAATAAAAATATTCAACTTATTTATGTCATTATTTATCTTGACATTTTTCGAATTTTCTCGGCACCCTTCTCGAACCGTCCAGTGTGCGCGGTTTCTCGATGCAACGAGATTAACCATAATTTTTTTGCATAGAGAAGAATTCTCTGGATCACAACAACACGTCTCTTAACCTGAGGATGACAGAGCGTGTTAGGCATGTACCGCAGAAGATTCACTTAGCCTTTGCTTTGCCGCCTTCATTTCCAGCAACTCCTAATTTAGAGAAGTGTTATTATTCTTTTTCGCGGCATTCTCTTAATCTTTATCCTGCGGCGGGTCTTTCACCAAATACTAACTATCATAATCATGATCCATATGTTCTTCGGATGGCACAACACTGTTGGGAAGCATCTGGTATGGTAGAAGCGGTTCACGCGGTCCAGTCATTACCACCTCTGTCTGTCCTAGATGAAGAAGATGCTGCATTTGTGCAGATTTTTCTTTCAGGTGAAAGTAATCATGTTGCTGAGACCAGAGAGAAGATATTTTCGGAATGTTTACCTCAGGTAAAATAATGTGTTTTTTTTTTTAAAATAAACATAAATTAACATGTTTATTTTAGCGACAAGCTTGTATTGCTGTCTCGAGATACCTTTTATTAAGTGAAGAAGGCGTTATAGATCCTCAGCTATCTACAAGATTTGATGAAATTGCTTTGGATACTGGAACAAGCATTTATATTTTAAAATCAGACGTATCATTATTAACAATGCATACGCTAATCTCGTCTAAAACAGAAACCAACTTAGGAGGGATCTCAATAACACTCCCGATTTATAAAAAAATTATGCTGCCGGATGATGTAACTCTTTCTGTATTGGTTTCGGGAGACGTAGCATCATTAGAATATGCGTTAGTTAAAATATTCGTACATTTGGATATGTTGGTGCGTATATAAAAAAATAATTAAGTGTTGTATGATTGATTTATTTTAAGATGGGGATGCAAGTAAAAAAACTTGAAATTAATCCTCGATTTCATCCATTAATCTGTGGACGAAAACGTTCAAATCTTAAAAATATTATGGAAGAGACTTTTACGAATATTTATATGCCTATGCCATTCGCAAATGTCTTAAGTATTAGACGACATCTTCCTCCACTTGTGTCCGATGAGATTTATGTTACAGGACAAAGGGAAAACATTATTAACGCTGAAAAAAGAATATATGCAGCGGTATATTTATTTATTTATTTTCAAAGAGATTTATCGGGCTTTTAGTATCAATCCTTTACTCTTATATCAAAGACAATTGTTATCGTGGCATCTAAAAAAGATTGGTTGCTTATCAAAAAACTGGATGATATAAAGAATATCATGGATAATAATGGTTACTCTTCTTAATCAGTGTTTTATAATATATTCATGATACTAGTTTCTTATATCAAATTTCCAATGCTTGGATCACAAAATATTGAAATAGATGTTTTTTCTACGCATGATCATCTTATTGACAATACAATTGATTCATTTATTAGTTTGGTTAGTTTTTTTGGTGGTATAGCTGTTTCTAAATAAACTATAGCTGTCCGATTATTATAATGCTACTTATTGGATATTTCCCCGTTCTAATCAGCAAAACTACGAATTATTATTTACTGATTTGGAGATTCAAAAAATACTTTTGGAAATTACTAAAAAACATCCTGTAGAAATAATATATAAACATGGTTGTTTCGAAATTGCAGGCATGAAAGACGAAATTAAAAAAGTCGTTAGAAGTATTTCAAAAATTCCTAATGTACAGGTAAGCCTTTACACAATATAATGCGTATAACTAATATATAATATTAGAACCGACCACAACAAATACGTTTTACAGTGGAATTTTCTAGCAAGTATCATGAATTCATTCAGGGTAAAAAAGAAGGGAAGATTAATGCTATTAGAAAGCATGTTGGTGTTATTGTAGAATTGCATACTTTTTCTAATAGGAGCTTTTATATTGATATCATTGCGGAAAATCTTGAGCAAGCAATGCATTGTCTTAGTATGCTTGAAGATGAATTCCCTACAGAAATTACGTTTTATATTCCTGAAGAATATCATAGACGAATGATCGGTATTCGTGGTAACACTATCCAATCTGTTATGCGACAATATGGTGTTTTTGTCAAATTCTCAAATACCAGTGCTCTTGCTGCACCAGGACATCATAATTATCCAGATGACAATGTTTTGGTTAGATGTCCAGCAAAAAACGCAGCAAATCTTATCGAACTTAAAGAGACTCTGATGAATATGGCAAATTATAAAGCAAGTTATATTTAATTGCTTTGAGCGATGCTAATATAAAATAGGACAAAGATTCTATTTCTGAGAACATTTATGTTCCTTGCGTTTATCATAAAATGCTCAAAAATAGAAGTAACAAAATTATTCACAACGTTGAACAGAGTACAAATTGTGTAATACGCTTTCCAAACAATGAGCTTCATAAAGATTATATTACTGTTATTGGATCTGAAGCTCAAGTTCCTAGAGCTATTGACATGATTATGGCAAATGCCCGTTCCCGTACTTATAAATATGCTAATTATTATTAGAAAAGTATTATTGATGAATATAAATTTTGTATAGTATCTAGTAAGGCTTTGGATAACATAATCGAATCTAAAGAATATAAGTTTTGGGTTGTAGAATATATTCGTAAGAAATATTGCATTGAGGTTACATCTTTTCCTAATAATGTAAATACAAATGCATATCCGAATGTCAGGTATCATGTGTTTCGGTTGTCATTTCCTAAAAGTCAATTGTCATATCTTGATTTAGCTATTAATGTAATATTTCGGTATTTCATGCAACATCGCATTCCATTGCATCTGAGTTTTAAAGAAGACGCGGGACAAGTATCGCGTTTAAAAGCATATGATTCATTTTCGCATTTTAATTCTATGCTTTTTCCACCTGTTTCTGCTTCAACAGGGAAGTTTTGGGAATTTTGATGTTGGATTATATATTACTTTTTTGTTTTAGTTTTTAAATCTACTTACAAATCTTAAATATTTCAATATTTATAATGTTAATAGATATTTATTAAAGACAGACATTTCTTTCTTTTCGAAATCTATTAATTAAAAAAATATAAAAATACATTTCTTTACTGTTTATATCTTAAGAATATAGAAACATTTATATGATAATTTTTTTACTATTATTTATTTTGTAATCTTTAAATATAAAGGAGAATACTCTATAAAAATCTTGTATTTCTTTCAAGTGCAAAATATATGTTTAATTTTTATTACACTTCGGATTATATAAAAAATTCGGTTTCTAATATATATTTAAAACAACTTTTTAAAATTGAAGTAAAAAAATTAAAAAAAAATCAATAATTTAATAGACTTATAAGAATAGAAACGCGAATTGACGCGAGTTAGGTTCATTTGATACAACTAAGAGAATCTTTATACAGAGATAGAGGAAATATTAAAAAGTTATATATGAAGAGGCTATTAAAATAAATCATAAATAGTAGGATTTTTCAACAAAACATTGTAATAGAATATGGTTTCTTTAGAAACAAATTTCATAGATGTTTCTGGCTATCAATCACTTGATCAAGATTCTAAAATTTTGGATCCTAGTTGTAATGGATGTAATTTGGTATATAAACGCGACTAGATTTTATAAAAAGAATCTTAACTACTATAGATAATTGAGGAAGGGTCAGTTGTAGCATTTGGAGGGTATATTTGGCATGTTAATTGGTAAGGAGTTAGGTATTCAGTGAAATATTAACATATTTAGTTTTCGTTGTATGAAATGTAATGCACAAGTAAATCATGATTCAAGTCTTTTTTTTCTATATGATAGGAATCCAATCTGTGAAAAATGTTCATGTAGTTCTAGTATATCTAATAAACATAGCGATGATTTTGCAATTACAACAGGTTTAGCATCATTAGAAATACTGTATTTCTATATTTATATAAATCTAGAAAGCGAAAGCTATCATTCTGAATATTTTCAGTGTAATATATGCGGGAAAAAGATTGAGGAATTCGTATTTGCCAAAACTAATCAAAGAATTTATTGTATTTCTTGTTATAATAATAAAGTTACGCAAAATAAAAAAAATGAAAGAGACATAGAATTATCTGTTCCTTCGCTATCTTTCAATAAATCTCTTCCTTCTATTCCTAGCACTTCTACTCTAAGCCGGCTTAATTCACAAACATCTATGGTAATTTTTTTCTTAAATAATTTTTATTTAGTAATATTCCAGGGTTCTGAAGTTACTGTCAATGATAAGCCAGTAGAGAAACCATATATAGATCTTTTTCTTAATATAGGTGATTGTTTTAAATATATTTATAAATTGTTTATGATTTTCTTAGAACAAACAGAACTTTTAAATTTCAATAAAGTCTTTTCTGAATTTAAAAACAAAGAAGAACTGAATCCTAAAAGGAATTCAAAAAGGCATTCATTTATTTGGCCACCTTTTGCACCTCTAGATTTTTTTTTGGATATCTCCCAAACTAGTATAAATTTAGAAACTAAGCATATTCCTAATACAGACGAAATTAAAAATAATACTACTACAATTTCTTCTGATACTTCTCTTTCACTATCAAATCATAGAAGTTCTATAGAATTGCCGAATTTTCAAGAATCATTAAAAACAAAAAGTGTTCAGGAAATTGCCAAGCATACTGACGAAGAACATATCAAAGGAATATTAAAGGAATTTTCTAAAACAAAAAAATATGATAAAAATATTAGTATTAAAGAAGAGGATATCGAAGAACAAAAACTAATTTCTCAAAAAAAGAAGAGTATTTCCGGCACCTCGTTGACAGAGAATAATAGAAATCATTATTCTACTTCCATAGGAGACGTTTTCCAAAATACACAATCTGATTCTAAGCAAGATATGCCTTCCGACTTTTCTTTTAAATCAGATTTTCTACATGATCTTGATATAAGAATACAAACACAAAACATCAATTCTAATTCTTCGTCTATTACAAATGAGACAAATAAATTTGAAGATTTCAGCTTTGAATCATATAATAAAAATAATCCAAAAAATCAGGATTTTGTTACTTTGCCTAAACAAGATCGTAATTATGATAATCAATCTGAAACTCCATCAAATCATTCTAATGTAACATCAACATCTCCATTTAGTAGCAATCTAGAATCATCAAAATCTTTTATTAAACATTCTGTATTAGAGGAGACCAATATCAATCCATTAACTTTCGAGATTTCTAATATATCTTCAAAGGATTCGAATGCAATTTATTCAAAATTTCACTCATTTCAAAAAAATACTTATGATTACCAGAACAATTATGTTAAAGACCAAAATACACAAAAACATCATTTTAATCAATCATATTCAAAAATATTAAATGCTATACGCCATAGAAGAAGTGCTAGTGAATCTAAAAAAAAGACATCAAAGTATAATATTTTCTCTAAATCTCGAGTTCATGAATTTCAACAGCTATCACCATATATAAATTTAAATAATTTGAATGAGACTCTGAATAATTATGAAGATGGTTCACAGGAAACTATAAATTTATCTCAATTAAAGGAATCAAAAGTGAAAGTCGTATGTATTTTAATATTTTAATATTTAATTTACATTTTTTTTAGATAAATAATGAATCTATCATGTTAGATAGAGATATATTAAAAAAAAAAGCATTACTTGCAGAACTCGATGCAAAATGTGAAATTACTCTTCGAGAACTAAAAATTTTTGAAAACGAACAATTAATTAATCAAAACAGGTATAAAATTGCCTAAAAGAACAATTTGAAGCTAATTATAGCAAGGGTCTTATCTAGAGATGATATTTTTAATGGTTCTATTGTTTCAAAATTGTTGATATCGTTAACAAGTCTTAAAAATAAATTTCAATCAGATATAGAAACACTTATTTTGCAGAGGAATGCTTTATATAAGAAAAATACAGAACTCTTAAATATAAAAAATAAAATAACCCAGGAAATTCATCAATTAAGTTTCAAAAAATCAGAATTAAAAGATTTAAATGATAAACTAACACAAAAAATTCAAGAACAATTTCGAGCTCATAAGAATTCCACATATATTTCTCCACAAGCAGACATTGTGTTTGACAATCAGAATACAAAACCATTACCTCCAATAATTACATCTGTGCCGAAATCGAATAATGATAATTTTGATTTAATTTCACCTACAGAAAGTGTTTCTACACCAATTAGTGAGAAAACTAAATTAGAATATACTGAATCCAGTGATGATAATTCATCTTCAAAAGCACATGATAAAAATGATACTCGCGTCTTAGGATCCAAAATATCTTCATGGAAGAAAAACAGCTCGTTAGCTAGAAATCTTGTTAAAGGATTTAATAAAATTCGTTCATCTGAAAGTGATACACATAATGGATGCAAAGATGCTAATCTTTCAACCAATTTAACCAATCTTACATTAAAAAAATCGTTATCTAATAATTTGAGGCATACATTTTCTACATATACATTTCTTCGAATTACTAGATGTGATTATTGTGGAAATAAACTTTGGGGTAATGAAATGCGATGTTTAGGTATAAAGTTTGAATAATAATATCTATAATTTTAATATATTAGGATGCGGGATACCTTGCCATATTAAATGTATTGGTGATATTACTACTAATTGTAATAGAAGTATGGAATATTTACCATATCATGAAAATGTTTCGTTATATGTATCAAGTTCAGTGAATTTACATGGTATGTCCTCATAGTTTATTTCATATTTGTAATGAAGATATTATAGTTCCAACTCTTTTTGGTAATGATTTAACAAAACAAGTTCAGGCAGAAAATAGAAACATTCCATTTATTGTAACGAAATGCATTGATGAAGTAGAAAAAAGAGGTAATATTTTTGAAATTCTATTATTTAATATCATTCATATTTAACAGGAATATTTTTTGAAGGCATCTATCGTAAATCTGGAAGCGCATCACAGATGCGTATACTTATTGATGCATTTAATAATAATAATATTGATAATTTATCTCAATCCGTATTTGAGGATATCAGTGTTGTAACTAGCGTATTAAAACAATATTTTCGTAAACTTCCAAATCCTCTTATTACTTATGAAATCTATATACCATTTTTAGAGATTATTGGTAGAACTATGTAATTATTTGTAAGATATATATATCTAATATTCTTAGCTTCTGATAAGACTTCCAAGGAAAAATTAATATCAGTAAAAAATGTTTTAAATATTCTTCCTAAAGCACATTATGACTGTTTGGAATTTTTGATATCGCATCTCTGCAGGTAAATTATAGTTTTTATGTTTTCTAATATTTTTAATTTTAATAGAATAATTGAACATTCAGATAAAAATTTGGTTGGTCCTTAATACTATAGAAAATATCTTACTGTTTATTAGATGCCTTCAAAAAATCTTGCAGTAGTTTTCTCCCCTACTTTGCTAAGAGATGAAAAAGGTACACGAGATATTGTGGATATTCAAGTTAAAAATATCGGTATACAATATTTACTTGATAACTCAAAAAATATATTTCAAAATTCTTAAAAAAGAAACAAATACAATGTATATAACAGCTAAAATGCGTAATTTATAACAGGAACTATTCTATTTTCGAAAATTACGCATTTTTCAAGATATATTTATTCAAAACTAATTTTTGCAGTTATATAATTATTAAAATAAATCTAAGATTTAATATGATTTAATTTTTTGATAAAATTTTATATTATATGAGCTATATATTTTTTTATAAAAATATAATTATGTTTATAATTTTAATTTAACAACTTATCTAAGAAATCTTCTAATTCTTTGTCTTTAATTATTGTATTCATCTGTATAGATTTTTCTTGAGAAATGTTATCATCTATTTGTTTTTCTTAAAATAATTAGAATAAAAAAATTAAAACAACATAATCCAACCAACAAACTCCGTTTTTTTTAGAAGCTCATCAATATCTTCAATGTCAGATTCTGACTTCTCCATGTCTAAGCAAAGTCCTTTGACTGTACGTACTTTAACTCTGGAATTATATTTTTTTTTTATTTCTTTTAAAGAAAGTTCATTTTCTACTTGGCGACGCAAATGATAAACATTTTCTGCATCTTCATATACCAGTTTTCCTTTCCCAAAACGATTTTTCGGTAGTTCATCATTTGAAATAATGTCAGGCTCAGGTAACGTAAACTCTTTTGCTAAAACTTTTGTATAATCAACCCATATATCTTCATCAGAAATAATTGTTTCTACATAATTATTTACTTTTCCTAAAAAAAAAAAGAAAATACTTGCCTTCATATTTCCAACTATTGGATAATAATTCATCAGAATTATGATGATTATCCTCAGAGGAAATATTTATTTTTCTTGCCGACGATTCATTTAAATCTGAACCTAAAGCTGTTCCACGCTTGTTATGATATTTTTTACTGGCTTTTTTCTTCCATTTATCATTATGAAGAACCATAAATTGTTTTAACGTAATTCAAAATGTTTTAATTAAAAAAATTGATTAAAACCTAATTATTCTATTATGAAAGACCTGTACATATTTTTACTTGATCCATAGTATGTAGTGCTAACTTCTGTGCCTTTTGTGCTCCTATTTTATTTTGTTCAATATATGAAAAAATGTCTCGAGCCATGATAGATTGATAATGTTCACGTATTGGAGAAAAAAATGTATTAATGGAACTCACGACTAAATTTTTAAACGCCTTATGACTAATGTTTGCATTATCCTTTGCAATTTCAATAGGATCTGAGCTTGGATGACTTAAAGAAGCTATAATTTGAAGAAGATTAGCAATTCCTGGACGTTTATCTGGATCGTATGTAATTCCATAATACGAATCTGTTGTAGCTTGAGAAATCTTGGATTCAATGACATCCAAGGGATCTGTTATTAAGATTCTCGAATTTAAATCTGGATCTGACTTAGACATTTTTTTATAAGGATTTCTCAAAGACATAATTCTTTTTGAAGGTGCTAAAATAATATTTAAATTATCAGAATATAGACAATAATGCATACTTAAAGTAACCTTTGGAGGGATAAATATATTTTTTGAAAAAGCATTATTAAAAAGCCGACTTATCGTACAAGCAAGTTCTAAATGTTGAATTTGGTCTTCGCCTACTGGCACCTCTGTTGTCCTAAAAAAATAAACTCCCTTCTATTTAATTGTCTCAATTTACCTGTATAAAAGAATATCTGCGGCTTGAAGAACTGGATAAGCAAAAAGTCCTAGATTTAATACAGAATTTCTATTTTTAAGCAAAGACTTTGTCTATTATAATCAATCACAAAATTATTTAAAATATATGTTAAATTATACTTTCCACTGAGTTATACGCTGAAGATGTGAAACAGGAAGTACACAGTTAAGTATCCAAGCCAATTCAGAATGACAAGAAACCTTTTCTATATAGTTAATTTAAATCAAATAAAAAGACAATTTACTGATGATTGTTCATACACAATAGATCTTTTCATATCAATTCCTATTGCTTCTAAAGAAGCAAACATTTCTCTTTTATATTTTTTTAATACAACTGATTTTTTTAACATAGTAATTGCATGCAAATCTGCTATACAAAATAATAATATAGTGGACGATTCTGCACTATTCTGAATATCAACCCATTGTTTTAATGCACCTAGATAATTTCCTATATGAGGAACACCTGTAGGCTGAATTCCAGAGAAAATTCTTCTCTCCAACGCATCTTTTGTAAATAAACGTTGAATATTAAAACGATATTGCTGCATTAAAAAAAAGAAATTTAAACATGCATGTGGTCTTTTTCCAAAAAAGTGTATTATAGACATTTTTCCAATTAACTTTTTTATCATCTCTTGAATACAAAATAGTCAAGACTATCGATAAAGTATATTTTCAGGTACCGATTAACTGTTTTTTTAAAAAACAATGCATCCACCTCTATCAGCTCATAAACATCCTGGTATTTTATCTATTTTATAAAATTTAAATATAAATATTCAGTAGATTGCTATGAACTTATGAAAGAATTAGAAAGATGCCACGAATCTAATCTTATTAGCCATTTTTTTGGAAAATGTAATGATTTGAAAAAAAAAGTCGTAAAGTGCTTAAATCAAGAGGTAATTGAGGCTTTTGAAAAATATTGTCTATGCTTTATTGGACATTAATTGTGAAATTAGAGGTTAAGACAACAAAGAAATAACCAGAGAAAAAATAAAGAGAAAATGATAATATAAAAAAATTCAAATGAATTTAATTGAAATCCAAAGTCGATGAATAAAGCAATTAATATATAATAAATATATTATGTTTATCAAAGTTTGAAAAAGATTTTAATAGCCGAATTATTTAATATGACATATTTGCATATTTCCTAAAGAATATTAGACAAACCAGTAAATTAATAAAAAAGCTTGAATCGAAAAAGCTGTTTAGAAGATGAACACAACGTTATCCTCTAAGCATAGATTTAAGAAAAACACATGAATTGTGAATATATAAAACTATGCATTATTTCTTTTTACTGAAGCATATTTATCAGCATCATAAAAACAGATGAATTCATAAATCATGACTAAATCGTTTGGAACAAATGCTGTAAGTAACGTTTTGTTTGGATGATTGAAACCTAATTGTTGTATAAAGCTATAAATATTATTAAAAATTCTTTATGCTGGTCTAGATTGCTTTTTTTCTTCGTTCCATGTAAGACCCTCAAAAAGTTCAATAAGTTTACTAACAGTGCCTAGATTTCCTTTATTTAGTTTTGTGTTGCTAGCTAAAGATGTTCTTTTATTTATATTATTTGAGGCAGAAAGCTTAGGAGGAATAAGAGCATTTCTTCCTTTTGCAATTTTTGAAAAAATTTGGCATTTTATAGAAGCTGTTGTAGAAGAAACAACTGTGGATTCAGTAGATGTTCTTAAAGGTGGAGAAGTATCGCTTCCTTTGTCAAATGTGGTTATAGATGATTTAGCAGAATCTAACGTTGGTATTTGAAAATCAATTGGTTCAGTAGCAAAAGTAGAGCGACTTTTCATCTTTAAATTGCGTGGTGTTAAGAACTAGTATATTTTAGCAAGTTTGTTATTATATGAAAAATATACAAATTCTGATTGATTAAGGAAATTCTTCTCTGGTGATGAAAATATTTTTCCATATCTTTTTGAATTTATCATAGAAGTTTTTCGGGAAATAGGTGGATAAGTATTGATAGTTTTTGTACTATTGAAAGCAGAATTATCACGATTTTCTAAACCATGACTAGCAGCAACTAGATCTCTAAGTTCATGCGATATAGCATGTTGAAGACGCATATATCTCATCTCTTTATCAAAATTGCAAGATTCTTGAGTAGATGTAGCAGAATTAGTGTTAAACATAAAATTAGCTAAATAGTTAGTTTCTTTTCTAAATTTTACAAATCTTACATTTTAAGACACTACTTGAAGATACGTTTTTTACGGGGCATGGTGTAGGTGTATTTAAATCTGTTTGATTATTGGACAAAAAGGACAATTGTGATAATTGTGCTTTTGTAGAAAATATCTGAGAAGTCGCAGTATCTGATATTTCATCTGAAGAATTGTTGAATTTATTAGCATCATAGCCATCATCAAAAGGTGTTGTGCATTTTCTAGAAATATTAACACGTGTCGATTCTGTAGATTGAATAGATAATATGGGAGAAGCAATGTTAAACCGAAGCCGTTGAGGTGCATGTAATCTTTTGTGAGAATTTGGGTAGTAAACCGGATTATGAGTTATTTTTTGGCGGCAGCTATGCTGATCTGACGATGATGTGAGAATATTTGGTAATGAATTAAGAAGATTAGTTCCAAGAATAGAATCTCTAGGAATTCTTTGTGTATTACCATTTGAATCAATTCGAAGAAATGAACAACGGGAACGACTATTTGTTCTATCTACCATTACAAAAACAATATTTGATATATCATCTTTTCTGAATGCATTAATTCTAGCAAAACCTGTAGCTGCGAACTTCTTGATCCTTCGTACGCATAATCTTATATACTCTTTAAATGATTTCTTTGTAATATCAGCCATTGGTCCCGCATTTTCTTCATGGATCATATGTGTTACTCGTGATCGACTAGCACGACATTTTTCTCGAACTTGTGCAATTTTTACACATGATTCACATCTTGCTGTACCCCTTCTAATGCCTTGTTTTCCATCACAGTGTTCATGCCCATAATTTTCATTATATATCTCATCATAATTTTCCATTTGTCCTCTGTGGACCTTATCTAATTCTTCAATTATTTATCCTTTATTCCTCGTTTAAGAGATATTAATAACTTTAGTCTCATAAAATTAGAATTATTAATTATTTTATCTGATTTTAAGTATAAGAATCCAAATATCCTATCTTATCTGCTACAATTTTCTTTTGCTATTGAAATTTATCAGGTCGTTATCGTTAACCTATCGATTTTCTAACTTAATAGAATTTAGTAAAAAAGAAACACTACAAAAAATTGATAGAATCTACCATTTTTATAGTAAAATAAATAAAAAGATTATCAGACAAAAGAATAATATTTTTTTATATTTTAAATAATTTTTTATAAATAATTTTAAATATAAAACAAAAAATCAAAAAATTTAATATTGACTATTATCCAGTAAGAGCATATAAAACCTTTTTATAGCTTTAATAGGAAAGAAAAAGAATAAAGATAATTAGATTATTTATTAAAAAATCATTTAAAAGTAAGAATTTATATAAAAAAATGTTATTTATTTTTAAATTAAAATATTACGATAAAGATATATAAGATTATATTTAATTTTGTTAAGTTTAATTATATTTATGCTACAATATATCTTTTAAAATGAAATTGATGATTATTGAAAACTATTTTAAAAATATTAATTTATTTTAAAAGATTTTATGTATGATTTAATGTTTCAAAATGATTATAAATAAGAATATAAAATTATATTTTTTAATATAACCAAATTAATATATAATCTTAAAACCTGAGTATAAACTTGATAATATAAAAAATTATTAAACAATGTATTAATCGATTAAAAGCTGATGCGAAACGCAAATGCACTGAAATAAAAATTAAATATAAAAATTACTTGTATAAAAGATACCCTAATAGAAAATCTAATAGTAGTTTTTAATATCATTCCAAAATCTTTAGTATTTCATTTATTGATACAAATTTTTCTCTCATTTTTCCTAGTTCTTTTCCTTTTTTAAATTCTAAATCCTCAAGTTTTTTCCAATCTTTCCATTGAATAAATCGAATACCTTTTTCTTTAAAATAAGGCAAAAGAGCGTTAAATCCATGTCTAGATTCTTTACTAGTAGAATTTAAAAACGGTTTTTTACTCTTCCAATCTTCAATAATAGAATTAGCTGTCTCAAAAGCACTATACATAGTATTTGTTATCACACCTACAGGTCCCGTTTTTATCCATCCACTTGTATATATTCCAGGAAGCTCATAAGCAAATTTTCCCTCACTATCTGATAAAACTCTTCCGGAAATATTAGGAATAATGCCTCTATCGCTATCAAAGGGAATGCCAATATCACCGCAATTTTCAATTGCTATACCTTTATATCCAATACTACGGATTAAACAACTAGTATTTATATTAACCGTTTCTCCAATACCAACAGCTTTTAATATATTTTTATTAGGACATTTTTTAAGTATATTTTTTTCAAATAATACACTTGATAAAATATTTAGTTTTGATTCATCCTTTATAAATTTACATGGAGAAAGTAAAAATTCAAGAGACCATGATCTATTAGTCATATCAGGCTTTAAACTGTTTTTTTTCAATAAAAGATCAAAAAGCCGTTTTTGAGATCGTGTAAGATTTTCAGGTAATACATATTGATTAATATATGAATCCAAGTTTGGCGTAGAAAAGGATATATTTGATAATTCCATAAGCTTTCGAAGTTCATTTATTGTAAAAGACATCTATAAATTAAAATAAAAATCAATTTCTGGAACTTAATATTTTAACCTGTAATGGACCTCTGCGTCCAATAATTTTTACATGCTTAATTTTACTTCTTCTAAGACCCTCTAATGCCCTTTTAGTAATATCCGTCTTTGAAAGAACATTAGGATCACTAAGCAAAATTCTTGCAATATCTAGAGCCACATTTCCATGACCAACAATAACAGCGACATCACTAGATTCTAAATCCGGATTTAATTCTTGATATTCATAATGTCCATTATACCATCCCACAAACGATTGAGCAGAATATATTCCTCGAAGAGTACCTTCCAAATGCAATCCCAATTTACGGTCTTCAGAAGCACCATAGGCCATAACTAAACAATCATAATGAGGTTTAAGCTGGAGTAAAGAAATATCCTTTCCAACACGAACATTCCCAATAAAATGAAATCCATCATATTCACCAACCTTTGAAAACTTGTTCTTGAGATTCTTTTATAATATCAAGATATAAAAATATCAATTACAAAAATTTCTTACCTTTATTTCAAAATTATCTGGTGCTACACCCAAACGTAGCAATCCAAAAGGAAAAGGAAAAGCTTCATACATATCTACTAAACATCCTGGAATATTTTTTAACAATTTATCTGCTGTATAAAACCCTGCTGGGCCTGATCCAATAATACAAACCCGAAATGTATTAAAGTTCTTTTGTATGAATAATTGACATATTCTTTTCGTTTTTTTAAGGAACATAGCACAAATACATTACATAAATTTCTTTTTTCTCATATAATTTCCATTAAAAAATCCTCCAAATAACCTATTTAATTTAATAGACAATATTTAGTACTTCATCAAGATTGTTACTGATATATTGCACGTGATCGCAACTTAAAAAAAAAAAGATAAAAGTTTATCTATTAAATGGATAATATAAAGATTGTTAATCAATAAAAATACTATAAAAATGGCAACGCTTCCTCCATTGAATCTGAGGAAACAAAAAAGTCCGATAAAAAATGCTATTTCTGTTGAAATTCCAGAACATTTTCAAAGTGTCCTTTGTCGATTTAAAGGATTAGATGGAATAAGTAGTATACCGTCTACATTAATTCCAGGGAATATATCCTTAGAAGATCTTGGAATACTTTTGAATAAACTTTTAAATAATGTAAGATATTCATTTTTTTCTCGCAATTTGTATAATTTAAAAAGAACGAACGAATATCATACTTATTTTCAGCAGAGATAGATGGAAAATGGATCGAAATAAAGGAAAATCTGTACTCTTCAATATTTCACAATAATTTAAAATCGACGGAGGATGAGTTAACATTGATATATATACCACAAGAAAATTTCCGTGTTCGTGCTATCAATCGATGTACAGCAACAATAAGCGGACATAATAAAGAAATTCTTTGTGCACAGTTTTCTCCAAAAACTAGTTCTTATTTTTCAACGGGAAGCGGTGATGGAAATATTAGAATATGGGATTGCGATACAGGAACACCATTACATACTTTAAAAGGTTATTTTAATAATATTTGTATAAATTTACATATATATTAGGACATTCAAATTGGGTTCTTTGTATATCTTGGTCTCCTGATGCAAAATTAGTTGCATCGGGAAGTATGGACAATACCGTATATTTATTTTAAAATAATTATTAATGCTAAAAGAGAGAATAGATTCGACTATGGGATCCTGAAAAAGGGAAAAATGTCGGAGAAGCACTTAAAGGTCATACAAAATGGATAACATCATTATCATGGGAACCTATACATCTGTAAATGATTTCCTTTTTTTAAATTATATTTCTTATAACTCTAGATCAACAGAGAATTCGTATCGCCTTGCATCTTCATCTAAAGATACTACTGTTAAAATATGGGATATTAATTCAAGATGTATACTATTAACATTATCTGGCCACAAATCGAGTATATCATGTGTAAAATGGGGTGGAAATGGATGGATTTATTCAGCATCTCATGATAAGACAGTAAAAATTTGGGATGGAAAAACTGTAAATATAATATTTTTATTTATATTTTATTTGATAGATATTAAGGGAAAACTTTTACACACGTTATTAGCTCATGCACACTGGGTTAATACTATGGCATTATCTACTGACTTTGTTCTAAGAACAGGCGCTTATGATTATACTGGAATCATACCATCATCTTTTGAAGAAATGAAATCAAAAGCAAAAAAAAGATATGATGAAATTATTGCATATGGGGGAAATAAAGGAGAGAGATTAGTTACAGGCAGCGATGACTTTACTATGTATTATTGGAATCCAGAAGAATCTGTTAAGCCAATTAAAAGATTAACAGGTATTTTTTTATAAATAAAAATTTTAATATATATGGTTATAGGCCATCAAAATCTAGTTAATCATGTTTCGTTTTCACCAAATGGGCAATGGATTGCATCCGCATCATTTGATAATTCTATAAAAATTTGGAATGGTTTAACTGGAGAGTAATATTTCATTTTTTTTGAATTTATCTTAAATTTTTAGATTTATAGTAACTTTAAGAGGACATGTTGCATCTGTATATCAGTGTTCATGGTCGAACGATTCTAGAATGCTTGTTAGTTCGTCAAAAGACACAACATTAAAGGTATGGGATATTCATGAAAAAAAATTAAAATGCGATTTATTTGGGCATGTGGATGAAGTATTTGCTTGTGATTGGAGTCCAGATGGCATTCGAATAGGATCAGGGGGAAAAGACAGAGGTAGAAGATTTTAAAAAATTAAATGACAGTTTTAATCTTTTAGATACTAAAATATGGTCTTTTTAAGGCAATGATTCAAATAATTAAGAATATTAATCAATATTAAAAATGAAATCACGTGTTTTAAACATAAATTGTAATATATATAAATAGTATCAAAACTATCTATTTATTTTTTTTAATAACGTCCTTTTTTAATTCAAATGAACCATAAGATATTTTAATAGAAGAAATCGCAGTTAAAGCAATTATAAATATAGGAAAAAGAATAAACAATATTATCCAGCTATATCTAATGTAAGTAAAAATATAAAATAGAACAGATTATAAATACATCATATAAATTCCTTCAGAAAAAAACGAATATCTAGAAAATAACCCTTTAGGATTATTGGAATTATATTTTACAGGAATCATAGGTGTCGAATAGACAGATGCATCTCGATGTTGGATTATTACAGGACCAGGTGTAGATATATAAATCATAGAATATTTTGATCCATGGGGCAATGAAGTCAATAGATAATGAAGAAATAAATCTTTCCTCGTCATTCGTTATTATAATTAGATTCAAAAAACATACCATGATTTGTTAATAAATCTCTTCGTTCCTCCAAAGTACCTACTATAGGAGGAAACTGAACTACCAATATTTTCTCAGTTTCATTATATAATAGCGGATATTCTCCGCCTAGATAAAAATCATATGTCAATATATATCAAGCAAAACATTTATTTGTGAAAAATCATACTTTGTGAATCAATTACAATACTGTATATATAACATTTATCTTCCACATATTTAATAATATTTTCAACATCTACATCACCATATCCATATGGAACTACCAAGCGTTCTGGAGCTATATCAATAGATTTTTTAATCCATGGCATTACTGTATGTTTTAAATCATCTGCGTGTAAACCCGGCTGCAACACAAAAACATAATATGTTGATTCACAATCAATAGAAGCTCTTACTAAAGATTGAAAAGCATGTCCTGAAAGCGTTGTTGATACATGATCCGAAAAAACCGACTGATAGGAACTATATTTATTAAAATAAAACATTCAAGTCCTTCTTAAAAACCTATAAGATCTATAAAAAATGAAAGGAGATGTATCTTCAAAGCAAGATATCTTATGGATATTTATTAATAACACAAGAAAATACAAGATATTATACAAAGTGAAGCATTGTCGTGCCATCGAATGACGATTGTATAAAATCAGCCTTAAATATTAATAAATATAAGTCAAGGACGAGTTAAAGAGATATTAACTGGACTTATAATAAAAGAAAATATTTTATAATAGATAGACATTATTTAATTGTGTAAAAAATAGATTGAAAATGAAATAAGAATAAAAAAAATAATTAGTAATGAGTAAGCAAATAATTAAAATTCAAAAGGAAAAGGATCCTCTAAGATTAAAGAATCATCAAGAGGATTGATTTCGTTTTGTGTTAAACCAAAATCATTTAAAGATAAATCAAATTGTTTTTGAAGATTAATAAAATCAGGTTTTTGAGTAAAATTAGATAAAAGATTTGTATTAGATTTACGTTGAAAAGACAGAGTTGGTTTTTGATAGCCATATAATTTAGTAATAGATTTTTGTTGTTTTTTAATACAAATATCTGATGGTTGAACTGGAGAATTAATTAATTTCCAAGATGATTCACCAAGGATAGCTTGTTGATTTTTTTCTAATTCACTTTGACCTTGATCGTCTAGCCGATTAAAATAGGATTTATAAAGCGGCCATACTTGCAATGTTGACAAGTCGACGGGTGAAAATCCAGGAATATTCTCCTCCAATGCTATTAAAATATTCATTAGTAATGAACAACAATTATGAAAAAGAAATATCTTTCATTACATTTTGGTTTAGGAGGCATATATTCTGGATCCGAAACTTTTTCAAAATTTTCTATTAATGTTGACTCATTTAATTTAAAAGGATTGACAATAGTATTTTTTTCATGTAAAGATTTATGAATTGATTTGTTTTCTGTTTTTTTTGTAGATGTTGCATATAAACATTTATTTTTAATTAACCGATTAGTATTTAATAAGCTCGATTTTTCCCCTAATACAGAAACAGCCATATTTTTAACATTTGTGTCTTTGCCTCCAAGAATTTGGCGAGGTCCTATCAATCATCGAATTAACTAATAGACAAAAAATATTAAAATTCAATTAACCCTACCAAGAGGAGTAACAAATGACGTCCTTGAAAATCCTACCGCATCTTGTTTCTGTAAATTACTTATATACCCTGCTTTTTCTGAAAAATCTCCTCTTGCTACTGGAGTTTGTGCTACTCTTACAACAATATTTTCTTTATCTTCACGCATAAAAATAAAATATATATTTATATTATACTAGCAATTAGACTCCTTAAAGAAACACTGATATAAAAATTCAAATTCTCCAATTATAATTTCCTAAGATAAAAGCTCCAAAATATTTTTATAAACTTAATTCTGTGAATTAAATAGATCTATTACTTAAATTCATTAAAAAACATATATATATTAAAAAAATAAAGTAATTAGAAAATACCAATAATTTTATAAGAAATCTTTATTCTTTTTTCTATAAATCTTAACTATTATTTTCCAAAGATTTGCAATCGTTTGTTGATAAGTAGAAATCAGACTTAAACCCTAACCCTTTACCTAATAAATAAAAATAACAAGGGTTAGGATAAGGTATTGGGTTAATACTAAAAACAAACGGGAAATCACGAATCTCTGTCTGCTGAAGGTAAGTAAATATACATATAAACATCATTTCTAACAAGTTTTTGAAAGAAAACAGTATAGATTTTGAAGTATTTTCATGATAGAAATTGGTATTTAAATAGCACTTAATATGGAAAAGTTAAAAGAGGTGAGTTAATATTTTTTAAACGCACAAGATTTGCAAGAAAATAAAGAGGTTTTAAAGAGGAGTCTTGAGAATTAGAAACATATTTAAGTAAGGGGGGCTTGTTTTAAAAAATTGTGCGGGATTGGATGGATATATATTTATATAAATAATAGAAAATAAGTTTGTTACGTATGGAAGCAGAGGAAGCAAATGGACGAGCAGATGAAGCAGCAGCTCGGATCAAGCAATTAGAATATGAATTGGCATTGAAGGAACAAGAATGTGTGAGTTTAATGCATAAAAATGAACTTTTAGAAGGTGAAATTGAACGATTGGAAGCGCAATTATTGGAAGTAAAAACGGCAGTAGAAGATGAATCAGGATCTCGTAATATAAGTGAATGTCTTCAAAAAAAAATCCAAATTCTTGAAGAGGAACTTGAATTAAATGATTCAAATCTTCGAAAAACAACAGATGCGTAAGCAATAATATGTTAATTTTAGAAAAATTTTAAAATATTATAAGATTACGACTAATGGACGTTAAAACAGAACATTTTGAACGTAGGGTATCAGTATTGGAAAAAGAACGTGACGAAATTGAGGCAAAATATGAAGAAATGACTAGAAAATATGAACATGTCAAAGCAGAGTTGGATGAAGTTAATCAGCAACTTGAAAGTCTTTAATATTGCATATCTCTGTTTTTTTCTACATGAATATAAAAAACTTATATTTCTAATATCATCATGTATTGTTGATGCCTTTTTGTGCATTTTTCTTTTTCTATAAGTAGTCTATTATATACAAATATTTCAACATTTTCAGATGTCTAATATTGAGTTCTTTCAAAAATGTTTTAATAAAAGAATAAAACCTTGAATTTTTATTTCATCTTCCGATAAACTATATTTTAATAAAAATATTAAACATTTTGTTTAATTTTATTTTTAAACTTCAAACTATATAAATGTTAATCACATATATATGTGCACTTGACAACTAGAAATATATATATTTATTACTGAGGAACTAAAAAGTAAGATTTACTATATTTTAACCTTCCTATATATCTCTTAATTAAAAAAAATAAGGATTTTAATTATATTTTTATAAAATTAATAATATTTGTGAATAAATTATTTCGAATATTTTTAGTATATGATTACGAAAAAGCAGAATTAACTAAATCCATTTGTCTTAATAAGCTTTTTTAATACTGTTTTTTATTACTGGCATTATTTTACTTTAATTCTAATGATAAAAGAAATAAGTCTCTTAAAATATTATTATATCAATATATCTTTCTTTTATTGGTAAAAGTGTTTTTTTATTCAAAAAAAGGAAAATTTGGATTAAAAACATTGGTCTTATACTAAAATTCAATTATCAATGTCTTTGGATATTGATAAACATACAAAATTTCATTTACGACATTTAAAAATGCTTCCGCATGACTATTTATTTTCAGATACAAGCCGAATGAGTATATGTTTTTTTTGTATCTGTTCGCTTGATCTTCTTGGTTCATTAGAAACGTCTACAACATCTTTACAAAGGAAAAACTGGATAGATTGGATATATTCATGTCAAGTATCAAATGGATTTCGTGATTGGCCTACAACAGAATCTTTTCAACCTTCATGTCATGATTTAGTGCATATAGTTTCTACATATTTTGCAATATGTATTCTCCTAATTCTTAAAGATGATATGAAAAGGTTAAATAAGAAAAATATCATACAATTAATTGTACATTTACAGAATAAAGATGGAAGTTTTCGTCCATGTTTAGGAAGTGACAAAAATATACAACGTTTAGAAAAAACAGATATAAGATTTACTTATTGTTCAATTGCTACTCTTTATATCCTTGGATGCAAAAATATAGATAAATTTATACATATAGAATCTCTTCTGAAATATATAGAATCTTGTAAAGTAGGTTTTTTATTTTTTATTTATCTACTTAAATATGTATATAACTAATATTAGTCATATGACCATGGATTTTCAGAGAATCCAAAAAAAGAGTCGCATGGTAACAGTTGCAATTAATTTCTTAAAATATACATTAATCTATTTTAAAGCAGGGTATACCTATTGTGCAATTGCTTCACTTAGTTTACTCAAAAATATGTCACCTTTTATAAATAAAAAACTATCATCTTTATGTTTAGAAAAAACTATAAATTGGCTGCTGAAAAAACAATTATCAAATATTGATGATTATGGAGGGTTTTCAGGTAGAACAAATAAATCTTCTGATACTTGTTATTCTTTTTGGGTTGGAGCGGCATTAAAAGTATAAAACTAAAATTCATTATGTTATTCTAATATAAAAAGTGTCTTCAAGGCGATACGGATTTAATCTCTGAAGAATCCTGTAAAGGATTCCTTTTAAATAGGACTCATAGTATAGGAGGGTTTATAAAATCTGAAGGCGAACATCCAGGTTTATTCATAGAATTAATATCTAAATTGTTAATATATGTTAGATGTAATGCATTCCTATTTTGGTCTTGCTGCACTTTCTATTTTTGGTGAGAAAAATGTTCAAGAGATTGAACCGGCTCTTGGTATTTCAAAAAGTTCATTACAAGGTCTAAAAATATTAAATGAAAATCTTTTTTTTTGATAAATTCATTCTCTAAGTATTAAAGTCATTTATTTAAATAACTCTTCAAAGAAATCTAAATTAATATATCAAAATGCAACTATTTCTTTAAAAACCACATTTTATATTATTTTAATCATTCAATTTTAAAGTTTAAAAAATTAATATCTTACATAAAGTTTAATAAAAGTATAATACTCTGTATTTATATTAAATATATTAAAATCTTAACTACTTTAATTTTGGAATTGTAGTTATATTATTAATTTCTATGCTAAGATATATTATTAATAATTAAACACTAATATTTAAGAGTAAATGATTTGATTTCATTATTTTAAATTAACCATAAGTTTATTCATTAAAAAATATTTAATTTAATAAAAAATTTACAAAAGAATTAATTCCATTAATCCTAAATTTATTTTGAAACAAAAAAATATTTTAAACTAAAACAATAAGATACCAAAATAATTTCGCTAAACTTAACATTCTTTTCATAATTAAAATGATAAAAATATAATATATTTCTAATTAACATTGTTTCAATAAACATTCATTAAACAATCTGATTATTTTAAGCTCAAAAATATACTTTATAAAAAAACCATACATAAGAATTAATCAATGAATTACATAAAAAAAGGATTTTTCGAATATTAGATTATCTATAAATTCGCTAGAATTTTTATAAATTTTTTTTAAGCTGTAATAATATATTTTTCTCTTTTTTTTGGATATCATCAATAACAGAAGGATCTAAATGCATATCAATAAGTTCTGGAATATTTAAAGGGACATCAGAAGATTGTCTTAAATCATTAAGTCTTTCAAATATTTTAAGTCCTGCAAAACAATCTGTAGCAGCATCTTTAAAAAGTTAGAAAAATCAAAAAATATAAATAAATATTTATACAATGCATTTGTTTAAAAATTAGTTCATCTTCCCAATTACTATATCTTACACTGCCTTTAAAAAGAGGTTTTCCAAGATACTCCTCGGCCAATCTTGTAAGGCCTATAAGACGTAAACTAGGATCCCATTTATCTTTATCAACGGTAATCGCTAATTGACTTAATTCCAAAAATCCAGACCCGATAATACCAAAATCCTTATATAACTTATAACCATCATTTCTCACACCGACACCACATTTTATAAAATAAGGATTTTCCAGCAGATCTTTAAGAGGACCAGGAAATGTCCCTTCAACATAAATGACAAACATATAAACTAAGATCATTTACCTTCTAAATCCATTTGAGATAAATGAAATAATACAATAGAATTTGCATCACTCAATTGAATAATAGCAATTTTAGAATCTCCATGGGGCTTCCACTCCATGTCAAATCCAAGATACGGCCCTTTAAGGAGAGATATTGCATTTTGTACTCCAGATAATTTCAAAATATAATGTATCTTAGCTTGAGGTTTACCTCGACTATTCTTAATATCCAAATAACTCCAATAACGGTATTTTTTCGGTTCAACAATTTGTTTTGAATCCTTATTATTGGGGAAAACATCAATTTTTTCTTCACTTGAACATGTAGATGATAAACGTTGAACAGACATCTTAATAAATGAATAAATAACCTTTTTTTTCAGAAAAAATGCAAATCTTTCAGATCTCACAGAAAAATTCCTATAAAAACATACAATATTCAATAATTTTTGCATAATAAAGCTTCAAAAGCAATTTCTTAAATATCCTTCGCTTATTTATTTAATCCAACTCCCCAAAAAATCATAAAAAATATAAAAGTATATCACTAAAGTTTACTTTATTTTATGATAAAATGTGGCACATTCTTAAAAACTTCAATGATTTTTTAATCTTCAAAAATATCCTTTTTTAAGCCGCAAAAAATAATTTTTTAGTCCTTAAAAATATTTTTAACAATAACAAATAACAGAAATCTACTTATTTACTATTATATTTATTAATTTTATACTTTTCTATACTTACAAAACCTTTTAATTTTTTTAACATTCAGGCGAGGTTTCATCTCTCGAAATTTACCATTTATAATTACCAAAAAGCAAACATTAGATCATATATTTTTTGAATTCTAATATGTCAACATCCACACTTCTTCCACTCGGTAAAAAATCTATTTTTCTATCTTTCTTTTTATCATTTTATTTTAATATATTCCAATAGAATTAGTGGACAAGTGTGTAGGTTCAAGAATCTGGATTATTATGAAGGGAAACACAGAATTCTCTGGAACTTTGTTAGGTTTTGACGACTATGTTAGTAAGTTCTATATTAGTTTATTTTCTTAGTATTTATCATTAAAAGATATGGTTCTTGAAGATGTAACAGAATAGTAAATGGATTCTTTAATTATTATCAATATTTAGCTTATATTTTAACATAGTAATGTTTCTACAGGAACATTGGAGAAACATAAACAACTTTTACTTAATGGAAATGGAATTTGCATGGTATAAATATATTTTTTTATTTTAACATGACATTAAAATAAATTTAAAAAGTTAATTCCAGGCGGAGAAGGAGATTTTCAAAAGGAATAAGAAAGAACAATAAAGAAATCAAAAATTTACCTAAGATCACTTCTTTATCAGATATTTTTTTGATTTATTCAACAAAAAAGTCCCGCTTTAAATCAAAAAAAGAATTATCAGGAAGTTCACTTATTCTGTAAACAATAATACGACCATTTAATCCCATTTTTATGTATATTATTTTATTTATTACTCTATATTATTTTTACCTCAATATTCTTTATCTTTAAAACCTAAATAAAAATATTTAAAAAGGCAATACAATCATAAATAAGTAGTTTATTATTAAAAAACTTTTATATCTAAAAAATTAAGATGTTATTTTATATAAACATAACATAATACAAAGATTTTATTGATTTCAAATGTATTAAATTGTTTATATTTAATCTATGATTTATCCTTATTTAAATTTACATTTATCTCTTTTATTATATTATCTATTTTAAATATTCTTTATATGTTTTATATACGTTTTATGTGCACCAGAGATACATGAGGCCTAATCATCATCCTCGAATCTCCATATTTTATTTTTTTAATAAAAATACAGAACTTTTGTCCAAATTTTGTAACAACAAATATACACACATCTTTTAAAGGTTTCTAAAACAATTTATTGTATATTATGTTTGTTAGTTATTTTGAGCAACAGCTAAGGCATGATATTAGATTTATTGTATTTCAAAGAAACATCTTTGCCTATGAATGAAACAAATCATCCATTTTTAGTGGGCTCAAGAGGTTTAACGGGATCATCATCGTTTTCTCAAGCTTCAGAAATCAGAACATCAGCGGCACCATTTTCATCTACAGGAGCTACGCGTAGAATATTTACACCAATTCAAGACATATCAGATACATCAGAAAAAAAAACAGGAAAACGTCATTATTTTCACAATATTTTATTTTTTAAAAATTAATGTGTTATAGTGAGGCTTTCATTTGTAACAGCAAGCGATCAAGAAAAATTTGAAGAGTTGTTTAGATCAGCTGTTGGTGATAGCATTGTAATTAGCGGGGAAATTGCAAAATCTATTATGTCTAAATCATGTCTTACACCATCAGTTCTTTCAAAAATATGGTGAAAGATTATTTGAATAAAATAAAATGAAAGACCTGACAAATAGAATAGGGAGCACGCAGATACAACTAAATCAGGACAGTTGATGATGCCCGAATTTGTTTTGGCAATGCATTTGTGTAATATGGCAATGTCAGGAAAAAGTGTACCAGATAAAATTCCAGATGTAATTTACGATGAAGTATTTGATGTAGTTTCATCAATTTTACTTTCAGTACCAGATTCAGTACCATCTAATATAAATACAACAAATTTGAAAACAGTTTCTACATCTCAGCATACAGCTTCATCTTTGCCAACTACTCAAACAGTAAAACCGCTACAGATGTCACAAACATCTGTAGTGGCACAAGCAGGAGGACCCCAGACACATTTTTTACAACTACCAACGAATTTTCAGTCTTTTTCATCTTCATCAAATGTTCGACCTCCAGTACACCATACACCACTACATTATATGGAATCTGTAGAGCCATCACTTACAGGGGTTCTAAATTATCCTGCACAATTTAAAAATATAGTATCTCAAGAACAATGGGGAATAATAGATAGAAATCAAGGAAAACTATCTGGAATAGATGCATTACAATCACAATTAATGCCTCGAAAAGGAAAAGAAGGATTTTCAGCATTAAATTTACATGCAAATACTCAATTAACATGGGCTATGTATATTTATTTTTAAAATATATGATTTTATTAATAATGATAGAACAAAAGAAGAAAAACAAGTATACGATAATATATTTAAGGTAATATACCTTTCAAAACAGAAAATTATAAACTTAATTAAAGGCATGGGATGGTTATAACATAGGCTTTATCAATGGACAAACAGCTGTTGAAATATTTAGTCAAAGTGGCCTTTCAAAGAAAGATCTAGAATTAATATGGTAATAATAGTCTGACTATATAAACAATTTTAATCCATCTAGGAATTTAGCTGACTCTGATAATTCCGGGAAACTAAATATTGATGAATTCTCTATAGCTCTTCATTTAGTAAATGAATATGTTTTCTTTTTATTTAATAATTTAATTAGATATATCGCAAATTAAACGGCTACGAAATACCCCTAGAGCTTCCACAAGAACTTATGTTACAATCATCAAAAAATTTCTCAGAATCAGTCAATCAAGTCAAATCACTTCTACGTGACTTTAATTCTCAACAAAAACAATCTTTTTCACCAAATGTTACAGATTATATGAAATCTTCTTCTCCATTTATCAATGATCCTTTCCAGTTGTATCGTAAAGAAACATCAACGTATAAATACGATGATAATAAAATAGGATATATTCCTGTTTCTCGTCGAAAAGAACCTTTAAAAGATTTTGATTCACCTTTTATACATACAGAGCAGAAAGAACTACTTGTCCAATCAAACAAAAATATTAAAAATAAAGAAGGAAATTTAGATATAACTAATATTCAAAATGAAAAACATGAATTAAAAATTAAAAACGAAATAAAACATCTCTATCGTCAAATTCGTTATATACAAGAGGAGATTGATAATCATCCAGAATCATCATTATTATTATATGATTTAGAAGAGGAACATAAAACTCTTACAGAAGAATTGCAAGATTTATCTGAAGAGCTTCCAAGTATTATTTCTAAAATTCGAAAAGTCGAGCAGGAAATTGCAAACGCAAAGATTGAGCTTTTTAAATTACGTGATGCTAAAAATCATCCAGACTCAGCTGAAAAATTTAAAAATAACAAAACAGCCAATACAGATAAAAGGGAAACAAAAACAGCGGTAATATTAAAAGCCCAAATGGCAATTCTTACAGGGAAATCAACATTATTAGAAGATAATGATTATGAAAAACGTTATACTGAAGCATTATTTCATATAAATAAAGAAAGACAATCCAATGAGAATACAATATCTAATATTGAAGAAAGTGCTGAACAGTTAAAAAACGATTTAAAATCTAAACTCAAAGATTTTCAGGACAAATTTTTACAGAATAATTATGAACGAAAAAAATGGAATAAAGGAATTGATATTCAAAATGAAGAAGTTAGAAAATTTATTCTTGATTTAGAGAAAACACGCGAATCTCAAGAAAAAAAAGATTTAGAGTATGTTCAATATCATATTTGTATTTTTCTAATTTCAGTAGTCATTTTAAAAAGAATCAATTCTTAGATACTTCTATAGAACAATCAAAAGTTAATCCTTCAAAGACAGAATATTCCGAGTTTACATATAAAAATGATACCGCAAATGCCTTTATTTCTATTGATAAAAATAAAGATAAAGCAGCATGGATTAAAGCAGAAGCAGAACGTCGTATGAATGAACGCCTGGCAGAAATGGGTATTGAGCCCTATAAAAGATCATCAAGGTCTGATAACTTTTTAACTATTAATAAAACACAAATAAATGATATAAAAGAAACAGAGAAAAAGAAAGAAAATAAAGAGCTTGAAAAAGATACAGAAAATTCATTGGGGATTAATAAATTTAAAAAGATAGACATGTATCAAGCTCAACAAAATTTAACTGAAGATAGTGCATTAGATCAACAATCAGAAATATTAAATGAAGCATTCCAAAAAGAAAAAGAGCTACTTTCAGAAAAAGAAGCTCAGGAAGAACGTATAAAAAAACTTAAAGTTATAAAACTTAAGAACGTAGAAAAAGCGTATGAAATAAAAAGAAGAGAAAAAAAACATGATTTGTTTGAAAAAGAAAAAAAATTACGTAAATTGAAAGAAGAGATGGAAAACAAAAAACAAGAAGAACTATTGCTTCAACGCAAACAAGCTGAAATGGAGGAAGAAATAAAAAAACTTTCTTTAGAAAATGAAAAATATGAAATAGAAGAAAATAAGAATAAATTAAAAGGTATAAAAAATAATTAAACATTCATTAAATTCAATTAATGTTTATAGCTGATTCAATACAAACGCAACATATATCTAGAACTAATCCATTTCTTCAATTTAGCACTTCAGAATCATTTACATCTTTAAATAAGCCAAATAATCCATTTTCAAACATGCAAAGTCATAACAAATCCAATTCTTCTTTAAACACTTTATATACAACATCAAGTGTGCAACTTTGTTCATCACCACCAATAATATCAGTATTAAAAGCATCTCATTCAGATTGTCAAACAGATTCAAATAACTGGTCTACATCTCAATATACATACGAGAGTGATAGTAGTGACGATAGTGTCATTGCTAAAAAGAGCCCTGCTCAACTTGCATCTATTCTATTTGGAAACATCGAGGCAAACAAAAAATCTCCACAAGCATCTAAAAGTGATATATCCAAATCGCCAATAACAAAACTAGATATGTCTCCTTCACCTTTACCAACTCCACCTCCTTTGCCGACAAACATAAATTCATCTTCTATTGTTAATAGACATGCATTACTAAATCAAATTCAAAAAGGCACTAAACTCAAAAAAACACCAACTATTCATCCACGTTCTTCTAGTATTGTGGGAAAAGTATAATTCTCTATTACATGGATATTAAAACAAACTAATGATAAACAGGTTTTATAAATATTATTTATATTTTACTACTTTTTCTCATATTCATTTTTACTATAAATCATCAAAATTTCTTTTTTTTATGTATTTCTCTTTCAAAATAAACAAAAATATAATGAAATACAGTGAAATGAGTAACAAATAAATATTTAAAACATTATTTTATGTTTTTTTTTTTCTATCTTTAAAAGCCAGTCGTTTATAAAAAAATATATAAAAAATGTCAAATATTCCAGAAAGATGGGAATTATTGTTACTTCCTGAAGGCGCAAAGAAAGTAACATTTGATATTGACCCAAAAGTCCCAAATGCAGCCAATATTACAGTATTAAATGAAGATCATACACTTGGAAATATATTACGAGAGTAAGTTTTTTGAAAAAGAAATTAACATAGTTTATTTATCTTTGTAGACAATTACTTCAAGATGAGCGTGTATTATTTGCAGGATATCGTGTTCCACATCCTATTTTAGAGCACAAATTTGTCCTCCGAGTTCAAACAGAAGAAGGCTATGAACCAAGAGATGCAGTAAGCAATGCAGGCAGAAACTTACTTTATCAACTTACACAATTGCGCAATAACTTTGAACGTGAGTGGGAGCTGAAGAAGATGGCAGAAGATTATATAGAATAAATAAATCCGAAGAAAAATAAAGTATAAAACTTTTTGAAGAGAAAAAATACTTCTTTTAATAAGATATGATTATAAAGTAGATTTAAAAAATAGAGTTAGTTTATCTCAGACTGGTTCGATTGTTGTATCCAACATGATTTTTAGTTCAGTTAAACTCTCATTATTTTCAATAATTAAACCCTTTTCATTTGCCAAATGAAGTAGACATATAAAACAAAAACTGATCGAAATATCAGCCATTTCTTTTTCAGAATAAATGTTCTTTAGTCCTTTTAAAACATCTGTAAATTTCCTTTCTATTTTTTTAGAGTCAGAATGTAACATATGATTCTATAGATATTTTTTAGAAATAATAAAAAAAAAACAAACATACATTCTTTAGATTCTCAAAATCTAACTCTTTCCAAATATGATCCTTTAATTGTTTAACATCTACCTTTTTAGCAGTTTTTGCATAATTTAATTGGTCTGATTTAGGTTTAAAAGATGTAATAAATGAATTAAAAACTTCCATATCAGCCTTATGTTCATCATCATTAGGAACTATCTCTTCCTTTGCATCCGAAAAGTGATCATCATCATGAATATCACCTACTACATCCATATCTTGATCATTGAAAAAACTTGCATCATAATTTGGTTCATCTAAATTCATAGAAATATTAATAATCATATAGTTTTTTTTTTTCAAAAAAAGACCATTACCTTTCTTTTCTTCATTGTCAACATTAGTTTTAGCCCAAAAATTTGGAGCAATCTCTACATCTTCCCGAGAATCCGCATATTTTTCAAATATCTAATTTAATTTAACAAATTATCTCATAACAAATACAATCTACAGACCCTTGATTTGGGCTTTATAAAGAAACGCAAAAGTTGTTTTGAATTAAAATATATATCATCAGGCAAAAGGTTCCGAGTTTTTGATATCCATTGTGTTTTAGGAAGATATATATTTGTCCCTCCAGGGGAAAATAAAGAATCAAAATCAATGGGCTTATCATTAAAAAAATCAATTAAAAAGGGCTCCTTTTTTTCCTTGTGTTTTTTTGGTTCAACAACATCTGCTTTTCCTATCATAGATAAATAAATAAATAAAAATATTATAAAAAATCTTACCTTTATGCAATCTTTGAATTTTCCAATGTTCTGGTCCAACCCAATTCCTCTTTAAAGCTTGATCAAAATATTCAAAAATCTTATCATCTGTTTCATCCATTGTAATACTAAAATCATTTCCATTCAAGACTTTTAATGGATCTGATTTCTCATCATGATCCTCCAATTTATTTAAAACAGTGTCTTCACCCCAAACATTACATGGTTGTGAATCAGAACAATTATCCTCAATAATCATAGGAAGTTGTTTATTATCAATATCATATTCATCTGCAGATCCATCTTCATCAGGTAAAACAGTGTCATTAACTAAAAAAATTCCATTTTCTTCATTAAAATCAGTAGTAATTTTTAATGAAGAAAAAGAAGAATCTACTCCAAAATTTAAATTCTTGAATGAGGGACATATTTCATTATTATCTAAATTAGACATAATAGACATAAATTTTTCTAAAATATCAGACTTTTAAATCACAGAAAAAAACATACCTTGAAGACTATTTAAATCAATATCTTCAATATTCTCATTAGAAATTGACTCAATTTCATCTGGTATAGCATCATCTGCATCAAAAATAATTCTACCTTGACGATCAATAAATAAATGATTTAACAATAAGCCTTTTGCACCGCCTTCATCAAAATCTGCTGAAACTTTTTTAAAAAGAGGATTAACAGAAAACTCCAAATCAAACTTTTTAATCTGTAATGCTGAAAAATCCTTAACAAGTGTCGCCTCTGATCGCTAAAATCTAAGTCATCAAATATATAAATAAACAAATTAAAACCTTATTTCTAGCCTTTTTCTGCTTTTCAAATTCCATATTCATATCATTATCAGTACTATTTTCCTGATCATCCTTTTCTTCAACTTTTGATGCTAAAATCAACCATTAACACTATTATCAAGTAGGAGAAAGTATTTCTAAATACATTCACCACATGTAAGACCACTCAAAAGCTTTCCTGTCTCAGTTGCTGCTGAATCAACTCTCGATGTATAAATTTTAACACATCCATCTAATGTACATGATGCTTTTTGAAAATTGATACCATCTCCATCCCTCAAAAATGTCATTTCATGAAAATAATCAATAAGCGCAAAATTCCAACTATTAGATGCATTAATTTTCTGTTTTTTATCAACAACTTATATGACATCCACAATTATATACATTATCAGTAGCCATTTTCATCCATTCCTCAAAATTAGCAAGCACTGGAACCTTAGGAGCAGATGCAAACCCAGAAAATGAAATATCTGTATTACTTGTTGTGCTTGGGGAATTCATTTTAGATTTCATTTGTTTATAAGGCGTTGATGGAGTAATAAGCATATTGCGATTTTTCTCATCCTGCTCAGTACGCTCTTTTCGACGTAACTGCTTCTCCTCAACATCATCATTCAATGGAATATGTTGTGCAGATGGAACTCTTGTTCTTTTAGAGGATGATAGTCCAAATTGATGTCTTGATAATGTTCTTTTGTGCTGATTTGCCATTTTTAACTGTTTTTTTCACTTAAACTTATTTCAAACATAAATATAAACAATTTTTTATTCATATAAACGAATAGTACTTTTTTTAATATCTTTTTTATCCTTTTTTCAAAAGAATTGGTTCTTAATTTTATAGAAATTCGATATATTAACTACGGTTAAGGCCTTATAATCTTATTAAAACATAAAAACAAAAGAATTAGAATATTCTCAATAAAATAATTTAAAACATCAAGAATTATATAAAATCAATGATTAAAAATTAAAAAAAAATATATTATTGATTATCATCTTATAATTCGTAGACCTTGTATAAATCATATTTTCTTATCAGAAAACATATCTTGATGAATTAAATTTGCTCTCATATTTTTAATTGGTGCTTCCTTTGACCATTCAATAGTCCATCCATGATTCATACGGTAAACAAGTCTCGGACATTTCATAAGTAGTCTTTGATAGATTCTTCTTCGAAATCTAAGTGTCATATAATGCGCATCAGTAGAACGAGGCATCGGTGAACGCTGTTTCCGAAAGAAAAAGGGAGTTAGTCCAATTTTTTCACCTCTAGAAAATTGTTCTAATTTCTGAATCTCTTGCAAAGGCAATGGTGGAAGAATTTTTCGATAAATAAATGAAAAACATTTCCAACGAATATTTGCTTGACGCTTCCTATTTAGTATTTTATTTTCAGTAGATTTATTCATTTCTAAACGCGATAACCAATCTGGAATCTGTGATTGAACAAGTGCTCGAAATTCAGGAGATAAAACTGGAAATTTTGTACGCGGAAGACCCGGAATAGCCGCAATTCCTTTTCTCAAAGGCGCCAAAAAAGGCTAAAAAACAATATTGATGTTTTATCTTATTCAATGGGGAAAAATACACGTAAAAGTTCATGCTTCCGTCTACCCCGTCGTCCATATGTCCAATCTAGTATCTTCTCTAAGCTTTTAAGATCCCCAAATGTCGCTTTCTTTAAACTTATCAATCCCATTTTACCATCTCGAAATGCCTTCTTAATACGTGCTGGATCTTTTAAATTCCGATTAACCATAAATCTCATTTTAACGTAACCCCTCAAATACAACCTATTTCTTTGCTTATCTTCTTCAGTCCTTATATTAATATTTACCTTATAGGCTCATCAAAAAAACTAATATAAATCAAAAGTTGTCTGTAAAGTGAAGCTGCTGATCCCATTTTAAAATGCAAACTCTTCATGGTAAAAAAATGCCGTATAATTAATGGAATAATAATAAATTAATCTCTCTAATCCATTTATAAGTTCAGATTGCATATCTTAATTTTCAAACGTAAGAGTTCTAATAAAACTACGAGACTTAATATATTTATATAAATTTCAGATTTATATCTATAAATTTAAGATAAAACCATATTTAAGAATTTCAAATAAAAATCCCATCTTTAAAATAACATTTTTTTATAAATAAAATAAACAAAAAAACAAAAAATTCAAAGAAATAATTAAAATCTTTTAAAAATAAGTCATTTTTCTAAAACAAAATCACGTGACACACAAGTATTAAAAAACAATGTAAACAAAAATACAAAATAATCTTACTCTAAAGAATATTTACATACTACTGTTCATTTTTTCAAAAATATTTTCAATTATAAGTATCATATGACACTAAAATAAAAAACAAAATATCACTGTTTTTATTCAAGAATAATATAATCAACCAAGTTTTTTTCTATTAAACTTAAAAAAATAACATATATTCTTTAATTCCATAATCTTTTTACATAAAAATAATTCATTTTAATACCTTAAAAATACCACCTTTCCAACTTAGAACATTTTGTCACGTGATACTCATTTTTTCGTACTTGTTATCATTACCTTTAACGTTCGTATAAAATATTTAACTTAAAATTCCAAAATTTTATAAATTTTTTTAAAGATTTTAGCATATGTCTTATCTGTGAACAATATATTTTATTTTTTATGTGTTCTAATTAGTTTTTTAAATCTTAAAATCTAATAAGGAGTCTTTAAGGAAGAAAAAACCAATTTATATGATGATTGATCGGATAATTTGTCGGATTTGGAGGACTCATAGCCGAAATACAAGAAAAGAAGTTGAGAAAGTAAAAGAGAAAGATGATTATTGGATTTTCTGGATGAAATCCTTTTTTAACGATATAAAAAAAGAACCGAGTAGAAATATATCATCAAAGCCTTGGTTCGATCCTAAAGAAGTAACAGTTGTATTTGTTCTTGGTAGGCCAGGTTCAGGTAAAGGGACTCAATGTGCACAATTAGTTAGGGACTATGATTTTGTACATTTATCAGCAGGAGATTTGTTAAGACAAGAACAAGCTCGTCCAGGATCAGGATATGCTAATATGATTCAACAATCAATGCAGAATGGACAGATTGTTCCAATGCATGTAACGATCTCTTTGCTTAAAGATGAAATGATTCAATCAGTGACTCGAGGAAAAAAAAGGTTTTTGATCGATGGATTTCCAAGAAAAATCGATCAAATGCTGGCTTTTGAAAAAAATGTATTAAAATAAAGTTTTATTAGATGACTATTAAATAATTAGGTTTGCCCTTGTAAATTTACACTAGACTTTCACTGTTCAGAATCTATTTTAATTGAACGATTATTAGCAAGAGGACGGCGAGATGATAATATTGATACAATTCGAAAACGATTCAAAACACATCAAGAATTAACTGTTCCGGTTCTTGAATATATGGAAAAACAGGGAAAACTAATTCGAGTTGCATGTGAAAATAGCATTGAAAGTATGTCATACAAATATGTAAATAATAATTGATAAAGAACAGGTACATATCAAGAAACTTTAGATCAAATAGAGCCCTTTTTGAAATTATTATCATAAGGAAATATAGGGAATATTTTTGTTATACAATTTAAGATATTTTTATACTTCTATTCCGACAGATGATGAAAGATAAGCTAATTCATCTTCATTTGCGCTAACTTTTGTTTTATTTTGCTTAATCACTTTTAAAATCCCTTCTAAATTACTTTCCCAAGCATTGAGTTTTGATTTTAAATCCATCCATTGTTCTTTACCCAAAACCCTATATGTATTTCGATGAATTAAAAATGTCTTTGATAATTGAGACAATCTACCCTCTAGAAGACCCATGCGAATTGTATCGATCACATACATTTCTACTTCAGAAATATCAATATTTAGTACATTTGCTATCTCAGAATATGAAAGCACTCTTGAAGAAGAAGACGCTGCTAAAGAAATCAGAGTTAGATGATGAATTTTCTTCAACGCAACATCCTGATCAAGTCCTATAGCTAAGTTAATAAAAAATAAATTTAAAAATAAAAAATTTACCGCTATTTTCTACCCATTGTCGATGTGTATTAAGAAAAGAAAGATAATCCTTTAAAGTCCCAACCATAAAAATCTCTAACAAATAAAAAGAAGGATCATTAATATTTTTGAGAAATTGTACAGCATCAATAGCTGCAATATCATCGAATTGATATTGTTTTGGATGCGAAATTGACGAAATAATAGCTTGTCTCGCTAAATCACTAGCAGATGCCATTTCCAAAGGAGAATAGGTCCATAAAGCTTTAATAATAAAATCCAATGAAATTCTAGAAATAAAAAATGTATAAATCATTTATATTTCTCTTTTTTGAAAAACTTACTTTTTGTCATATTCCAAAGCATATCCAGAAATAACAAGAAATAAATCCCTTTTTGCATTATTATCAACTCCCCATTCTGTAAGCCACTCTGAAATATCTTTAATTTGCGATAAAATAAAATCAAATAGTTTTTGTTCATTTGCTACTCTAAGAATTACACAAAAAACATCATATTTCAGGATAGAATTTGAGGGCAAAGTATTGAAGAGTACTGACAATGTACTAAGAAGATATAACGGCCCATTTGGAAAATTAGGTATAACCAAATTAGATAATACTTTAGGAAGCAATCTTTCAATTGACGACGACTCCTGAATCAAATATATAAACAAATTCCATGCTGCTCTGTAGTCTATCATCTAAATAAATCCTTATCTTTATAAAAAAATAAATAAACCTTTCTCGTTACATCTTGATAACACATGGCTTTCATTAACCAATATCTCTAAACACAAATCCTTATTCTCTTCTACAGAAATACCTTCAAGCTCTGATACAAGAGAGTCTTTTCCTGTTTCTTCATTCAACGTATCAATAAAACTTGCAATTTCTTCTAACTGTCCTCAAATCATCAATATCTCTGTTTTTCACCGATCTTTTTCGAAAAATTACCTTATAAGCAAAAGTACCCTCAACAATCAATGTATTGATCTCTCCCATGCCAAATTTATCCTTTATCTACCTTCTTTTTTATGGAGAAAGATCTTTATTTTTTTGAACGTTGCTGCCCGCTAAAGCTTAATATAAATCCATATTAACTTTTCAACCTCCAAATAAACTAAAAAATAAAAAAAAGTAAAAAAACTGATAAAAAGTCCTATTTTTTTAAAGGTATTTATATAATTATGAAATATTTGAATATTATTCTTATATATTATTCTTTTTTTTAGAAAAAAAAAGCAAATTTACATAAAGAATTATTTATATTATTTAAATTAGTAATTTTAAAGCTAAACGTCATTTATATTGCATATTTTTGAGGAAAAACAAATGATTTTCAGTGTTTTTATTGTTTAGAAAATAAGCTGTTTTATTTAGTTTAAAGTATATTTTTTGCAAGAAAAATGAGCAAAAATGATCAAGATTCCCAAAAAGAAAATAATATTCATAAAAAAGGTTTTTCAGTGATCTAAAGAATATTATATTTAAATATTAATAGGGGGTTTAGAAACGCCTATATTAGAGTCTTCTAAGCAATCAAAGATTTCAACAAATGGCATTCCAAGAAAGAAAAATTATCACATTATATATGATCCAGAGCTAATATCTAAAGAACATAGTAAGGGAAGGAAAGCAATATACCGTTTTGATGGGGAGGCGGTAAAATAATTTATGTAATAGTTGAAAATCTTGATATCTTTAGGACCCTCCATTGATCATAGAAGATCCACGTTTAAAAACACTCAAGTATGGAAAAGAGAAATCAAGGGGAAGAAAAACATATATGTCAATTTTGAAAAAAGTAGAATTTGATGTAAAAGATGGAGTATAGTATTTAACAGATCTAATTTCTTTAGTTTGATGAGAATTCGATTGGACCAGATCCTCCAACTCAAATTCTTGTTTCTAATCTTTCTACTTTAACAACTAGTGATAACATAAGTATGCACTTTAAAACATTCGGTGATATACAAGAATTAGAGATTCAAGTAAATCCAATGACTGGTACATCATTGGGTTTATGTCGTATTCGTTATCGTAAAAATCAATCAAATAAGCTTCAAGGTCATCATGCAGCAAAAAATGCAGTAGAAAAAGGGAATGGAATGAAAGTTGGTACAAATATTATTAAAGTAGAATATGATGAAAATGGTGTAAAATGCAAAGCAATTATTGAAGAACACATAAAGAAAACATCTTTGACAAACGTATCATACTCACATAAATATAGAAGTTCATGTCCAGAGGAATCAATGAGACGAGAAGAAGAATATAGAAATTCTGATTCAATACATAGAAAATTATCACGCGATCATCGAAATTATGATCATTATTCTCCAAATAAAAATGATACTCGTACAAACAACAAAGCTTATGGATATTCACAAAATTCTTTAGGTTTATCAAGAATATATAACAGTAATTCTCAAGACTTTAATGATGATTTTGAAAAATCAGAGGAACATACGCATGAAACTTCTATTTCTATGACTGCCGATATTTTAAAGAAAATAAATAAGAGCCCATATATTTTTATAAATGAAAAATGTCTCCCATTCAGTAAATTTTCAATAAATGACCTTAAAAAACACTTAAATAAACATGATTGGACAGATATTTGTATTGATAAAAAGGGATTTTACATAATCTTCAAAGACAATCAATCAGCACAAAAATGTTTTGTAACAATGAATCAAACATCTATATATCAATATCGTATTACAATGGATCTTCATCGATATACTCCTACATTAATTGATCAAAATTCAAAATTTAAAAATTCGTTTCAGCCTGTAGATAATGTAGCCGAAGCAACAAATATAATAATTAAGGAATTGTCGCAAGTATTTATGAAAGATTTGAAGACAAAAATTATTGGACCGTTGCTTTATGAACTTCTTGATTCCTTTAGATTTTCATCAGAAATAAAACATGAAAAGAATAATTTAGCCATTAGAATGAGTAATATTAAATTAAATGAAATAGAATCAGGAAATCTAAATGATTATTCTACATCAAATGCTAACTCAAAAACAAATGAATTTTATTCAAAAACAAATGGTCTTTCATTTGATGGTATATCAAAAAGATTTTCAGTACTCCCAAAATTTAAAAAAAGGACTCATGATAACTCATATGGGGGGGAGTCCTTGCGCGATTCTTTAAGACGATCAAGGAATGTTGATTCTAGACCCCTTCATCATCGTTTAAACGATTTTGCTAATTCTCATAATTCTGATTCAGATAACTCAGATACAGATAATCAATTTCAAAATATGTCATTTTCTGATTCTGAAAAAGAAGTCAGTGATGTTAGCACAAGAGATTATAATAAAAGTTCAAAAAAAGTAGCAGATTCTAAGAAAAAAACAATAACAATACCTCGGTTAAGAGATTATACAAGTTCTGATGATGACATGTCTACGAGTTGCGAAGATAACTTTTTGGAACAGTTTCATAAAAGAGATGGATTTGATAAAAATAAGAAGAAACCTACAAGTTATGAAACTATATATAGTAATATTTCAGATAAGCAAACAAAAGTAAAGAAAAATAAACGTCAAAATATCGATTTTACATCAAGTGAAGAACCTTCTTCGGAATTTCTTAAAGAAGATATAGAAGATATTCAAAGTTCTGAAACTGAAACTAACGAAAGTCAACTATCAGAATACGAAGAGAAGCCAAAGAAGAAAAAGCATAAGAAAAAATCTTCAAATGAAATTAAAAAAGTTAATAAATCTATTATAAGTAATGAACATGCGAATTTAGATGAAAATTATCAAATATCATATACTTCTACAAAAACATTACTATTAGATGACGATGTTGATATTCTACTCGATATTTATGGAATCCAGAGCATAGTTAAAGATGAGGAGGATTTTATGTTCTTATTAGAAGCATTAAAACCAGTGGAGTCTGCTAAAATTGATAACATTGCATTATGGGCATGGGGGAAAAAAGAGATTAAAACTAGTAATGTAGATGGATATCCAGGTAACTTAGGGAAAATTAAATTCAAACATATATTCATTAGTATTATAGTAGTAACTAGGATTCCTAAAGATAAAAAATATAACAGAATAAACAAATCTGGTTCAGCTAGGACAGAAGGTTATTTTACTATTACAGATGCAGAAAAATCACTATACCTCCCTTTAAGAAACAAAGCTATTATATCAACAGATTCTTTAACTACTTCTACCACTTCTAGAATGAATCGTATTAATAATCGTCGACTTGCTGTTGGTATTGAAATGCAAAAGAAAATTTCGAGTAGTGAAACAGATATTTTACGGTTTAATGCTTTAAAAGTGCGCAAAAAACAATTAAAGTTTTCTAAAAGTCCGATTCATAATTGGGGATTATATGCAATGGAACATATAGATATGGGCGATATGGTTATTGAATATGTAGGTGAAATTGTTCGACAAACAGTTGCCGATATTAGAGAAAGGTAATATAAACTAAGATAAATAATATGGTGTTAATGAGATGATAGGCAATACGAACGTCAAGGAATTGGATCTAGTTATTTATTTAGAATTGATGATGATACAGTTGTTGATGCAACTAAAAAAGGGAATATAGCAAGGTTTATTAACCATTCATGTGATGTTTGTTTGCATTTTTATTTATATATATGTTTCTAAGTAATGTTTTAGCCATCTTGTACTGCAAAAATTATTCGTGTAGAAGGAGAGAAAAAAATAGTTATTTATGCACATCGTGATATCGAAAAAGGCGAAGAAATAACTTATGGTATAATATAATATAATATAATTTATTTTAATAATTGACAGATTATAAATTCCCTATTGAGGAGGTTAAAATACCTTGTTTATGTGGAGCAAAAGTTTGTAGAGGGACATTAAATTAAAATTATTCATTTAGATGTTATACTATAAACTGAAATAATCTTTAATAGCTAAAATGTATAAATCAAAATATAGATACTAGTTAAATTTATAAATCATTTTCATCTTTTTTCATATAAAGAGTAAAATTATATTTGCTTAAACTAATTTAAATAAATGTCATTATTTTAGATCAGATAGCCTTGTCTTGTTTGGGTATTTTAGTGATTTTTGGATATAAATTTTCAAATATATCTAAAAAGTCGCCGTCCAATATTACTAGCAGTTATACAACTTGAAAAAAAAAATCCTAATATCCATGATCTAATACCAAATATTTCTTTCCTCATCAAATCCTCGTTTCTATTAAATTGTTAAATATACTAACAATTAAAAAGGGAAATAACTTAAATATATCAGAAGTAAAAGATAGAATTATAGTAAATATAATAGATGTTATACTTGAAAGAAAAAAACCAGTTTGTGCACGATCAAAAATAAACCACATAGAAAAGCCAATAAAAAATAAAAATAATGATGCTTTAACATCCAAAACCCATGATAATTTCTACAAATATGTTAACTGTCATAAATAATAGAATACAAAAAGATACAACAAAAGCATAAACAATACCCGTAAATGTACTAAAGACACGCATAATCTCAAAAATCTCTATATATTTTGAGTTTGGAATTTCTATTTGATAAGCATTTTTTGACGCTTGCGTGAATCCAAATTTATACATTAAAGAGTCTATAACAGGTGTCAAAAAGCCAAATAATGCCATCCCAAGACTGTACAAAGTACGAAAATGCGGAATATGTGTAAGAATTTCAAATTTATAAGGAGAAGTAATGTTTTCTTTCATTTGAGCATGAAATACAAAACTATGACCCATCAATAACCTTTTTTTCCCTTAAAAAAAGCACAAACATAGTAATAACACGTCCCCAAATATATAAACATATAAACTTTAGAAGAAATGTCCAAAACCTTCTAATAAAAAGAAAAGATTTATAATGACACTTTAAATCTTTTTTCTGCTTATAAAAAACTTTAGGAGTCTCCGGTTCATCCAAGAGAGATGAATAGATAGAAAATAAAGCTGAAGAACCGTCTTTAATTCCATTTAAAGGGAGAAATATAGAACTTTTCTGTTTCATAAAGATTTCTGAAATACTACTTGAACCATCTTCTTTTAATATTTGGTTAGAACTTAAATTAAAAAATCCCCAACTATTAAAGGAATCATATGAGTCCGATCGCTGAACCTGGTCATGAATAAACATATTATCGTTCATCTACTGAGTTTTCAAGACTGACTTCTACTTTGGAGTTTATCGCCAAGACAGATAAGCCCCAACGGTTACCATAACAACAGTAAAATAATAAAAAGACTTATGAAAAAAAAAACAAAAAAAATAGACCTTAAAAGAAGAATATGAAGCTTTTGACAGGTAAGAAATGAAAGAAGGACCACTAATATACTTATATTTTCGAAAACAGCAAATTTTTTGGTGGAGTAGAAGTAAAATAAGAAAAAAAAGAAAACTAATAAAATAATATAGCAATGTGTAGTTAAAAAATGCCAATCAAACTCTAAATCATATCCTCTTAAGTTTGAAAATGTTCATATTGTTCAAAAAACGCTAGATTTTAATCCAGAATTTCTTTTAAATATTATTTCTCGTGTGGGTAAAAAAAATATCTTTTTTAAAGCAAATTATTGAATTATTAAAGACTGGAAAGCGTTTATTTTGACATTAGAAGAACTGGTAAATGATGAGAAAGTGATTTTATAAAATTAATATGAAAAAGTTTGGAAAAGTAACAATTCCATATGAAAAACCGGAGCTTACAATTGATGAGGTCGATTTATTACAAGAATTACATAAATTACTTATTGAGGTTGAAGTGGTTCATTTAAAAAATAATGCTAAAGACAATAGACGCAAGTAATGGAGGGAAACCTTATTTGTCGTAATTGTAATCACATTTATCCTATTAAAGAAGGCATTCCCAATTTTCTTTTAAGTGAATATGAGATATAGTTTGTTTTATATCATTTAAATGTAGGAAAAGAAAATCAAATATTGTTTTGATTAGAAAAATAAATTAAACAATTTTATTATATAAACAATATTCAAAAGAAACATGCTTAAATGACTATAATTAATTCTAAATAAATCATTTTCTTGAAAATATAAAGATAATTTAATTAGTATTTTAAACGTTTATACTATATTCTTTTTTAGATTAAGGTTTTTTTATTATAAAGACTATATATTATAGCGGAAAACGATACAAAAAATTAATATAAGATTAAAAAAACTCTATAAAAACATGTTTGTAAAGCATAAATGATTTGGATTCTTGGCTTAAAAAATATAGGAATTCTATTGTAGGATCTGTTCAATTAACAGCTTCAAAATTTACACAATGGTTAAAATCACCGGATTTTATAAAATATTTGTGCAGCACTCATTTTTGGGGACCAGTAAATTATTTTTAGTAAAAAATATCTGAAATATGATATATAATTAGGTATCTAATTTTGGAATACCTTTGGCAGCAGTTACAGATTTAAAAAAAGATCCCAAAATCATTTCCGGGAAAATGACGTTAGGTATTCGATACAAAGAGATTCTTATTCATTTAAATAATTTAATATATAAAAAGCTTTAATTATATATTCAGCAACATTTGCTCGTTATGCTTGGGTTTTATTTTTTTTTTTTATTTAATAATACACTTATTTTTATCATAGATGGTTAATCCCCGTAACTATTTGCTTCTTGGGTGTCATATTGTTAATGAAACAGCACAAATTGTTCAAGGTGTTCGATGGTTAAGTATAAAATATTATTTTTTAAATTTTTTAGTATAATTATGTTTTAGAATATCATAAATTTACATCCTCAAATAACTCAATTTATCATAAAAAACAATAGGTTATAGACGGGAATATTCCCTCTATTTGTTAAAACTTTAATTTTTTAAAATATACCATCACATTTTAGGATTTATTATTGATAGATAACATAAATACATTATCTTTTCTATTTGAATTTATTTCTATATATGTATAATACTTTTTTAGTCCAAATAAATATCTTAAAATCACAAGAATCTTTGGATCTTACTATATCAGCTTGTTCTTTTACAGTACTTGTAAGGGGAGCACTCTTGTCATAGCAACGACGAATAACGTTGGCTGTACCTTGAAAGAATTAAACGTCAGAAAATTGAAAGCAGCAAAAAACCCCATATTTATAGTAGAATTATGCACTTAATTCAAATATAATGAGTGATTTTAAAAGCACTGATAAAGAAAACATACAAAAGAGTTCAAGTTTCCTTTTTTCTCCGGGAGAAGAGGCTAAAGAACAATGTTTATTATCTTATACACCTAAAGAAAAAATGCAAGTCATAACCAAAAAAGGAGATAGAATTAATCTTTATAGAGGATATAATTCTGCTGTTAAAAGTCGATTTTTGAAAAAAAAAGAGGGAGAAGCACTTTTGCGTCAAGATATTCAGTATGCATTTTTAAATTTAGTGGTAAACAATGATAAGGCAGTTTTTACGTTACCTCAAGGCATAGTGAATAAAAAAGTAACATTTGGTGAGCTTTATGTGGAGTATGTTCGAAGATCACCAAAAACATCAAAGGTTTTGAGAGAAAAATTGGAAAATGATAAAACGCTTGCAATGGCACTTGTTATGGTAGCTTTATTAGTTAATATTGGTCGTATAAATACAACGCTTGTTTGTAAGAAAAAAAAGAATTATTTTTCTGTGTTTAATAAGATAAGTTACGCATACACAAACAAGAACATATAATCCAATACCATCGCTTCAAGCATATTCAAATGATAAGGTCAAAGTACTTCAAGATGCTCCAAGATTAAAAGGAATTCTTAAATTTTATAGCGAAGATTTTCCAGAACATTTAGCATGGCAATCTCTACTTGATGCACAGAAATCTCAGTTACGACCATGCACAAATCCCATTAATCTTATTTTTATATTTGTTTTATGTTCCTCAAGGATATCAAATATTCATTTTGATCCTTCATTTGAGTTTATAGATCTGTTTATTAAGTCAACTTTTTCTAGCGAATCAAGAGCCAGAGCTTTTCTTTGGTTATGCTGGCATTATTTAGAAACAGATGGTAGTTCAGAAGTGGCAACAAGGAATCCATTTAATTATGGATATACTGAAAATCCTTTAAGTGCTCCTACTTTAGAGATTATAACAGAAGAAGAAGCAGCACAAGAAAATATTGATACTCCTACAGAATTAGAATATGCAGTTAAAATGGCTCAAGAAAGAAAAAGTTAGATGGAATATTCTCTAAAGTTTCGTTTTATTGATATTTATGTTTTAGGATATCTTCAAGAGAGTGAAACTCTAAGGAACAATTCTCAAGATTTACTAAATTTTCGAAGAAAAAGTCGAACAAGGGAAACACATAAAAAAGATGATGCTGATTCTTCTCCTGAGTTCTCAAAATTTTCAAGTATTGAAAACCAGGATGAACATTTTGAAAGTACTACACGAGATATTTTACATAAAAGTATGTAATATTAATAAAGATGCAAAGGTTATTTATATCCATATAGAGCAATGTAAATCATCAGATGGGGCAAAAAAGAGAAAAGCAGAAGATGCTTTTTATAATCCAGTAGATGAAGAAAAAAATTATGTTCCAATTTCATATCAACAAGCCGATTCTAACCGAGATGTTACAGAAAAACAGAAATACCAACCAAAAAAAACTCTAAAAAAACAATTTATAAAAAAATTGAGCAAAAATAATAGTAAAAAAAGGAGAAGAGATGCCATCCAAAGAGGTTTTTTACATTTCTTTTTTATCTTTTTTTTTAATTACCAAACTAGAATGGAAAAAATATGAATCTTTTTCTCCATTAGAAGATTCCGACGAAGAAAATGATGCAGATCAGGATGAATATGCCATTGTTCTTTTGGCATCTCTTAATCGTGCATATCGTCGAGCCACAAAACATATTAACCAAAAACGATTTTTTTCTGGAAAAAAAGCTTTTGATTGGGATTTATCACAAACCAATATTTTAAAAGAATCAAAAAACGAAGAACATGAAATATCTACACAACAACCTGTATCTGAACATCCCCAAGTTGGAGGAAAAACTCTCCCAAATCTTATAAGAATGGGATATTCTTTTTAATTCAATTAACATAAAATATTAACAAAATAGAAAAATATATACAAATAATAAAGGGTTCATGTTTTTCTAGTTTTTATATATTTTTTTTCAACAATTTAACCAATTTAATAGACCTTTTATTTAAGAAAATTTAAATTAACGATATCAAAAAATCAAGTGATATTTTCTATGATTGGCGCTCACAAAGCATCGTGCCATGCGTTTGAAGACCTAAAACATATAAGAAAATCACTTTTAGCTTGGTACAGATCAAATGCTCGTGTACTTCCTTGGAGAAAACCTTATGTTAACCCTCCAACAATATCTATGTCCAATAAAGAACGCACACTTTCGCTTCAAAGAGCATATGAAGTGTTAGTATCGGAAATGATGCTACAGCAAACACAGGTAGCAACTGTTGTTCCATACTTTGAACGCTGGATGAAGAAATTTCCTACATGGGATGTGTTAGAAACAGCAGATCTAGAAGAAGTTCAAAATATATGGGCAGGATTGGGATATTATGCACGAGCACGACGTATGAAGGAAGCGGCAATGTATTTTATGGAATTAGAAAGACGATCAGAAACGATTCCAATAGATGTTGCAACTTGGATTAAAAATGTTCCAGGTTGTGGTGAATATACAGCGGGAGCAGTATTGTCAGTAGCATGGAATATACGATGTCCTGTTGTAGATGGAAATATTATACGTGTTTTAACACGTTTACGTGCAGTTGGAGTGGAGTGTCATAAAGGTATAGGCAAAAAATGGGTATGGGATTCGGCAGATCAATTAGTGGATAATGAGTATCCCGGAGACTTTAATCAGGCATTAATGGAACTTGGAGCAACAGTATGTACGCCTGTTAATCCAAGTTGTGACATATGCCCTTTAAATAAGGATTGTTTAGCTTTAAAAGAGGCAAAAAATGTCTTAAAGCAAAACATTATTGATAATAATTATGAAGAGCATGGTGAATCCGTTAAAGGTAGAAAAATGATATTTTTTTAATCTATATAGATTGTGATTTATGCCCTATTGAAGAACTTGGACAGTTTACTTCAATAAAAACATATATCAGCTCAAAATATCCAAGAAAAGTAGTAAAAAAAAAACCAAAACTTAAAAGTAAGCCCCCCCTTTCCAAAATAATTATTATTAAGTTTTTAGAAAACATAGTTTTTGTAATTTTAAGAGAAAAAAATATGTTAAAGGAATATTATTTAGAAAAAAGACCTCCCAAGGGCCTATTAGCAGGACTTTGGGACTTCAGAACATTACCTGTTGATATAGAACAAAAATATGAAATACAGGATGCCGAAAATTATGCAAAAACAATAATATCTGGTGAAATTATTGGGGTTTGGAAAAAAGGTGACACATTACATCAATTTACGCACATCAGACAAATTTCATATGTTTATCTTGTGATAATAGATATTAATGCAGAGATTTATGGTAAAGGCTCTTGGATGCCAGAAGAAATTATGAAAAACCAAAGTATACCAGAATTAACATGGAAAAATTTCAGACAAGCTACGAATAATGAGAAAAAAATCCTAAATAAGACTAAAAATACAAACAAGAAATTGAAAGTGGACAATAATAAATGGAAACAAACAACCCTCTTTTTTTAAAGTAACCATTCAAATTTAATATATTATTTATATATAACATGGATTTTTTTGGCTTCGGTTATTCCAATTAATATTTTGCATAATAATCTCCATAGATATCTTGATTTTCGAGAATATTGACTTAATCATTCCGATTCGTTTATATTTGTCACTTCGCATATAATTTATACTTGATCCAGATGATAAGTAATCTATTGAAAATATTAGGAAATATAAATATTAAAAAAAATAAAAAAACCATTAGATGAGATAGGAAGGATATTATCCCCTGCTGGTAAAGAAACAAACAATGAAAATGGTATAAGCCAGATACAAATAGCAAAAAATGATGCAATTTGGCCAAGAGTATAATCTTTTGTATCTTTCTTATGTACATATACAGAAGAATATGTTAATAATAAACCGAAATATGATCTAAAATGCCAGATCCATAATAAATTATTTAAAACTGTAAAAACTATAAAAATAAGGATATAAAAAAATCTTATAAATAAATATATACTTATAGCTGTTATAAATTGATATGAGGAGACAGAAATACATGGAAATGACCGGAGATTGATAAAATATATAATATGTAATAAAATAGAAAATAAAGTAGAAAAAAATGGAAATCCATCAACAATAAAAAGGATTAAGTGCAAAAAAATAACGATCTATCATTTATAAGGCCTATATTTTCCATTATAATCATGATTTCCTACATAAATTAAGCGTTTCAATATTCTCTTAGAAAACTCTGCGTATTCTTCAATAAATTCTGATAAATAATAAAGTCCACATGCTAAATATAAATCAATTTATATATAACAAATAGAATATAAATAATATTTACCAATACAAACAGTTAGAAATATAAATCCTGCTATAAATCCAAAATATGATAAAAAAATCAACCCATACATATTATATAAATATTGACGAAGTGTTATATAAACGGAGATATAAGTAGCTTTATATAAATATATTTAGAAAAAGAATTAAAGAAAAGGCTTAAATTATTATAGTTTATAAAAGGGTTTAATTGTTTTTTTTTCTAAAGATTTTAAAATATTGTTTATAAAATTATAAATTGTTTTTTTTTATAAAAAATATTAATAAAATAAAAAAAGTAAAATAATTATAAACAATAGAAAGGGTTATACGTCATCTAATGTTTGGCCATTTTGAATTTTGCCCCAACCGATTAATCTCCAATGTTTTTCAATTCTTCTGGAAAGAGCAACTTTTTCACCAACTTCAGTGCATGCAGGAGATGTTAAAATGAGCTTTGCCAAATCCTATTTATTAGTTTATATTTAATTTTTTATAAAAAAATGAAAATAAAATTTCTTACTGCTTTAACAGAAACTACTCTACCTCCAGTAGAAGTAGAACCGATATTTACCATAAGAACTTCATTTTTTGCTAATTTTTGGACTTTGGCTTGTTTTTTATCAAGAGTTTTGACACCAAGTAAACGACGAAGCAAAAAATAATTGATTTCAATGGCAACAAAAACAGCAGGTAGTCTACCTTTTAAACCAAGAACTTGCCCAACTAACCGATCACCACGACAAAGTGTAGGATCTACATGTGTTCCAACACCTAATTCATATTAATTTTTTTTTAAGAAAAAAAAAGAAGATACCAATTAAGCCACCAGGAACTGCAAATTTTAAATCATTATGTTCAGCAAAAAGTGAAACAATTCGTGATAAAATAGGTTTACAATGAAATTTACCCTCAGAATCCTTAGTTACAATTCCTGGCCTAATTTCTATTTCATCACCAAGACGCAGAATACCTGCTAAAATACCGCCGCCAGCAACACCGCCTTTCAAATCATCTACCTCTGCGCCAGGTTTGTTTACATCGAACGATCGAATCACAATAAGCCTTGGATCACATGAATAATTCCGTATTGGTACTGGAATACGCTTGACAATATATTCAAGAATTGCATCAATATTATACTTAAGTTGAGCAGAAATAGGAACCACAGGTGCTGAATCGGCAATTGTGCCTAATATATTTATTATAAACTAACAATATTTTTCAAAAATACTCAACCTTTAATAAATTTAAGAATACTATTATAATGTTCTTCTGCTGCTTCTTCTCTCATCAAATCTACTTTATTTTGCAATATAATGATATGTTGAAGTTTCATAATTTCAATAGCTGCAAGATGTTCACTTGTTTGTGGCTGCGGACAACTCTCATTTCCCGCAATCAAAAGCAAAGCAGCATCCATTACTGCTGCTCCATTCAACATTGTTGCCTAAATTTTTCTGTCAATTAATTAAAGCTATTTTGTAAAAAAACCATTAAAATGTCATGCCCAGGACAGTCTACAAATGAGACATGACGTATTAAATTCATTTTGCTGCCACAACCAGGGCGTTCACATATTACATTCTCTTTAATATCACTTCCATATGACTTGTAACATCCAGGACGTGGACATGATTCACTAGAGCATTTATAAATCTACAAAAAAATAGTTAAACCAAATATCATGAAAATAAAAATCATTCATATGCCTTTGCATTTGCATAACCCAACTTAATTGTAATATTTCTCTCCAATTCATTTTTATACCTAAAAAACAATTATTTGACTATTTAAAGATCTAAAAGAATTAACCTCACTGTCAAAACACCGGAAATCGCCTTTACTACAGTAGACTAGATATTTAACTCTTATTTCAACCGTTTTAAAGCTATTTTTACCTTTCCATGGGCAACATGTCCTAAACGTATAAAATAAGTAACAAAATCAAATAAAAGTCAAAATTTCACGCAAAAAAAGACCCACCAATTGTTCCAATATTAATTGTTGCCTGCCGAGCAATCACTTCAGGGGAACATGGATGAAGAGTTGATGGATCAACAAAAACTTCTTGGCACTGATCCGAAGCCATTCTTTTGCTCAAAAACAACGTTCATAACCAAGCAAAAAAGAATATCTATTCTTAAACTATCTAATGATCATTAACAGAACTTCTCGGAAAGGAAGAGTATTTTATATACGTTGGCAGTGTCAAAAGCTCCAGGAATAGTTTTTTTTTTGGGTTAGTAAAAATTCTAGTAGAGATCTTTAAAAAAAAATAAAAATACATAAAATATAATTTTTTTATATTTTGTTAGATTCTATTCATACATTGGGTTATCCCTTTTAATAGACTCGTCTGAAATATAAGACTTGATAACGAACGATGACGAGAAGTTTTTAAATGAAGATGGAAAATAAAGGAATAAATCAGAATAATATGATTAACCAGGAGGCCTAAAGCCAGGCATAGGTTGTCCGGGTGGGAAACCAGGTGGAGCGAATCCCTAATAATGATTAATCAGAGAAATATAACCATATCAATAGATATGGATAAGAAATTAAAATGAAACCTGAGGAGGAATAGGCATTCCCGTAGTAGAAAATCCAGGAGGTCGAAAAACAGGAGGAGCAGCCATTCCAGTTCCAAGACCACGTACAGGCCCTGTTAATCCTATAATAAAAAAAGAAATATCAATAAAAATCAAAAAAAAAAAAGAAAAAAATTACCCGCTGGCGCAGCAGAAGGTGCATTACCTACAGGAAGACCTCTCCCTTAAAATAAAATGTTAAATAACGGAAAATATGTGTAAATTAATATTTTTAAAAAAATACCTGCAGGATAACCAACACCAGGACCTGGTTGTAATGTTCCAAGACGAGTTGAAATATCAGCAGGAGGAGGTCCTTCAACTGATAAAGAAACTATAAACTCCCCACGAACAATTATAAGACCAAGAGTTCGTTTTTCTTCAACTTCTGTTTCCTCTTTTGCCATTTTAGTTATTTTACGCTTAACACAACGAAATTCTTCGCAATCTGCTAAAACCATATTCATATGTTTATCTAAACATCCTATCAGCCTTTCCAAATATTTCTTTATGTTCTTATATTACCAAATGCAAGCATCTGTCCAGTCAATTGTCTTGAATCACCTAATATAACTCGAAGACGATAATTAATCAAATTAATCTAATAAATTAAGTATAATTCTTCAATTATTATTTTAACATTCATCAATTCTCAAAACATCTCTTAAACGTCTGAAGAAATGATTTTTGGTTATTTTATGTCTACACCTACCATTTTACTACCCTTAACAGATGTAGCCTAAATACAATTAAAATAAGTACTTTAAAAAAGAAAAACTATATTAAAAAGGCGTACCATCTTCAATATTAATTTTTCTTTTAAGAATTCTTATTTTTATTCAAAAATATTAACTTAAATAATCAAACTTAAATACTTTAAATTTTAACTTATTAGTTTTTTTTTTCTGAAAAAAAAAACACCTACATATTCAAGTATAAATATATTGATAATTTCCTATATATATTTCTTATTTTCTAATAATAGAGTCCTTTTTAGCTTCTTTTAATTTGAATATATTTTTGCTAGGTCCGACTCGGTCCGGGCTTAACAATCTGTAAAACTCTATAAAATCTTAGTTGCATACAAAGAGTATATACAACGCATATAATAAATATATAGAACATAGAAAGCTTGAAACATTAATAAGAAGAATACTGGAATATTAAATTTAATATAAATATCTTAAAAATTTATAATATTGATATTAGCATTTAATATTGTATCAGCGTATTAGCTTAGAACATATATAATTTGGAGGAAAAGAGCATATAACACGTATATAATAAGGAATAATAAGATAATATGAGTTGTTTACCAATACGATTTCAGGAACATATTCAAGTAAGGTTTTTTTAGCTTAAAAATTGATTAATTTTTATAGCTTACAACACTTGGTATTCAAAAAGCCTCTATAGGCTTTACCACATTGACACTTCAGAGTGAGAAGGGTATATGGTGGGTTATTTCTCTCTAAAATATGGGTTTAATTCTTTTCAGTATTTGTGAATCAGTGGATGGACGTCGAGAGGTTGTAATTGTTGATTTATCTAATCCTTCAGCACTTATGAGACGGCCAATTAGTGCAGAAGCGGCGATCCTTCACCCTAAACAAAATATTATTGCACTTCGTGCAGAAAAACAGTTGCAAATTTTTCATCTTGAACTTAAAACTAAATTAAAAGCACATGTTATGGAGGAAGAAGTTCAATTTTGGACATGGGTAAATGAGCAAATGATAGGGCTTGTAACAAAATCGAGTGTATACCATTGGCCACTTCAGCCTGATACACAACCTATTAAGATATTTGAACGACATACATCTATGGCGGATACACAAATAATTAATTATCATATAAATAAAAACGAGAAATGGTCAGTATTAATAGGAATTTCGTCTAGAGAAGGAAGGATAGTAGGAAGCATGCAGTTGTTTTCAAAAGAAAGGAATATTAGTCAATTTATTGAAGGACATGCAGCAGCTTTTGCAACATTAAAAACTGAAGAAGCATCGTCAGAGTATAAATTATTTGTATTTGCGGTAAGAACATCAGTGGCATCAAAGGTAATTTTTTAATATTTTTGAGAAATATATACTAAGTATTTTAGCTTTATATTGCGGAGATCGATCATCATCCAGGAAATCCGGCGTTTCAAAAGAAAAATATAGATATATTCTTCCCACCAGAAGCAATCAATGACTTCCCTGTAGCCATACAAATATCTCAGAAATATTCTGTTATTTATCTTGTGACAAAATATGGATTTATTCATATTTATGATCTTGAAACGGGAACATGTATATATATGAACAGGATATCAAGTGAAACGATTTTTGTTACAACGGAATATGAAAATGGAAATAGTCTTCTGGCAATCAATCGAAAGGGACAGGTTTTAAGTGTATCAATTGATGAATCGAATATTATTCCCTACATTTTAAATAATCTTAATGACATTTCGTTGGCAATTAAGATGGCAACTCGAGGAAATTTACCTGGGGCAGAAGATCTTTATAAACAACAGTTTGATAACTTATTTTCAGCAGGAAATTATCAAGATGCAGCAAAAGTTGCTGCTAATTCCCCATTGGTATATTTCCCTAATATAAAAAAAAATATAAATTAATTTTTATTAAGGGATTTCTGAGAACACCGAAAACAATTGAGCAATTTAAGCGAATTTCTGTTGAACCCGGTCAACTTTCACCAATTATGCAATATTTTGGAATTCTTTTAGATAAAGGAAGTCTTAATAGTTATGAGACTTTAGAACTTATTAGACCCGTTCTTGCACAAAATCGAGAAAATCTACTTGAAAAGTGGCTTCAGGAAAATAAATTAGAATGCTCTGAAGAGTTAGGAGATATTGTACGACCACATAATATAAAAACTGCTTTAAGTATTTATGTTAAAGGAAATGTTCCCTCAAAAGTTATACAATGTCTTATAGAAATCGAGCAGTTTGAAAAAATTGTCCCATATATTAATAAAGTTGGATATTCTGCGAATTACGGCGCCATATTTCAGCAAATAATTCGAATAAATATTGAAAAAGGAATCGAATTTGCTACTCAAATAGCAAATTCTAAAAATATTACATTATCAGATATTGAGAAAATAACAGATGTCTTTTTATCTAGAAATATGATCCAACAAGCTACAGCATTTTTATTAGATGCTTTGAAGGATAACGAGCCTGAACATGGATATTTACAAACTCGTCTTTTAGAAACCAATCTTATAAATGCTCCTCAGGTTGCCGATGCCATTCTTGGTAATGAAATGTTTTCATATTATGATAAATCAACTATTGCAACACTCTGTGAAAAAGCAGGACTTTATCAACGAGTATATACATAATTTTTACGAATATTAATAATTTATATTTTAGGCATTAGAACATTATGATCAGATTAATGATATTAAAAGAATTATGAGTAATATTCATGATATAAATCCAGAATGGCTTATAAATTATTTTAAAAAGATTGATTCTGAAACATCTTTTGAATGTCTTGGAGAATTACTTAATAATAATAATAAACAAAGTCTTCAAATTGCTTTACAAATTTGTATCAAATATTCAGACAAACTTGGCCCATCTCGTATAATCAATCTTTTTGAACAACATAAAATAGAAGAAGGATTATATTATTATCTAGGAAGTATAATAAATACAACTGAATCACCAGATATTATTTTTAAATATATACAAGTAGCTTGTCAGATTGGTCAATTAAAAGAAGTTGAAAGAATTTGTCGAGAAAATAATTATTTAAATGCAGAAAAAGTGAAAAATTTTCTTAAAGAAGCAAAACTTCCTGATCAACTTCCTCTTATTATTATTTGTGATCGTTTTAATTTTATATACGATCTTATTTTATATTTATATCAAAATCGCTATTTTAAATCTATTGAAATTTATGTTCAAAAGATAAATCCATCACGTGCACCTGCTATTATCGGTGGACTGATTGATGTTGATTGTGAGGAGCAATTTATTAGAAATCTTTTATCTACTGTTTCGAATCAAATATCTATAGATGAACTTGTAGAAGAAGTGGAAAAGCGAAATAGATTAAAGTTGTTACATCCGTTTTTAGAGTCTGCTTTTGAAATGGGCAATCAAAATCCTTCTGTATTTAATGCTCTTGCAAAAATTTATATTGACAGTAATAATGATCCTAATAAATTTCTTCAAGAAAATAATTTATACGATACTCTTGTTATTGGTAAATATTGCGAGAAAAGAGATCCCTATCTAGCTTTTCTTGCATATAAAAAAGGCCAAAATGATTACGAATTAATTTATACAACATCCGAAAATTCAATGTTTAAAGAGCAAGCAAGATATTTACTTAGAAGAAAAAATGAAACATTGTGGAATTATGTTTTAAGCAATAAAAATTCATATAGACAACATCTTATAGATCAGGCAATTTTACATTATAATATCTTAATTTTATTAATAGTATTAGGTTATTTCTATCGCTGTTCCGGAATCAAATAGTCCTGAAGAAGTTTCAATTGTTGTTAAGTCATTCATGAATGCTGGATTATCAACGGAATTAATAGATCTTCTTGAGAAAATTATCTTAGAACCTACTATATTTAGTGATAATCAGAATCTTCAAAATTTACTTATTCTTACAGCTATTAAAGTGGACAAAACTCGCATTATCGATTATATAAATAAGCTTAAAAACTATGACGTTAATGATGTTGCTACGATTATATTGGAAAATCATTTACATGAAGAAGCCTTTGAAATTTATAAAAAACATAAAAATCATATTGAAGCATTGAATGTTCTTATTGAGCATATAGTGAGTATTGATAGAGCAGCTGAATATGCAGAAAGTGTAGATATAAAGGAAGTATGGAGCAGGCTTGCAAAAGCTCAATTGGATGGATATCGAGTCAAGGATTCTATCAGTATATTTCTAGAATTATTTTATGATCTTTTTTAATTAATATAGACTCATATATAAAAGCATGTGATCCAAGTAATTTCCATGAAGTTATAGAAGTTTCTTCAAAGGCGGGCAAATATCACGATTTAATTCGATATTTAGAAATGGCACGTCAAACTATTAGAGAGTCAGCTATTGATAGTGAATTGCTTTTTTCTTATGCACATGTAAAACGTATTAATGCAGTGGAATCCATGTTGCAAGGAGTTAATTCTGCTGATGTAAATATTTTAATAACGTTAATAATTTTTATTACTAATAATTAATAGATTTTAAGTGTTGGAAATAGATGTTATAAAGAAGGGCATTATCAGGCAGCAAAGCTTATGTTTTCGAGCATTTCAAATTGGGCAAAATTGGCTTCAACGTTAGTATATTTAGGGGAATATCAAAATGCTATAGATTGTGCTAGAAAAGCAAATAGCATTAAGTAAAAAAATAATTTATAAATAGAGGATATAATTGATTTTTAATAGAGTTTGGAAGCATGTTAATGATGCATGTATTGAGCAAAAAGAATTTAGACTTGCACAAATATGTGGTTTAAACTTAATCATTCATGCAGATGAAATGCACGATGTTATTGCAAAATATGAGCGTAAAGGATATTTTGATGAAATAATTTCACTTTTGGAAGTAGGATTAAGTTTGGAAAGAGCTACAAGGAATTTGTTTACAGAATTGGCGATTCTTTATGTTAAATATCGCCCAGATGCTGTATTAGAACATCTGAAATTATTCTGGAGTCGTCTACATATTCCGAAAGTTGTTAAAATGTGTGAAGAAGCACATCTTTGGTTTGAAACAGCGTTTCTTTTTATGCATTATGATGAATATGGTATTATTTCTTTATATATATATCATAATAATAACAGCTTTCAGATAATTCAGCGCTCATAATGATAGAACATTCACAATCATGGAATCATGATATATTTAAAGATGTTTTAGTAAGAATATATTTAAATTTTGAAAATAATTAACAATTCTAGATAAAAGTTTCAAATACTGAGATAATATACAAAGCTTTAGAATTTTATTACGAACAACAACCCTTACTTCTTGCAGATTTACTTTCAGTAGTTATTTCACGTGTCGATCATTCCAGAGTTGTTAAAATGTTCGAAAAACTAAATTCTATTCCAATAATAGCAAATTATCTTAAAAATGTGCAACCTAAAAATATAGAAGCAGTAAATAACGCAATTAATAATATGTTTATCGAAGAAGAAGATTATAAGTCATTAAAAGATTCTATAGATAATTTTGATAAATTCGATCCTATAAAATTAGCAAAACAACTTGAAAAACACGAACTTTTGGAATTCAGAAGAATTTCTGCATATTTATTTAGGGTATTCTCTTTTTTTTAAAAAAAGACGAATTAATTGTTTTAGAAAAATAAGAAATGGAAACATTCCATAGATTTATCAATTGCAGATAAATTTTATTCTGATGCAATTGAAACTGCAAGTCAAAGTAAAGAAACAGATATTATAAAGGATTTATTAAAATACTTTCAAGATATTGGCGCAAATGTTTTTATTTCCTTTTTTTTCTTTAATATTTCTAATTATTTTTCAAGGATTGTTTTGTTGCCATGCTTTATACAGGTTACGACTTATTACCTGCTCATTATGTCTTAGAACTCACTTGGAGAGGTGGTCTTGTAAATATCACAATGCCTTTTTTTATTAATTTTATCTATGAGCAAGATCAAAAGGTAAACTTATAAAATTATATCATTAAAATACTATCTATTTATTTAGATAAAACATTTACAAAAAGTCATTGAGAAATTCGAACTCAATAATTCTACTTTCAAAAACAAAACTGATTTAACTCTTACTACGGGTCTTTCTAATCGTCTTATTCTTGACACTTCTGACCGTAATCTATCTCAGTCTTCCGATTTTGGAGGATTTTAAATAATTTTATACAATAATTCAACATATAAAAATTATTTAAAATATACAAAATTCATTAAAAAAAATGCATCTTTAATCAAACACTAAAAATCATTCATTTAGATATCTGAAACATATTTTTTTTGAAAAAAGGTTTTTTTCGCAAAAAATAGTCACATCTTTGAAATTTCGTCATATAAAAAAGCGTGGACATCATAAAATATTTAAAAAGAAAATGGAAATAGAAAAAGGATCGAATCCAATGCGGGAAATCAAGATTCAAAAGTTAGTCTTAAATATTTCAGTTGGAGAATCAGGTACGTTTTTTTTCCTGAAAAAAAACGGACTGTTTTAATGAGATATCAAGGGGATAGACTAACAAGAGCTGCAAAGGTTTTGGAGCAACTTTCTGGGCAAACACCAGTATATTCGAAAGCTCGTTATACAAGTAAGATACTAGAGATTCTTTAGAAAATGTTTTAATAGTTAAAATAGTTCGTGCTTTTGGTATTAGAAGAAATGAAAAAATTTCAGTTTATGTTACAGTTAGAGGAGCTAAAGTATGTAAAAAAGAAAAGTATGTTAGAGATAGCATTATTCTTAGTTTTTTTTAAATAGGCTGAAGAGATTCTTGAACGAGGTCTTAAAGTAAAAGAATATGAACTGAAAAGATCGAATTTTAGTGATACGGGTAATTTTGGATTTGGTATTCATGAGCATATTGACTTAAATATTAAATACGATCCTTCTATTGGGATTTTTGGAATGGTAGATATAATATTATTTCTTTTTTTGAAAAATTAATATTTTAAATTCAGAACTTTTATGTTGTTCTTGGCCGACCTGGATTTCGAGTTTCAAAACGTAGAAGATGTCGTTCCTCTGTTGGATCAAATCATAAAGTTACAAAAGAAGATGCTATTCGATGGTTTAAGAATAGATATGATGCAACTGTTTTGAATCGTTAGAATTTTTTAATAAAATATTTTTCTTTTATATTGTAAGGTTTTAAAAGATAGATTATAGATATTTGTAAACATTTAATTGAAATGTTAAGGCGTCTTTATCTGTTTTTTTCACTTATTTTTTTTATACACAAAAAAATTATTATCTAGTAAATTATAAATATAAAAGATGAATTGAGCTTTTTAAGTCAAGATTATGAGCTTTATGATATATATTTGAAAGATTATATTTAAAAATATTAGTTTAAATCATCTTTTTGTAAAAATATTTGTAACTTTTAACTTATTATTTTTATTAAAAAAAATCAAAATATAAATTGAACTCTACTGAAAACCTATAATTTTCATTTTTTTCTATGAAAAACATTTGAGAAAGATTTCTTAAATAGAAAATTTAATATATAGTATCAAAATTGTATTAGTTTTTTAAAAAAAACTAAAAATAAACAACTTATAATGATAAAAATGAAAAAAATAGATATAAAATGAATAATTAGCTAAAATATTGTATATTTTATTATTACTTTAAAAATTTGAAGATTAAAATTTCTGAAATTCTTTATTAAAAAATATTATTTTTATAAATGGTTTTAGAAATTTATAAAACTAAAATTGAAGAATTTGATAATAAATTTATAATATTTTTTTCATATATTTAAAATTTAGCTTAAAAATACAAATAAATATTTAATATTTTGTTTACTCAATAAACAAAAATTTATTAGATATGTTCATGCTATAATATATATATTGGTAAAGAATAAGCAAAAAAATACATTGATAATGAATATAAACATATATGCTTCATATTATTCTAAATGTAACTAGGAAATCAAGACCCAATTTAAAACGTAAAGATGTATCTATCTACAATGTTTTAAAATATTAGGATCTTTAATAAAAATATTAAAATAATATATCCAAAAAAACTATATAGATATTTAATACATCGTTTATTAAAAGAAAACAATATGTTATATAAAAACATTTCCTGAGAACCTCTTTTTCTAAAGTAATTTTGGCAATTTTCCACTAGAATTTATTTTTTTCTGAAGTTTTCCTGAATTTTTGTGTTCATTATAAAAAAAAGAAAAATTATTTAATGAATTGTCTGTTGTGATTAATAATCCATTGTTAGATACAGAAGAATTCATATTCTCCGATACATGTTCATTATTTAAGTATTTTTTAGGATATTTACTTTGTAAATATGCTCTAGCCTGAATAGATAACTTTTCATGTGATATAGAAAGAGAATATTCAGGAAGATTAGCCCCATTCTGCAAAAGATATTCTGCTATAGGAAATGTTTCTTGCTGCGATTTGTAAGAATTATTTAAATCATTCTTTCCCAATTCATATGAAGATAAAGACAATGAAAGAATTAATGCAGAATCTCCAGATTCGGCATCTATAGTATTAGGATCTGCTCCAGATGCCAATGCTTGAACTACAGATTCAATATGCTTATTATATATACCAAAAAGTAGACTTTTCATAGGATCAGAATCGTACAAAACGAATGCTTTATCAACATATTTTGCATAAATAAATTTATACTTCTCTTCCCGAGAAGAAGTTGGAAAAGGTTTAATTATATTTTTCAAGTTTTTCACAGAATCATACGTAGCCTCATAGATCAAATTCGTCATTTTATTTCCAGTTTGACAAATAAAATCAATCAAATTATTAGTAAAAGATGTTGTATCAAGCATTAAAGATCGTACTTTTGAAATATGACTTCCAAGTGATCGGTGAACACCTGAACATTCTATATTAAAGTAAGAAAAGTAATATTTAAATATTAAAATTATTACCAATACATAATATCGCTGGAATATTTATAGAACACCATTCTGCTTTTGAAGAACTATTACAATCCGCACAGATAACATTATATATAGGGTCAGCATCATGTATTATCTTTAAAAGTTTATAAGCATTTTTAATGGAATTTCTATCATCTTCAATAGTTAAATTAGAAGGTAAAGTATTTCTATAAAATATTTCTCCATTTGATTTAGACATGGGGGTTTTATCCACATTTTTATAGTGAGAAAGATCAGAAACAGAACTCGTTCCTTCTAATAAACTTTCTATTGCCTTAGAAATACTTTTGATCCATGAAGATACATCCTCTTCAGATGTTGCCTGATAAATTCGTCTAATTTTAGGAGTTATAACTTCAAAACAAAATCTTCTGTCAAGAGAGCAGACTTTCTTTACACTTGCCATTCTTAAATCAATTGGGATATTATGAAGATCTATAGCTTGTTTCCAATTTTGATATTCGCACAATTTTCCTCCAGCTAGCACAATCCAATATCTAAAAAGGTTAATTAAACAAAATAAAAAAAGAGAAATCTTACTTATGCCAATTTAGCTTTTGCACTACTTTAGGATCAGTATAACCCCTTGGCCTAGAAAGTGCCCAAAGAAGCCCTTCTTTTCGTCTCTGAGAAATACTGTCAGAATCATTTTCGTTGGTGTCTTCTAATCTTTTAGAATCTTCATTTGAATATAAAGATATTTCAGCATTTTCTGTAGTCAACAATTTATTTACATTAGAATCAAAACTATTATCTTGAGAACTGCAGTAATTATTTGAAGTCAAACAGTGATTCTTATAGCCTGAATCTTTTGATTTTTTTTGATGTGTTGTAGAAGAAAAGAAATTATTCGATTGTACAAATATTTTAGATTTTTCTAATACCCGCCTTAATTCTTCTCTTTTTGTAGAGACATGTCTAAGATTCTTATTAATTTCCTGAACACCCTGAGTTAAGCTATCAAGTCCCGGTTTTAAATCAAGTATTACATTAATAACTCTATGCAACGTAGAATATTGATTTTCCACATATAAAGTAAAAAGATGTAAAATTTCTTGCTCCTTTTTTCCACCACTAAGATCCTGCATAAAAGAATAATAGTCAAAACATTTAAGCTCAAAATCTCTTTTTTTTGCAAAGTATTTCGCATCTGCTTTATAAATTTTTTTATCTTTAGAAGAATCACTTTTACTCAAATAACGTGAGACAAACTGATAATAATCATGAGAATCATCTTCAAAATTCTTCTTTTTTCTTTCAGCAGCTTTTATATCGGCTTCATAAATACATTTTAATGGTTTTATAATCAAGCGTTGTAATTGAAGTGCATTATTATATTCAAAACTTTGCAGCTGCTGATTAGCTGCTTCCAAATATAGTTTCAATACAGGTTTCATTGCAATAGGATTTGATTCAGAGACCTTTTTTAATGTATTCATAAACCTACGATTTGCATCATTTTTAGTTATTTGAGAATCATAGAGATCGACAGCCCTTTTAATTAATTTTTTGATTCTATATCTAAAAACAGTAGTCTTTTTTTCCAATGCTGTTATTATTGCACGAAATAATGGACCATCGTTCGGTTCATTTTTAAACGCATCATCAAAATTATTGAAATTAACTACTGAATTCAGATTGCATAATAAAGAATTAAATAAAGCATTTTTCTTTTCAGAAGAGTGATCTTCATTCTGATAAATGTTATCTTTTTGAATATGTACGGAAGTATCATGTGATGATAACGATAAAGTTTTATCAAAAAAACTAGTAGAACTTTCAGATCGTTTTGCAAAATCTAATTATGTTATTTATAATCATAAAAATATTTATAGCCCTTTCCTTGAACCCAAAAATTAAATTTGGCTAATATAGAAAAATCGTTGTTTTCATGTTGAACAAACTAAATAGTCAGTAGTTTATCATAATTTAATTATTAAATTACATAACACGTATTCCTCCATCCATCTAAATACTTATTCTTAGATGAATGAGGTTTCCATGTCCAAGACCATTCAAACTCTTTTTCTAATAATCCGTCTGTTGAAATATTATCTAAAAAAGAAACATTTTGACAATTTTGAATCTAAAATAAAATTAAAATATAAAAAACAAAATACATTGTTAAATACATTTTCAAAATCCTTTAATTCCGATGCCAAAATGTTATCTAATTCAAATATATTAGAGCCGTAAACAAAAAAAAGACCTTTAAAACACATGGTCTCTATTTCTTCTGGTGTTTGTAATCGAATGCTAATATTAAATTTAACATGTATCTCCTGATCTGCATAGAGTTTTAAAAGAAATGGTAAGAAACTATGAGTAGAAGCTTCTGGATCCTTTATAAATATCATTATTCAATATATCAAAAAAATAATGAAATTTATTACAAAAATAAACTCAATAGGCCATTCCCTATCACTAGAAATATTGATAAAAGTCTTAGGATATGTTTCTACGGTTATATAAATTGGTGCCTGATCCTTAGAATTGGTAATAACAATAGACTTAAAAAAAACTGAAAAATGAGTTAAAATCCAAAAAAAAAGTCAAAATTATATAAAACATTTTAACTTATCAGTATCTATATATATTGCAGGCTTTTCGTGCATTCTAGAGCCTACATGCCCCATTTTTAACAGATCATCTAGATCTTAAGTAATGCTAAATCTTAACGTTAAAATTAAATCGGAATATGAAATATAAATGTATTAAAAAAATATGTATATATTAGTATTTATGAAGCTTAATAAGGTATAAAAATATCCATGTATTATAAATATCAATGATTTGCAATCTAAAAGAAAATTACTTTAATAAAAAAAATAATCAAAACTACGGTAACTATCAAATCTCCAGCATTTATTATATCTCCTAGAAATAATTAGTTATAAAACATTATAAAGATGAATAGACCCTGATGAACCATAATTTTATCAACTCTTCCAGAGATAGGAGATGAAATAATAATTTCCATTTTCTAGAAATTGTTAAAGTTAGATATATTGAATTTTTATGTAATAGAATAAATACCACAGCACTTAGAACAGCAACAACATCTCCCTATAAAATAAGTAAAATATAATGAATAAGATAAAATACCTTTTTAACAAAAGAATTGCATTGAACGTGAATTTCAAGAACAATACCAGACATAGGTGCAGCAATATCACCTTGTTTAGATAAATCAGCTTTAGGACGAGAAATCGTTTTAAGTGCTATTTATCATAAATTTTTAAATAAAAAGATTAAATTTAGGAACCTGATTTTTTATCAGTTACTGTAATAGGATAAATTTGTCCATTTAATTCAAAAAAAACATCACAAGAACCCGTTTCTTTTAAAACAGGACCAATAGCAAGAAGTTTAATTATATGGATCTAAAAAAATAAAATATTCATTGATATATTCCCAAACAAAATACCTGTCCTTCGACTTCTATTTGAAATTCTTTACCAAATTCTGGCTTGGCCATAACGTAATAAGTTGGAAGAATACTTATGTCACCATACTTTTTTACAAACTGATATAATTTATACAAAAATTTAATAAATTTAAAAGCTTACTTTTTGATATTCATCATACACTTTAGGAAATTGTATATAGGTAGCAATATCTGTATCATCAATAGTTCCGTATTTTGATATAAGTTCAGAACGAATTTTAGTAAAATCTATCGGTTCAAGTAATTTTCCTGCTCTTCCAAATATTTTTTCACGCTTATTTTTAAGAACATTAGTTCTTAAAGGTTCGGGAAAACCTCCATACGGCTCCCCCATTAGTCCTTGAAAAAAATCAAGTACTGATGCAGGGAAGTCGAGTTTTTCTGCTTTTTCAATAACCTAAAAATATGAGATTTAAATATATAAATACGGAAATCCAATGAACATCGCTATAAGTCAGGTTGTTTTGGACCATAAATAGTGCTAAAGCAATATTTAAAAGAAAAATTTATTAATTTATTAATTTACCTAGATCACCAACTACTTTAGATGTAGGCGTAACCTTTATAATATCACCCAAAAGAAAATTGGCTTCTATATATGATTTTTTTGTAGCTTTTTTTTTTTAAAAAAATAAGCGTTTAAAATTTAGTAATAATAATATATAATTACCTTCCCATTGGGATACAAGATTAAGCTTAGCCGTTTGAAACTTCAGATTCGATAACTGTCCTCCCGGAATTTCATGTTCATAAATATCTGTTTCAGGACCCTTTAAATCAAAGTCAAATGGAGAATATAAAAGCCGTATTTGCTCCCAATAAGCATCAATATTACGAACATGTTGCGCACTTAAACCAGTTTCAAAGGGTGTATTTTCAACAGAAGCCAAAAATGCAGAAATACTAGGCTGAGACGTCATCCCAGACATACCTATTTGTATAAATATCAAATTTAATCATTTATAAAAGTATTACTATTAGAACAAAGATCAATTACATCTGCCCCTGCTTCTGCACATGCCAACATAGAAACTACACCAGTACCTGCACTATCATGTGTATGAATATGAATTGGTAAGTCTGGATATTTTTTTCGAATAGACCCAACTAGAAGTTTGGCCGACTGGGGTTTTAAAAGTCCGGCCATATCTTTAATAGCTAAAATATGAATTCCCATAGATACAACCTTATCTACTAAAGACATATAATAATTATAATCATATTTTTTTTTAAAGTTTAAAATATCTCCTGTATAACATATCGCTGCTTCAATTACACCACCTGCTTTTTTAACAGCGTCAATTCCTAGAGCAATATTTTCTAAATTGTTAAGAGCATCAAAAATACGGAAAATATCAATGCCATTTTCTTTTGCTTGTTTACAAAAAAAATAAATAGCATTATCCGGAAGACTAATTTTATATAAAAATCATAAAAATATAAATAATCCAAGAAATACTTAGAATATGCCAATCCATTAGATCCGCGCAAAAGCATCTGAAACGGAATATTGGGAACAAGTTTTCTCAATTTACGCTTTTAAAATTAAATCAAATATTAAAATAATGAAAAAAGATTTACCAAACGATCCCATGGATTTTCATGTAAAAATCTTAAAGCTACATCAAATGTAGCTCCACCCCAACATTCCAAACTAAATGCATTTTTAAGAGCATAACTCGTATGAGGAGCAATATTCAAAATATCAATTGTTCTTATTCGAGTAGCGAGTAAACTTTGATGAGCATCACGCCATGTTGTATCCATAACAAGACAACCAGGATAAGCACGTACTTGCCTAGAAAATTCTCCTGGACCTTTTTCAATAATAATTTTACGCCATCCTTCAGAACATGGTTTAGTAATATCAATAGTTTCATTAGGATTTTCTAAATTTTTAAGTATAGGAAATATAATTTCATCCTTTAATTTCGGCTCTCCATTTTGACCTTCTATATAACTTTCATTTACAATAACATCCCCAATATATAGAAGTAAATTCTGTATTTTATTTCCAACGGAAGAAATAGGAAATAATGATGTATCATTAATAAAAGTAGTCCAACATTTTCCTAAAATAAAAATATCATCATTAAGTAAACGTAACAAAAATGGGATATTTGTTTTGATTCCATAAATACGAAATTCTTTAAGAGCTTGCAACATTTTTCGCCTAGCAATTTCATATGTATGACCATTACATGAACATTTCAGCAGCAAAGAATCATAATAAGGCGACACAAACGCACCAGCAAATACATTCCCCTCATCTAATCGTACTCCATTTCCTCCTGGAGGATAATATGCCTCAATTTTCCCAATTTCTGGACGAAAATCAGATTCAGGATCCTCTGCTATAATACGACATTGAATAGCATAGCCTCGAGGATAAATAGAATCCTGAGATAATCCAATCTGAGGAAGAGTAGCGCCCAAAGCAATTTGAATCTGCGCTGAAACAATGTCAATTCCCGTAATTTCCTCTAAGTAATTATTTAAAATTTGATTCTATTTGTAGATAACAATACCAGTTATAGTATGTTCAACTTGACTAAAAACATTAGTTTTCATTATTAAGTTTAACTTTTTTCTAACATTCGAGTATTAACTTCAATAAAATAATGTTTTCCTTGAAAGTCAACTAAAAATTCAACAGTCCCTGCATTTGCTACAGAAACGATTATAAATTTACTAAGAAAAGCGCAGGCATACTGTAATTAATAGCCTTTGCTAACTTAATTGCATCATTAAGAATAGCATTGCGTACATTTAACTATAAAATTATAAATTAAATTTTCTAGATATATTATAAAAAGTTACATCAAGATCTTTTGCTGGAGCAACTTCTACAATCTTTTGATAGCGTCTTTGAACACTACAATCCCTTTCAAAAAGATGTACAATATTACCAACATTATCAGCAAGAATTTGTACTTCAATGTGTTTGGCTCTATCGAGATATTTTTCTATAAAAATTGACCCATTGCCAAATGCACCTTCTGCTTCCGAAATCGCTCTATTTATGTAATCTTCGAATAAGTCTTCATTATAAAGAACCCGTATTCCTCTTCCACCGCCTATTTGATAAAATTACTTATAAAAATTTTTATTTTTTATACCTCCACATGCAGCTTTAATAAGAACGGGAAATCCATACTCTTTTGTAAATTCTAAAGCTTCTTTTACAGTAGAAATAGGGTTATACGTTCCCGGTATAACAGGAATATTATGTTCCATAGCTAAAATGATCAAAAAATAATTAAAAAAATAAAACAAAAAATAACCTATTTTTCTTGCTCTAATCTTATCACCAAGAACATTGATAACATCAGGTGTAGGCCCAATAAAAATAATACCAGCTTCTTCAACTTTTCTTGCAAACTCTGAATTTTCAGATAAAAACCCATAGCCCGGATGAATCATATGTACACCTCTATTCTTAGATATCTCTATAATTTTATCCTAATTAATAAATTAATGTAAAAATCATTAAATCAAATAACAAAACAATAGCCAAATATGCAGAAACAGGCGTATATTGGCCAATTTTCCCAATCATACAACTCTCATCAGCTTCTACATCGTAAAATAAAAATCATTGAAAAAAAAAAAGAAAATACATACTCTGTCTATGAATACTAAATCGGTCCTCTTCAACATTAACTATGAAATTTAAATTATAAAAAAAATATTTATACCATAAGAATAAATAGCTAGCTTTAATTATTGTTAAAAAGTAAAAAGATAAGTTCTGGACTCTACTGTAGATATAGAAAGTTCATGTGCTGTTCTAAAAATTCGGGTAGCAATTTCCGAACGATTAGCAACTATTCTTGAGTCTTAGAAAAAAAAATATAAAATTAATTATACCAAGGAGCTTCAGTTTATCCTCTGCATCCACTCCACTTCTTTTTATTATCCCATTTGAATCAAAATATTTATTATAAATAATATTTTTATCAATCAACATGTATTTTAAAATTTAATTCTTATAAAGAAAATTTCTAAGAAAAAATTAACTTATTTTTTATTCAAATCACTTGTCATTACTTCCTATTTAAATTACTAGTTTCCAATAATTCTTATTTTTCTCAATTATTTAGAATAATTCTAATATATAATAATCGATCTGCTAACTCGCCTTTATAAAAAAAATATATGTTAGTTAAAAATTATAGAAAAAATAGAAATATATGAACCTATATGTAAAAGATAGAATTAAAATTTCGGACGTCTTTTACGTGCAGTAAATTTGCTATCTCGAGGAATATTGTCTTTATACTTTCTATATTTTTCTTTTTTACGAAGAATCCATTCTTTAGTGTTTTTTATTTTGGCCTTTTCTTGCTTTGAAGATTTAGATCGTTGAGAAGTATGAGACATTAATATAGGAGCTTGATTTGATCCTATATTTCGGATAGTCATATTTGTACCACCTCCAGCTTGAAGAACTAAATAATATTTTTTTGCCTTTTTTCTATCAGGATAATCTATAACAATTCCTCCAGAAAATCCACATTTATTTGCTAGAGATGTAATAATAGAGATACTTTGATCTGTCTCAGGATAAAATTGAAAAACTGCGCGAGCACCACGTATCAAACATGAATAAAGAGTTGAAAAAAGTCTCATTATACGTTGATATGGGTTTGAAGACGACGTATCTGCATTTAAAAGCCATTGAAGAACTGAAATAGAAATTGCTCCATCAAAACATCCTCCTCTAAATGGTAGCCCATGTCCAATATCTGATAACATTAAGTCTCCCTCATTATCTCGCTTAAGCGCTGCCTCTAAAACAACATAAATCCTTATCAAGAGTACCCTTATACTTTCATATACCCAACATCCATGGAGATATGTCCATACCAACCCATATATGTTTATCTTGATCAAGAATTTCACCAGAAAGCCCTGAACCACAGCCGATATCCATTAAAAAACATGATTTTTTCTCAGGAAGATTAAGAAGATCCAACGATCGAAGTGTCATTTCTGCCTGAATTATCTGAGTCCTTGAATTACTTGTATATTTTTTTGCTTCTGCTTCATTATAATAAATATGTGGAGGCGCTCAAAAAAATCACTTCAAATTCGCAAACTCATAATATATAACATACCTTGATGCTCTGGACGAGTCATTCTTAAAGTTCTTAGCCCTTGCCCAGTATATTTTTTAAAAAAATTATTTTGACGTTAAGTTTAAGACAGATCGGACGTAGTAAAAACAGAGAATTTTGAGATTTTTAATAATTTAGAAATTAAGCCTATAATTTGCTCAAAAAATGATAAATAAAACAATGAAATCGACAAGATGTGTTATAGGAGTAAGATTTTTAAAAAAATGGGAGGAAAAACGGGCTTATTTGAGCTATAGAAACCATCGTTATTCTCCAGATCTATAGCAAACAAAATTGGAGGAAGATATACAGTAACTCTAATCCCAGGAGATGGAATAGGAAAAGAAATCTCGGAATCTGTCAAAACTATTTTTAAATCCCAAAGAGTTCCAATTGATTTTGAGCAAATTGATGTTACAGGAAAAATTAAACCTGATGGAGAAAATGATTTATTTAAACAGAGTATCGAATCTCTTAAAAGAAATAAAATTGGTCTAAAAGGTAGAAATTTTCAAAAGGAAGGATTTTAATGTTTTTTTTTTTTGATAAAAAATAAATTTAAATTTAAAAATGGTTGAATTAATTTAATATTAGGAATTTTATATACGCCTTTGGAATGTAGTGATCATTCGAGTTTTAATGTTTCACTTAGGAAAGTATTGTTTTTGTTTTTCTCAAAATTAATTTATAAATAGACAAGATTTAAACGTATATGGTATATTTTTTTGATTATTTATTATTATAGAGATAATATTGTTAGCAAATTTAACGTTAATTAAAAACATACCGGGATGTCAAACATCTCATAATAATGTAGATTTTGTTATTATTCGCGAAAATACAGAAGGGGAATATTCTGGTTTAGAACATCAATCAGTACCAGGTGTTGTTGAATCGCTTAAAATAATTACACGTACAAAATCTGAAAGAATATCTCGGTTTGCATTTGATTTTGCCTTAAAAAATAATCGAAAAAAAGTTACTGTTGTTCATAAAGCTAATATTATGAAATTGGGAGATGGATTATTTCGCAAAACTTTTTTCGAAATTGCAAAAGACTATCCACAAATCGAGGCTACAGATTTAATTGTTGACAACGCAAGCATGCAAGCTGTTAGTAATCCTCAACAATTCGATGTTCTTGTAACCCCCAATTTGGTATATTATTTTTTCTTTTTAATATTATAACATTAACTAATTTTTTCTAATAGTATGGAAGTATTCTAAGTATATTTATATACAATTGTTATCCATATTATATTAAATAATCTTCTTATATAGGCAATATTGGTGCTGCTTTAGTAGGCGGTCCTGGTTTAATTCCTTCTGCAAATTATGGTGAAGAATATGCTTTATTTGAACCAGGTTGTCGCCACGTTGGTTTAGATAGTAATATTATTAATTTAAATATATATATTAACTTTTTATTAGTTGCAGGCAAAGATAGAGCTAATCCAACTGCATTAATTTTATCATCAACTATGCTTTTACGTCATCTTTCTTTAGACGATTATGCCTCTGCAATAGAACGTGCTGTTTATGATGTTATTTTAGAAGGGACTGTTAGAACTCCTGATATGAAAGGAACTTCATCTACAACAGCCTTTACAAATGCTATTCTTGATCGATTAAATCAATCTACTTCATAATTTGCTTTTTTAAAACAAATTCAAAAATATTATATAAATCTATTTAGAAATTCTTCCATTAAAGATATTAAAAAAATAGCTTTGTCTTTAATCTTTTGTTTTATATATTTTTTTTATTCACTTTTTTTTTTTACCAAGTTTTCTTGTCGGACAATTGAATATCGTAAGCACTAATAAAATGTGCAGAATGACTTAGAAGACCCGTTATAGAGAAAGGAGCCTATAAATAGTATACTTAAGCAGGAATATTAAAGAATTAATTGATTTAATATAGTATTTCTAAAAATAATGGGATTATTTAAGTTAATATTGATTAAATGACTAAAAATATTATTAAGTGGTAAATAAAGTATAATGAATCAATTAAAAATAAAGGATACGTCGATACAAGGCGTCAATAAAGTATATGAAGATTTACGAAATGAATCGGCAGAAAATTTAATACAAAAAAAACAATTTACAGGTCAAGAAAAGGAATATGTATCTCAAATACCTACAGTGATAGATTCTCCGTTAGATTTCAAAGATGGACATAAATTATGTGAATCATCAGTAGTTTCTGATACAACGGTATCTTCATTAGTCAATAATTTTGGAAATGATATGCATATGTTAGTTCAACAGATGATGAAAGAAAAAATATCGCTTCATACACAAAATATGCAACTTTGGAAAATTATTGATAAGCAGCGTGCAATGTATTTGAAAACGATTTGTTATATTTGCATTATTGAAGTGTCTTTAGGATTCTTGAACTTCAAAAGGATCTAGAAAAAGCATTTAAGGAAAAAAAAAAGTATTATAATTTATGGACAATATCATCAAAGAAAAAAACCCCTAAGAATGTAAAGGAAATAGGCATAGCACAAGAAGTATTGCAAAAAGTCCCATCAAATTTTATTTCAACTCCAAATATACGCGAATCGCAAAAAAAGACTCTCTTAAATGAATCTCAATCACCTAATATCGAGAATTCTGAATTTTCATTTATTCATTCTGAAGACAGGAATTTCTCTGTTTTAAATAATACTTCAGATGATTGTTTTTTATCTACAGTTCAGCCTTATTCAAAAATTAGAAATAAAACATTATCATCAATACCTCAAGAAGAAATTCAACATCTGACTGATGCATTAGATCAATCAAAGCCAGAAAAATCATCTAGAAGAAGTCCTGTCTTAACGTCAAAAGAACAGGGAATTAATCTGGTTTATAATCAATCAAATATTACAATTCACACACAATCTCCTATCTATCCAGAAGAAATATCTACGTATAAAAAGTTCAATATCACTTACAAAAATCTTGATAGCAGTGCTCAAGATTTAAATATCAGTGATAATTCGAAGAATTCTGAACACAATAAACCACATTTTTCAAAATATGATGAAATAAATCAATCATTAGAGTTAAATAAGGATAAGAAAATAAAAAATGAAGATTCCGAGATGCCATTATCGGTTTTTTCTAATTCGTGTAAACCAGTTTCTGCATCTACAGGGGATTCAATTATTTCATTAAATGCATCACAAAATTGCAAGTCAAGCTTAGAACAAGAATGTCAATTTTCATCATCGTTAGGACAAGGTAATTCAATCCAGGATCCATGTAATAAATCTAACAAAAACAATTATCCTAAAAATTTGGAAATAAAAATTTCTCAAGAAAATATTTTATTAAAACAAGACAACGTTAAGGCATATGAATCTGATTTAAACTCATCTGCTTCTATTGGCCTTGTATCTAAAACTAATCCTAACTCTCACGAAGATTATTTAGATAAAATAGGTCAAGCTTTTGATACCATAGCATTAAATGAAGAAAACACAGGGAACTCTCTTTGCTGCCCATCTGGGTCCAGTCTGTATCTTCCTTGTGATATTTCATCAATTAGTCTTAAAATTCTAAACTCAAAGTTGCGTATGGGAAAAAATAAGGAGGAAATCTTTTTTTCAATTGGGATTTTTCAAAATACAGAAAAAAAAAAGGAACTTTGGAGAGTAGAAAAAAGCGTGCAAAAGATATTAGATTTTGATGATAAGTTAAGGCGTATTTTGCTTTATTGGAAAATTCCCGATATTAATAGTCTTAACACTCAGAGTACAACTCGTGTTGATCAACGTAAGGCTTTATTAGATCAATATTTAAAACATATTCTTTCAGTTCCTTTAGACGAATCTGCATATTCTCTTCTAAACGACTTTTTAAACACTGATATTGAAATACAGACTAAGCCTCAAATTTTATATGCCAAACAAAATACAATAGATGAAGAATGTTACAATGAATATGATACTGGACCATGTGATCTCATAAAAAAAGAAGGCTATTTAACTAAACGTGGAAAGAACTTTGGGGGATGGAAATCGAGATATTTTGTCTTAGATGGCCCAATTCTTAAATATTATGAAACTCGAGATGGTATTCAATTAGGTAGTATTAGGCTTTCTCAGGCTCAAATTGGTCGTCAGCAGTTACAACCATATTCCAATTTATCCTTTGAATCTCATCCAGATATTTCATATGATGATAACTCTTATCGACACGCATTTTTAATTCTTGAGCCTAAAAGAAACTATTCATCAAGTTTTATTAGACATGTTTTGTGTGCTAAATCGGATAAAGATTGTGACGAATGGGTTCAAGCTCTTATGCAATACGTTGATATTAATATTTCGGATAATTTTATTATGTCTACTAATACTGAAAAAAAAGAACGAAAAAATTTTTTTAGAAAACATTCTATATTAGCAGATACAGCGCGTCATTCAGTATCAGCACTTGCTAATATTAATGCATATCAAATGTTGAATAATGAATTAAGAACTACACCGGAGAATACTAAAAGCAATATTGGAAAGTTAGAAGAATCTAATTATATCGAAAATAATTCATTCTCTTCCCCCATACATAATTTAAAGAAAAATATTTCTGTTGATTTTACATCAAATCTTTCAAATGATTTATTTGGTAGCTCTAAAATTATACAAACAGCAGAGAATTCATTAAATAATATAAAACCATATGAAAGTAACCTTTCTGGGAATTACATATCTGACGAATTGCTTAAATTAGATAAAAAGTTCAAAAAAAAAGGTTTTTGGAGTTTTGTAAATAAAGGTAATATAAATTTATTTCATGAGGAGTTCCTTATGTTCCTGATAGATGTAAAACAAAAGCCTCTTGAATCAATGTCACAGGAGTTGCAGACATCTTCTAGTAATAATGATTTAAATACTCACACATTAAATTATAACTTTCATAACATATTTGGAGTTCCGTTGTCTGAAGCTGTTTATATTAGTCGATTGAGTTTAGAAATAGATATAATGATTCCAAGCGTGGTTTATCGTTGTATAGAATATTTAGATAATAACAATGCAGAAAAAGAAGAGGGAATATATCGCCTAAGTGGTTCAAATACAATAATCAAGTCTTTGAAGGATAAATTTAATGCAGGTATTGTCATCAATACGTTCTTACTTAAACTAATCATTTAAAAGAGGGAGATGTTGATTTACTAAATTCAGGAAAATGTTATGATGTTCATGCTATAGCTGGTCTTTTAAAGCTTTATCTTCGAGAACTTCCTACAAATATTTTAACAAGAGAATTGCATTCTCAATTTTTATCCGCAATAGGTTAATATAAAAGATAATCTAATGATAATAAACAATTGATCTTTTCTTAGATATTCAAGACACTGAAAAAAGAACCGATGCTTTAAATAAACTTGTTCGTTGTCTACCTGAAGAAAACTTTTGTCTATTACGTGTTTTGATCAATCATTTATATCGAATAGTAGCTCATGCTAATTTAAACAAAATGACTTGTCATAATGGTAATTTTTTCTTTATTTTACACTTAATATTCATTCTATCTAGTTGGTATCGTCTTTTCTCCCACTGTAAATATACCTGCTGGAATTTTTTCTCAATTTTTAATACATTATGATATTATTTTTGAAGATCAATCAACTTCAACTACATTTCCCCCATCTTTAGATCAATAGGGATGATTTTCAAAAATTTATATCTTATTTTATTATCAAAAAATTGTTTTGATATTTTTTATAAAATATTACAAAAATACTTTTTTATCAAAAATCTAGATAAAATGATTCTTTTTTTTCTTCAACAAAACATTAATGACAATATGACTTTATACAAAAATATTCTCTTTTTTATCATGCAAAATTCGGTATTTTCTTAAATTGTCACTTACTTAAATCGTTCAGCATAGATTATTTTTAAAAAAGACACCTTTTAAAAATATATAGAAATTTTTAGCAAATTTTAAAAATATATTTGTTTACTTTCTGGCTGCAAACAAATATATCTGTTAATAGTTTGGGTGGCAAATTTTATTTTTTTCTATTGAAGGATATTTTTAAGTGACAAATTCTCACGCGGCGGTCTAGATTTTTTTGTAAAAAAGTTAAAAAAATTAAAAGACAATTAAACAAAAAATATAAGGCAGGATGGGGTTGAAGGAATTGTCAGATGAAAAGGAGGAGGTTCCTAAAGGTTTGGTTCAAAAAATGGGTAAGTTTTTACGCAAAAAAAAGAGAAAAAATGAATAAGAATTAACATTTTTTTAAATAGCTACAATAGATATTCAAGATTCTTTATATGTTAAGAGAACAGCAACTTATGTTCCTCCGCATCTCCGTGGTAGAATAAATGGAACGGGTGATTCTCAGGGGAGTTGCGGAGGGCGGAATACAATGTCGATGGTTAGATCATCAACTTGGAATACAAGCTCAGATGGAACATATGGCTCCAGAAAATCAAGATATGGATGTGATTTATTTTCCTATAAAGGACAAAGTGATCAGGGTTCATGGTGGAATGGAAAACATATTATTGGAACACGGAATCAGCGTTTAGAACGGGAGCTTTTTGGATCTCAATATGATTCGAGTACGATGAATACAGGGATTAATTTTGATAAATATGATGATATTCCTGTGGAAGTAAGTGGGACAGATATTCCGGAGCCGGTTTCAGTGTTTACGAGTCCTCCTTTGGATTCGCATCTTTTAAACAATATCGAACTTGCAAATTATAAGAACCCGACACCGGTGCAGAAGCATTCGATTTCTATTGTTATTAATGACCGGGATTTGATGGCATGTGCGCAAACAGGTGTGTTTTTCTTCGACATGTGTAAAATTTAATAAAAAAATAGGATCGGGTAAAACAGGAGGGTTTTTATTCCCTATCTTATCGAAAATGTTTCAAACGGGACCAAGTGATTTATCGAATAATTTGGCACATGCTTCTTATATTCGTCGAAAGGCGTATCCAGTTGCATTAATTCTTGCACCCACAAGAGAATTAGTAAGTCAAATTCATGAAGAATCACGGAAATTTTCCTATCGATCATGGGTAAAACCATGTGTTGTATATGGTGGTACGGATATTGGTTCTCAACTACGTCAAATTGAACGTGGTTGTGATATGTTAACAGCAACACCGGGTCGTCTTGTTGATTTGATTGAACGTGGCCGTATTTCTCTTTCAAATATTAAGTATCTTGTGCTAGATGAAGCCGATCGTATGCTGGATATGGGTTTTGAACCTCAAATTCGTAGAATAGTTGAGGGCGAGGATATGCCGGATGTTCAGAACCGTCAGACGTTAATGTTTTCCGCCACATTTCCTAGGGATATTCAAATTCTTGCACGAGATTTTCTAAAAGATTATGTATTTTTAAGTGTTGGAAGAGTCGGTTCAACTAGTGAGAACATTACGCAAAAAATCGAATATGTTGAAGATATGGATAAAAAATCAGTTCTTTTAGATATTTTGCATAGTATGCCTCGCGGAGGTCTTACATTGGTTTTTGTTGAAACTAAGAAAATGGCTGATACACTTTCTGATTTTCTTCTAAGTTCCAATTTTCCAGCTACAAGTATTCATGGAGATCGAACTCAGCGTGAGAGAGAAAAAGCTTTAGAAATGTTTCGTGGTGGAAGAACACCAATTATGGTTGCTACTGCCGTGGCTGCTCGTGGACTCGATATTCCTAATGTAACACATGTAATTAATTACGATTTGCCTACCGATATTGATGATTATGTACATCGAATTGGGCGTACTGGACGTGCTGGAAATACAGGCATTAGTACTGCCTTTTTTAATCGTGGGAATAGAAATATTGTGCGTGATTTACTAGAATTACTTAAAGAAGCAAATCAGGAAATACCGTCGTTTTTGGAGAGCATTCTTAGAGAAAATAATACTTTGAATTGTCGTAACAATACAAATAGTATACGCGGTCGTCGCCGAGGGGCAGGCACACGTGATTATCGCAAGATTTCTAATGGAAATAATTATGATGACTATTCAAATGGCAATAATTACGGTCCTATATCAAATAGTTATTCCGATAGGAGTTATGGTAATGGTTATAGTTCTCAATCATATGGAAATCCATCAAAACTAACAAATCAAAATTGGTGGTAACAATAAAATGGCATATAAACAATTGTTATATATTTCAATATCTTTTTTTGAATTTTTGCTTCATCTAAGTGTTTTGCACCTACATATATGGCCACTTTAATTTCATCAGCGTTATTATTTAAAGAGTTTTTTTCGTTTTTAAGGCAGTCTTTATTTTTTAATTTCATAAAGGCAATTGTACTTTTAATTGCTAATTATTTTTCTTTTTTTGAATATTAGTTGGCTTTTAGGTTCCTAGGCAATAATTTTTTGTTCAATATATATTACATATAAGATTATAATTTAACATTTTTAAGAAAAAAACTGAATTAGGTTGTATAAAAACACTTGGAAATCATCTTTGAATTTATATTTTAAGACTAATAATATCTGTATAAGCATGAAAGGAAGCATCTGGTTGATATCTATATTAGTTATTTTGTTTTTGTTTTTCTACTTGTTTCCTTTTGTGATAAATAAGATAGAATACTTTGTTGCCTGGAGCGTATTTATATAGATTTAACATTTCTTAATTATTTAATGTATTTAAATTTAATTAATGCTATATTCTAGGTCAACTACTGATTTAAAAAAAAATATAAAATTAATAAGACACTAAAATCTTATAAATTTGCATATTTTATATTCAAAATCCTTTTATAAAAAGAAATAGTTAAGAATATCTTTTATTTGTTATTTCATAGGAAAAATTTTTGGGTTAAAAAAACTAAGTCTTTAAATCCTCAGAAGTTACATTAAATAGAAAAGGCTCTATATTTTATTAGGGTTACATCAGATTTGATTTTTCTTTTTTAAAGAGCTTAAATATGGTACTTCTATTAGGCGTTGTTTTGCCTGATCATAAACCATTAAGAATTGCATTAACTACATTTTACGGCATTGGATATTATACATCATCAAGAATTATGGCATCTTTATCAATACATAAAACAGCAACAGTTGGTTCATTAACAGAAGAACAACTTATTGCACTTTCACATAAACTTGGTACATTTATTTTAGAAAATGATCTACGTAGGAAAGTACAAAGAAATATCATGCATTATAAAACAATTGGGAGCTATATTGGAAAAAGACATTCTATGGGGTAGGTTAAATATTTAATTATATCTAATATTTTAAAATGTAAAGATATCCAGTTCATGGACAAAGAACAAGAACTAATGCAAAAACGGCTAGAAAGTATGTTTTTTAGTTAAGGTATTGGGTTTATTAATTAATTTAGATTAAACCGTATTGACAGACGTCAATTTTGTACATTTTTTTTTTGTTCTCAAGAAAACAAGCATTTTGATAATGTAATGAAAATTTCACGGGTTAACACAGAAAATATTTTTATTTCATGGAAAAAATTCAAGCCTATAGTTTTTTTCAGTTTTTATTTAAAAAAAATGAAGTTTTTTTTTAAATAAAACATATCTATAAATAGAATCAAATTTTCTTAAATCATCTTTATCGCTTAAGAGTTGAAATAATAGAATAAATTGATCTAAAAATATTTATATAGACGGGTATTTTATATAAAATGCTGATATCTGAATTTCAAAAGAAATTCAAAGAATAAAATAATTATAATAATAACAATAAAAGAATGTTCAATACACCTCCTTATTTCAATATCCATGTGATCTCTATATTTAGCTTATAAGAACAAAAAATCATGAAATATACTTTTATAGCTATCTACAATAATAATTGTACTGGTGTTTGCAATTTTTTAATGATAACTTACTTTAAAAAAATATTTACAAGTCGCAAATCTAGCGACAAATATTCATAAGAATTTTTGAAAAATAGATATCATACATATAAACAAGATGACTATTAACTTCTAAGAGATGCTAGAATAAAGTTGCTTAGGAAAGAACGCGAGCTTAATAACAAGAGAATTGGATTGATGATTTTAAATAGATGTTTGTGATCAATGCTGGTTAAGAGATGCAAGATGTCTAGATTCAACAGGATTCTCATTTTGTTCCGAATCAGAACAATGTGCTAGACAAAAGATCAGAGAGCTAATATATTTTTTTAAAAAAACCTGTTTGTTGGACATTTTGTACTTGGGTACGTTGTGCTTGTAATAATTGTTGTCGTTGAATAACCAATTGTTGCATTTGTTCTTGTGATAAATGGACACCTGGCGGTAATCTTAAAATTGGTGCAACTCCAGTAGGATTTACTAGTGTTTGACTAGGAGTAGAAGGATGAACTGAACGATTAAACCTTAAACCATTAACCATTCCAGGAATAGTACGTGATGCACTTTGTACGCGATTTTGTATATTTATCTGAGAATTTACAGATTGAACCTGAGCCATTTGTTGTGAAGTAGAATTAATTTCAGGAAAATTGGATCTTCCAGATGACTATTTATATCAGTTTAGTTTTTTATGCACGTAAATATTTATCACCCTAGCTTGATTTTGTAATGCAAGGGCAACAACTGCATTTCTTTGTCGGATATATGCTTGAGTAATAACTTGATCTCGCTCATGCTTAAGTCGCGAAAGATCTAATGGTGTTGGTGCAGCTATAGAAGGTTTATGGGATAATCCATGTGTATCATGAGCCGAAGTGTTTACTTTTTTAGATGGCGCCACTATAATATTAAGATAAGAGAAATTATATTTGAGAGCAAAATATATACCATTCAATTTTTGAGAAACTTCTCTTTTTTTCATAGTTTTTCTTATAGCATCAAACATATTAAATTGACGTTGCCTCTTAAATCTGGAGCTTAGTGAATTTTTCCCAATATCTTTTTTTGAATGAAATATTCCTCCATAACTATTTGATCTTGAATTTTTCAAAAGAGGCTCAAGTTTCGCATATGCTGTTTTAGCATAAGGGCCAACGAAAATAACATTTGAAGCATGAGGATCTAATTGGACCCATCGTTCAAAACAGTCCCATGCAGTTTTTTTTTCTGCTGAAGAAATCCACTTTATTGATGGTGTTAAAGTTTGAGCAACAAATTCCCAATTAAACTGATATTTAGGAAGATATGTCATTAAGAGGTTATCTTCATCTGGACTCCATATTGGTTTATGATTTTCGAGATTTAATGGAATATTAGGAGGACGCAATTGTGAAGGATATGTTGATTTCTTTCGTGTAGTCGATACTAATAATTATTAATAAAAAAAAATATATATTATAGTTACTAGAATTAGAAAGAGGAAACTCGTTGATTACAATTCTTTGTTTATCAGCGATATCATCAGTATCTATTGATGCCTCTCGTTTTCTTTTTTTAAAAAACTTGTCTGAATGAGATATTTTAATATGTGATTGTGTATATTTTGAAAGAGGAATAATCTTCATTTCATCTAATGGATCATAATATAATGTATCTTCAGGTACAGGTGGTCGGTAAACTGGAAGATCAGGTAATACTGTATTTGAAGCAAGCAAAATATTCGAAAAAGTAGCAATAATTTTGTCCGGAGGAATTTCCAATAATTGAACTGCATTTTCTATAATAAACAAAGGAGATGAATGTAACGTAAAGATATTTTCAGAAGAATCATTTTTCATTTCAGATTCGGTATCACTAAAACTTTTATTCTTATTATTCTTTTTGTCCTGATTAACTAAATTTTGTGATAAATTCATGTTATTTCTAGAAAAATAAAATGGAGTATTACAATCAATTATATTATATTTTTCATTCTTTGAAAACGATATATACGATTTATTCGAATTCGGCTGAAAACAAACATCTGATCTAGTTTTTAATCTATGCCAATCCATTATCCAGTTGGCTATTTGTTTGGCTAAAACTATTTTCCACTTTCTCTCCTCTTTAAAATCTGCTTGTAACCATCTCTAAAATTATTTTTAGCAAATTCTAAAGAGATTATATAAAAAATACCATCTCATCTAACATAAAGTCCCAATGTGCTTTTAACCTAGATGGTGTTTTCTGTTTTATCATTTGTCGAAAGCTCCATAAATTATTTTCCTTCAATTTATTGATACGTTCTAGAACTTTTATAAATTTTGTTTCTATTATTGCAGTGTTCCAATCTTTTGTAGCAATGATTTTATTTGAACTTTGCATAAGCTTATAAATTGGCATAGAAGACGTTTGTATTAACCAAGATAATAAATCAGTGTGACTAGTTTTATTTTGCTTACAACTTGGAGAATGTCTCGATACATGCAAAGAAAAACAGTCCGAATTCTGTACAGATGGCTCAATATATGTATGTGGAGTGGTTGGCTAATCAAAAATTAAATTCCAATAATTATATAAAAAATCGAGTACTTTTAATTGTTCTTCAATAGCCTTATCCTTAAAAACACTAGAGGAATCACATATTTCTACTTTTTCTGGATTCTCTGAAAGTGAATCGACAAAAAGTGTTTCAGTAACTTCAGATGTTTCATTTTCTTTTAATGAAGTTAAATTTTCTTGTGAAGAAATATAGCTTTGAAGAATGGATTCATCAAATTTTAAACCACTAAATCTCTGTAAATTAATATTAAATGAAATATTTGGATAAAAGACTTTTGAAGACTATTTTTAAGCAAAAACGTTTTTAATTCATCAGATGAAGAAATTTTTTCACAAATACCCACATCAATATCTGGAAAATACTTTTCAAGAGAAGATAATATAAAAAGCTCTATTAATAATTCCTTTTGGCGCAATTCAATCTCATTTTTCAGTTTAATTTTCTTTTCAAGAATCTCTTTACTAAAAGAAGTGTTAGGGTCAACATAAAAAATAATACTGATAGAATAACGTGTATAAGATAGAATATTTAACTTACCTCGTATCTAACTCCACTTTTTTTTCATTTTTAGATGAATCTATAGACATTGCTTTTTTAGAAAAATATCGTCAAAAATCAATCAAATTTTCTGCTTCAAAAACATATCTTAAATTTCCAATAACTCCTAAATCATCTATTATATTTTCAGTATTTTATCTCTCCATCCTCTATTATTTTTTACATTTTATATCATTTTTATGTTTTTTGGTCGTCCGTCCAAAAATTTTAAATAAAAACCTTAAGTTGGATATATATAAAAATTAGAATGATTGAATAATGAAAAAATAGAAAATTGCAAGAAAGTCTTATTTAAACATTTAAAAAATGCAAATAAATATAATTAATATAAATATAAAAAACAAAAAAATCGATATATGTAAATATTTTAAATTTTATAAATAATATTATTAGAAATCATAATTTTGTTTTGTTCTGATAATTTATTTAATGCTGCCATAACTTCGCGAGTTGTAAAGAGTTCTTCTTGTGCTAATTCTTTATTGATTTCAGAGAATAAATCATTAAAATTTGCATATTCTTCTCTGAACAAAGGCGTAGTTATGAGATGTGCTAATTTAGATGAGAAAAGGGAGAATCTAGATGGAGATATGACTTGTTCTGTAGGAAGATTTGGCTGAGTGTTGTCTTTAGAAAGGCTATCTTGATCGATTTGAGATTGTGTATATAATGATTGTGTGGATCCCCAGGAAACTTGAGTTTCTTGTTGAGATTCCTGTTGTATATTTCTACCGCTAGGCTCTTGTGTATAATCAGTTATATGAATATTATTTATGTCGGGCATTGGAGTATCGTCATCAGGATGTTGCATTGTAGCGATCTTTTTACTTGATTTTAACTGAGGTTCTATATTATTTTCATCTATTGCTTCACATTCATTTTCTTCGCTTTCACTATCTTGAGTTTTTTGAAGTCGACGTCGTTTTCGCCGATCTTCTTTAACAATTTCTTTAAATAAAGAATATCTGAGAATTTCTTCAGCAATATAAGCATCTTTTTCTTCAACCTTTTGAGATAATCTAACTTTGGCATGTGCAGTTGATAAACGGATAAGTGTTTCTAATGTCCGTGCAGTTATAGGTGATGTTTTACGCTGATTAGCTCCTAACTCGTCATTTCTCAAAGCGCTATATGTAGATATAATATAATCCGCCGCCTTTTTCGTAAGTACGGGTTTTATTCGACTTTTTGCGTATTGAATGTATTTCTTTAAAAAAGAAATACTTAAAATTTCATTTTTTTTTGATTTTTCTGCATTAGAAGAATTATTATAAAATATTTGATTCATTTTTTCATAAATTAAACTATCAGCTCCAAGACCACTTCCTGTACCTACTGATAAATTTTTTCCATATTTATCTGCTACAGGAACACCTTCTTCAGTACCAGGTGCTAAATAACGATGCATACGCAATACATGTTCAGAAATAGAACGGTCACGAGCCTCATCAATATCATCTGTAATAACAAATAAAAGATCGAATCGAGATAACAAAGAATCAGGTAAGGCAATATTTCGATGAGGATCTTTATGAGGATCATATTGACCATAAACAGGATTTGCAGCTGCAATAACACTGCATCTTGCATTAAGAGAAGTGTGAATCCCTGCTTTTGCTATTGTAACAGTCTGCTGTTCCATAACTTCATGAATTGCAATACGATCAATGTCAGACATTTTATCAAATTCATCAATACAAATCACTCCACGATCTGCTAATACCATAGCACCTGCTTCAAGACGACGTTCTCCTATTCAAATTTAAACAATTATAGTAATAAAAATAAATATAATATACCTGTTTCTTTATCCGTCGTAACTGCAGCTGTTAATCCCACTCCAGAAGAACCCCTTCCAGTAGTAGCAATAGCTAATGGAACAGTGTTTACAATAAAACGAAGCATTTGGGATTTTGCTGTAGATGGATCACCTACCATTAAAATATTGATATCACTAATATAATATTATTTATAAAAAAAAAAAAGAAATGCCAATACCCTCTAATATGTGTTCCATTATCAAGATTTTTTTCAATCCCTCCAAGCAGCAAAAGAAGAACCGCCTTTTTAATGTAGTCATATTCAAAAATACTTGGGGCAAGAGAGCGAGAAAGTAATTCAAATATGTTTTTTTTTTTTGAAAGTTTATTAATATTTCTTATATCTGTATCCGTAATATCTATCTGTGCAATACCTCCATTTCCTTTAGAAGATAATAAAATAACATTGTTTGCAATAATAATTGTTCGAAATGTAGAACTTGATGATGCATTTCTATTTCCTAAAGCCCTATAAAGACCTACTAATTGAATGCGATCCCCAGGTTTTACGCGATCGACTAAGTCATCATCCATAACTACATCAATACTTCTTGGTAATTGTCCAGCAGGTGCTCTTTCAGGCATTTCTTGAATAGAAATTGTTTGATGATCGCGATAAACAGAATATCCAAATTCCGTAGTCAAAGGATTTCCATTTTCATCTTGTGTAGGATAAACACTAGATGTTGGTATTTCATTACCTATTGCCGTAACATCTCTATATTCATGATAATGAAAAAGCTTTGTTTTTTCACAATAGTGAACAGATTTCACTATTTTTGGACGTACAAGTGAACAACGTGTAACAATTCCCTCAAGACAAACCAATTTACCCAAATGCTGAGCACGAATAGTACGTGGACTTATATCTAAAAAAGAAAATCTAAGATCAAATCTATTAAGAAAAAAAATATACGTTGATCACCAAATGATCCAATTAATCCAATATAAAACAAAACATCATCAACTTTATGCTTATTAATATCTCTTATTGTTAAAACAACGTCTTTTAATGCTTTATTGAATGGTGGCAAATATTCTGAAGGTTCATTTAATAATCTTATTAAAAATTTAATAAATATGATAAAAAACTATTTTAAACAATACCCATCTGCAAGATTGCGATTATAGTCTCTAATATCATCAATATTTACAGTTAATCGTCGCTCCTCAAGATGAAGCATACGTTTGATTGCTTCATGATAATTTACAACGTTCTTGATTAATTATTAACCTTTTCAAAAAAAAAAAGACCTACTGGATCATCCAACCTATTATCTAAGTACTCTTGCCATATTCTTACCCTGTCATTAAATAATTGATCTGGTAAAACAGGTAATTCCATTTTCTCAAATTTTTGTAGTCGAGAGGTAAAGTATTAAGCTAGATAAAAAGAAAAAAATATAGCCACCTTATTAAAATACATAATGACGAAGATTTTTTGAAAATGTATATTGGAAATATGTTTTTTTTTTCAAAAAAAAAGGGACATTTTTAATATAAAATATTATAATGATTTTTTTTACAAAGACATTGATAAATTAGATGTTTGTAATGAATTCTCTTTTTGAAGCTGTCTAATAGCTCTTTCTAGATGCATTTTAAAATCTTTATTATCGATAATTCTTGATATGATGGAAATTTTAGTAGTATTTAGAAGAAAGTCATCATGAGTTGTATTTTGTAAACTATTTCCATATACTTTTTCAAGAGAAGATGATGCAGATGGATAAAAAAGATTATTTTTTAAAAGATATTTAAGATGTTGTGCGCCATGAAATGCTAAAAAAAGAATTATAAGAAATAAAGAATAACAATGAATTAAAATACCTTTCCAATGAGAATAAGCTCTATAAAGTAAATAAAAGCCTGGAATGTTAGGAATAATAGGTATTAATGCCAGAGGAAGTGTAAATGGAGTTCCGATGATAGAAAAAATCATCCATCGTTTATGAAATAATGCTCTTCGTTCGACCAAATCAGATATAGTAAAAATAGCTTTTTCAGGCCCGATAGATGTTGGATAATGTACAGTTACCTTTTTTATGTTAGAAATTTCTTGTTTTTTTCATATTTCTTGGCAAAATATACTTTATATTGTGACGATCCTGTTCCTTGTATCTGATCTACCTTTTTTCGAGATGGAATATTCCTAAGACTCCATTCTTCATAAGGAAGACTATCTACTATTTTGTTTCCCAGTTCTACAAGCCTTTTTTTCCATTTTATCTCTGATTGTCCCCAATTTTTCCAAAGATCTCCAACTTTATTTGTAAATTTATCAATCAATGATGGTTTAGAATGAATAGAATTTTGATGACAATATAAGAAAAAGCGGTTTCTTGTGATAGGAATAATAAATAATTTCATCCTAACCTAACAAAATCATACAGATAACTTTTTTTTTGATTTTGTACGTTAAGATTCTTCGTACAAAAAAAAAACAATAGAATCTAAATATTATTTAATAAGATAAGAATGAACTTTTATTACTGTACCTAGTATGAATATAATATTATTTATTTATTATGTATTTTTTAAAAAAAATTCAGAAAAGTGTATGCATAGAGTATATAATAAAATTGAATATAAACTCTATCTTTTTGATATGATAAGAATATTTTTTTAAGATTTTAAGAGAAAAAGGCGAATTGATTATGAATCCTGGAGAAAAAGTATTAAACGTATTTTTCAGTATCAAATAAAACAATAAGATCTGTATAAATACCCTTATTTTTAGCCAAATCACAAATTTTTTCAATAAATTTAGTAATTTGTTCAATAAGAGAAGGATATAAGGTATTTGTAATAAATATAAGAGAATTTTTGTCTATAATATCAGAATAAAATTGATATTGAAAAAAAGTTTTTGAAAATTCAAGAATGATTGAAAAAATATTTGTAATAATATGAGCCAGAGATGTTTGAGATGGACCAAGAAAACAAGAGAAACAGATTTGATCAAGTATTTCTAAATGAAAATGAGTTAAAGAAGTAAGAGTAAAGTGAGATAAATTTAATTCAATATCTTTAAAATATTTTTTTAACCCTTGATAATTTGATGATAATGAAATATTAAAAATATAGAAGAAAAGTGCACGAATGAAATGATAAGCATGAAAACGAAATCCTAAAGTTATTTTAAAATAATCCGACATTTTTTTATTTGCCTTAATTCCAAATAATTTTATAATAATATCATTAATCCGTATAAGTCGCAATAAAAATTTTGTTAACTGGTCATATTTGACTAAGCAAGAATCTGTTATAATCTCATCTAAGGGAAACGTTGGAGTATACACGATTTTTAGGAAATCTAGTGCCTCAATATCTATAAAATTCTTAAAAAAATATACAATAAAATGTTAAAAGTTAACTGTAAGGATCCTCTATTTTTTTATGTTCTGATTCATTCATTTCCTCAATTGAAAAACTTAATCCTCCTATTAAAATACTTTCTGTTCCAAATTCCTGCTTACTTAGAAGAAATTTTGATCCAAAAGTATCAAACAAAACAGTTTGAAGTGCTATAGTTAGTTCTGTAGGTCTAGGTGGCCATTTTCCTTTAAGTCTTGATTTGCAATTTAATTCTAATGAATATTTATTATACCCCAATGTAGAACCGAATAGAGCATATGAAAGTTTTAATATAAAAAGTCCGTCATTAAATAATTTTGCTTTCCAAAGTAATGATAAATGCAGTTTTAATCCAATATTTTTGAGAAACAGTTTTACAAGTGAATTATTAACTAAATTTGATTGAATAGACAATGGAATTATGAAACAATGTATAGGTATTATATCGATTGGAGCTATATCTTCCAAAAAGCATGCTTCATTTATATTTTTATTAAATGGTGATATGTTATTTTCAATTTCACTTTCAAAAAGATTGATTGAATTTTTAATTGAATTTATGATTTTTTGTTTTGAATATTCAAAAAATTCAAACTTAAATTTTTTATCGGATTTCTTTAATTCCTTTAAGTCAACTGTTTCGTTATATTCATTTGAATTTTCAAATTTTTCAATTTCAATCATTACAGCTTTTTTATATATATTTATTTTATTAGTTAAACTAAAAATATTAATAGATTAAATAGCATAGAAATCCTTACTCATTTATATTTTCCCATTTATATTTCCATTCTAATTGAATATTTATTTTACATACTTCTCTGTTATAAAATACTCTACATAAAGGATGATTAGGTTGAATTTTATAGAGAAGTCTAATAGCTTTTCCTGTGTTATAAGCATCTTCGAAAAATGATTTTGGAAGATAAAGACAATTTATATTATCCATCTTATTTTTGTTAATTAAATTAATATATTAATAAAAATAGTACCTTAAAGCATTCATTTAAATTTACATTATTTTCTAAATAAGAAATATCAGTTTCATGAATAAAAAATCCAGATCTTTTCTTTTTCCATATTTTTTCATTGTTAGGAGTTATTTTTTGTAGACCAATCCATTGTTCTAATGTCTCTAACCACGGTTGACTCGAACATTTAAGTAAATATCTCGAAATTGATGAAATATTCCCAGTGTTTATATGAAAATCCTCGTATACAAAAGCATAAAGTGCATTCAACAATTCAATTCCTTGTTTTATTTCTAGAAAAGGTGGTTCAGGAAAGTTTTCTAAATCTCTAAAGCAAAATTTTGCCAATTTCCCTAAATTTTCTTCAATATACACATATTTATGAATCAATCTTAATAATAATAAAGGCTCGTTGATGTTATTTAGTTCCAAAACCAAGATATCATTATACTCTTTCAGTATTTCTGTAATACACGAAACAAATGCTAGAACAGAAGAGTCATAATTCCTATAAATTATACATCAATAAATATTAACAGATATTTTAATACTACAATGCATTTTCCTGGATAGCATCTTTAAAAAGTTGAAGTCTAAATGTATGTGTACCAATGCTTAGAAAAAAATCAATTATACTAATTCAATTAGTTCGTCATTAGATAAAACATTAAAAAAGAATACTCTTTAGTTGTTTCTTTCGTACAACCTGTAACTCTTAAATTTTCAATAGATAAGGAAAATCTCAAATGCTTTTTATCCCAGATAAAAAGAGATGAAGATTCACCAAGAGAAAGGAAAATTAGAGACTTTTTAGATTAAATATATTTCCATTTTCCATATATTACCTACTTCATATAATAAAAATGGATCTACCATTATTCCTGCTTCATTTGGAGAATAAATATGATTCAATTCTTTTACTAAAAAAAGATCAAATACATTCATAGGCTTTTCCGTAATAAATGGATTCCTGTATGGATTTGAACCTGATTCCTTAAATGTATTCCATGTAAATTCTTTAGGGTACTTGTTTAGTTAACATGATATTTAAAAATATCCATTTTTTACTGATAAAATGAAATCTTCCAACCAAATATCATTCGAATATTTCTTTTTATCAATTAAATAAGCATCAGAGTTCTTTTTTAGATTATCGATATTTTCATCTTTTGTATTATTTTTAGACATCTTTTTCAATAAGATACTTGAAATTAAGTCTGAACCAAAGGGTTCTTTCCCATATAATGGATCAAAAACAACATTCATATCTATATTATTAAATAAATTGAATCTATTTATGCTTTCTATGGTATTATTTAGATAAATTAACAATTAATTATGTAAAAAAGTTTTTACCTTTAAAGTCTATTTTCTTGATCAATTTTGCATCTTTTTCAATTTTTTTTTCAATTTCAAGTTCCCTGAATATATAAGAGTAATTTTCAATTGATTTTTTCATCTTTTTTATTCTTTTTTAATTCTCTTTTAGAGTTCCTTTTTTTTATTAAACTAGTGACGTTGCCTAAGAGCCTTCAAGATGACCTCATAAAAAGCTATAAAATAATAAATCAAGAATTTATGAGAAAGAAATAGAAAATAAACATGTCTAATAAATCTAAAGACCATGAATGGACAGTTGACGAGGAGATTGCTCTTCTTCGAGCTGTTTGCAAGTATCGGCCAATCGGTAAAACTCGTTAATTGAATGATGGACTGAAGAGAAAAAACGACTAAAAAATTGAATAGGAATACATAAACATTTTAGAATAATATCTGTTATGAAGGAAATGAGTTGTTTCACAGTTCGTTCGGCGGAAATTTGGAAGAAATTGAAGACTTTTTATGATCTGGAACAACTTGATGAAATTGTAAGATAAATGGACTTTTTATCTTATAGTTTCTTAATCTGTATTTTTTAATTAGTCAGAGCGTTTTCGTAATGGAGGAGGGAATTTTTTAAAGGATAAAAATGGGACGTTTGATTTGTATTTTACAGAATTTCTTTTACCATGGGAAGAATATGGAGAAATTATGGAAGAACATCGACGAGCAAGTGACAGTACATCTACAAGTCCTCCACATCTGCCTTATGGAGCAATTGGGCTGAGTAAAATTCTCGAAGAAGCGCAGGAAATTGAAACATTTCAGACAGAGAGTCTAGAGCCGGAAATAACAGATGATGGTAAATTTATGTATGTATATTCTATTAATTTTGTTAATATATGAAGATTTGCAGCTCTATATCTCTTCCAACAAGAAAAAAAAGCCTTTAGTTTCACGAATTATGCGTCGAACAAATAGACAAGAGAAATTAAATACATCTGTTTCCGAAAAAAACAATGTTCTAAATACTCTGCCTAATACACGTACTCCGAAATCTGAAAAACCTTTACAAAATACTCCTTCAAATATGCGTCGAAGTAGTCGGAATAAGCGTTAATAATACAATTTGGTTAATTGCACTTTTGGCTTTTTACTCATACATTTCTTATATCTTTTCTTTATAATATTTCCAACTGCATTAAATAATTTTATAACGTAAAAAAAGGTTACTTTATTTATTATATTAATTTTACATCTATTAGGAAACTCAATATTTATCTTAAAACTATGAAAAAAAGCTACGTGTATTTCCAGGGACTTTAAAATATACTTATTTTTGTATAATCGTTTATTTAAACAGGTATTTTTCTCTTATATAATTTATGGTATTATAATTTACAAAAAAATATAGATAAATTAGATGAGAATGCTTTTTTATTTTTTGAAATAGAATTTAAAACCTGCTTCACATTTAATTTATAAATTTATCAGTTATTTTTTTAAAATAAAAATATTCAGGATTTTTGTATAAAAAAACTTAAAAATGCACAAAATTTTTTATACTTTGAAAAAAACAAAATCATACGTTCTATCAATAAAGTTCTCTTTGGATTTATATTATTTTCATATTTAAATTTTATTAAATATCGGTTTTAAAAAAATTATTATAATATTACTATTAATATAAAGGTATTGTTTTAAAAAAGCTATTCTTTATTATAACATCAGTAAAAGTATTTTATGGTATATAAGAAAGGCTATAATGTCTGGAAAAATATTAAAATCACTGTTAAAATCTTCAAAAATACGGATGAGTTGGTCAAAACAAAATTTATATAAATTGTCAAGGAAAATAATGCCTATTCAGGGAAGAACACTTAGTAAACAAATAATATCTGCAAAAAATGAGACACGTGCTTATCATGGTGAAATGTTACGTGAGCATCAGTGGCGGAGACTTTTTAGTCTTAGTGAAATAGAAAAAAGAAAAACAAAGGAATTATCTGCAATAAATCTATATTCTATTCTTGAGAGACGAATAGATACAATTATTCATCGTGCATTGTTCGCATCAAGTATAAAACAAGCAAGGCAGATGGTAATTCATGGGAAAGTTAAAATTAATGGAAAAAGAGTAATTTAAATGTAAATTGTTAGTGAAATGGTAATAATTGGATAGGTAAGGGACCCTGGATATTTCTTAGAACCTGGGGATATGTTTAGCGCAGATGTGATTACAGTTATGAGAAATACAGGTTCTCACGAAATGTTCCAAAATAAATCTTTAAAGGGCAACAAATCATTAAAGAAAATTGAGCCATATATACCACGGCCATATATGAGCCCATTTTCATTTGTCCCTGTATATTTGGAGGTATCTTATTTAACATGTTCTGGTATTTATCTTCGTCATCCAAAATCACGACTAGGTGTATCAGAAATACCAAGTCCTTTTTCTTCAGGTATTTTAATAGATTCTTCTTATTTAAAACTAAAAACATTGAAAGATATTCATTCATTGGCATATAGTTATTATATAAAAAGACGAAAAAGAAATATAGCGTACAATAATTATAGACATTAACTTAGATGTTCAACAAAGTTAGTTACAAGTTTTCCATTAATAATCGTACTTTTAAGCATTTCTGGTATATGATGTTCTATATAGTCGCCATTTTTTTCCTCTAGGACATGGACATTAATACTGCTAAATTTGCTAGTTATAATTTCAGTGCTTAAGCATTTTGGGGAAAGATAGATCTGACTATTATCACATTGATCAAGTGTTATTGTTGGAGTATAACCAGAAATCTGAATTTCAAGTGACGCAGATCGAGTAGACTCGATACCTGAAATAAGTGTATCTATTATTAATCCGCAATTGAATGATTGATCTAATATGTAAACAAATTATTAAGAGAAAGGAAAAAAAATACCTATATAGACTGTATTTGCTTTTCCTTTAAGGGAGATTGTACATCTTTTACAATTAAAAATATAGATTGTTTGATTCGTTTCAAGTTGATTAATAACAATATTATGATTATCCTCAAAATTTTCCTAATCATATAAATATTTAAATATATAAAAATGGTTTCTATACAATATTCCAGCGTGATCCCGCAAGTTCTTTTTTACACGGCAACTTGGTCTTTTTTTCTTCTGTTGTCGAAACTTGAGATAATCGATAATCTGAGGGAGCAGATGATTGTGCCGAATGAGAGGGGCTTTTATGTGTCGTCTGATTTTTATTGACTTTACGTAATTTTTCTGTAATAGATTCACCCATATTAAGTTCTGAAAAAACTGATTCAATATTATTCGATCTTTTAGTTCTGGATTCTGATATACGAGGTTGTAAAACAGCATCTGCTTCTGTCTTATCTTCTATATCTGTACTATTATGAATCTTTTTATCGTTTTCTAGATTCGTTTTCTTAAAATATATAAAAATCATTAAATCTAATCAATATAAAAAACTTACATTTGAATTCCATAAAAATCCTGCATTGTAGTATAATTTAACATATGATTGCAATTCAGTTAATAAATTAATAAATGAATATACCCATTTTGTATCTAGTGATCCTCTAAATATTTTGTTAGCAAAAAACCCTCTTTTTTTATAAAATACTTCTCTTTAAGAATTCTATTTGCATAAAATTGTGCGCTATCTTTCATATCTCCAATATAAAGCACTGGAGTCGGTTCTACCGTAATCCATCCAAGAGCAACAATTCCTTCACTAACCATCGAAAGATGATTAAACATTTCTGATCCACGATTTTTATTCCGAATATTAATCACCTTATCAATCTTATCTTGAAGAGGTTGAATCAACGTTTGAAACTCTGATGATGAAAAATCAGGTTTTTCCATACATGACCCTTTCTCAATAAATTCTCCAAGCATTTCAAATGCTTCCAAAACATACTGTGCCTAATATACTTGTCACAATATTGTCCTATCTTCCTTTATTAAAAAAACCTGCTCCATTACTTCCTTGTCTAATTTCTCACTAAAACACTGATATTCTTTCATAATTGAAAAAAAAAAAGACTTGAATACTGTTTCTGGCTTTTTTTCCTCATCTTTAGAAACTTCTAAACTTTCTACACTCAATCCTGAAAGCTTTTCTAATCTTTCTGCTACTGATTCAAATCTATTTTTAAACAATAATTAGAAAACTAAATCAAAATCAATTAAAAAAACCTCTTCACAAGGAAATGAAGATTTGCTTCTATATTTTTTTCACGAGTTGCATAGATATTTGAGATCATTAAGGATTTAATAAAGAAAATAAGATTTTTGAAAATTTAAGATCGTTCTGAATGCTGAGAAACTTTGGAAAAAAAAGTCATAGAAAGTTGATATATTACGCATATATTACGCATATAATACGCATATACTACGCATATATAAGGCATATACAGCACATATATAGCAGATTAATAAAATTGTAATAAATAAAATAAACTTGAAATCAAAGATTCTCCCTTTTATAGTTTTTAATTTGAATAAGAATCTTTTAAAATATGTATTTTAAAACTATTCTATATAAATCATCTTTTTAAATATGTAGATTAAGTATTCGAAAGCATATATTACGCATATATGACGCATATATCCCGGTTTATGCTGTAAAATCAGTCTTTAACTATGGCAAAACGACATACTAAAGCAGCTGAGAAACTTGCTCGTATTCTCATGGGTCCTGGTGCTTTTAAACTTCCATCAGATATTCATGGCTTAACCTTATTTATGGCTTTTAAAAATAAAGATGGGCATATGGGACCCAGGCAATTTATATTTATATTTTTTTTATATTAATAGATATAATAGAAAATTTTGGAAGGATTATCTGCCAAGTATTCAGTTTCATAATCCATATTTGCATATTCAAGTTTGTCGGAGTCATAAGGAAAAAGAAGCAAAGTTAAAGATCCACCAGAGTAGGTTTAGGTATATATGATTATCATCTTAAATATGCAGAATCGGGTGACATAGAGCTTGATATGAAGCATAAACATGCGTTAGATATCTGTCGAGAGTTTATAGAGAAAACAAAAGCAGTAGCAGTAGGAAAAGAAGAAATGAATGAATTTATAGAAAAGAGCAATTTGAAAGGTTGAGATAGACAATTAATGAAAAAAACGAAAAATAGATAAGATTTGTGTATATTTTTGAAAAGAAAAGATATTTAATTAAGAGTGGGAAAATAATTGATTCCAGGCAGCAACAGAGCCAAGAACAAATACAATAAGACAAATGTCACGTATGCATGTTTTGTAAACCAAATAGAAACGAGAAAGGATAGCTAAATATGATTTTATAGAAGGTGAAAGATAAGGATCTAAAAAAAACCAATTAGGAGGATGAGAATAAGTCTATAATGTTAATAATATGAAAGATTGGAGAAATAATAGATGTACCGTTTGAAGTAGAAGCCAAATAGAATGTAAAATCCATTGAATCATCATAAAATAATAAAAAACTGGCTAAAAGTAATGTTTAATAAAACATTAGAAAAAAAACAAACATACTTGTTCCATAGAATAGGTAAGACGATCCTGAATCGTGCCTAAAAACTTTGTATGTCCCAATACAACTTTAAGTAAAAGCGCCATAGTTGAAACAAAATGAATCCATTGTCTCCATTTTTCACTAGCATTTAATGTAATAGGATATGTCAAGGAATTTGGTTCATTAGATTGTGTCGAATTAGTTCCATTAAAAAAGATATCCCTTAAAAAAGAAATAGAAGTAGATAAAATTTTATCCTGATAGTTTTCAAATAAATTATCTTTTTCATCAAAAAAATGTAATGATTCATGCTCATTTGGTCCAAAAGATGAATTATCTCTAGAATATGTCGATTTTTTCTGGTCACTTAATGTTTCAAATGCAAAAGAATTTGTTTCCTTAGATTCTTTTATTTTAGATGATATTTCATTAGAACTAAATGATTTTTTCTGATCAAAAGATGAATCTGAATACAAAACTCTAGCAATCTTTGATAAACGTTCTGTTTCATGCCCTAAAATCCTTTCTTTTCTAGCTTTACGGCGCAAACGTGCTTTTTCATTTTCATTAAGCACATCATTCTCCATCAAGAAAAAAATAAGATAAAAATAAGTCTTAAGTAAAAAAATCTTTATAAGAACTATTTATTTGATGTAAACAATCTTTTAAATGGTTATTTTATGTTTTTTATTAAAAAATACAGTGGATTAAACGTTCGAAAATTTGAAATTAAATAAAATTAAAAAAAGCTGTAGAATAGCCATTTAAAAGATTGTTTGTAATAAAAAACAAATAGAAATTAATTATATTAGTGGGTTACCTTTTTTTCGCTTTTTAAAAATGTTAAAAAATAGATATTTTTTACTATTTTTAAAGATAATCTATTAATTATATTAAAATCAAGAAAATAGACATTTTTCTTAAGAATATTTGTTATTTTATTAACGAAACAAGGGCTTAAGTTCCTGTTTCATTTTTTACTTTTTTATTTTGAGATTTATCAAAAGATATTATATATATTTAGAAAAGAAATGGAAATTTGGGGATCAGGTTGTAATATTTTTGGTCAATTAGCAAAACATGAACAACCTTATTTATTTGAATTAAAACTGATTCAGCAAGTTGATAAAGGAAATATTGATATTATATTTAATGGGTGGTCTGAAATATTATGTATATTAACTTTTTTTTATAATTTAAAAAATTTAATGTTTAGATTCTATTAATGGATGTTTAAAACTATTGGGTTTTAGAGCGGACGATATAGATATTTATTTCCCAGATTCTATTCTTTGTGTGTTTGGAACAATTGAGATTTCAGGGATTGTTGACTCTGAATTTAATTTAAGAGATTTAAAAGGAAATATTTTACAAAAGGGTATTGGAATTGTAGTGGAGGCAGGAAATGGACAATTTGTAGGGACAGATTATAGTTATAAGAATCTGATATTTTTTGATACCAAAGATAGAAGATTTGATATTTGTAATATTTTTCCTTTGAAGTTAAAAGATGAAAATTCTAAAATTCTTCAAATATCAGCAGGTGCATCTCATTTTGCTTTATTATTATCAGATGGAGAAGTTTATACATGGGGAGACAATATATATGGGCAATTAGGGAGGGAGACTAGTGATGATCTTGAATCTAATATAATTCCTACTATCGTAAGCGCCTTACAAGGTCTTAAAATTCAAAAAATTGCAGCAGGAGGTTGGATGACAGGTGCACAAAGTGCAGATAATGACTTATATATTTGTGGCTGGCTAAAACTAGGAAAAATAGTTAACACTTCTGACAATAAATCAGAATTTAATTTAGTGGACTTAGGGGAAAATGTTGATATATTGGATTTTGGAATAGGATCTGAACATATCGTTGTATTAACAACGAATGGTATATATTCACTAGGAAAAGAAGGGGAAAATTGTTTATCATATTCAAATCTAATATGGATTCAAATCCCACAATTTTCTAATAAAAAGATAACACATGTTTTTTGTAGTCAATGGAATACCTTATTGATAGCGCATGATGAATCTACGATTGAAAAAGATAATCTTCAAAGTTGACAACGTTCTGCATCTAAAACTGTTATACGAATAACTGATTTAAGGAAAACCCGTTCTTTTATTTCCTTGTAAGGAATAATATATTCTGTATTTTCTATTAAATTTAAATCAAATGACCCATAGCCTTCTTTAATAATAGCCATAACTTTTTTTGGAGAAAGTTCGTGAGATTTGTATTTTTTTAAAAGGTTTTCATAATATTCAGAAATTAAAAGAATAGTTTTAGCTGAAGCCGCATTCACTTTATCTAATAAAATAATTAAAATTTTATCTAAATAATTTTTATATTTCTTACAAATTTTTATAAAATTTCTAATGATATCTCCATTTTGGACTAATTTATATATTAGATCTTCAAAATCTTTGAATTCTAAAAGGAAATTTTCTCCTCGTGTTATACACAAAGAAATGAAATTAAATGAAATCAAAACTAACTCTTCAATATGAGAATTTTGTTTAAGAATTTCCGAATTTGCTAATAGAAACATAATAAAATGCATAAAAAATTTCCAAACCTCTTGCCAATGATATTCTATTAAGAATAAGATTTAAATATTAGGAATAAAAATATCAACCTAGTCTGCATTTTCTTTTTTCAAGTGAACTGATAATATTTAATAATATTCGAATTTGAAGACTTTCATAAATTAGATAATAATTTAAAAATTAAGGCAATTCACATGTATTTCTCTATATCTAAATTCCTTTTTAAATTGTGATCTAAACTTGAAATTAGAGCGTCAAAAATTGCTAATAAAAGTATTCTTTTGGTTTTTATCAATGGGAGAAAAGGATGTTTTTGTCGACATAAATAAACAATAGAACTATTAGCATCATTTACAAGTGAGTCGAAACATCCATCGTCATCAATTAGAATATGAATAATCAGAAGTGCAAGTCGCGCATAATAACTAGCTCTTAAAGATTGAGATTGATATTCTAATAAATATGAAGTAAATGAAATAAATTGCGAAAACGGCGACTCTTCATATCATTAATTAGAACTAATATAGAAATAATTTATTATACCTGTTTCTGAATTATTTGTCGGAGATTTGAAAGTAATAAATATATAACAAAATGCCTTATTTACATTTATGAAATCATATATAGGCAGCAATATAGCAGCTTTGCAACTCGGCCTTCTATATATTAAACAAGATAAACTTATTTAATTGATAGTTACAGTTTAGAAAACCCATTTTCCGAAAGAATAATAGTAGTATCTAATGATGCTGATTTATGATTATTTGAGGTAAAGAATATATCGTTGAAATATGTTAGTAAATTTGTAATATTCCAGATATTATCTGATTCATTGTTTTGTAGATATATATATTCGTTTTTACATTCAATACAAATTCTTGAAATAATATCAATGATTAGTTGCATAGCATTGTTATCAACAAAATCGCTTAGCCGTGTTTGATAAAGATTTTGAGATTCAAATTTTTTGTTATTAGCTAAAACCCCAAGAAAAAGAAATGCCAAAAAAGCTGTTGAAAAAGTACTAGGATCAGTAATATACTAAAATTGTTTATAACATAATTAAAACAATATATATACCTTTATAATTGAAGGAAAAAAATCCCTATACTGGAAATATGATATAATATTCGAGTTAAATCCATGACATACAGTACATAAAGAAAGGCTCAATGCTTTCGTTCTAAGTATAACTATTTTAAAATATTATTTATAATAAATATATCATTTTATTAAATATTTTACCACTTGTCTCTTTTTGAATCAATGTTTCTAAAGATATAACAAAATCCTAACTATAATAAATAAAAACATTACATATAATTATATTACCATAAAAATTTTGTCAATATTATCAAGACCTGAAATTATATGAACAACGTCCGATGTGAAATTATTGTATTTCTTCTGAAGAATTATACGTAAAAATACTTTAAGAGTCTACTTCCTGTTATTATTCAAATTTTCTTTTCATTCTTAATTACATCAAGCGCATTTTCTATTCTTAATGGATCCATATCTTTCATAATTAAAACTCCCTTTTTAAATAAATTTCTTATATTATTCTACAAAATTAGACTTCCTAAAAAACTTCCTACAATAAACCTGTAATTTAAGAAGATCATCTGGTGATAATTCTTCAAGAATAGACTCTAATTCTCTCAAATCACTCCTTAAAATATATAGATCTTTAAAAAATTGATCTTCTAATATTTCATCACTTGTTTTCTATCAATCTTATCAGACTTTTTTCTCATTTATTTATTAAATATATTTTACATTAAATATCCTCTCATATTGGGCCAAAATTTTCGGCTGAAAATTTCTTTTAATAAGCTTATCCTTATTGTTCATATAAATATATGGTTTTGGTGCTAATTTCTCTGTATTTTATTCATTTTTTGCTTTTATATATATATAAAATTTTCAATATCCTTGTTGCTATAGTTACTGTCACGTGAATTTGATTTCAAAACAAGATTAGATAAGAACAGGTCGATCACTAAGAATTATAAAAAGTTGTTTATTTACCAGAAGATCCTGTAAAACATCTTTAGATCATCTATTTTGATGATAGTAAAAGTAAAACTTGATGATGAAAATGTAAAATCACGGCAGATTATTTCAAAAATAATTGATATTATTGAAAAATCAAAAAAGTATTTTTTTCTTAAAAAAGAAAGGAAATTAGTGATATTTGAGTAGATCTGTTGTTATTACTGGATCAGGTATATCGTATGACAAGAAGATTTCGGTATTTTTTTTTTTTTGGAGGGTTTTATGATAATTTTTGAAGGGATTTTCTTCTTCAGATGGACTTTATAAATTTGTTGAAAAGGTCGAGAGAAAAATGAGAATTTTATAATGAATTCTGAATATTTTTAAGCGTTGCCCGAATGTTGTGATAAAAGCTAAGGATTTACTTGATTCTTTAATGTTTCGTGATGAAGTTTCTACATCAATATTTTATTCATTTATGGCTGAATTACGTACACTTATTTTATCCGCTAAACCAATGAATACATATAAATTTATCAAGATTTTGAGGGATAGATCTTCTGTTTTAAGATGTTATACTGAAAACATTGATGGTTTAGGGTTACAAGAAGAATTATGTTTAAAAACAGATGAAGTAAAAAAGAATAATATGACAGAGTCTAATGAGGATGTTAATAAACTAAAATGTATGATTTGTGGTATAAAATGTGATTATAGTGTAGAAAGAATTGAACTTTTGAGAAATGGTCCGGTACCAGATAGGTTTGTATATGTAAATGATGAAAAGATAGAGGAGAAAAGAGGGGCTTTAAAAATAGGTTTTTTGCGGCCAGGAATTGTATTATATGGTAATACACATCCTATTCAGGATTTTCTAGCTGAATTGAGGACTTCCGATGTCAAAAAATGGCCTGATCTTCTGCTAATTATTGGAATATCTCTTAAAATTATAGCTATTAATTCTTTGATTAAAGATATTTCAAAAATTGTGCATTCAAATGGAGGGAAAGTCATTTTTGTCAATCGTACTGAACCATGTAATAATGAATGGAAAGGAATTATTGACTGGTATGTTGAAGCTGATTCTGATGAATGGATTGAGGAGCTTAAGGGAAAAAAACTGCCTATGTTTATGTATCAATCTAAACCTTCCGCATTTCCTATTAAGAAAAAAAAACGTTCAAGTAATTTTTCTTTTTAATATATATATAACTTATTTTATTTAGGAAAAAATGGAAGAAATACACAAATATTATCTGATGTTTCTAAAGTTGTTTCTCCTGCAATATCTTTATTTAAAAAATCTTATATTAATTATATAAGAAGTTCTCAGAAAAAAAAGGCATCCAATGCACCCAGAATCAATTTTTCTGTTCCTCCACCTAAGATGGCTCCTTTAGTTGTCACAAAAAACAAAATTCATGTAGTTTGTGGAAATTCAAAAGTAAAAGGTTAAATAGTTTCATTTTTAAATTATACCTAATCAAACAAAAAACTTTAAAATGGCATTTTCTTGAATTATTTACATAAACCATAGCATTATGATTTTTAATATGTATAAAAATTCATTTTGTATAAGTTTTATTCCTAGTAAAATTGTATAAATATATTTATGTATTTTAAAAAATTATTTTCTAGAAAAAAGATCTTTATAGATCTTTCTATATTTAAGGTATTTCTAAGAAAAAAAATTTGATTCTTTAAATATATAAAAATTATTAGACGATATTAGTCAATCTTGAGTTTATCTTTTTAAAAATTTTTAAATGATTAATAAAAATGTATTATTTGAAGAGAAAATATCTAGAATTCGTTCACAAAATGGCTCTAAAAATAGACATCAGAAACTGGTTTTTATATTTTTTTTATTATTTTTAATTTTAATGTTTACAGATTGCAAATTTACTGCTTGCAATAGAAGATACATTACGCAATGAAAATTCTCAAGGAAATATTACAGCGTATTTTGTATCTCTTGTGAGATACACATTGTCTTTTTTATTTTTTTTTGACTGTTTAGCTGGTACTTTTAGAACAAACTTTACCAAATACGAATAATAGTGAACTTGTTTATTCAATATTTTATCTCCTTGACTTAGTAATTCCTTTTATAAGCAAACCTTTGATTCGTTCTAAATATGCTCAAATATCATCTCTCTTGAGTTCTGCTTTAAGATATTCTGGAATTAGTACGTCTACTTTACGTTTTATTATTAGTTGTATACAAAATATTTTAATTGTTCAAGAAAACTCTACATGGACAAGTCCTAACAATAATATAAAATCGATATTTAGTTGTTTATTAATATTGGGTTTGGATTCTAGGCCTAAAATTAGGAAAAGAGCTCGGGAAGCAATAAGTAAAATCTTAACTCATCCACCTCTAAGTCCATTAATAATACATCCTATTCTTGAATTTTCATTAAGAGAAACATTTAATATTTTAAAAAAAAGTATTTTAGAATTAAAAGAGGGCGTAGAATGCAAAAATAAAAAGAAAATTAATTATTCAAAAGCAATTTATAGTTTTCAGCTTTTGAAAACTATTGTAGATGCAGGTGGATGTCCAGCATCGAAAAATGAACAGCTTTGTTGTGTTTTAACGGAAATTTTGGAAACTAAGAATGTTTATTTGATTATGATAGCCTTTGATATATTTCTCGTTATATTTAAAAAATGTAGTTTTACACCTGAGAAATTACGTGGTATTTTGGAGGTAAATATTATTATGAATATATAGGGGAATTTATATCTTGATTAAAATAGTTAATGTTAAGAAAAAGGCCTTCTGAAAAAGATGTTATATTGTTGCCTTTATGGTTTTTTGTCTTAGCTGCTGGACTTGAATCCTATTATCAATTCGAGCCATATGCTACATTCAAACTTCTTCCTCAATTGTTTATGGATATATTTCCTTTTCTTAGGTCTGATTCTTTTGAAATTAGGATTTCTTGTAGTGAAATTTTAGTAAAATTAATTGCAAGCTGTATTCCTAACGACATCGGACAAGATAATGAAATAGTAGTCGAATTAACTAAGATAACGATGCAAGGATTTACATTAAATTATCGAGTAGCATGGAAAGAAATATTTAAAATATTAATAGCTTTTTTTCAACATCTTCCTTTTTATATAGATCCTTATTTTATGGAAGCCATAAAATTAATAGGTGATATGCGTGCAAGGGATGAATTTAATGAAAAAATAGAAGCAGATAAAGTTATTGGTTTTGCTGTTAAAGCAATTGGTCCGAAAGCTATTTTGGAAATTTTACCATTAAATCTTGATGAAGAAAGGTTAAAATATATATTATTTATAGATATTAACTAATATTTTTTTCAGTAAGAAAGTTCCTAAAAGAGAATGGATGTTAGCAGTATTGCGGTCCAGTATTTATAATACGGAATTGCAACATTTTATATCAGAATTTATTCCGCTTTCTGAAAAATTATATCAGAAATTATTAGAAAATAATGATTCTGAAGGAGACAAGAATTTCAAAATTTATATTGAGCAAATCTGGTCCCTTTTCCCTAGTTATTGTAATTTTCCTTTAGATCTCGAAATAGTATAATCCATTAAAATTGAATATATTATTTTTTGACTTTATTAAGGCATTTGATCAAGACTTTGTCCAGTTATTGTTAGCAGTATTTTCCAATCAGGCGGATCTTAGATCAATAATTTGTCAAGGATTACAAATACTTATTAATAAGAATAAAGACTTAATTGACAATGATTATTTTGATCAAGAACTTAAATGCAAATTTCCCATTACAAAATTAGATGCTGAAAGAAATTTAGCTCATTTACAAAAATTTATATCTGATATACTTTCTACACTTTTTAACGTTTATAGTCAAACACAATCTCAGTTTAGAGAACATATATTACTATGTATAAAATCATGGTTATCTATTACAAATAAAGAGGTTTTATATAATATTCTATAATTAACTATATTAAACGTTGTTTAGGAGATTAGAAATATTTTTAATAGAATTATTGAATTATTATCGCAAACTTTAAAGGAAAATTCTTTACCAAATTCTAATAAAGACCTAGCTTCTATGTCATATACAATGTTAGATCTTTTAGCTGTTATGATTGTTTATCTTCCGGATGATACAAGCTTACAACTTTATAATATAATTAACTCTCAAATTTCAAATGAAACAGATCATATTCTTCAAAAAAAGGCGTATAACTTATTTTCTAAAATGACTGAAAATTTATCTATTAAAGTATTTTTGGAAAATAATATAGAGGAATTACAAAAATTATTTCTTGAGAGCGCAACAAAAGCAGAAAGTTCTGTAAAAAAGGTGATATTATTTCGAAATACTATATTCTATTAAACTGTTTAGTATCGTTTCTATGCATTATATCATATAATAAATATGCTTCCACCTAAGGATTTGCATTTTATATCATCGATATTACCAGAAGTAATAATGGGAACAAAAGAAACAAATAAAAAGGCCAGAACTATGGCATACAATCTTTTGATTTTGATGGGAAATAGAGTATTAAAGGAATGTACTATTGAAAATAATGAAGTATTGGAGATGAATGATAATGTATCTGATATTAAAGCTAATATCGAGGGGTTTTTTACTATGGTTTCAAGTGGATTGCTTGGAAATTCTCCATATATGATTAGTGCGACTATTGTGTCAATTACTAGACTTTTATATGAATTTAAAGGTACTTTCTTTTGATTTGTTTCGAGTATTGATGTATAATATAAGATGTATTAAATTTGAATTTTATTTCCAGGTTGTTAGATACTGTATATATGTTTATTACTTCAAATAATCATGAGATTGCAAAATCTGCTTTGGGATTTGTTAAAATGACTATCATATCTCTTCCCGCAATTATTATAGAAGAACGTTTATCCATGTTGGTATCTAATCTTATGGTTTGGGTTCATGAGCATAAAGTTCATTTTAAAGTGAAAGTTAAGAATATTATAGAAAGAATGATAAGACGTTATGGATATGAAACTATTGAGAAAGAAGTTCCAAATGAAGATAAAAAGTTGATTATAAATATAAAAAAAACGAAAGAACGTCATAAAAGAAAGAAAATAGCTGCAGAAAATATATCTAGGAATCCTATGTTAAATAATAAGCATAACAATTTTAACCATAAGTATGAAACATATAAAAACGAGGACACTGATTCTGATATTTCTTTTCTCATTAATAATTCTGATTCTAAAAACAAAGAAATCTCTAAAAAAGAAACACTTATTAAAAAGGTTGATGATGAATTAATTGATCTCTTGGATAAAAATTCCTTAATTAATATTATAAATATGAATTCTAAAGATCAGAAAAAGACGGAAAAAAAGAAGCCTATATCTATGCAATTTAAAGTTGATAACAATGGAAAAATTATTATTGAAGATCTTGATAAAAATCTTCAAAAACAATCTAATAAAATACAATCCAAAAGGAAAAAAGAAAGTGATGATGATAGTACAGACACAGGGAATATTGTAAAAAAAAAATCATTTTTAAATAAACAAAAAGCAAAAAGTACTCGAAATTCTAAACGTGTTAAACGAAAATTTATTAAATAACATATTTATATATAAAATTGTATTATATCTCTAATATTATAACTTTTATACTTTATATATGACTATTATAACTATCTAAATGTAAACTCTATGGTTTGTCACAACCGTAATCGTCCAGGGACTAATTACGCAATGAAATGGAATATAGAGTCTGAAATGTCTAGTAAAATGAGCATCAACCTATTTATCCTTAATTCATTAATTGAAACAATGCATTATAATTAACCTCTTCCGAAGGAGCATCTTAATTTTATCATAGACTTTTCTTTTTTTTTGGCTTGTCGTCAAATACACAATTAAAATATAAATTTTATCTTAATATATAATTAAAATAAAATCAAATATTGTGTATTATTTTTATACGAAAGACCTTCTAAAGATTTGGATATCTTTTTAAAAAAATATTCAAATTTTAAAAGTTTCAAGCCGGTTAATAAAAAAGTTTTTCGACTGTCGAGTTTTATAATATATAAAATGATGAAAAAGAGAGTTTAAAAATTATACAGATATGTTTCGTATTAGATGTTTCCTGAAGCAAGAATTAAGATATTTGATATTAAAAACGATAGACCGTAAAATTTCAAGTTCAATATATGTAAAGTTTCCAGTTAAAGAAATAATTAAGCAAAAACAAGTTAAATATGAAGATATTTGTCGAAAAGAAATATTATATTTGCCACATAATCCTAAAGAAGTGGGAAATGTTGTTAAAAAGTCATTTTTTAAACGTGCAGATAAAGGTCTTTATGCCAATCGTTGTATTCAATTTGGTAATAATGTTCCAAAATCAAAACATAAAACCCGAAGGAAATGGCTTCCAAATATTCAGAAAAAGTTAATTTATAGTAAAGCATTAGATAAACTTGTTCAATTAAAAGTTTCAACCCGTGCACTTCGAACAATTGCAAAAGTAGGTGGATTAGATGAATATCTGACAGGAAATAAATCTGCAAGATTAAAAGAATTAGGTATGCGTGGCTGGGAACTTCGAGAGATGGTATTGAAAGCACGAAAGAATAAAGAAACTTCTGTAGATGATTCGAAAGATAAAAAATCCTCATGATTTTTATAGTTTGTTAAAATTGCATATTTATTAATGTGTATTAATAAATATGCAATTCTATGTTGAATTGTTATATATAAAATGTTGTGTTTAAAAGATTTGAAGAAAGGCGTGATTTTAATGAAGGAAAAACCATAATAGGTATTGTGCAGTAGAAAGTTTCACACTCCAAAGAAGATGACGCAAAATAATGTGTTTCTCTATAATCTCTATAATTCTCCTTGAGTAACTTTTGAAGAGCTAAGGTTTTTGTAAGAGAATATTCCGCATGATTTAGCTGTTCAGAAGTTAACGGGATTGTTATTTCTAATCGTATTGTCCATAATAAGGAAACTAATATATTATTAAAATGTTACACAAATAGAAATATGTATTTACTTCCAGAAGTTTTGAAAGAAAATGGAGCTTTAGAAGGAATAAGTAGTTTAAATTGTATTCTAGAAGCACATAATGTAGTTTCTGAATAACTATCATATATTTTACGAGTTGTTTGAGAAATATTGGCCTTTGAACAGTGGGTGATTGATTCGTCAATTATTTCTGTTGTTTCCAGAAAAAATTTTACCTAAAATTTTTCAAGAATTAATAAAAATGTAAAATAAACATACATGATAACATGGTATTTTTGAGGATGAAAAATCGATAACTCCTATTATTGTTTCTCCTAGTTTATAAGATAGTTTCAAAATTGATATAATGCCAATTATATTTCCATTCTTATTAATATTGAATTTTTTATTTGAAAAATTATTATATGATGAATTGTTTTCAGTTATATCTTGTATTATATTTTTCATATCAACTAGAGGATTTATTTTTTCTTGAGCATCAGAAAAACATTCTTGTGTATTTTCTCCAATACTATTAGATAAAAGTAATTTTTTTAGAGATTCGTCAAGTAAATGTTCTGATAAATAACAAATAAAATCTTCCTTAGAATATTTATCGTACTCATATCCAAAATCTAAATCATTGGATTTCTCTTCTGTATTTGAGATATGATCATTTTCTGATAAATCATATGAAAATATTTCTGCTTCATCAGTTAAATATATTATAGGAGAAAAAAGATCATATATGATTTGATTCCCTGACTCTAGATAAAATATAAGTTTTAATAGGAATATTTTGCAATTTAATACCATCAATTTTATATAAAACTTCAAACGGAATATTTGATACTTTTAATGGTTGTATACTTTTTCCTGAACATTGCGTACCAATAGATAAATGATAATTTATTTTTATAGATTTACCCTCATAACTTGGTGGAAGTTGGGAAGGTAATTTAAAGTTATAACTATAACTGCGACTTTCTCCTGGTGCTAATTCAAGATCAATAAAAAGAATAGACGGTGGTGTAGATAGTATAGGAACATTTTTTAATTCTAGAATTCAAAATTAGAAAATATAACAGGTATTATTAAGAAAAACTTTTTATTTTTTTAAATTTGCCTAATGAACTCATTGGTTGGTTTTTTAATAAATTATTTAATCGATAATTTATATTTAAATTATTAATAAAGTGTGACTTCTGATTCACTTTAGAGTCAATTCTAACTAATTCGTCTTTAGTTGATTTTCTAGAATATTTATTTGTTATAAATTCTTCAAACTTTTCTACGTTAATAATTTTTTCGTTTAAAATAAAATATCCAATGATCTGAATATATCCTATCAAAAGCGTTTCTTTTAATTCATTCTCTGATGATCCCTCTGAAATTTTAACAGAATCTAGATTCAATTGGGAATTCATTTCTAAATCGTTTAAATTATGGCTTTTGATATTGAAATCATAAAAAACATCTATATTTTCTTGTTCCTCCTCCAATTCCACTTTTTTATCTGAAAAATCATTCTCTGAATTATCAAATATAGCTTCCTTATTATTTTCTATCTTATCTTTTTTTATTATTTTATCCTCTAGTTTTTTTTCCTCATTTTCTTTTTCTTTTTTGCCAAAACTTATATCTAACATATCTGATGATATTGAGCCCTCTATTTCCTCTTCATCTAATATATTTTATTGGTTTTTGTATTTGTATTTAGACATACAAACCATTAATATTTTCTTTTTCCAAAATATCCGTATTTCTCTCTAAAAACACTGTTTTTTTTTTGTTTTTTTTGAATAATAATAAATCTGACTGTCCTCTTACTGGATCCTCTGTTTTTTTTTGATAAAACTCTTCTTTTTGCGATTTATTTTGTTTTTTCCAGTTTTCTGTCGTCTCTTTTGTACCCACAATTTCATGTTTAAAAGTGATAATAAATGAAAGAAACTCTCCTGCAAAAATATAATCCTCTTTAGCACGAATATCTACTCGTATTTTAGACATTTTTATGGGAAAATTGGCCTAAAAAATAAAAAATTTCATTATTTTCTTAAAATATTGAAGTATAAATTAAATCTTATCGAGACGTCAAAAAAAAGTTAAGAAATTCTTAAGAAATTGAGGCCGAATATCAATGGATTTTAGAGGAATATGGGTTATTTTTCTATTTTTCTATTGTTTAAAAGTATTTTCAATGATTTTGAGAGAAAATCAGGAAAAAATAGAGCAAAAAACAGGATATACTGTAGGTTTTTGGAAGAAGATTATTAGTAAATAATTGAGTTTTTTTAAGAGTAATTGGGCAGTACTTGTTTCAACGTCTAGATTTTGGTATAATTATAGAGTATTTTTGTTTTTCTTTTCTTGTTTTATATGAGTAAAAAAGAGATTAGCACATGGCAAATACATTAGGAATGTATCGTACAATTAAACGACTTGGAATTCCCGATTCACAAATTATATTGATGTTATCAGATGATGTTGCATGTAATTCTCGTAATGTATTTCCTGGGAGTGTGTTTCATAACTCGGACCATGCTTTGGATCTATATGGAGATGATATTGAAGTGGATTATCGTGGTTATGAAGTAACAGTGGAAAATTTTATTAGATTATTAACAGGTATTATTGATGTTTGTGTATTTTTTGTTAAAAAGGAAAATGGAGGTTAATGGTTTAGGGAGAGTTCTTCCTGATACGCCTAGATCGAAACAACTTTTAACAGATGATCGATCGAATATTTTTGTATATATGACGGGACATGGAGGTGATAATTTTTTGAAATTTCAAGATTTTGAAGAAATTTGTTCTCATGATATTGCGAATGCATTTGGACAAATGTGGGAAAAGAGACGGTAGATTTTTTTTTATACGATAAATGTTTGTATATTGAATAAATAATTAGGTATCATGAAATTTTATTTATGATAGATACATGTCAAGCAAATACAATGTTTTCAAAGTTTTATTCTCCGAATATTCTTGCAATTGGATCTTCAGAATTAAATGAATCATCTTATTCGGTAAGTTTTAAAGATATATGTATATATTTGTTAAGAATATCTTTAGCACCATTCTGATAAAGATATTGGGGTATCTGTTATTGATAGATTTACTTATTATACTTTGGATTTTTTAGAAAAAGTGAATATTACTTCGAAATATACATTTAAGGATTTGTTTGATTCATATGATAAAGATCTTGTGCAATCTACACCTGGCATTAAAACTGACCTTTTTAGTCGAAAAATTGATAATGTTAAAATAATTGATTTTTTTGGAAATATAAGAAAGGTAGAAATTAGCCAGGAAGATCAAAAATTAAAATTAGGAGAATCATTAATTGATACAGCTAATCCATATAATTTTTTAGAGACTAAATCAAACTTTACTTCAGATTCAAACTTAAAAAAATCAAACATGTACTTTTCTGAATTGCAGAAAGCAACTCGTTTACAATCATCAAAAAGAGTAATAAAACTTAAAGTTATAGGCATTACAATTTTTTATATTAGCATTTTGATTTTAATATGTAAATTTTAATTTTTATTTTTATAATATTTTATACTTAGGATATATCCTATTTTATTATAAATATTTTTAGCGATTATTTCTATAAATTTATATGAATTCCTAGTATATAATGCTATTTTATTTTATCCTTAATTAGAGCTATCAATTGTGTAGAATATTTTTCCAAAAGTTCTTTATTTGGATTTTCAATTTCTATAGGTGACACTTGTTCTCGAAGATCATTTAATATTGATATAAGTTGATTTTGTAAATTGTAAAATAGCATGGATCTTTTTTGAGTATCTTTATTTTTTATAGCCTTAATATCATGATGGATTTCTTTCAGTTTATCTATAAGCAAATTTATTTCATTAGTTAATGTATCTTCGTCGTTAAATATTTGTATTTCTTTAGTATTATTAATATTAGTTTCATTTTTTTCATTAAAAACAATTGTTGAATCATTAGTGTCTTTATTATCAGAAAATTTTTTGGGTAAACATATGTCTTGCTTCTGAGAACAATATCTAATTGGACTTGAAGCACGACGCTTAGAATCTTCCATTTGATCGACTATTTTTTTGCTTAGTCTACTTATCCTTTTTGAGGTGGGAGAATCGCTATCACTTTTTGATAAGTCAAAATTTGAACGTGTTGGAGATACAGATTTCCATAATTTTTTTGATTGAATACATGATACATCTTTTGCTACAATAGGAGAAAAAGTACCAATAATACGCTTTGGAATTATTTTTCTGATCGGTGTTTTTAAATTTGTATAAATCCCATGTGTTGGTGCAAATTTTTGAATATCATCTATCGATAATTCCCAGATAGCGAGAACATCCATTCCACTAGAAACGAGTCTTGCTTTATTATTTAATTGACTAGATTCTATCCATGCTATCCCAGTAGCCCCGTCTGTATGTATATATTTCTTTGCTAAAAGAGAACATGTTAATAGATCATATATTCTTATGGCTTTATCATTCCCCAAAGCAGCAATAAATTTTTTCTCTAAAGTTGTTTTTTTCGTGTTATCTGTATCCAAAGATAATTTTACATTTGATATAGCAATATTGTCTAAAGATACCATTTCTTTAGGATCCTCAGAAGTCTTATACGTTCCAATAATTTGTCCTTGAGTGTCACACTGTAAAAGTTGACGATCTAGAGTTGATACAAAAAACCTAAGTGAATCCTCAGATATAAAAGTAAAATCTAATGCTGCAGAACGTAATGAAATTATTTTCTTTGTTAAATAGCGTAATTGAGTACTTCCAGATTCTTCATGTAGTTGTCTAATAACAATCGTACGATCTGCAGAACAAGAAATAAGCATTTGATAATTTTTATGAAAACGTGCTTTATTTATACATGAATTGTGATCATCAAGAGTTTGTTCTAAATCCCAATTATGAGAATTTTTGTCTCGAGACCATACTTGTATAGTTCTATCTCTACTAGAGCTGACCATTATATCTAAAATATTTTAAAAATTTAATAAATAACCACAGCAAGATGTACATTTTTCATTTATAACACCAGAATCAATATCTGTTATTTCTCCATCATGTGCCATTTGTCTCCATAATTCTTTTTGATCTCTAAGATTTATCGTTCTACTTATTTTAAAATAAGGAATAATAAATATGAAAGAATTACTTTATCATACCATAACAATCTCCAATTATTAGTTCTTCGTCATGATGGTTGTATTGGACAACTTTTAGTTCATTTTTTATAGTTTCCTCCGATATATTTTCGGGTTGTTCTATTGCAATATTTATAGTTAATATACATGCCTCATTTTCATCCCAAAAAGATACTGTTCCAGATATAGACCATGTCATTAATATAGCGTTGAGAAAATTTTTATGCAGATTTTTAACCCCCATCATTTTTGTTGAACTTCCTCCTATTATTTGGTTTTTAGATTCATCATTTGTGTCAATAATACAAATTGAATGATCACCATCAACTACCACCAAATTACCAGAATAGTCACATGCAATAGCCAATATTCCAGAATTTGGCTTTAAAGGTTTAAGTGATTTAACCATTTCTTTTTTAAATTCTTCCTGAAAATTGTTTTTATCTAGTAATTCATATATTTTATATGCTCTATTAAAAATTAGAAATAGAAGTACATAAATATGAAATACTCTATCTCCGAACGTTTTCCCGCAACCCATAACAGATTATCTATATTATTTATATCAATACAACTTATTTCATATCCTACATTAAAAATTCGTTTAACAGAACGATCCCCTTCAAAAACAATGCATATTTCTCCTTTACTAGAGCACAGTATTACAGATTCTTTTCCCAATGATCTAATAGACATAAAATCCTCATCTGACATTGTTCCTAAAATTATATTTTTCCCTTCTAAAACTGAAGTTTTTCCTATGTTTGATGTTTTAGAAACTTCTTCTTCTTCCCATTTCCACAATTTAACATGTCGTAATCCACACGTAACTATTGTAATTCCCATCCATGAAAGATCTCTAACAAGGCTTGTTACTCTATTGCTTGCAATTCGTTTTATAGTATTAGTCTTATCAATTATTAACCACACATTAATAGTTGCATCATGAAGAAACCCAACACTAGCAAGATATCTAGAATCTGATGAAAATGAAAGGCATTTTATACCAAACGTATGTCCTGAAATAGCAATAGGTAAAGATTCATCTGACGATATTGAATATATTAAAATTCGTGGTGACTTTCCTGACTAACAGAATTATTTTATATAGTCCAAACATACTCTTATCTTTACCTCTCCAACTGCAATATATTTCTTATCTTGACTAATTGTTGTACAAGATAATGCTTTAATTTTTTCTCTTACTTTATTTTGTGTTTCTAATTCCTCACGCATAATAGAACCACAATATTTGTCATAAAGAAGTCTAGATTGGCATCCTGACGATTCTTGATTTGAAAATGTATCAATACTATCGCGTAAAGGACTATTGCTTTTGCTTGACAAAAAAGGACTATTACCAGTAATAAATCCTCCGTCTGTCACAAGATTTTGGGGTATACAAAAAAAACGTTTATTTTCTACTGAACATTTGATATTATGAAGTACTGCCACTGCTCCTGCCGGATATAACACTAATGATGATGGTCGATGAATACTAAGGGATGTTGGTGATGTTGTACTGGATCCTGATGGAACAGAAACAAGAGATAAAGATACCCCTTCAACTGGCTGTGTAGATATCTTTCTGTTATCTTTAAAAAGCGATATACTGCGTGATATATCACTTGATTTTGAAGAAAAATTTGTTGCTGATAATGATTTATGTATCAGATCCATGTTTTTAATAACTGAAAAAGATTATATTAACTAATAATGACCTCTTCTAAGTGATTTTAATTGAGATCATCTCTTAAATCATTTATGAGACTGTCATCTTATAAAATATTTGTCTAGTTTATTAATAAAAACAATTCGATTAACGATATGATATAATTATGAATTTTATATTTTTTTAAAGCTTAATAAAATGACTGACTATCCATGTTACATTTATGATATTTATGTATAATAATGTTGTTTTTAATATTTACACTTTTTTTTTTTATCAAATAAGATATTTTCTATATGTTGTGCTCTTTTTTTGACAAGTTCAATATCAGAAAATAATTCATTAACATGATAACCTTCAAGAGGTGCGAATTTTAAAGCCATTCTTTCAAGAGATTTTATTTTTGTATATAAAGATGCAATTTCTAAAAGAAGTTCGGGGCTTATTTTTGTAGTACGTCTAATATTATTAACGATCGCCATATTTTGGAATAAATACCTTTTTTTTAATTGTTTAATTTGTTTTTCGAATTCTTGAATTGTATCATATGAATGTTTTTTTATATTATCGATTTTATTCTTTTAATGTTAGTTAACTATTTTATGATTTATATTTATAAATATAAATATATTATTACCTGGGATTCAATTAATTTATGTTTTAGTTCTTCGTTTTGTTGTTGTAACGTAAATATTTGATTTGTATTTTGATCTAATTTTATTTTCGATGTATAATTTGCTTCCTCAATTCTCTGTTTTAGTTCTTTCTCTTGCAATTCAATTTTAGCCTTGGCTTCTTTAACTTGTATTTCATAATTTTCTCTTGTTTTTCTTTCGCGAAGGATTTCGTGAACTCCTTCAAATACCACCCGTTCGAGCTTTTCGCATTTTATAATAAGCTCATTCATACGTTTGTAATCACATGGCATTTTTTTTTGTGCTTCAATTTTGTTTTTAAGCAGGGTAATAATTGTTTCATAATATTGTTTATGTTTTGGTTGATTATTTAAAATTTTACAATAATTTGAAATGTCATACCCATACTTCTACAATTTATTAATATATTTTCATTCATTTAATTCCTAAAGACCTGCTGAACAAATTGAACTTTTGATCTAAGTGCTATATAAAATATAACTAGGTTAATTTTGATTCTAATGTTTTTTTATCTTAAATTACCTATATTTTCACCAATAACTTCCTTTAAAATCTCCAAAAGTTCAATATTTTTCTCATTTATTGTTTCAATTTCTTCAATTGCTTCCTGTAATGATCTTTCAAGCGAATGCATTCTTGATAATCCTTGTTGAATCTCTTGAAGACGTGCAAAAATATCATCATATGTTGCTTGTTCTGCTAAAAACAATCTGGATTTATAATAATCCAGAAGTTCCCTTGTACTATGGTATTCGTTTTGTTCTTTTGACTCCATTACTCTTACATATAATCATTTAAATTCTTAATGAATCTAAAGATCGGTTAAGTATTGTTGTCAGAAGGTTACCAGGACGACAGAGATAATAAAGAGTGATTGCTAACCGAAAAATTATATAAATGAAGAATAATAAAAGAATAAAATAGAATTAGAAGGGAAAACTATGACAAATATTAGAAATTGGCTTTTAGGAGAAGATGGTAGAAAAAAAAGCGGTTTGAAACGGTCAAAAATTGAGGTAAGTAGAGAAAATAATAATGAAATATGATTATTTATTTTATTAGAGTGTAGATGATTTAAATAATGATAAAACTAAGAAGCGTGTAATACGTAAGAATAGAATATTGATTTATAAGTATAGCTGATTTTTTTGCGGGAAAAAAGTGTCGGATGATGAAGAATTTGAGTTGTAAATGATTAAGATATTAACATACAAGATAATTTATGATTGATAGGGTAAATAAGAAAGAAAATATAAAGAAAAATGTAAAGAAGCAAGAGTAATATCGTTAAAAGTAATGGAAGGATGATTAATTTTTCGATTAGTATTCAATCAGTTGAAGAACCATGTTTAGTTCCAATAAATGTGTCACAATTTTTTATGGATAAAAATAAAATATTGAGATCTTCTCCTGCTTCTAAAAAAGTAGTTTCTGATGAAGCAGTTCAAGAAAGCTATATTAATGATGATGATTTTTCGTTTAGTCAATCTGATTTACTTGAATTTGAAGAATTAGATAAGATTTATAAAGATGAAATAAATCAGAATTCTCCACCTAAAACGGTCGATTTTGGGAACAGAAATGATATTTGTAATATTGAATCCTCTTTGATAAAGAAAGATCCTATAGATCTTAAGGGAGAATGTACTGATACATCTTTACCCGTAATTAAGGACACTTTTTCAAATATAAAAACTAAGGAGTCTGTGATTATTTCCAAGAAAAAGAATGATACCAAAGTCAAGATTACTCCTAAAAAAAAATCTAATTATACAAATTTAATTACGGATAAACAAGAACAAAATGTCGAAGATGCTAAAAATATAGCTCAAAAGGTTTTAAATGAATGTCCTTTGATATCTTTGTCAGATCTTGAAAATGTTGAGAGTAAAGGGTTATTTATTTTTATTTTGTTATATCCTGCTTATATTATATTAGTGTTGAATTTTATGACCATACAACACATGTTCCCTTAGTGACAAATGCTTCTAAAGAAATACCTATTGGTCGTATAAATTGTCTTTCTGTAAGTACTTAATTTTTAAGAAAGTATGTAATTATTTAGGGCCTAACTTTTGTTTTTACTGGTATTTTGAAAACAATTGATCGTGAAGAGGGATGTAATCTTGTAAAAAGATATGGAGGGTTAGCTTATTAATAATTATTTTCTTTTATGATGAATATTTTATAGAAAAGTAACAACTGCTCCTTCTAGTAAAACGTCATTTGTTGTATTAGGAACAGATGCTGGCCCTAAGAAAATAGAGGTTATTAAAAAGAATAAGTTAAAGACTATAAATGAAGACGGTTTATTTTATCTTATTAAGAATATGCCGGCTTTAGGTGGAGATACTAAGGCTGCACAACTTGTACAGAAAAAAAGAGAAGAGCAAAATCTTGAAGCTGAAAAAATGGCAAAATTATTGGCTCCAGAAACTCGAGAAATGCAGAAAATCCAGTCATGTCAGCTTTGGACTACGAAATATGCACCTCAAAGTCTTAAAGAAATATGTGGAAATAAAAGTTTGGTAGAAAAATTGCAGAGATGGTTACGTGATTGGTTAGTATATATAAATTTGTCAAAAATTCTTATGAATTAGGGACCAAAATCGTATTGCTAATTTTAAGAAGCCGGGATCTGATGGATTGGGTTTTTATCGTGCGGTTCTTATATCAGGTCCACCTGGCATTGGAAAAACTACATCAGCACATTTAGTTGCGAAATTAGAAGGCTATGATGTATTGGAATTTAATGCAAGTGATACAAGAAATAAGAAACTGTTAGAAGTAATTATAAATATAAGATACTTTATTTTTATTTAATCTTTAAGGATTCATTAATTCGAATTTATAATAATACATCACTTAGTGGATTTTTTTCTACTTATGTAATTTTATAAGAGAATAATTTTAAAAAAAATAATTTTTTTAGGAAGAAGCAGGAAAAAAGAACAAACTTGTTTTGATCATGGATGAAGTGGATGGTATATCTACTGGAGATTATGGAGGAATTGGTGAACTTAATTCTTTTATTAAAAAGACTTTGGTAAGTTTTATTTTGTTAATTTTTTTTTTTAAAAAAAAAGAAAAGATACCTATAATATGTATTTGTAATGATAGAGCTTCAAGGAAGCTCTTGCCTTTAGATAGGACAACATTTGATCTTAAATTTCGAAGGCCTGATGTCAATTCTCTTCGTTCTCGAATAATGTCTATTGCGTATCGTGAAAATTTAAAACTAGAACCTCAGGCAATTGATCAGTTAGCTGAAATTACTAATGGTGATATTCGCCAAATTATAAATATTCTTTCATCTTGGAAAATTACTCAGACTTTTATGAGTATAGATGATGGAAAAAATGCGTAAAGATTATGTTTTTTATTTTTTATTAACTTAGATAAAATAGTGCAAAGGCTGCTGAAAAACATATTATTATGAATCCTTGGGATATAGTAGGGAAATTTTTAAGTGGAGGTATATTTAGGCATACTAGTAAACTTACATTAAGTGATAAAATTGAACTTTATTTTAACGATCATGAACTTTCACATTTAATGTTTCAAGAAAATTATTTAAAAACACGACCTGATCTATTAAGTTCTATTACGAATTTGAAACAGAAAAATCATGAGCACTTAAAGTTAATAGAAAAGGCTTCTGAGTCTATTTCTTATAGTGATATTGTCGATTCTATGATTCATGGGTAGTTTATTCAAAGAATTAATATATTTTATAATAATTATATATTAGACCGCAACAACATTGGGGTTTAATGCCTATGCATGCTGTATTTTCATGTGTTATCCCTTCATTTTATGTTTCTGGATTTTCTACATCCCAATATTCGTTCACCTCGCTTTTGGGTAATTTATCTAAAACTAACAAACTAATGAGATATTTGCAGAGTATTCAGGCTCATATGTCCTCAAAAATAACTGGAAATTGTAGTGAAGTTCGGAAATTTTATATACCATTATTATTTGATCTTCTTTTACGAAGACTTGAAATTAAGGGACAAGATATAATTCCAGATATTATTAAACTTATGGACGAATATTTTCTTTCTAAGGAGCATTCTGAATATATTTTAGAATTAAGTCTAGGGCCAAATAATGGAAATCTTTTAAAGATTCCAACGCAAACGAAAGCTTCTTTTACAAAACAGTAAGGATTTATTTTATTTTTCAGTTTTCTTATAGGCTAAGATATAATAAAACTATCCATCCTATTCCATTTTGTGATACTTTTGATTCAGTTAAACCTGGTATTGTATATAATACACCTGATATAGAAGATGCTTTGGAAACAAATTCATATGAATCTCAAGAACGCGTTTCTGATAATGAAGACGGTCCTGAAAAAGACAAGCTTGTTATTGAAAGTGGAAAGAAAGGGAAAAGGTCTTCTAAAGGTACAGCTAAAAAGAAAAAAAATAACAATTTCGACAAAAATTAAATATTATATAAATGATAATGTGTTTTTTTCCACATTTTTTCAATATTTATAAAAAAAACGTATGATATATATATGATGATTGGTTTTATTCTTATAATTGTGTTTTTATTTTATGATTATATAACGAAGATATGATTTTATTTAAGTAATTCTTGACATTTAAGTTCTAGATTGAATAAAAAAATAAGTATTGGAAATATATAAAACTTACCTAATTCTTTCGAATGTTTGTTTAATTCATTTGATATTTGTTCCAATATATTTACTTGGTTTTTTATAATTTCTATTTTTTCTAAATAATCATTTATATTTTTATCTAATTTTATTAATACATTGAAACGTTATCAAATATTGTATTGTACATATATAAGATAAACTTTCATTATTATTAGATATATCTTTTATAGAATTTTCTATTAAATTATAATGATCAATGGTTATTTGGTTCGTTCTTTTTAAAAAATAAAGATTAGTATTAGTATAGTTAAATATTGAAATTAAAAATGTTTTAAATGATCTAATTGTTTTTGAAACAATATTTTTTAATTTTAAAGAATCTTCATCCATATTAAATTTTCTTTATAGTTAATTCATTTTAAAATAAAAACATTTATAAACGTTTAAAGATAATTTAAAAATATACAAATGTTTAGTTATTCACAAATATATAACATATAAATATAGATATATAATTTATATTGCATAAGAATTTAATTTTATTAAATATTGAGATATAAATATGTATTTTTAAGATAATATGATTGCAGTTTTATATATTCTTTTGAATAACATAAAATACAACGAAGAAAACATGATATAGAAATGAAATTTATGAAATTTGTTCCAAATAATCAAGAATCTCAATTTTTGTTAATTTTCTAAATTGAGGGCATAATGGCTCATTTGTATCCTCTGTTCCAAGATTATATGTCACCGATGGCCCAACAGCACCTATCTCTATAGTATCTTCAGAAAGTTCTCCTTCAAACCCTTCTTTTAAAGTAAGAAGTGCAATATGTATAGCGTCCTCAAGTTCAAGTTGATCATTATATCTTTTTTCAAGAAAAGTTTTCGCTGATATTGCTGACTTTCCAATTGCTGTTGCTTTCCATGGAAAATATGTACCGGACGGATCAATCTGATATAAAGACGGTCCATTATGTTTGTCCCACCCTGCAACTAATATAGACACACCAAATGGGCGTATACCACTAGATATATTATATTTTTTCATAAAAAATACTACTTTTCTACCCAGACTGTGTTGCATCTTGCATTACCTTAGCTAGATCTTGAACAAGTATACGTGTTGGAGGATATTCGCGATAAATTAATTTATAGGCAGAATGTGCAAGTTTTCGTGCTTTATCCACTAAAACTCGAAAATCTGGTCCAATCCCAGAATATACCATCCCAATACTTGGTGTAATACATGAAACTTTATCAATCGTATCTTGTTCAACAAGTGAAGATTGGCTTTTTTTTTCTGTCACCAAAACAACTCCATTTTTAGCTTATTTATTAGTTTTATCAAATAAAAACAAATAAAACACTTTTTACCTTTAATACCAATAGATGTTACTCCTTGATTAACTGCTGCTAAGGCATATTCAATCTGTACAAGCTTCCCATTTGGAGAAAAAGTAGTTAATGAAAAACTATATAAAAATTAAGCTTTTTTTTTGGAAAAAAAAAGGTAAATATGCCTGTATCTATCCACCATAATAAAGTTTAAGTGGTTTTTTATAAGATTAATAAGATTATTATCTAATAATTAATAACTTTTTTTTATGAAGTTAAAATCTTAACGATTTAACGTATAAAGTTCAGGTTAGAAGAAATTTTAAAATAATTACTGAAAATAATAACTTTCTTAAGAAAAAAATCAAAGAAAATATAAATATTCCTAATTTTCTTATGTTTTTGTTTTTTTTTTAGGAAAAATGGATAATTTTTAGATAAAATATCAAAAATAAAGATAAAAAATAATTAAGCAGAAGTTAAGGTTAATAATTAGATATTCAGAAGAGTTATTTAGTTTAAAATAATGGGAGAAATAGAGTCTTTAGTATTTTCAGGAACAATATTAATTATTCCTGTTGTATCTATTGGTAATGTACCTCAGCTTGCTGTAGATCTTCTTGTACATTCAGCGGGTCTTTCAAGAAAAGCTATGCTTGACCATTCTTTACTTTATCCCTTTGCAGGTTCTAGAGAGGATGCAGGTGCTCCTTGTTGTGGCGGAATTGCGACTGCTTTGGATGGTAAGAACATAATTAATGAATGATTTTTATATAAACATGAATAATTAAGTTTTTGGCGATGATAAGATTACTGTTATTCAGCAAAGATCACCTATACTACCAGGAGAGAAAAAAAAATTTGTTGAAAAGGTTTTATTGCCTTTTATTAAGAAGGGGCAATTTCGTGAAGTTCTTGTATTAGGATCTACTGATGCATCTAGAAGAAATGATGCAGAAATAAAAGGGTAATTCATATATATGTTTCAAAAAGAATATATATAACGTTTTAGGCCCAAGGAGTTTATTTTATCAACGTTTCAAACTATTTCAGGATTGTCAGAGTACTTTTCAACTCTTAAATTAATATCAGGATCAAAAAAAGTTTTTCCGAAATTATTCTCATCTGGTGCACTTATTCCATTACTGGAGCATGCTTTATGTCAAAATGTTTCAATGACAGCTTTAGTAATGTATGTAATGGAAGGAGACAACACAGAAGATGCTAAACGAATGGCAAGAATCACAGCTAAAGCATGTAAACTTGACGACCTTTCTGAAAATCTGAAAAGTCCAAAAAGTTGGGATTATCTTTTTGGAAAGAAATTAAAAATTGGATTTGAGGGAGGAATGTTTTGGTGATATCTATATTTCTATATATGTCGTGATGTTATATATTGCATTAAAGAATTACGTAAAGCAACGCCTTTACTTTCCAAAGAAAAGATTTTGATATTAGCGCTTCCATAGTTTGTTCTTGTAGTGATCCATCCAAATCCTGCAATTACAATATCTTTGTGTTTTTTATGTTCAATACTTTCTGTCAAATTATAATACAAAATTTTTGCTTCATTTTTAAGTGAAGTTTTATCATGTGTAGTCATGTTATCAACACTTGAAATTGTTTTAAAAATATATTCAGCTTTCTTTCTGTTTGTAATATGTATTGGAAGAAATATATATGGAGTAACTATTAATCGATTATCTGTCTTCAAAGTATCTAGATAATCAATTCTAACAATTTTTTCTATTATAAGACTTTGTCCTTAAAATATCAATACATTTTATTAATTTTCTTAAAATTCTTAATCTTACCAGGTTTTATTGAAAATGGTTTTATTCTAGGAAATTTTTTTTTAGGTATATAAATTCTTAATTTGTTGCATTCAAAATGTTTAAATAGTTGTCTATCTGGTTCAGAAATTCCTGGGGTATCTATAATTATGCCACCGTCTTTAAATAAATTTCTCAGTTTGTTTGCATTTATATTTATTGGATTTAAAGTTGTTCCTGGTAAAAAACTAACAGTAGGTGTTTCCTCATAACCTGCCTGATTAGCAAACTTAGAAATAATAGACGATTTTCCAACATTAGTCATGCCAATAAAATATATGTTACTTTTTTTGGTTTTATATTTGTTAATAGATGTTATTAGTTTATCTATGCCCCAACCTTTTGTAGCACTTGTTAAAATAATAAATGGCTTTATTTCTTTTTCTGTAATTTGAGCTAATTTTGATATTTCTGAAACAAAATAATCTCTTATTTTGCTTAACATATCTTTTTTTCCACATATTATATCAATTTTGTTAATTACATACAAAATTTGTGATATTTTTCCATATAAATTATGCAATTCTGATATATATGAATGAGGAAAATCAATAGAATCAATTATACATATTAAAAGAGGATTTTTTTCTTTCAAAAGTATTGACAACCAATTTGCAGATGATAATGTTTGTGGAAGTGCAGGAAATTCTGTTGATAAAGTAGAATGGTGAATTAAATCATGACATCGTTGGCATATTGTCCTTTTTTTAACTTTTTTTTCTTGAAAGGATCCTGATAATCTCTCTGGAAATATATTTAAAAGCTCTAAACATAATGTTTCGTCAAGATTAGCTATTGCTTCATTAAATATATCATTTTCTTTTTGTTTTTTAGAATTCTTAAAATTTTTAATAATTTTGCTCTTATTATACATAGTATCTGAAGAATGTTTTGAATAAATCTCCTCAAATTGTGATCCACAACCAGAACATATATTTTTTATAGAATATTTTCTTAATTGTGATAATGATATTGGAAAAAAAAAAAAAGTTTTTCTTGAATACATTTCCAAAGTAAAATATATACCCCTAAAAGACCATATATTGTTTTTTTTTATCATTTTTTTAAATATAGTATAATCAAAAAAATTATCTGTGATTAACCAAATTTTTCCTGATAAAAAATAATTCTTAAAATAATATTTATTTAAGATAATTCCTTGTATGTTATTTTCTCTTTAAAATATATTATCTTTTTTCAGAAAAATTATAGTTTTGATATTCTAAGTTATGCGTACTTAACCGCTAAATTTTTGTATTAAAAATTAATAAATAATTAATGAGTAGAAATACCCTTTTACGCTTTAGTTTCAATAGTAAACCAATTTTATCTTCTTTTTATCCAGAATTATCTTTTTTGAAATGTAAAAAAAGGTCAATTTGGATCCAATCTGAGAAAACACCTAATGAAAATGCAATTAAATTTATTCCTGGTGTTAATATTCTACCAGAGTCCCTTACATCTATAGAATACTTGAATAGCCATCAGGCAACATCATCACCTCTTGCAAAAAAGCTTTTTGCTATTGATGGAGTTAAATATGTGTTTTATGGACCTAATTATATAACTATTACAAAACATTCAAAAAATGCATGGAGTCCTCTTAAACCAGAGATTTTTTCGATTATTATGGAACATATAAGTTCGGGCCAACCTATCTTTTTACCTGAAACACAAGATTTAGGTTCAAATGTAAATACAGAAGATGATTCAGAAGTGGTTTCTATGATTAAAGAATTATTGGAAACACGGATTCGTCCAGTTATTCAAGAAGATGGAGGAGATGTTGAATATAGAGGGTTTGATAATGGAAAGGTTTTTCTTAAACTTAAGGGTGCTTGTAAAACATGTGATTCATCTGTTATTACTTTAAAAAATGGTATAGAAAATATGTTAATGCATTATATACCCGATGTAAAAGGAGTTGAACATGTAATGGATAAAGATGAAGAAGTGGGCATTAAAGTAAAGCAATAGGATAGTATTTTATTTAAACTCATTATCTCTAGGAATTTGAATATTTTGAGAAAACAAAATCTTCATAATTTTGCTAATATCTTAATTATATTTTATAAAATATCAACTAAAATAAATTCATTCTAAGAAACTATATTCTTAAATGCAAGTTTTAAATCTTTTAAATTCTATAAATACACAAACATGACAATTCCAATCTAAAATTAATATCTAAACGTCTGAAAAAAATGATTTCAACACTTCAATTTAAATGTAAAGGACACCTATCCTCACGGATTATCCATTGGTAAAAACCAATAAAAAATCGGTGAAAAAAAAGCGTCCTGCCACGCAACAAATAACAGGAGATTCCAAAGATTCCTTACCGAACTAAATCAGCAAGAGCGGTCAGGGAATGTAGTTTTCACTATAAATCATAAACATCTAGAAAAAAATAAAAATCTCAAAGCTTACACTAGCAAAAACACTAACTCAGGCGAACCTTCACTGTTAAGCGTAAAACCCTTGCACCTAAACAATCAGATATTTACTAATCACATAAATCAACTTACAAAGACAAGGAATTATTTGGGTTTATCGGCTTTTTATATATTTTTTTGCATATTTTTAAACTCCGGCATCCTTTTTAAACTCCGTCTCCTTATATACTTTATGTCACGTGATTATTATTAAACTAAACCTTGATTTTTATAAAATAAAATTAATCATTAATTCCAATAGTTTTTTGTTCTTTATAAATTCATATTTTTGGGTATTTTTTTAAGTTTCTTATCTTTCTATATATATATTAGGATTTATCTACCTATTTTCTGACCGATCGTCTGAGCCTTTAAATAACGTTAAAAAAATGTTTATCATTAACTGGTTTTATGATATCCTTGCAAGTCTTGGATTAATGAATAAACATGCAAAACTGTTATTTCTTGGTCTTGATAATGCAGGAAAAACAACACTGTTGCATATGTTGAAGGTAAGTTATTTTTAAACGAGTAAAAATAATGATAAAGATGTATAGAATGATAGATTGGCAACATTTCAGCCTACATTGCATCCGAGTAAGTATTTAAGAATAGGAAGGAAAGTTTTTATGTGAAATTTAGCGAGTGAAGAATTAGCTATTGGAAACTGTTTATTTACGACATTTGATCTAGGAGGACATCAGCAAGCTAGGAGATTATGGAGAGACTATTTTCCAGAAGTAGATGGAATTGTCTTTCTTGTTGACTCATCGGATGTGGAACGATTTTTGGAATCAAAAGCAGAATTAGATGCTTTACTTTCTATCGAAGAATTGTCAAAAGTACCATTTCTTGTGCTTGGAAATAAGATTGATGCACCCGGGGCCGTTTCAGAAGAAGAATTGCGTGTGACATTGGGACTATTCCAAACAACAGGAAAAGGGAAAGTGTCAGCTGAAAATATACGTCCAATTGAAGTATTTATGTGGTAAGTTTTTATGCTCTAATGCTTGATATATTTTAATTCAACTTTTTGTAACCATATACTAGCTCAGTTGTTATGAGGCAGGGATATGGTGATGGATTTAGATGGTTAAGTCAATATGTTTAAATCTACACAAAAATTGTAAAAAATTTTGTATAAGATCAGATATAAAAGTTGAATGTATTAGCTTATTTCATTTAATATATGAATCATTTCTATCGCGCGTTGCGGATCCCCTTTACTATAAATAAATAGTCCTTGTAATGCAGCAGTACTAACTGGTACACCTGTCGCTTTTATTTTTTCCAGAAAAATATTTGCCTCTTTATTCTTGTTTTCATAGAATCTTAAAAACATTGTTTGGATTTGATAATCCGTTGCAAACCCGAAATATTTTAAAACATCAACACGTCCGGGACGAATTAATGCAGAATCCAATTGGTCTAGATGATTTGTTGTCATGAAAATAATTCGATCTTCGGCAGAAGCAACACCATCAAGTGCATTTAAAAAACCTGAAAATGTCATATTATTCCTAAAACTAAAGAATTATAATCGAAAATAAAATGAAACAAAAATACTTGTGTTCTTCTGTTTGTTCACGTTTGGAAAAGGCTGAGTCTACATCTTCTAATAATATTATACTTCTTGTAGGAACGCTGCTTAATAAGAAATTAAGACGATCATCTGTTAACCCTTTCTCCGAAAGATTTAATAAACATATGTTGTATTCAAGTTCTCCTGCAATAGATTGTATGAACGATGTTTTTCCTGTACCAGGTGGTCCATAAAATAGATAGCCTCTTCTATAAGGTATACCTTACAAATTTAAATAAAAAGGATTTAACACAAAAACAATACCTCGCTGTGAATACCAATCTCCACTATTTAAGAAATCTTTAATATCATTGATTATTTGTTCTTTAACATCTTTGTCAAGTATGACACTTTCTAGGATTCTTCGTCGTCTTGGTTGTCCAAAGGGACGCCATTCCGAGCCCCAACTTGTATAAATAACTGTCTTTCCCTGGTGCATTTTCATGGAAAGATTTCGTGCATCATGAAGTAATTCGTTAAATATTTTTCGATCTTGAAACAGTGTTGTTAAAGTTATTGTCTCCCAAGGAGATCCTGTTGACAGATCAACCATTTTTCCGTCTCTTTCTCGATAAAACTATATAAAAATCGATATATTGAAATATAATTGAATATTATTTATATACTTGAATCCATGAATTTTTATATTTAAAAAAATGTTTCCCATGGCCAGGAATAAGGCTAAATGTAGTACTTGAACTTCCATTGTCGTGCTGTTTATACATTGTTTCAACTGAAAATTGATGCATACGTTTCATTGATTTTTGTGAAGATATCCAATGAAGAACCCATAAATAACTTTTATCTTTAGATGGAATTTCAAGAGATACTGTAAAATAACGTTTAGCTAGATGCATTGATTGAATAATTCCATGACGAAAAAGTGCTAATCCTGTACCTAAGCCCATTAATCCTAATCCCTTTGAAGATTCGTTAGCATCTTTTTTTCATTATAAATCAATTTACTGCAATAAAAAATTGATTTTCATTGAAAATACTGGAAACTATACTATTTTTCTTCCTGAATTTAACCGTTTCTTCTATAACTGGATTATCATTTTCTACATTAACCGTTGATTCTATCATTATAAAATTTCAAGTCCAAGTAAATCTTTTTAAAATATGTTTTTTCCTTTAAAATAATGTCTCAAATATATACTAATTAAAGATATATGGTTGTTTTAAGGTATAAGTTAAATGTTAATTAAAATTGATAAATTTTCGTATTTTTGTATAGAAAAAAAGGAAATATTATAAAAAAAACTATTTAAAACCAAAAATTCATTAAAACTTTCAAAAATCTCTGCTTTATATCCTTAAAAGATATATTTAAGCTTGAAAAATTCAAATAATTTTTTTTGAGGTTGTCCGTTGCTTTGGTAACAATATATGAAGACCTTAATCTTGAAAAAATAAAGTAAATTTGTTAAGCCAATGGATGTACTTATAAAAATATTTATTGGATTTTATACATAGGCTCAGCATTCATTTAAAATGTTTAGGTCAAATAAGAAGAGAATAATTCAAAATAATGGAAATTTTGATGTACAGGTCTTACGTTATAATGAATATCCAAATCGTCTTAATTTTTATCTCGAGGAGCCTAGAGAAGAAATAACTATCGAGGAGTTTGAAAATTGGGCAATTGATAGGCTTTATGGTTAGAATTGTGTTTTTCAGGAATATTTTTTATAAAAAATTGGATAGTTCTTAATGAAATTGAATCAGGACTTTTTCGAAATAAAACTCTTAAAGAAATGGATATTATGTTGAAACCGTTGATTGAAAAGCATCTCCCTCTTAGTAGTAATACGTCTAAGTCTTTAAAGGGGGCAATTTTGGATCAAGAACGAAAAAAAGATCATTATAGTCATTATATTTTAAAGCTAGCATTTTGTCGATCGTAAGCCATTTCTTTAAAATAAAGAGATTTAAAGTTTATATTTCTGCAGAGAAGAACTTAGGAAACGTTTTATAAGGGCAGAAATGACATTATTTAAGTTTGGTGTATTTTTTTTTAACTTTAAATAATGTTTTGAAAGACTCCGATTTTTACAAGATGATGCCAAAGAAAGACTTGCATTTATAAATAGTTTGAATTTTGACTGGGAAATGGTTATTTTTTTGAATTTTTCTACTTGTTTAACAATATATTTAAGGTTTCTGAAGATGAAAAACGATCTAAATTGGATAAATTGAGCGATTCGCTACAAAGAAATATTGAAAAAGAGTCATTTTTTAAGGAAATAATTATTATATACTATATAACAGCAATAATAATAGAGTAGGTGGATTTTGATAAGGTTTGTGATTTAGTAGAAAAACGCAAAGTTTTTCTAGAAAAAGGCAAAGCTTATGTGCCTATATCAGAACAAATAAGTTTAATTTCTGAAGAATTCTCTTTAAAATTAGAAAAATCTTTGGAGGTTTTTAAATAATTAAAATATTTATCAATTCTTATATTATTTAGTTAACTGCTAGAATATTACCTCGTCTTGATGAAGATGATAGATTATTGCCTATATTAAATCATTTAAGTTTAGGATTTGCAGCGCCAGAATATTCCAGTACAATAGCTACTATTGGAAATATTACTGCATCACAAATAGATTTTGTGAGTATATATGTAATTGCTTGCATTACTTTAATATTTTTATAAAGCTTGTTAAACATTTTCCGTTATGTCAACGTAATTTACATTTAAATCTGAGAAAGGATAAACACTTAAAACATTTTGGAAGACTTCAATATGGTTTATTTTTAAAAGTATATTTTACCTTGAAGAATCTACACTAATGCTCATAATATTAAGGGAATTGGTTTAGATGTTGAAGAAGCATTAGTATTTTGGAGAAAAAGCTTTTCAAATACATCCGATGAAAGATTTAATAAAGAATATAGATATAATGTACGACATAGTTACGGACTAGAAGGCAACCGTAAAAATTATAAACCTTACAGGTAAATATCATTTATCTGAATTACAAGTTAAAAATTAATTTTAAATAAAGTTGCCAGCAGATACTTACTGGTCCTCAACCAGGTACAGGGGATTCTCATGGCTGTCCATTTCGACATTTTTCTATTGAAAGTTTAAATGCTTCTTTAGAAAGTATGGGAATTCGCGATTCAAAAGCTTTGAAAGAAATTAATGACGCCGTTGTTGAAAGACATTATCATATTGCTTGCACAAAAGTATTCGAATTTACACATCCTTCAATTGGTTCTTTACAAGAAAGTATTTCTCATCCAAATCAATATTTTGACAATAGTTATACCTTAGAAAAAGGTATTAATGAAAATATAGTAATGACGGCTGAGAACAAAAATATATGAATTATTTTTTTATGAAATAAATTCCGTTGATTGTATATAATACATGAATTAAATTTAAAAATATTTTATCATAAAATAAATTTAGCTTATAACAATAAGGTTTCTGGAGTTTCGATACAGCTTTTTAATTCCTTAATAAAAGTCTTTGCAACATAAATATCTGTATAAGATTTATCCAGTTTTATCCTTATAAATGTTGTATAGTAAGGGCATTTTTTTTTAGTAGACATAGATGATTTGTCAAATAGATTTCCTGCTAGAAAATCTATTATATCTAAATCTTCTTTAGACTCTTCTAATTTTTGTTCTGGAGCTTCAAGAATTTCCTCTAAACTTAATGATATAGAGGAAGGAAATATTATATTTTCGATACTATATTAATTAATATAAAACTAATTAATAAATATAAAACCACCGAATAATTTTAGGTGATGCCCATAACACATTTGTTTTCTTGTCCTTAATATAATCAATTTGAAAGTCTTCATTATTTATATTGACATTTATACAATTATAATATTTTGGAATTTCTTCTAAAACGTTAGAAAATAAAATTTCCTGTCTAGATGGTTTCTTAAGAAAAATAGAAGGTACTTTTTGGGATCCCTTGTAGATAGCTTTGTTTATTAAATCCGAAAGTTCTATTTTAATATTTAATTTTTCTAGATTTTTGTAAGAATATTATATTAGTATTGATTTTATACCATTAATACTTTCTTTCATTGATAAAAGGGATTTAAGACAAACAGGAATAATTATTGAAATAAATGAGTTTTCTATAGGTTGTTTTGGTTTTATTTTTAGATTACTAAGATCTAATTTTTCTTTTTCTTCGATAATTTTTACCAATTTTAAAGGAAAATCTTTATTTATTGCACCGACATGTGCAAGAATATCTCCTTTTAACAACCTTCCCCGAGGGCCTGTTGTTTTGATTTCGAAAGGATTAGTAATATTATAATGTTTAATTAAAGAAAGAACTGCCGGAGATGAAATAGTCACTGGATTTTTCAATCTATCTTCCATAATATCTTTTACTAGAATATCATTTCTGTTTATTCTATCTGTAAATATAGACCTTTTTTTTTGAAATTGAAATTTATCTTTATATTTGTTAACAAACTATAAACTAATGCTTCTAAAACTCTCATACCCATTCCATTCTTTATATACATATACTCAGGCATGCTCTAAATCTGTTAAATCTTTCTTTTAGTTAAAATTTTACTACAATAATTGGTAGAATTCCATGATTTAAAGTATTAAAATACATTAAAGTCTTTGATAATTTGATTCTGAAAAATCCTTTCCTAAAAATGGATTTATCTATTCCATGTAAGAATTACTAAAACAAAATAAATAAACCTGAATTGAAATTTCTTATTAAAACATTTTTGAAAAACGTATTTAATGAATTTTTTGATGATTTATATCTTTTTTCCGGGGAAAAAAGATATTTATGATACCATCTCTCAAACGAAATGTTGTTTCCTATTATTTTCTTAATTTTTTTCTAAAAAAAAAGCTATAATTGAAAGCACCTTTTGTTTGAATTATTTTTAATGAATCTTTATCAATAAATCTCAAAAAAAAACTGGAAAAATTGGAAAACATTAATTCTTTACAAAAAAATCAATTCCATATTATCTTTTAAATGTCTTTTCTTGGGTTGCTTATGGATTTTTTATTTTTAGATATTTTATGTCAAAGGTTTGACGTTGATTTTATATTGAAATTTGACCTCAAAAAAATCATAAAAACATATATTTCCTTAATTTTTGTTAGAAAAATATATATTTTAAATTTTTTACTATTGAAATGTTATATTTCTTAGTTATTATTTGTATTTCTTTTTTTTTGCTTAAAAGTTGATTAATTTTTCATAGAAAAATAAGAATTAGATAAATGACCAATATTTTTGTGAAATCTTAGACTAAATAAGATATAAAGAGCCATTATTTTCTCTCCATTGATAGTATATATTTGTATTATATGTGTTTAAGAAGCTTTGGCGTTTTTATCCCATGCAATTAATTGCTATAGAAGATATGAACAATATTTTTTAGTCTAAATTAGAACAAAATATTTTAAATAATATACGTTTGATTGGAATCATCTGAAGTTTTTGCATAAAGATGAAGAGGAACTCTTAAAATGTCTTTGTTAGATATTTTTTAAGAAAAAAAAGATAAAGGATTTCTGGTAATAAATATCCAGAAAACTATGTTACAGGATGAAAAGAAGTCTTAAATGTCTTCAAAAACCATTATTTATTAGAAATGTTCAGAATCTGGGCCTACATTTTTTCCATTATTTATTAGAAAGAGATATAAGATATAAAAGTTGATAAATGAACAAGTAGGGAGTGTATTAAGGAATAATGGAAATTGTTATCAATTAAAAGACAAAAAAAGTGTAGTGGAAATATCTCTGAACAAAGTAGAAATGTTTATACATAGAGAAGATAGTTTAATTTGCAAAGATATTTTTTGTTAAGAGGAAATGGAATTTGTTATGAGTAGAAATCATAATAAATGAGTTAAAATCGTATCTTTTTTTCTAAAAAAGACAAAAGTTGTTGGTAAAAAACTCATTTATTTTTTAAAAAGCACTAAGAAATTTAAAAAAGATATTACTTGACTAAAGGAAACAATTTCTCTAAAAAATAGATTTTAAGAAAGTTGATATGATCTTTAATTTGGTTTAAAATATTCTAAAAATATACTTAATTGATTCTAATTATTTTTTATTTTGATTAAAATTAATATTTACTTTTCAGTTATTAATTTAAAAAATTATTACTAATACTTTTTTAAAACATCTTGTTTTTTGATTTTTCATAAATTTTTTGTTAGATAATATATAACTTCCTTTTAAATATCTTAAATATTGAAATATTAGAATTTTTAAAAAATATTTTAGCTAAGAATTGAATAAAATGGATAAGGTACAAAACCGTTTAAAGCAACTTAATGAAATTGAAAAGGTATATTTTTATAATTTAAAGTATTTTCTTATTTTTTTCTTAAAGAAAATTTCAAGTTTATTAAAAGAAGGAGGTTTAGCTATTGAAATAATTGTTAAGAAATCTACAACAAAAGAAGATGAATCTTTATTAAAAGATGCGTTTCAATCTCATGTCAGAAAATATATGGAGTTATTGGAGGTTTGTTTGAAGATTAATAAGTTTTTTTTAATGAACAAGAAGGATGTTTCTGTCCAACTTAGAAATCAAGTAAAAGCATTAGAAGAAGCCCGTGTTCCTATTAATACGATTCCTAAACTACAAGACTTTGCTAAAGAAAAAAATATAGAGCACTGGAAAAAGGTAGAAATGTTCTTGAAAAAATTACAAGTCAAACAAAAAGAATTATGAAATATATTAGTATTATTTACGTATATCACTGTTTTTCCTGTATTTTTTTGTAAAAAAAATGCGACTTAATTGAAGGAATAGTTTCATTGTTTTCTATTTAATTTTGTGCAGAATGGATTTTTTGAATAGGTTTTTCTGTATATGGAGATTGTGTATAAAGACAGCCGCGTTCGATAAGTTTTTCAATTCTCATTCTATGAGATATAAATAATAATTTTGGAAAAGTTGCTTTTTGTCCATAAAGTATCATTCGATTAAGGCGTGTTTCATCAGGATCAGTTAATATATACCAAAAGTCAGATACTATGGTTTTTGGCTAGTAAATGATAAGTTATGATTAATAGATAGGATAAAAATTACTAAGATTGTTATGTTTCCCTCAAATTTTTGTAGAAAGATGTGAGTCCAATCCTGGCCAAAAGGTCTAGGCATAAGTTCGAGATTTCTCAGTAAACGAAGCCATTTGAACATATCATGCTTTTATTAAAGTAATAAATATATATATATACAAATAAATATGGATTACATACCTTAAGATATTGTTCGATAGCACTACCAAGAAATCCTCCTTTCCATCCCTTACCTCTTTTATGACTCACAGGATTACCAACTGAACCTCTAGGCGAAAAGAACCATGTGTTAATGTGAGGATTGACTTGAGACACTATTGAATACGTGACATCAAAGTACTATAAAATATTAATTATCATTTAATATTTATTTTTCTGTGTTTTACTATATGTAATGAATGAATAGGGATATCTGTTCGTAATGATCCTAAACATTAGTCTTAAACTTCTTATAATATTGAAAATTACCATCTTTCCATTTATTACCAAAATTATAAGGAGCTAATTGACCATCTGGATTTTTTGACATGAGAGGCACTGGGTTTAAAATTCCTTTTTTATAATTAGTTATGATTGATATAATTTCGATTATTAAAAATTAACCTGGAACAGCAGCACTAATAAAAGTTAAAATATATTAAAAATGTTAGATATATTATAAACCTTGCTATTAATGCAGACCATATTACAGTATTAGGCGCAGTAAGATAATTCAAAAGTTTTGGAGGAGAGTGAATATTATTAGGGACAACCGATATATTTAATATTCTACCAGTTCTTTTATATGCTTCCATAAATGTAGTACTTCCTCTAGTAAACCATGTGCAACGAATAGCACTAAATTCTAATTAACATTTAATAATGTATAAACTACTTTAATACGAATCCACTGCATCAAATCTTGCGCCTGTTTTCCACCATCTTTTTAACCATGTCTAAAAAGATTAGTAAACAAGACTAAAGATAAAATCATATACAAGTGTTTTATCGCTACATGCTGTGATTTTGTGTGATAACTCTGGAACAAGAAGCGCCATAAGTTCCTAGTGCTTGTAAATATGTTTAGAGCAAAATTAAATATATACTTCATCAGTGCGTGTACATACTAATGATGCAATTAAAGCCCCTCCACTAGTTCCTGTGATTATGTTCGGGAGAAGTTTCGTGTCAAGTAATGCTTTGATTATGCCTAGATGATAAAAACTAGTGATATTAAAGAAGAAAAAAAAATGTAGAAAAGTACGCAAATGTAGCACCCCCAGATAAGCATAATGCAGAATGCCCGTAATTCTTGGTTAAATATTCAAAAAAAGATCGTTTGTCTTCAATTGGAATTTTGGGAGTATTAATCATATATATTAAACATTTTTCAACTAAAAGAAATTAAATGTAAATTCCCCCTTTTAAAAGAAAGAACCACCTTCAGTTATATAGCCTTCAGCTAAGTATTTTGTTCCAAAATATGTTTGGCTATATAGTAATGGATTTTCTATACCTCCTATTAAGAAATAAGAAAAATTTTATTAAAATAAAAAAATACCAAAATTAGGCTTGATACATGTTTCTAATGCACTTTTAAGAGCCTCTAAATCTTCATTTTTCCTATATGTTTTCAAATATTTTGACACTTTATCAATTAATTGATAATCATAATAATCAAACTGTGGATCTTCCATCCATTTATCATTCCCAAGAAATCTATCAAGCTCCGAAGCTGCTTGTTTCCATTCTGTATATGAGTCTGCCTTATAAAGTTTTTTTCGAAGACGTTGTCTTTGTCCTCTCCTAGATAAATAAGAAAAAGAATATTCATAAACATAATTCTACCATATATACAATCTCTCATATAATTCTATATAAAAACGTGTTATTATATATAAAATTCTGACCTCTTAAATCAATTAAAATCACTTTTGAAAAAATCTTACGACAAAATAAAAAGATATCCAAAGATAAATATCACAATAGGCCACCGAAGTAAATAATGCCTAATTTTCATATAAATATATCAATAGTTATTTTGTTATTTACATAATTCCTTCTCTTTTCTCATCTGTCCCTTTCCTAAATTTATTATGACTTATTTTCTTATGTTTCTGAACATATTCATGAACTGGACACTTTTCATCAATTAAATCTATGATTTCTTCTTGATCTTCTAATGTTTCTGATGAAAAAATACATTTCTCATATTCTTTTATATCTATTTTTTTTAAATATTTAGATTACTTAATGCCTTAATTTTACCATCAATATTGCAAAAATCAATATAAAAATCAGGAAGTGAATTCAGAGAGCTTATAACTTTACTTTTTCCCTTTTCTTTATCTGTTTTTACCATTTTAACTTAAGTTTCTTAGAAATCATTATTTTTGAGGTTGTATAATTAAATCTTAACATCAAGGAAAAAATTGAAAATCTTAAAACTTAGAATTATTAAGGAATTTTATTAGAAAAAGAAGAATTAACTATTTATATGATTTTTGGATGCAGGAATTATTGGGATTGCCTTTTTCCGCGGAAAATTTTGAGATTTTATAGAGAATTAAGGATTTTAGCAATTGAAACATCATGTGATGATACAAGTGTGTGTTTGTGTGTTTTATATTCTTTTTCTAGTGCAATTTTCTAAGTTTTAGACTTGAAGATGATAAGAATCAGGGTTCTGTTAAAGTTATATATCATAAAACAGAGAGATCATTGAATGAGAACGAAAAGTTTGGCGGTAAATTTTAGAAAGGTTCTTGGATGGATTTAATTGTTAAAAGGAATCCATCCAGAAGTCTCAATTATATCACATCAAAAGAAATTGTCTCGTATTTTAAAACAAGTTTTTGATGAACATATTCGTGGTCAACGGAATGTATAATACATTTGAGTATTTTATGAGTAATATAAACCTAAATAGATAGATTTAATTGCAGCAACACAAGGTCCTGGGATGGTTGGATCTTTATCAGTGGGTTTAAATACGGCAAAAGGCTTATCAGTAGCTTTGGGTGTCCCTTTGATTGGGATTCATCATATGGTATTGATTTATATGTATAATTTTGACTAATTTATGATATAAGCAAGCACATTCCCTTACTCCTCGGTTGATTAATAATGGAAAATTTCCAGAATTTCCTTATTTAAGTTTATTACTTTCAGGTGGACATACATTATTAATAAGATCACGAAGTGTTATAGATCATGATATTTTGGCATCTACTTTGGATATTTCAGTGGGAGATATGATTGATAAATGTGCAAGACTTTTAAAAGTTGATTGGAATGGTATGATGCCTGGACAAGCTCTTGAAAATTGGTCAAAAAGCTATGATACATCAACTGATACTGATACTATTTGGGATTTGCCAGATCTTCTTATGAAAACTCCAGAAAATCAATCTAAGCTTGCCTTTTCTTTTTCGGGACTAGGTTCCTCTGTTGATCGAATTGTTAAAAAGTCTTCTTTTACTGAATTTCAACTTAAAAGTTTAGCCAGATCATTACAAATATCTGCATTCACTCATATTTCCCACCGTCTTCTTTTAGGATTGAAAAAAATTGATGATTACATCACAGGAATTGTGATAAGTGGAGGTGTTGCTAGAAATTCTTTTTTAAAAACTATGTATGGATTTTATTTATATATATATATTAAAAATTTCTAGATTATATACAACATTAAATAATAGTCCTTATAAACATCTTCCACTCTTTTTTCCTCCTATTGAATTATGTAGTGATAATTCTGGTATTTTCCCTTTGTTTTATACTTTTTATACTTATTTCAGCTATGATTGCATGGACTGCTTATGAAATGTATAGTCTTGGTTATATTTCAGATCTTTCAATACTTCCTATTAGAAGATGGCCAATTAATCAGTTATTAGAACTAGGAAAGTATATAGTTTATGATAAAACTAGTATATTTATTTGAATATATGTTTCTTTAGTATCGTTTTAAGAATATTATAAAAACCATTTTAATTTATTAAAAAACAAAGGTTATTTTAGCCTTAAAATCCTTTTCATATATCCGGATTCAACTATGGTTGATGAGACTTTAGATATTTCTTTACCTACTTTTGATTTAAATAGTTATATTAATAATTATAAAGGTAAATACTAATTAATGAAATTAAAAGATAACTTTATTAGGTTATACACGTATTGAGCGTCTAATATTTATCTCTGAGCATTGTTCATTTCTTTGTGTAGAAGCACTTAAGCTTGCTATTGAATTATCTCAAACAGAAACTTTGGATACTGTTTTATATGAAAAATTAGTTACAAGATTGCAACAAAAAGACTCTTCAGAGTGCAATATAGTTTTAGATACGGAGTGGATTCATGAAACAAAAAAAAATACAAAAAATATACTTCAAAAGCTGAAGTCTAGGCTAAAAAATTATAAAAATAATTTTATAAAAGAAAGTATAAGGGTAAATTTTCATAGTTTCTAGAGAAACAGTACTAAATGATGATAGATGGGGTATAAAGATCTTGCAAATTACTATTATTTGTGTAGAGATCTGGAAAATAGTCTAAAATTCTATTTTAAAGTACATGAATATTGCGCAACATCAAAGCATAGTATGGATACGTTATTAAATATGATAAAAATATTTTTGGAATTGAAGGATTTTATAAATGCAAATACATATCTTATTAAAATACAGAATATGTCTTGCAAAAATGAAATTACCTCTAAAATTGAAGTGATATCTGGATTGATTTATCTTAATTTAGAGAATTATAAAGAAGCTGCATTGAAATTTTGCATGATTAAAATGGAGGAAGACATGGAATTTAATGATGTAATATTTCTTTGATTTAATTTTTATGTTGATTATATCATAGATTATATCTGTTAATGATTTGGTCATATATGCGGTTATTTGTGCTCTTTCTTCATTTTCTCGTCCTGAACTTAAGCAATATATCATTGATAATGTGGAGTTTTGGAAGTTGCATGAGTTAGAGCCTCAAGTCTTTGAAATAGTGACTGCATTTTATTCATCTAATTATTTAAAATGTTTTGATATTTTAAATAGATTGAAAAATGATTTTATGCTTGATATATATCTAAATAGACATGTTGATAATCTATTTTTATATATAAGGCAAAGGGCGTATATATTATATCTTAAACCTTTTAGTTATGTAGACCTTAGAAAAATGGCAAATGTTTTTTTATTTTTATTAAATAATATGGAGAAAGAACTTATACAATTGATATTGGAATCAAAAATATCTGCTAAGATAGACAATATAAATAAGGTATGTATAACATAATTGTGTAAAGAAATAAGTTGATTTTTAGTTTCTTATAATTATAGAACCAAGTCAACAAGATATGATATATGAAAAAATATTAAAAATTAGTAATGAATATAAAAGGGCTGCCAAGTTGTCATTAATACATATGGAATTGGTCAAAAAAGGTTTAGAAATAAAAACTATGTGTGATTTGAATATTGATATTGAAAATGAAAAGTAAAATCTATTATGGATTATAGATTATATTTTAGTCTATATTGGAAAAATTAGCTTATCTCTTTAATTGATTTGATATAAAAATATTTCAAATCAATATTTTTTAAAAAAATCATTTAATCATTTTAATTCATTCTATTAAAAATATTGTTTACAATATTAATTTAAATTGAATATAATTTCATGACGGAAAAATAGGCACAGCATAAATATTAAAAGATATTATTTATAAAAATCCGCAACATATTGCAAATTTATTGTAAAGAAATATAAAGAATATAAATACATAATATCTTATTTATATCTATTTGCCTAATTAGTAGGCAAATTTGGATTAGCCTCATAATAGAAATTCCTTTCATTAAAGTTATGATAATGTCTATGTGGATTGTATTGCATATGTGGTATATAATTAGGTATGTTATCATAGTTGTATGGATAATTCGTATATATAGGAATATGATCTGTTTGATAATCCTGATCAATTACTTTTTCTTTCTGAGAAACATGTGAGAAACATCGACTAAAAATACAATTAATCAAAAACGCAAGAACAAGTCCTAAAATAAAAATGATAATAAAGATCCAATTTTTAAGCTATCATTATTTTAATATTTTCCATGATACTTTTAGAGGAATTACTCCACTTAATAATGATTTTAAATGTTTTCCATAACTGCCTTCTATACAGTTGCCTTTATAACAATAACCATAAAATCCACATGGTGTTCCATCTTTAGATATTATTTATTTTAGAAAATAAGAATAAAAATATTTACCGATAAAATAACTTTGAAATCCTGAATATATACAAACCCCCCCTAACTCACAAAAAAGCACACAAGAGCTATGACATGATCCTTTGGAATTATTAAAATGGTTAATACATTGCTAAATTATTTAGATGAAATTAAATATTAATTTGAATTACCATATCGCGAGTTGTGCATATGCCAGATGCACATTTAGATTTATTGCCACATGGCGTACCATCCTTTTTAAATTTATCTCGAGGGCATATTGAAGATGTACCGGAACATACTTCAACAAGATCACATTCTCCTCGTGAGGAACGACAAATAGTGTTTTTAGGTGCGTAACGACATTTTATGCAACAAACTTCATTAGAATCACTATAAAGTAAATTTATAATATATTTGTAAAAGGGTAATCCTACTCGCATTCTGAACCTCTTGTGAATTTGCATGTCTTAGGATTGCAACATAAATTTCCTTTACAACCTTCTTCCCCTCCACAATCACAATCTTCTCCATCTTCAACGATACCATTTCCACACTTTTCTAATATATATTAAAATAATATATAGATTATGAAAAAGCCACAAACTTTGTGAAATTAAACTAACATTTTTATTGTTTACCAGACAATTAGAATTAACGTGCTTTTTTTTAAGATTGTTGCATACTTGTCCTATAGTACATTGACTAAAAGTTCGTGCTGTTATAGAACTTTTTGGATTCATTATATACATTTCATTTGCATTGCATATAGTGGTACCTATTGTAATCAGAAAGTTTAAATTACATAAGAATAAGCTACTTAAAGGACAACATGAAGCTGATTCATTCTTACATGTTTCGCTAGTACAATCATGAGATGCACCAAATCCTAAAAAAATATATTAAACTATTAATAGAAATAATATACCTACCATGCCCTATTTCATGAGCAAGTACAACATGTTCAATATTTTTCGGACTTGCTATAACATTTGTCCCCGAAACCCAATTAATATCTTGATTCTTTGAGATAATATCCTGGCAAAGAACCCCATACCATGCAATACCTACTTCCATAGTATTTCGACATGTTGTAAATAGAGACCATAATGCAATATTATCTTTAATCTGGGTTCTCCATAGGCTAAAATGTTTTAAACGAGTACTAATGTTATGTTGTAATGAGCATGCGACATTCCATAAAACTTTAGGATTCTCTTTAGGACATGATCTATTCATAATGGTTATATTCAATAATCCTAAGGAAATATTAAATGTTTCCTCATAAATCAAAGATACCTATATGTTAATTTTATTAAACAAATATGGGGTATTGTTACTCTATTATAAAGATGGATAACATGATTTGTTGCATCAATTGAACTTTGAAACATCGAAATATAATTGCAGTCAAGAGCTGCTCCAACATAAGCTATTTGTTTATACTTTGGACATCCAGAATTATCCCCAATATATTCTGCTAATCGAATTCTAGAAGAAAATAAACTAGACTTCTCAGCGGCGTTACTTTTTCTGGAATTGGAAGATAATGCTGCTAGATTTATAGGAACCATATCATCATATAAGCTATTTAATAAACATTTATTATCTAGATATATATTGCTCCGTTTCCTTAAAGTTTTAGGCGGTTTATTTGATTCACGCCATAACACCATGCTTTTTTTAGGCTCAAAAATTTCTGGTTCATGAGCTTCTTTAAGTAACATGTAATTTTCTGCTGTTTTTACGGTATAAAAATCATTCGATAATGAAAATGCCCCTTCAAATATCGGTAAGTCTCCATCCTGATGAAGCGATATCCTTGCCCATCCAATTTTATGCCATTTTTTTTCCAACAATCCTGTGTTGTTTTCTGTATATGTTATAAATGCATCTCCGCGATAAACTCTATAATTATTCCTATCAATTCTTTCTGAACTTATAACCTCTCCGTCTTCATTATGGATTTTCAAATATGAATCCTCACTCAGCAAATCTAAGTTTGGAACCATAGTTAATTTAACATATTTTTTCATCCAGTCTGGGTATTCCGTTTGTTGATAATGATAAGGTAACGTAAAAGTTAAATCAAATGATGAATGTGAATCAATAGATTTTTTAGAAGTTTCATGCGGGTATAAAACAACATCTTTAAGAGGAAAAACTTCATGGATATTCACTTGTTGAGTAATTAGTGCTATATTATGTTAATAAATTTTATGATTTATTAATATAAAACTTACATGCATGTATTCCCTTTAGAAAAGGATATAATAGTATATATGAGAATAAATATCGCATGGATTTTTTCTTTATTCTCTAGCAAATTTAATTAATAAATCAATGTTTTAATAAATAAATAAATAAATAACAAATTATATTTCTTAAAAGATACCAGATCTATAATAATAAAACGTCAAGTTAGTTATACTTATTATATTTTAAACTTTAAAAAAACCTTTTAAAAATTTATATAAAACAATGCTTTTGAATATTTTGTTTTTATTTGTTATTAAATTTTGTAATTAAATAAAAATCTAATATTAATAATCTGTATATGATTTCCTTTAGAAAAGTACTGATCAATTCAGATTATTTTAGAGTTCATTAACTTCTGAAATGCTCTTTTAATTTCTTTTAACGAAATGGCTTTGATAATCCTTAGTTTCTTTCGTTCACATATTGGTATACACATAAAAATATTATTAAAATTAATAAAGATGGACTATATTATACATGAATATAGTAATTTTTAAGTTTTTTTTAATATTTTTTATCTTAAAGTGCTTTTTTCTTTATAAATATATATTTAAAACTATAAAAATCATATTATTAAACATGTATATATTCCCGACATTTGTAAGAAAACGATTAATTTAATAAACATGGCTGGCCAAATAGAGATATAAAAAGAGAAATGAGATTAAGAATAATGATAAAAAAGTACATAAATTATTAAATATATGGGAAATGAGATTTATTATAGTTTATTATAATTTAGATATATTTTTGAGGGTATAGATGATTACAAATTGATTTGTTTTTTTTTTTAATATTTACAATTATTTTCATATAAAAACTATTAAAACGACTTGCTATAATTTATATGTTGACATCATAATCCTATTTAAGAAAAGTGGAAGATTAATAATGATTTAATGGGAAAAAAAAAAAGCCCTAAACTAAATTAAAGAAAAAAAAGAACAAAAGATTATTTTGTAGTTTCATGAACTTTTATGTTAATATATACAAGTTTGTCTAGATATATAAAAGATAGATATAAAAAAATACAAAAATATGTATATATAATGATAATATTTGATCGATTGAAATGTAGTTTTATGAGTGAAATAATGAATATTTTGTAATATTTTTGTATAAATTATTAATAACAATAATATTTATATATTTTTATATAAAAAACCTTTTTTTGTTTTGATTGTTTTAACAAAGGATATTTCTGTTAATCATGTAAAATTATTTATAAATTGGCTTTATTAATTTCTCGAAGATCAATAAAAGAATCTATAGAAATTAAAAAAATATATAATTAGATTTAATTTCTTGATGTTTCCCAAAAAGATTTAATGTACATATAAGAAAGTTTTTAAATAAATCCTTTTATTATATCATAGATTAATTCATTTTTTAATATTATTTCTTTTAAACTTGATTTTAATAAAAGATCTAATATGGTTTTTTTTGTGGGGTAAAAAAAACATTAAATTTAAAAAAATATATTCAAAATAAACATGATTGAATCATCTAATTCAAAAGTTCAAGGTAAATAATACTAAGTAATATAATTTTTTATTTAATAAGTTTTAAAAGGTGATGAGGAAAAAGTTGATTTAGAAGTTAATGTTGAAAAAACAAATACATCGGGATCATTAATAAGGTGAATAATAAATGTATTAAAAATTAAGAAAATTAAGATTTTTTTGTATTTTTAGAGAAAATATGAATGATGAAAGAAGTTAAAGTTTTTTTGAAAAAGAGAAAAACTGATAAAAAAATAGTACAAAATCAAGGATTAAATTTATTTGTTACAGGGATTGCAGAGAGGTTAAAAGAATCAGAATTAAAAGAAATGTTTTCAGTTTATGGAAAAGTTGAAAAATGTCAAATTATGATTGATCCTCATACAAAGGAATCCCGAGGATTTGGGTTTGTTCAAATGTCAACGATAGAAGGAGCAAATGCTGCACGAGAAGGATTAACAGGAGAAGAACGATATGGGCAAGTATTAAGGTTTAATTTTAAATAATTTTAAATCTATTGTTTTTAATATAGTTATCAGTGTAGACCGCGCACGTCGTAATAGACCACGTAGGTTTATTAATTCTAATGAATTAGTATTTATTTAAACATTAAGGGACTCCAACACCTGGGAAATATTATGGTCCTCCAAAAAAATGTATTTTTTTTAGAAAGAAATTATATTTAAAATTATTTTAAAGCATTAGACTAATATTAAAAAGATTATATACAGGAAAACAGGCAATTGCCGCCCTTATTATATCATAGATATAATCGTTATAATCGTTATGACTATGATAGAGGAATGCATGATCGTTTTAATTTCTATTATAATGAACGGAATTTTCGTATAAATTATGCAGAACGTTATGATGGACGTTATGATGATTATTATGGATATGGAAGAGGATATGGACGTAAAAAAAATGAATATTTTAGAAGATACTATAAAAATGATCATAGATAATTTCATAATCATTTAAAATTTATACATATGTTTTCTAATAATACTTAATGACATGATATGTTTATTTTTTTTGAAAATAATTATGCTTATAATATTAATTTTGTTTATAAGAACCCTAACTTTTTTGGCACTGTAGAAATTATTAAGTCTTAAAGTGTAAAATTTAAGTTAGGATTTGAGGTTATTTTAAGGATTTAAAATGCCTTTGAAAGATGAAGTAGAATCAAGGTATTATCCCATATTGCTTTATACAAGTGCTTTTTTTTTCTTGTTTTTTTTGTGTTTTTTGAAGTTTTTATTTTTTTAAAAATATTAATAAATATGATGTGTAGGGGGAAACGTGGAAATGGACGTAAATCTAATTGGACAGTGTTAGGAAAGACTGGTTTTCCTATAGGTGTGGCTTCAGGAAAGGGATCTTCAACTTCTAAATCTACGTCTTTTCGTTTGTCTAAAACTCCATTTGTAGAAACAACATATGTTCCTGTTAGAGGTTTTAATAGTGTAGAAGTTTCTTCATACTTAAATAAAGGTATATTAATTAATATTTTAATTTTAGAGACAACAATTGTTTTGTTTTTGTGTATTCTTTATTTATAGAAGGATTTAATGGATATTAGAATGGAAATCCGCCTTAGATCGGGCCAATGATGCATCATTTCCAGCTAAAGGTACATAAAAATATCTACACTAAAAGTGTTATATATTATTTGTTTTAGATAAACCAGAGATTTATAAAATGGCAAATAATGAATGGATGACAAAGAATGGGTCGACTACATCTATTTGGAGCGGCCGAGGTTTGATAGAGTATATTATTTGGTGATATCTTTGTTAATATATGGCAAATAGGCCACTTGATGGCAAAAGGGACAGCCTTTTTAACAGAGCTTCGGAAAAGTGTAATATCTAACATTGCCGAACCTAAAGGTGGTTAATGATAAAACAACAATACGAGTTAAAAGAGGGCACAAATCTAATATAAAGTTGATACAGAAATAGTAATTTATATATAACATGTGCAACATATATATATGAGGGGTATAAAACTCTAAGACTATGCGTTTATTATAGCATTAAAAAATTGATATGATGTATGTGTCAATGTATTTGTATAGATTGAAATTAAAGCTTTAATGTGATATCCTTTAAAAGATTATAAATTAAATGTTAAAAAAACCGATATATTAAATTATTTATGGTTATTAAATATAAAATAATGATTTCCATTAATCCTAGTTTTAAAAGATGGAATATGTCGTAATTAAACCAAGTTTTGTATTGTACTTAGAGTTCTTCAACGAAAAAGCTAATTATAGTCTAATATGAGCTGTTTCAATTAATGAACCAAATTGCTTTTATGTTCTAATGTATTAAGTACACAATATATAATTAAAATATATAGCTTTAATTTATATTACTATCCTTGGTACATTGCATTTTGCCTTGTTTTTGATATCCCTTTTAGTTTCAAAAATATTATTAAGCCATTCTAAATTTATACCCAAAAAAGTCCTTAATCTATACTACATATAAATGTAAAAGAAACTGTAATTATAAAAAACTATTCATTATCATTGTCATAATTTTCATTAATATTTATTTTTCGAACAGTTAACTCGATTTTTTGTGTATTCTCTGAACTTGACAATTCATTTTTTGAAATAGAATCTTTGATTCCATCCGTATCAATATTACCATCATTGGATATTTCAGTTATATTATTTGATTTAACCAAATCGGAATTGCTCTTTGTAGAATTATTGATCAATTGACTTGAATTATCACTTTCGAGTGATTCTAAAGATTTAGAAGCAGATGAGATAGATGAAAATGTTGACGATAAATTTTTTTGAGTGCCTGATGATCCATATTTAGAACTCTTAGGTGATTCCTTGGATTCTAATTCTTTTACTTTTAAAGATTCTTTTGAGACTTTCCTACTAAATGAATTATGAGTATACGATTCTTTTTTCTCACTAGTTTTTTCATAAGACATTTCCTTTGTCCCAAATTTTAAGGAACTAGTCTTTTTTTGCTCATATATTTCACTTTTTTCATCCCATTTTTTTTGCCTTTTGGTTGTCTCCCAAGTTTCTTTTGCGTCATGATGAATGATGGATTCCACGGATTGTTTCGAAGATTTGGAATGGTTTGTATGAGATGAATGAGAGTTAGGCTGATTATTCAAGTGTTTCATATCATGATTTGTATTAAATGTGTTAGAATGAATAGGTGTAAGTGACGATTCCTCCGTTACATTTCCGGGACATGCCAAATGATAAACAGGATGTGATCCATTGTGTGATTCCAACGAGGGCTGAAGGGGGTATATAGATGTATGATGTGGATGATTAGAATGATTTGATCGTTCATGATCATAAGGATTTGAAGGAATATGATGATGATAACTTGTTGGAGAAAGAGTATGTTGTCCATGACGTTCATTCGATGTAACATGTATAAAAGATTTTTTTGAAATATCTGATGTTTGAGCCGGTAAAGGAGAATCAACTTCATTAGAACGAGGACGTAATAGAGGCAATTTTCCTATGTCATCATTTACAGTTGAAGATACAAGTGCAGAAGAATGTGGAGACTTAGACCATTGTGCTGATATTTCTGCCGGAAGATTAGAATTTTGACAATTGGAAGGATTAATATCTTGAGGATGTGGAAGTGTAGTTGTATGATGAGATCCAGTAGCTTTTCCGTTACGTAAATATTGAAGACGACTCTTAATATGTGGATTGCCGGGATCAAGCTCAGCAGCACGTTGATATGCATTCAATGCATCGCCAATTTGATTATTGCAAGACTCGTACAACGTACCTAAATCGTACCAAACCTCAGATATATATGGATTCAAGCGAATTGCACGAGAGTATGCATCAAGTGCATCTCGATATTGATTGATTTGATAGTATAATACACCAATTGAACACCAAAAAGTAGGATTTCTCCCATCACGATAAACAGCCTGCTGATACGCCTCGTAAGCTTTATTGTATTTTTGTTGAGCCATATAGCATCGTCCAAGAAAGTACCAGGATTGAACATCATGACTATCTAAAAAAATAGTATGAATAAACTGAAAATATATTTAACATATTTACCTATTTCAAGGGATTTGGTAAGATATTGAACTGCATGGTCCTGATTTGTAAAAGACGTATTGGGCTGATGACAAAGCCAGCCCAATTGTTGAAGTACTTTTGCATGATCTGGATTTTCCGATAAAATATGTTCATAAACATCTTTTGCAAGCTTATATTCCTTTTGTTGCTCATACACCTGACCTATTTGAAACCAAATATCTGTTTTCGTAAGTGACTTTGGAGGATTCTGCAAAATATATCGAAAACATTCAAGACTTTGTGGATATTTATGTTGTTGCCTATAAATAATCCCTAAACGAAAATATATTTCATTTGCTTTTTCAAAAAATGGGTCTATTTGAATAGTATGAGAAAATGCTTCTTCTGCATGTTCTAAAGATCCATATCTATCATAGAAAATACCAATCCCATACCAAAGTTTAGGATCTTTTGGATTCTGCAAATGATACAGTGCTTGTTGATACGCCGTATACGTCTTTTGTAAGTCATCCATCATCAAATAACAATGACCAAGAGAGCCCCATATCTCACCATTACTTTGATCTATATTTAAAATCGATTGAAAGTATTCTGCTGCTCTTTGATACTGTTCATTCGCGTGCAAAATAGATGCAATCTGTGTCATTGCTGCCACTGAGTACGGATTATGTCTTAATACGCATTCATAACTCGTCAATGCCCTTTCATATTCATTCATTTGCTCTGCCAATCTTCCTATGACACATTATTAATTAAATATGGTGATGAGACGCGACACGAGACGCGTCTTTTCACGTGATCCGTACCAATCTGTAACCAGGTCTCCTCATTCAAGTTACTAAGTCTTTGTAAAGCGGTCCGAGTAGCGCTTAAAGTTCCAGGCAAAACAGAGGGAGTTTCAGTAGATGAAGCTAAAGATGAGGAGGGTATTGTGGAAGTAGAAGGAGCGGCAATAGAAGGACCAGGGATTACAGATGGATCGGAAACATCGATGGTAGTAGCCGATAGGGAATCATGTGTAGTATCGCGAGCAACATTTTCCCGGTCAAGCTCATCCTGCTTTTTTCTACGCCGACGCGTGGTCCGTCGAGGACCTTCTTCACGCGTCTCCAATGTTTTCTTCGTTTTGACGGAATATGAAGAAGATTTATGAAATTAATAAATTGATCTTTTGTTTTAGTTGAATACTCCCAGCTGGCTTAATAATACACACTCCTGCAAGGCCTTTTGTTTACTCCGATCCTCCGATTAGTTAGTTCATCCTCTCTTAGTCTCCTCGAATTTATTTGGTTACGTTTTTAACATTAAATTTTTATACCATTTACTTTTAGTGTCTTACTAGTAATGAATTAAGGTAAAATAGGTTTTTTTACCATGTTTTTTTATAAAATTTTATTTTTTTGAGTCCTTTCAAACATAAATACTTACTAAAATTAAAGTTAGTTCAAGTTAGTTAGAATAAAAATTACTAAACATTTTAAGTTTAGTTTTGTGATTCCAAGATTAACTTTTTTAAGATTAAGGGTTTAGGGCTGTGACGGCAAAAAAAAAATACAACTTATTACTATAATAATCGTTTTGACAAACATCTTTGAGAGTATTAAGTTTTTTTTATATATAAAAAAAAAGGATGTCTCATAGGAAATATGAAGGTTTTTAAAGAAAAAAAGTATTGATAATAAATTGGAATTAATATTGTTTTTTCCAGCGCCTCGTCATGGATCTTTAGGTTTTCTTCCTCGCAAAGTAAGAATGTCTTTTTTTTTCATCTTATCTTAGAAAAAAAACAGCGAGCATCTCGGCATCGAGGAAAGGTCAAGGCATTTCCGAAAGATGATCCTAAAAAGCCTATTCATTTGACAGCGTTTATGGGTTATAAAGCAGGAATGACACATGTTGTTCGTGATTTAGATCGTCCAGGAACTATTTTGTATTTATTTTTTTCTTTTTTTTTATTTTTATTTTTAATATTTGCTTAAAGACATAAAAAAGAAATTGTTGAGGCGGTTACGATTATTGAGACGCCTCCTCTTGTAGTTGTTGGGGTTGTTGGATATGTTGAGGTTTTATTTTTTTTTTTATAAATGAGATTTAATGTTGTTAAGACTCCTCGTGGTCTTCGATCTTTAACAACAGTATGGGCAGAACATTTGAGTGATGAAGTGAAACGTCGATTTTACAAGAATTGGTATAAATCTAAGAAAAAGGCATTTACAAGATATGCCAAAAAATATTCGGAAATGAATCGACCTATTGCTCGTGAACTTGAACGTATTAAGAAATATTGTACGGTGGTTCGTATACTTGCACATACTCAGATTCGAAAAACTCCTCTTAGTCAGAAAAAGGCACATCTTATGGAAATTCAGGTGAATGGTGAAACAGTAGATAAAAAAGTAGAATGGGCTCGTGAACATTTTGAAAAGACTGTTGATGTTAAATCGGTTTTTGAGCAGGATGAAATGATTGATGTAATTGCTGTTACAAAAGGTAAAGGATTTGAAGGGGTTACAACTCGTTGGGGAACAAGGGTTTTTTTTTATTTTTTATCATATAAATATTTCTGATAAGTTGTTAGAGACTTCCTCGTAAAACACATCGTGGTCTTCGTAAAGTAGCTTGTATTGGTGCATGGCATCCTTCGCATGTTATGTGGACAGTTGCTCGTGCCGGTCAAAATGGTTATCATCATCGTACATCCATTAATCATAAAATTTATCGTATTGGAAGTGGAGATGATCCTAGGAATGCATCAACGGATTTTGATATTACCGAGAAACGAGTTACTCCAATGGGTGGTTTTGTTCGTTATGGAGCTGTTGAAAATGATTTTATTATGTTAGCTGGAAGTACTCCAGGCCCTGTTAAACGCATATTGACACTTCGAAAGTCTCTTTTAACTCATACTTCTCGAAAAGCGATCGAAAAAGTTTCTCTTAAATGGATTGATACAAGTAGTAAATTCGGACATGGTTTGTATTTATTTTTTTCTTTATGTTGCTTATTATGATTTATAGGACGATTTCAAACCCCTGCAGAAAAGAAACAGTTCATGGGAGTTACTAAAAAAGATATAATGCATGCTTCTAAAGGCTCCTGATCATGTTTATTATTTGTTTGTATAGTCTTATTGACAGATTTTTGAACGTGGATATAAATTTATATATAAATACATGATTTATAAAAAAATAATATATTCAGCATTATTGCAAACATTTAAATATTTACAGTTCTTTTTTGATTAGATTAATCCCTGTTATGATTGCTCTCATTCGTTCTCGTATATGTCCTGTTGACTATTAATTTTAGTATAAATCTAAATATAATATAGTTATACTGTATTCGACGATATAGCATGCATCGCTTGCTTGTCCCTGTTTAGTTATTGATAGATTAATTATATTATTAATATTTACCATGATTCTAATACGTTTAGTGCTGATTGGCGTCTATTAAGCTCTTCTAAATCTATTGTTTCCTCTGCTACATAGAAATTTTTGTTCTTTAATGATATCCGTTGTTTCTTAGAATGCTCCATTATAGTATATTTTTGTAATAAAAAAAAAAGTATAAAATTAAGAGAAAACAATTATTTACTAAAATATATGTTTTTCTTAAATAATATTTTATTTTTTTTCTTTATCTTATATAAAGATGTCTTAAGAAATCTTTAATTCTTCTATATTAATAAAAGAATTTTATATTTCTCACTAAGATAGATCAAATATATATAATGTAAAAATTAAAAGGAAGAAATAGACAATAAATATTTTCTGATTAAATTAAGGGTAAAAATTAGAAAATATATTATTTTTTTAAATTTTTAAAGTTTTTAATTTTTGCCTGGTTACTGTAGCAACTAATTTTGTTTAGATTTTTAAGTATATCAACATTAAATATGTTTAAAAATATAAGAATTTAAAAAAGATTTATACATTAATCAATTTTTGGATATATTTTATAGGGTTAAGAAAAAAACAAGTTTGTTTTTTTAAATACAAGTTTTTGTTTGATTAAAAAGAGAAGAATTGGATATTTTTATTTATAAGATTTTAAAATATTTGAATTTTTTTGATGACAAGAAATTATTGGTTTGATGAGGCTTTGCCTGATTATTATCCACAAAATTATGAGAACAATTGGAATGTTCGAGCTCCAAGAATGCATAGACCATTACCTCCAATACCATGTCATTTAGAAACTCAGTACCAAGAACAATGCGAAAATATTGTTCCAAGTCAACAGCAATATTTATATGATCAAAATTATCATGGATTTAGAAATGAAGATGTGAGTTTTCCAAGAAGAAGAATTGTCTCACATGGAGATTATTCGGAAGATGAAACTGTATATCAGAAACAAGAGGAGTCTGTAAATCATTGTGATTATAATTCTTTTGTTCCATACACTTCTCGAAATATGACTGGAGATATTTATGAAGATTATAAAGATATGAATTATATGGTTTTAGATTATAAAAGAAAATCTTATATGAATTATTCTCAAAAATCAAATAATGATTATTGCTATGAAGCAGGAAGAAATGAATATGAAGAATCGAAATCTGAAAAAGAAGATAAGGTTTCTTCAAATATTCAGACTGGCACAATTAAACGTGATATTACAAATAATTTGGATATATTGTGGGATCCTAATATTGCAGAACCTGATGATTATCTTCATAATCCAGCCACTAAAGAGAAAAGGAAAGATTATTGTATTTTTACAAAGCGTGGAATATTAAATATAGGATCTCTTGTAATTTTAATATTTGGAATTATATCTTTTTTCATTGGTTATCCTATTTTGTTATATGCTAGAAAGATATATGAAGATATTCATCGTTGTCCCGACTGTATAAAAACTCTGCCTATAGACTTATTGGGCGCAACTAGAGGACTCATTGATCCAGACACGCCAGAAGAGTTTTATGAACTCAAAAATAGCGATGGAAAAGTTTATAAACTTGTATTTTCTGATGAATTTAATAAAGATGGAAGGACATTTTATCCAGGTGACGATCAATTTTGGTAGATTATAATAAATTTATGCGAGTTTTAATAAATTTTAATAGGGAAGCAGTTGATCTGCATTATTGGTCGACTTTAAGTTTAGAATGGTATGATCCTGATGCTATAACTACAAATGGTGGATTTTTGGAAATTCGACTTGATGCTTTTCGAAATCATGATCTTAATTATAGATCTGGTTTTTTTTATTATCAGATTTTTAATTTCTAATATTATTTAGGTATGTTGCAAAGCTGGAATAAGTTATGTCTTAAAGGTGGCATCATTGAAGCATCAATTTCTCTCCCTGGTAGAGGTGATACTTCTGGATTGTATCGTATATTTATGCTATTATTGACTATTGATTATTATTAGATGGCCTGCATTTTGGATGATGGGAAATCTTGGTCGTCCAGGTTTTGGTGCTTCTACTGAAGGAACATGGCCATATAGTTATGATAATTGTGATGTAAGTTTACATTACTTATTTTTTAAAATCATATCTTATAATTTAGATTGGAATTACACCCAATCAATCAGATCATAGTGGCTTTTCTTTTCTTCCAGGAATGAAACTTCCTGGTTGTACATGTCCAAATTCTGATCATCCAAGCCCAGGAAAAGGACGTGGTGCCCCAGAGATTGATATAATTGAAGCATCTGTTGATCTTTCTCTTCATATTGGAGAAGCTTCACAATCTGTGCAATTTGCGCCTTTTGATGATAATCATAGGCCAAATTATGATCATATGGCAATACATAATACGGAAAAAACTCATATAAATCCTTATCGTGGTAACGTTTTTCAACAAAGTAAAGAATGATATGTTTTTATTTTCAAATTATTTATTACATTAGCATTTTCTTGTATCACATATTTAAACAATGAATGGTATAATGGATATAAATTTCAAACATATGGTCTTGAATATAAACCTGGTAAAAAGGGCTATATTGAATGGTTTATTGGTGATCAAGCAACATGGAAAATGAAAAGTGAGTCTGTAGGACCCAATGGAAATATCGGGCAAAGGCTCATATCTGAAGAACCTATGGTAAAATTCATTTATAATAGTATACCATTTTTGATTTGATTTAGGCAATAATTATTAATCTTGCCCTTTCAGAATCCTTTTCTAAGATAGAATGGGGAAAATTACAATTCCCTGCTATTATGCGAATAGATTGGGTTCGTATCTATCAGGAAGAATCTTTAATAACATGTGATCCTCCAGGATATCCAACTACAAAATATATTAAAGAGTATATAATTTTCTATAATATTATTATACAAATTTAATTTATGTTAGTCATCCTATAGCTTATTATAATAACAATGTAACAACATGGAATAATACTGGTTACGAATGGCCTAAAAATCGATTGATGCATAAATGTTAATATCTTATTCAATATATGATTTATGATGGTTTTTAATTTTAATAATTACCATATATTTAGCATACATATTTTTACTTAGCAATGTATCATTTGCATATCAATTCTTTTGAATATTTATTATAATTCAAAGTACATAGTTCAACTAAAATTTTTTTTATGAAAAAATACCAACTGTATGAACCCCAATTAATCCTTCACCGTTTTTCCATCCTAGAATCCATATATATTCATTTGCCATTCTTTTCCATTTATATACATTAATTTCATTGGTTTTTGAGATTTCTTTAACGATTTCAATAATGTCTATATAGTCTCCATAAGGGTCCCATTCTTCTGGCTTTTCTTGAACAATTTCACCCTCAGGAATCTTTAACTTTTCTGAAAGTAGTGTTTTGTGACATTTTTCTTCTTTTGAATTATAAAAAACTACATTAAATGGTTCATCGGCTTCGCTACTATAACAATATTGTTTAAGTTTACATGTTGTAAATGAAAACAAATCATCAGGAAGTATATCGCTTGGAAATTTTAATGATAAACTCTTATCCGGTTTTGAAAAAATTGTATTTTTTTTTAAAAATGTTAAATAGCTATCTTCCATTAAAAAATTGTTTCTTTCGAAAATAGCTGATTGTTTTAAGAAAAAATAAGAGGATATGATATGTCTATAGATCCGAATTCTCAGCTTTTTATTACATATACTTTGCTTCATAGCTGTCTTGATAGTATATTTTATCTTTTTTAAAAAGACTTTTATAAATTTGTAGAAAAATTGATGGTTATTTTACGTGATGGAAGAAAGTTAATTGGGATCCTTAGATCATTTGATCAATATGCAAATTTAGTTTTGCAGGAGACAATTGAACGTATTTATGTTGATCAAGTGTATGGTGATATTCCACGAGGTGTTTTTATCGTAAGAGGAGAAAATGTTGTTCTTGTTGGAGAAATTGTAATTTTATATTGATTATATCTTTTATTTTTTTTCTAATATACTTTTTAGGATCAGAACAAAAAGAATGATTTGAATTTGAAGGAAGTTTCTGCTATAGAAGCGTTTAATAAACAAAAGATACAAAATGATTTACGGAAAGCTAAAGAAAAAGTACAATGTAGGGCTCTTTATCAGTTGGGTAAGAATGATAATTAAAATAATTGCTTTCTAAGAAAATATTTAGGTTTTAGTGTAGATCATTATCATGATGATATGTTTTAATGTATATTAAATATAATGGTATGATTTACATTAAAAATATATTTGTTAGTTTTTTGACATGTTCCTATTAGTAGAAAGAATAAAATATTGAACATGTATAATTAATATTTAAATTTTTAATCTTCAAGATTTTTTTGTTATAAACAAAAATCTGTTGTTTTTTTCTAAGTTTTTATAATTATGGATTATTCTTTTCAGCTGAAAGTGTTTTAGACAGGATTAATTTTCCTCTTTTATATTTTACATATAAAAAAAGTTAATTCATTAATTTCTATGATTATTTTTTTAGATATAAAATATTTTATTGTTTTTAAAAAATAAATATATTGAAAATATATCTGTTCATTATATCAACAAGTAAAATTTATTTTTTATTTTAAATATTTATAAGTTTATAAATATTTAAAATGTATATAAATTTTTATCTATTTTATATTTTATACGTTTTAACCAGTTTTATTAATAAAAGACTTTAGTTCTATAGACTTTTATTGGATTTGTTATCTTTAAAATTAAGATTTATTATGTTTTCATTTATTTTTTTCAAGTTTTTATGATTTCGATAAACTTGACGTTAACAATTTGTGTTAACATCTTAAATATTAATAAAAGAATATTAGACTATTTCTGCACTTATGAATCTTTGTTTTACTTCTTATCTGTTTAGGGTATTATTTTAATTCTTTTGAATGATATTTAAAACTAAATTTTTGTAGTTTTTAAAGAATAAATATAGGGTTAAGATTGATTTAATTTATTAATTAGTTTTTTAGGAATATATAATAACAGTTAGTTTTTAGTAGGGTTAGATAAAACTACTTCTTTTTTTCGAGTTGAAGATAGTTTAAATTATTAAAAAATAGCAGTATGTTTTTCAGGGAACAAATATAGGAAATAGACATTTTAATAGATTAAGAATTGGGTGATTAATGGTACTGACAAGAAAAAGGAAGAATTATTCTTCAGATGATGTCAATGATGAACATCGATCAAGGAATAATGTTAATGGTCTTTCTATACGACCGAGAGTTAATTTTATTAATTATGTAGAGACAGAAGAATCAATAATATCAGAAAAGGAAGATATAGATGAAGATAAGAATGAAGAGGAGGAATATGATGAAAAAAAATGTTCAAATATTGTTAAATTGAAGTTGCCATTTCATCGAATGTTAAATCAAAATAATTATGATAAAAATGATGTTCAGGAAAATAGTAAAGAGAAAAAGGATACAAATTTTGATAAAGCCCTTAATAAAAACGGTTTCTGGAATTTTGTTTCTAAAAGACCGGCTAGCAAATTAAATCAGAATCTATATAAAACCCGTTCAGTTCGTCAGATATTACTTGAAGAAAAAAAGAATCCTTCAAAATCTTCAAAGAATAAGTCGGCTGATTCTTCAAGTGAATATGAATATGGAAGTGACGATGGTTTTTCTGATGATGATTCTGAATCTTTATCATCAATAAATGAAACATCCGATTTTATTACTGATGACAGTGATAATAGCTATCGTCGAACTAAAAAGAAAAGTAGGAATAGGCGAAGAGGTGGTGTAGAGAAGTCATCTAGGAGATCGAAACGGAACAGTAGTTTTGATGAAGATGGATTAGAATATGATGATGATATTGAGGAGGATGAAATAATTAAAGAACTGCGAGATCTTAGATCTCCTTCTCCTCATAAGGTAAATTTGCGTCAAAGGGTTTCAAGACCTGATTATACTATTCCTCCGCCTTTGCCTACACATTTACCTACTCCAAAAAAACAAAATGTGAATGGACGGGTGACGTCATATAAATTATTTTCGAGATTGGGTCAAACTTCAAATTTACATACTACTACTATTCCATCTATCACTGGAGATCTGGGAGTATTGAAGGACATTGCGGAATCTTCGAACTCTGTATATTAATTCTTTAATGTTTTATTTGTTTATTTACTTTATTTAGGAAGATGAGTTAAATAGAGTTAGGAAATTTGAGCTTTTAGGGAGTAAGAGTTTTTTATCTACAACATGTAATACAGATCTTGCTGGAGTTCCTAGTGATTTTGGTAGAATAAAACAAGGCAAGTTATCATTAATTATTTTTGATGTTTTATTAAATTATTTTAGATCTAGCTGATACGGATCCATTAGGCGTTAATCAAGCTGCTACTTTTGGATCTATTGGGGGCTTGAATGATTGTATACTAATTGATGCCTAGATGTATTTTTTAACTTTATATAGTTATTATTCAGCTTAAGGAAATGGTTAGTTTACCATTATTGTATCCCGAAATTTTTCAGCGTTTTAATATTACTCCTCCCAAAGGTGTTTTATTTCATGGTCCTCCTGGTACTGGAAAAACATTAATGGCAAGAGCACTTGCTACTAGTTGTTCGAATAAAGAAAGAAAAATATCTTTTTTTATGAGAAAAGGTGCTGATTGTTTAAGTAAATGGGTAGGTGAAGCTGAAAGACAATTGCGTCTATTATTCGAGGAGGCCAAGAATAGTCAGCCTAGTATAATTTTTTTTGATGAGATTGACGGTTTGTGTTTTTCTATATGTAATTGTTTTCTTATAAAAATAGGTCTTGCTCCAGTACGATCAAGTAAACAAGAACAGATTCATGCATCTATAGTTTCAACACTTTTGGCCCTGATGGATGGCATGGATTCTCGAGGGCAGATTGTTGTAATTGGTGCAACAAATAGACCAGATGCTGTTGATCCAGCTCTTCGTCGTCCTGGAAGATTTGATCGAGAGTTTTATTTTTCTCTTCCAGATTTTGAAGCGCGTTTGAGTATTATAAAAATTTATACAAAAGGTTGGGATCCGCCATTGTCAGAATCATTTCAGAAACAATTAGCTGAACAAACGAAGGGATATGGTGGTGCTGACTTGAAAGTAATAATAAAAGAACGTTTATGTATAATGTTAATTATTTATAGGCACTTTGTACTGAAGCAGCATTAAGTGCTGTTCAGCGTCAATATCCACAAATTTATAAAAATTCAGATAAATTATTGATAGATTCTGAAAATATAAAGGTAGAACCTAAGGATTTCATGTCTTCTATGAAAAGTAAGAAATTATATATGTTGAATATAATTTGACTTAATTAGAAATTATACCGTCTTCTCAAAGATCTACACATTTAGAGGCATCTTCTTTGCCTGATTTGGTTGTCCCATTATTGAACTCAAAATTGCTTGAAATAAAGGAAAAACTTTCTTATATTATGCCACAGAATGGAAAAGTAAATTCTCTAGAAAAAGCTATATATGAACCTTTAGAAGATAATTCCTTTGAATATGAAAAATTTTTGGAGAGTAAGAGTTATTTTAAATATGGTTAGGATTTAATATTATATAGCATTCGAAATGTCTAGGATTTTTAGGCCTAGATTACTTATACATGGTAAACCTGGAATGGGACAACAATATATTGGAGCTGCTGTTCTTTATCATTTTGAAGGAATTTATGTTCGATCTTTCGATCTTGCTTCCCTTATGGAAGATTCTACAAAAGTATATATTTTTTAATATTTTATGATTTTTAATATAATCCATTCTTAGACCCCAGAATCACTTATAGTACAGTATTTTATTGAAGTAAAAAGACATAAACCGAGTGTAATTTATATACCAGATTTTCAAATATGGTATTATGCTGTCTCTGAATCTGTTAAAACAACTTTGAAGATGTTATTAACAAGTTTAAAATCGACAGAACAAATACTTTTTTTCGTTGTCGTTAATGATGTAATTGGTAAACTTGACAAAGAAGCTTTATTATGGCTTAATATTTCCGAAGAAAATATGGTAGAATTGTTTGCGCCTATTAAGGTATTAATTTTTAGAATTTTATAAGCTTTAAATGATAATAAAAGGATTTTCGGCATGATTTTTTTAAAAAGCTAATTGATTTGATAAAAATACCTCCTTCAAAAATACCTGATGATCTAAAAAAGAAAAAAAAAATGCTAAAGGATCTTCCAAAAGCCCCCAACCCTCCTCCAAGAGTACTTACCAAAAATGAATTAAAGGAATTGGAATATAGGGATCGTAAATTGAAAAATATAGTTAAAGTTAAATTAAGTCCCCTCATGGAAATGTTAAAAACACGGTATAAACGTTTTAGAAAACCTGTTATTGTGAGATTACTTTCGTTATATACTTATTTGATTTAAACTTTATAGGATCCTAATGAAATATGGTATTTAATGACTTCACCAAAAGATTTGTCAATAGACATTACCAATCAGCCTTATGAACTTGTTGAACATAATTTGATTCATGAAAAGGCTACTGGAAAAAAATTTATTAATATGGATTTAGAATTAATTGAAGAAAAATTATGGAATAGTATTTATTTAAGCCCTAAACAATTTTTACATGATATAAAGGCAATAATGTATGATGCAAATATTAGTGGAGATCGTGAAAGATTATTGAAAGTATTATATTGGCTTTTGAATATTTATAGCTGAAAATTATAGGCTCAAGAAATGTATACTAATGCGCAAATGAGCGTGGAAGATATATCTGATTCATATTTTATACTTGAATGTCGTCGAATGATAGAGAGGGAAAAAGAAAGACAAAAAAATAAAATTTTAGAAATTAATAAAAATAATATATTGAAAGTTGAAAATTCTAGTAATGTAGAAAAATTGGACGAAAATAATTTAGTTTCATCTGTTTCTTCTATGACTGAATTATCTTTGGAAAATACAGAAGTTAATAATGTTATTACAGAAGATGATATCTCATATGATGATAATATTGAACATATGATCGATTTTACACCGATTGATACGATTGATTATAAAAACAATGAAAATAATATGAATATAGATTTTGAAATTAATAAAAAAATAGACACGAACACCTCAGAAAAGCTAATTTTAAAGGATTCAGATCATAAATTTCATAATTTAATTTCTAATATTTCTAATTCTTTAAAAGAAAATCCTACATCTATTAATGACATTAATAAAAAATCATCTAATATATCACAGCTATTACAGATTAATCCTGACTGTGATTCTAATAATGAGATTTTTAATATAGAAAATATAGATGATACATCTGTTTTTACTCTTATATTAGATCTGTCTAAGCTTAATCTTTTATTGGATAAAATGGTTGAAATGACGGATAGCGCAAGTGTTGAAGATTTAGAAAAACTTTATTCCGCATGTATAAATATTCTTTGGCAACAGAAAAATAATTGGAATAAAAATGATGTAATTGATCTAATTGAGCAAGTATTTGAGAAAACATGGGAAAATATTAAAAGGCCAAATTCTTAATGTGGTAATTAATAAAAGGTATTAGGATTTTTGGTGTATCTAAATATCTATTTTCTTGATTAATAATGCTATTAAGTGTATGTAATATATATATTCTGATATTCTATATGGAGGAATGCATATGTTTTAAAATAATGACTTAGAATATTAATCTTAGTTTTAGCACAATTTTAATTTGTATTGACATTATTTTTTAATGTTAAATAGAAATAAGTTATAAATACATTGGATTATGATAAGAATTTCCAATGCGTTGAATAAGTTTTATTAAATAATTAACTTTACTATAATGGAAATTTTATTTTGTTTTCATTTGATATAATAATCATAAATTTAAATAATCTTTTTTATTTTATATATTTTTTATATTAAAGGCCTAAATCTTTGTAAATTTAATACAATATAAAAAATGTTTTAATCAGATAAATACGTATTTATTGATTAAACATATATCTTATGCTATTTTGAGGATGTATAAAGCTTAAATAGTAGCAATAAATTGTTTAAATATTTTGAGTAGATAGTAAAAGTATAATAGTTAATTATTCTATAGTTGGAATTAATATTTTAAAACATTCGACCCATAAAAATGTATTCTATCTTTCGGATTTATTCTTGTTTTTGTTCTCATTATTTATAGTTGAGAACTGATCAAAACTTTCCTTAGGTGATACGGATAGTTCTGTCATAGATAATTGTGAAGCAGGTTTGGAATTTGTTAATGAGCCTAATCGTTCTTCTAATGTTTTTAAGGCAAGTGCTCTATAAAAAAAATATATTAAGACTAATTTAAGTGTATAATTAGCATACTTTCTTCTTTCTGCTTCAAAACGAGGTGTATTTGAATATAGAAAAAAATCTTGTTTTTGTTGAAAATTATTTAACAATTTTTCTGTTTGTTGAGTCTGTGTTTCATTGGAATATGAGAATATGCGAGTGGATACAAGAAAATTATGAATTTTTTTAGAAACTGTGTTTATTAATAAGTGTATAGGTTCAGGAAAAAAGTAAGAAACTATAGCTTTTTAATAGAGTAAAGATGAAAAAATATACTGACATGCAAATGTTTCCGAAGTGTCTCCTCTAAGATCAAATGTTAAATGCGATAATAAATTAGGCGTATTCCATTTAAAAAATCTCAAATAGATCCAAGAACTTAAAAATCCTAACCACGATAAAATTCCAAGTGATTCATCTCTGACCAGCAGTCCTATGAATGGCATGATAAAGATATATAAAGCTGGAGTGTACTTGAAATAATTAGATATTATAAATATTACAGACAATATTTACTTTTATACGTATTCTTATAATTCCTTTAAAAAATGATATAACATGTTCCGGAATTAATTGTTTCAATGCAACTAAGAAACCTGCATAAAGGGCATATCCTCCATAAATCGATTTGATTCTATTTATTTCATCAATTATAATCCTTAAAAATATAAAATTTATATACAAAAGTGATGCTTTTTGTTCAATCATGTAACAAAAAATGTACCAAATCCAAACAAATAGATTTGGAATAATAGTGATAACTAATATAAATTTTAAAAAGCTTTTTGACCCCCATGATTTTTCCAAGTATTTTCCGCCATATAACAACGTAATTAATAAAATAAACAACTACAGATATACAAGAGTCATAAATAAATTTAAACATATATTATTTGCTTTATAATACCATAAAAATATTTTTTTCAATAAAACTGGCTATAAAAAACGTCCAAATAAAAATATATGAAATTCCTGGAACAATCACTAAATATGGTGCCATAGGATCCATCTTATTTGATGATATCTGATCGTTTAACATATAAAATATATATCTCATGACATAATAAAAAAGAAAAAGAATAGTCGTCATACAAACACATAATCTATTGTTTTTTCGTCAGAAAAATGTCTTTTTTTCCCAAAAAAAAACATAATTAATCTCTAACCTTGTCACTATCGGAACCTTCTTAAGTTCTAATTGTATCATCTATCTTAGATGATTAAAAAATCTTTTATTTGTTCTTATTAATTTTTGCTGTCTTGATCATAATTGTTTCCTAGTAACACTCCCTGGCAACAGTTTCTATAGAAACTGTTTCCTAGGCATCCTTCTCCATTACTCTTGATATCAACGTCATCTTTTTTTAAAAAAAAAAAGACTGGCGGGCAGTGAATTTGAAGCGCGAGAAGCGCCTGTTTCAACAAAAGGACCAGTCCTTTTAATGAACAGTAATGAGGTGAACTATCTTATATGGAGATATCTTCAGGAATCGGGTAAAATATATAAGAAATTGATGTTTATTTTTGACGAAAAAACAGGATTTGAACATACAACATTTACATTTCAGCATGAATCAAGCGCACATTTAGAGGACAATAGATGGTCGAAAGAAGTATCAGCAGGTGCGCTGATTAATGTTTTGCAGAAAGGGTTGCAATATATGGAAGTAGAGGCACATGTAGATAAGGTAATTTGAATGGATTTTGTGGGCTTTATGGGATTGAAATATGTTTAGAATGGTAGTATAAAGAGGTGCATGCTTCCTTTCTCTTTGATTGGGCGTCATTTATGTGAAAATGGTGAAACAGTTTTGCCGGAGGTTATAGAAACGGATTTACAAGAAGAAAAAGAAAAACGAGTATCTTTGAATATGGAGGATAATGAAATTTATGAGTCAAATAAAGGGGAATCATTAGAGTTTTCTGAATTTTCTGAATCGAAAGAGTTAAAGGAGTTGATGGAATCTAGAGAGATGAATGTTTTTGAAGGATCTAATGAATCAAGAATAGAACGCTTGAATTTTCCTGAATCTTCTTGTTTTTTGGAAGAGAAATCTCATTTGGAATTGGAAGCATCCACTATATCGCCGACTAATGCATCATGGTTAACAAAAAAAATGGAAAAAGTTGTATTATTATGTGGTCATCAAGAGAATGTATTTACAGGTGCATGGAATCCTGTATATTTAGATTTTGTTGCTACTGCGTATGTTAAAAGGGACTTTTGAAGATATTGTTTACATTGTATTTTTAGATCAGCAGATGCTACTGTTAGAATTTGGAATTTATTGGAAAAAGATAGTGTTAATAGTCTTTTAGATAATCTTGTTTTAAATTGTACACCTTTAAATGAGAAAAAAGATATTACTTCTATATCATGGGATGTATGTATAATCATTTTTATTTATGAGATATTTCTCTAATCTGTTTCTTTTTACAGAATTCTGGTAATTATATAGCAGCTGGTTCATATGATGGTCAAGTTCGTATATGGAGTTTGAAGGGGACATTAAAATATTTGTTTACTGCGCATCATGGTCCTATTATGGGAATAAAGTGGAATAGTAAAAATAATTTATTGCTTACTGCAAGCTGTGATAGTTATGTTATTGCATGGGATATGTTTAATGGTACTTTAAAACATGTTTACGACAGAAGACCATGTGCTATAACAGATATTGAGTGGATTAGTGATGAAACGTTTGCATCTAGCGGAAAAGATGGATCTTTGGACTTTTGGTCTGCTGAAAAGGCGGAGTTGTTAAGAAGATGGGAAGGGCATTCTAAAGAAATTAATAGCATTAAGTTTAATCCTCATAATAATCTACTCCTTTCATGTTCAGATGATTTTGCAGTAAAAGTTAAAAATTGATTTTATTTTTTTTTATTTATAACTTTATTTAGATATGGTCTTTAGATATATCGTCACCACAAAAAATATTTTTAGGGCATTCTAAAAGTGTAGTTGAGGTTCAATGGAAACCTCAACAAAAAACTGATGAAGTGATTATATTTGTATCTTGTTCGTTAGATGGGACAATAAAAGTATGGAATACTATTCAGTCTTCTCCTTTGCATTCTTTATCTCATGGTTGGGCTTTTTTTACGATTTCATTCAATCCAAGTGGGGATATATTAGCAGCTGGTACTAAAGATGGTTCTGTAATTTTATATGATATAAAAGAAGGTTATTTGTGCGGTAAATATGACAAGTCTATAGATAAAAATCCGAATAAAAATTCTGTTATTGAACATGTTTTTGATGTTTCATGGTCAAAAAAAGGTGATAGAATAATCGTTTGTAGAGCTAATTCTGTCGTATGTTTTTTTGTTTATTTTAAAAGATTATATTAACATTTGTAAAGGCAGAAGTTATATATTGCGGCTAAATGGTTGGCTTTTGTATAATTTTTACGTATGATGTACATAATGATTTATTAGTTTTTGAATGTTGAATTTAACCTTAAATATTATTTATGCTGAGACTTGTTAAATATTTTGTTGAACTGTAATTTTAAACGTATAACGTTATATTAATATTTTACTGATTAAGATTATGTTTATTCTGAAAGAATGATTTATTATAATTTATGTATATTCATATTTATAATTTAAAGATTTATATTAAGGCTTTTAAAAACTATCTATGAACTATATTTTCTAAAATGAAGAAAATAATTATTTCATTTTAAAGCTAATATTTTCTTTGAAAGCAATAGTTATCTTAAAAAATCGAAATCATGTATTACTGAACATGAACAATGTATAAAAAATGATCTCTTTTTATATCTGCGACTGCAAAAAAGTTTTATAGATATTCGCCAAAAAGAAATTATGAACTGTTTATAACTTTAAAATTGTATCAAAAAACATGGTAATAATGATTGTCCTTTTTTAAATACATATTTATACTAAGGACAAAATCCCTGTTTGTACAAAAATACCAGCTCCTGCTACAATAAATATTAATGTTAAAATTGAAAAATTAGTGAAAATTGAATAAGATTTTGAGCATTCTTCCTTGCTGCTAGAGGATTCTTTCGATGTGTCAATTTTATCTTTAAAATTATATTTTTTATATATATTACTAGAGTCTGCCATAAGTGAAGAAATACATGAACTAGGAAGAGATTCATAACTAGAACATATCTCACTTGCAAATGCAAAAGCATTAATAAGTTGAACAGTACTCTTCTGATAAATGCATAAAGCTATATGGCTTTTATAGCTATTAGATCTGCAAAGACAAGGAATATCAAAAATATTTGGACACCCTGAAAAAAAAATAGATTCCTTAAAACATTCCCTGGCTTTCTTATTTAAACTAGAATCTTCTAATTTTTCCAGAAAATTAACACACTGAACCTGATCTCGCTTGCTTAAATGTAAAAATGAACGCTTATAAATACTATTACGTGTACTTTTCTTTTGTAATTTACTAGATGATGCAGTGAAACTGCGCTTGAAAAACTTTATAAAATAATCTAAAGGTTTTTTTTTTTCCGCTAAATGTCTAGATGAAATTTGCATGATAGGTTTCAAAGAATTAATAATTGCGCGTTTTACATATGGAGGAATATAGCTCCCTTCAAAAGACTGAAAATATTTTTTAAAATCACCTTCTTCCGTTTTTCCATATGTATTTATATCAAAATCTTTCTTAAATGCTATATTATGTTCATAAATCATTTAAAAACAAAAGTTATATATATACATTCTTCTTCCGTATAGTCGTCACTAAAATCATCGTCTTCAATACCGTAATTATTAGATATGTCTGCTTGAATTGAATCATATGTATTTTGTTTTGCATAAAAGCCTGTATCTATAAATTTATTTAAATATCCGTCTTTTCTTAGAAAATATAAATATATAAAAACCTAATGATAAAGATCCGTCATGTTTATTATTATTCGATTCTTTTTCACTATTATTTAACCATTAAGAACAATTTTAAGACGTATATTATAAATTAAACCTTTTATAAGCAAGTCCTGTTGAAAAGCATAAAAATATAAAAAGTAAAGATATTTTTATATTTTTAAGAAATGTTGATGAAATTCTCTTTTTTATTTTAAAAACAAAGGGTTTGTTGGCTTTAATTGATAGCAAGCTGATGCAAAAAAGTAATTCTTGAGCTTTAAAGCGAATAAAAGCATTTTTATATAAATCACACAACATTTTATATCATTTTATCGAATTGTATGCGTATTTATACTTGAAATTCTGATAGAAACTCTCTTGATCTCGAATTTGTTATTTAAATCTAAGTTCGAGTACGCGATAGGTTTTATATAAATATATATAGAAATAGGTATAAATCAATATACATATATACAAGAACTCTATAAATAGATGAATTAGTTACTAAATAATAATCAATGTTATTTAAAAATTAAAAGTTTATTAAAGAAAAGTAAAATTAACGAGTGAAATATTGTTTGAAGCCAAGTATAGTGTATGAGTGAGATGCATTGTATTTTTGTTTTTAATTAAAAACATGTCACTTATGATAAATAACTAGAAAATATTGTATATTTTTTTTATTTTTTTGAGGGTAAAAGATGTTAAGGGTTTTTTGATGAATAGATGTAAGTTATGTATTAGATGGCTGTTCGCCAACTTCAAGAATACGATTGCCTAATTGTTCTAGCCAATAACGGGACCAAGTTTGAATTTTTTTATATAAATTCCAGGCAATTTTTAGCATTCCGGTAAAATAAAAAATCATGATGCCGTCTTGAAAATGACGTAAATGTCGTCTTCGTTGACCTCTAAATAAGGTACGATAGTTTCGAATAGGACCTAAAAGTTGAATTGTACCTATTGCACCTAAAGAGATAAATCCAAGAATAAAATGGGTTGTATCTATAACAGAAAAAATTTGCCATAAAGTGCGAGGCCGAACAAAAGATTCGGGAATAGGAATTGGTTCATAAAAAAGAAAATCAACTATATATTCGAAGCCAAAATAAAAAATAAGTTTAACAATAAATCCTGCAATAAAAGATAAACCTATAAAAACTAGTACTGTGCATAACAATAATGACGCTGCGTGATTTAGTAATAGTGTATTTTTTGACCATTTCATGGCCATTAATTTAACATACGATAAGATACAAGAATAGCGGAAAGCTGTGGCCGAAGGAATAAATATTCATAATGACATTGGTCACAACGATAATAACTAGATTTTTTTGTTAATAAAGTTCGAAATCTTTTGATTTTATTGAAATGATACCTTTTTGAAGATTTGCTTTTTATTCTCCATTGCAAAAGGCAGTTTACATGTACCCACTTTATAGATTAATAGTTATTTTATGTTTATTTTTCTTTACCTTAATAGTCCCTTGGCAACGGCATGGAGAAATAAGTCGACCTAATGTAGATTGATCTTCTACTCCGCCATAACAAATCCTACATATAGGTATATCTTTTTCATCTTCTTCTCTAGATGCAGTTTCCATTGCTATGTTTTATTTTTTCTATAAATCCCCATATATATTAATTTTTTATAGTTTACTTTTCTATAACAAAGATTTGGTCGAAATCCGATCGTCGAAGAGATTTGGATAATCACGTGCTTTTGTGAAAATGTAATTAGTAAGTAGGTTTATAAGATTTAAATAGATAAATAACGTGACCTAATAAACACCATGACATTGTATTTGAAGATAGACATGTGTTTTTTGTATAAAAAGCAAAAATTGCATCATCCGATTTTTAATATGAAGTTACGACTATGACTTGGACTGTTTAAAAATTAAAGTATTATGTAGGTATAGATCTTGACATCTAAAGATAAAAAAAACAAAATTAGTTGTATTTTTGTGTATAAAAAAAAAGTACCTCAAGTAATCGCTTAACACCTACCATCCAATGGCCACATTCTTCTGTTTTAGTTGTAATGAGATTGATGTGTATATTTAAAGCGATTTGATAGTTTTTAGCTAGCATGGCTAAATAATATGAATCTCTTTTTGTATAAAAAAAAAAAAATAAACCTTCTACAAGAATTTTCATATCATCCAATAATTCTTTAGAGAGACCATAATTGTTATTAAGAAGATCAAAAAGAATATTTAATCGTCTTTCTGTATCTTGTACTTGTCGTTTAAATGCTGGCTATATAAAAAAAATAAGTTATAAAGAAAAAGACTTATAAATATATACCGGTGCATATAACTTAACTTGTTCCATTTCAGATGAAAGACCTTCAAAAATGGGTCTAAGTTGAAGAGGTATATGTGATCGATCTCCAGGTGCTATAGTACATTAAAATACATATTTTACTGAATAATAATAATAATTACGATATTTTGAATTTTGTAAAGCAGTAGTTTTAAAAAGATTTGATGTGGTATTGTTTTGTTGAATTTTTGTAGAGTCATTTTTCGGTGGTGCTTGAAGATTTAATGGTATTTGAGGATTCGATAGTGCTTGAAGATTTGATGATACTTGTACCGGAGAAACTGTTTGTTCTTGAGGAGAATACAAAGCCTTAGCCTGACTTGTATATGACTCTGCTAACGGGTTATGCCTTGTAGTGGACTCATGTTGTTCAATATTTGGTGATGGTAAATTTTCTGTTTTCTGAGACTGCTTTGAATAGCCAGTAATTATAGGATAAACATTAGGTATTGGAATGTAAGGATTAGATGGACCTGTTCCATATATATTTAATCCAGATAAGTGCGTTTCTGGAACATTTTGATTGTTTTTTGTGGATAAATTGTTTACTTGCGTACTAGGATGTAAATTATATGGCCCTGATATATTACTCTGTACAGATTGAGTAGAGAATCCCTGATATTTTTGCCCGGTCATTGGAGGTGGGGGAATAAATGTTTGCTTCTGAGGAGGAAATTGATCGGATTTCTTATTAATAATATTTTGTTCGTTTTGGCATGTGTTTTGACTAAATGGAGTAGATATATGGCTTGAAGATGGAACAACCTTTTTATGTACGTTAATAATTGGCGCATCATTCCATGATGGAATATCTTTATGTCGTGAAGAAATATTAACATATGCAGTTGGTGTAGGACATGTTGCATATGAGGGTTGTTTTTGCTGTAACTGAGGGTGATTATTTGTCGGACGTAAATTAGCTTGCTGGTTAGACATATCCATATTTGGAGTATATGAATTATATGTTTGAGAAGTATATAAATGAGTAGTATATGGATTTAAGACTGGTCGTTGTGGTAATGACGTTGTATGTGAAAATTGCTGAGAAGTATTTAAGCCCTTAACTGTATTTGAATGTTGAGAAACGTTTAAGATTTTATTAATACGTTCTTTTGCCGCTATAGAATCTTTATAACTGTCTGGTAATAAATTAAGATATTTCTGAGCGATAATGAAATTTCCTTGAGATGCCATTATATTTGCATAATCTTCATACTTTTTATATAATACGGATAAGGTGTTAGGATTTATTGATTTTTCTATATGATCTGACTTTATTATTTGTTTAAAAACACCTATTTTTTCAATGAAATCCTGAAGAAGTTTCGTATGTAAGAAATAAGGCGAAATATTTGAATTATTATCTGTTTCAATATGCTTAAATATAGATATTTTTTTTTCTTGAAATTCTTCATTCCAAATGTTAATTAATTTTCCAAGTTTTGTTCCCATAAGATAGCATAAAACTGCTTGGTCTCTTAATTCTAGGTCTGTATTTTTAGAGCGAAATTTCGTATCTATTCGATCACCTAGTGCATCACATAATTCTGAAAAGTTTTCAGATTTTGAAAATGTACATATAATAACAAGAGCTTCTTTCCAATCCTCTAAATCTGTATTTAATGCGACATCCCATAAATTTTCTTCAATTATAGAAGATAATAATCTAATATATGGAATGTTATTAAATTTTCTAAAGTATGCTCTTTGTGCACGTCTCTGGCATTCTTTTCCCCCGCAAAAAGAGAAAATTAACGCATCAGAAAGTCGATCCTCTTGCAAACATAAATCAACTGCTTTGTCAAATTGCCCTAGAAAAATAGATTTGGTAATAACTTTATCTAATTCCGAATCACTATCTTTAAATATTGAAAATGGCTCATTTAATGCTGGTAAATGAGAGAATATATTCTTTTCGGAACTAGATGTTTTAAATTGGAAAAAGTCAGCATTTGCTTCATGTTTTTTGAACAAATTTTCTAGGTTTTCTTCTGTAGATTTTACAGTTTCTTGATCATCCGTAATCTCCTTGGTCTTCTTACTTATAGAAATTTCTCTAACTTTGTCCAATACTTCACTTTCAATATTATATTTTTTGAATCCAAGGAAATCTACAAATTTATCTCTGAAGTCCTCATGCAAAAGAATAAAAAGGATTTCCCATATTCTCCTTTGTAAAGGATCATTTGTTTCTTGAATTTTTTTCTGACAATATGTTTTAATTTCATTTTTTTTTAAAACTTCTTCAAAATTATTTGCATCCTCGATAATATTTAATTCCTCAGCAATGTTTAATTCCTCTATAGCATTCATAATTTTAACGCTACTTAATCCAGATGTTTTATTATTTCCAAATACTATCAATTTGCCTCCAAATCCAAAAACTACTCCACAACTTCTCCTAAGCCATTTAGGTGGTTTTTTTAATAATAAAGGTGGTTCGTGAGATCTTAAACATGATGGAATATTGTCAAAGAAATCCGCATTTGAAATGTTTAATGAAAGATCCGTACGATTTTCTGCCTTAAGGGTTTGAGTAGTCTGAATTGTTTGAATAATTATCTTTCCATCATAAGAAGCATTTGCAATTACGTCTGGATTTTTTAAAGACCATGAAACTCTAAATACCCAATTGTTAGATCGAGGGAATTCGCCAATTAATTCTGCTGAAAAAGGATCCCAGCATAATGTTCTATTATCTTTTCCGCATGATAAAAATAGTCCGGAATCTTGTTTACACCATGAAATAGATAATACACCTGCCTCATGACCTGACAAAATCTTTTTTTGTATTAAATAATGATGAATTTATTTATAATCTATAATACATACCTTTTCTGGTGCATGTGAGTTTCTTAAATCCCACATTAATATAACCGGTAATGCATCCTCCTCAGATGCGGTAATAATCTTCGTTGCCTATAAAGATTAATTATAGTAATGTAAAAAGGTTTTTGTTTTATTTACAAAATTTGGATGCCACATTACTGAACTCATTCCCTTTTTTCCTCCACCTACTCCAGGAAATTGAAGATTTACAATGGCCTTCTTCGCTCGAAGGTCCCAAACTGATGTAACACCTGTATTTCCTGCTGTTGCCAAAATATATGGCACTTTTTGATCTTTATTAAACACTATCGATTGAATCTCTCCTAATTGATTTGATTTTTGTCCGGAAGAATACGGTTTTGTCGGACTTTCCATGTCCCAAATCCAAATCTATTTTTTATTAATTTAAATACTCAATTTCTCCAAAACTTGCTTCTCCGTTTTCGCCTGCTGATGCTAACAAATTCGTCTGGGTTGTGTTAAAATCCAAACTTTTAATTACACCATTATGAGTCGTGTTTTGAGCAACTAATGACTCATTACAACTATATATTTCGATTATTGATCTTTTCATGTATTTTTTTTACCTTGCACCACTACGTATTAAATCTACGTCCCAAAGATTTAGTGCCCCATTTTCCATTGCTCCTGCAATAATTCCACTTTTTCTACCTTCTACTACTGATCCCCATGCAATATCATTAAATCTATTCCTCAAATTCTCTCTTTAATTCCTTTTTCCTCCATTTAATTTTATTCTTACCTCGTACCACTAGATGTTACATAATTTGCTTTTGTTAATTCAAATGATTCTGATGACCAATCCATCAGATCAATCTTCCACAGTTCTAAGTCCATTGTATCTGAAAACCCTGAATCAATAACTCCCGGAATTGTTCCCGTTGCTAGCCATGTTCCTTCCTCACATGGACTCCAAGCAAATGTTGCTGTTCTTTGAATTTCTCTTAATTTAACCATCTTTAAAATAAATATATAGCTTTTTTCGTCTGATCCCCTTTAAATTGACCTCTTTTCTTATATAAATGGCCGTTTCTTATCCTTTCAATTTCTGAAGCTTTTTTTCGTAAGGTATAACACGCTGTATCGTCTGTTCTTGAGAGAGGTCTTAAAAAAGTGAAAATGAAAAAAATATAATTTTTTAACAAAAAATTATGGTTTTATTGGATTTTCCAGAGTTAATTTAGGTAGAAAGGTTTTTTTTTTGTAAAAAAAACACTTTTTTGAAGCAAAAATCTTGTTTTTCAGGGTTATTTAAGCCCGTCGATAAGACTACGGGGACGTAAAAAAAGTATAAAATCAAGAAAAGGCGAGTTTTCGCCAGTTAAAGATGTTTTTTTTGTTAAGACCGTGTCGTATGAAGCATGTATTGTGTGTCAGGGTAGTTGAGGCTCGAAAATTCGGTTTTAAACGGGCTTTTTGGAGCCATTTAATGTTAAATAGTGAAGAATCAAAATTGGAAGGGCAGAAGTTAGAAGAAGGCATGAATGAGGCTTCTGATCTGAGAAATCAGAAGCCTATTGTTGATATTTCTCCTTCAATTGCTGAAAAGTCTCGGGATTTTACGGTAGATGCGGAAAAAGAAATTGCAAGGTTAAAAGTAGGGAAAAAAAATGTTTAAAAATGAATTTTAAGGGAAGTAATAGGATAAATATCTGAGATCTGTTGCGGATTTTAGAAATTTACAGATGAGGATGCAAAAAGAAGTCGAAGATGCGAAATTATTTGCAATTCAACAATTTGCAAAAGATTTGATTAATTCAGTTGATAATCTGGAGCGAGCATTAGCTTTGATTCCAGAAGATAGTCGAACGGATGTAGAAAAGAATAAACAACTAGTTGATCTTTATACAGGGCTTAAAATGACGGAAACAGTTTTAAATAAAACGTTAGAAAAACATGGACTTGTGAAATATGATGGTCTTGGGGAGAAATTTAATCCTAATCTACATGAAGCAGTATACCAAGCATTGGTTCCTGGAAAAGAAGCAGGAACAGTTTTTCATAATGAACAGACAGGGTTTATTTTAAATGGTCGAGTGATCCGTCCAGCAAAGGTGGGTGTTGTTAAAGAACATTAAAAATTCGTAAAAAAAGATTCATGTATTTATTCTGTTTTTTTTTAAAAAAATAATGATTGAACTGTTTGTGTCATGAATGCATAATAAGTATATTAATAAATTGTAAACTTTGTAATATAAGGTTTAAAAATTATTTATATTATCGAAGTTCTATGTCTAGTTCTTCTGTAATACGTCTTCTAAGATGTTCTTGGAGCTTGTTCACTTCTTTGTCAGAGAGTGATCTGTTGATTTATTATGGTTAGAATTGAATCATTTAAATAGCATTTATTCTTACTTATCCATTGATCTATAATTAATCCGATAACATAGGCTTTTTCTTTTTGTTTCTAAGTGTATATATTGATCAATCTATAAACTTTATTAGTTTTAATTTAATATAATATATTTGTATACCAGTTTAACCTCTTCAATTAGAATTCCTCCGACATTTCTTACAATTTCCATAAAATCATTTTCACAAAACTTCTTTTTTGTTGTTGTTGATAAGTCACACTTATCAGAAATTTCTTCATTAATCCAAAATGCAATATCTTTGTAACATGGAGGATATTTTGAATAAGGCTGGAATATAGATATTTTTCCTGGGGAAAACTGCTTAAGAAACCTTCTATCATTAGACCAAAAAAGTCGAATATCAGGAATTCTAAAAAATATCATAGCAATTCTTTCTAATCCGAGACCAAACGCCCAGCCGATTCGATCAGGAATATCTATTAGAGTTAATTTACTAATGTTATGTTAAATTTATACCTGCGATTTTTAACAATTCGTGATTTATGATTCCACAGCCACATATTTCTAGCCATTTTCCTTCCCAAAATATTTCTAATTCCCATGACGGGCTTGTAAATGGAAAATATGATTCGGACCAGCGAATTTTTAAAGGTGTAGTTTTGTTTAATTTATCTTGTAATGGACGCGAGATTTCATATATATAGCCAATTATCTTTTCAATTGTTTTCATTAAATGTTTTCCAATTGCTTCGATTTCATCTTTTTGGTGATTTTTTTGTAAAGGATTTTGTTCAGAATAAAAAGGCAAAGTAGCATTTTCAACAATAATGTCTACATATGAAATATTACTTTCCAGCATTTCTATTCTTTCCACTAATGATTTTCCTTTTGTTTTTTTCCAAACTCTTACTCCTTCCATTTGATGAAAAATTGGATAATGATTTTTATCAATTTCATCTCTTCTATATACGTCTGCACTGATCAAAAATCCATTTTTTTTCATTCTTTTAAACGCATCCACCTGATGCGCTGATGTATGTGTACGCAAAATCTGATTCTTATTAATATAATATGTATTTGTAGATTTACGGTCAGGATGATCAATTGGAAAATTAAGCAAATCAAAGTTTTCTACTGTACTAACAACTGGAGAAAAATCGTTAAATATTTCATAATTAGATGCATCAAATTGAGATTCTATTGTCTGACGAAGAATTCCTAATGGATGTGATACTTGAAAATGTAATTTTTTTTCAACTGCTTTAAGAATTGCTGGTGTAATGTTTGTCCAGCTATCTAAAGGGTAATTTTCTCCTAATATAGAAACATATTCTTTAGTATTTATCTTTTCTGTGTCTTTAATAACATTATATTTCTGTAATCAAAAAAATTACTCAAAAAATCACCTTTTTTTGCCGTTTTTTTGCTCAAATTTCTACAAAAAAAAATGTAATTATTTAATATGGAGCAGGATGATTTCTTATTCAATTTCTGAAACAAGAAATATCCTCCAAAAAGTCCTTTATCTAATAATTTCATCTGTCTACTTTTTTTATAGTTCATTGATTTCGATCAGTAACCTTAATAAAATTGTAAAAATGTTTTTTTTTAAAAGATAATCATTTTTTTTAAGAGACAGAGAAAAAAATGTCATATTCTTTTCCGTGTATAAAAAGGGATTATTTTTGTTTTTTTCCTGTCAAAAAATCTCAATTTTATGGTTCTTTTTTACCTTTTTTAATTCCTATTTCTTTTGATAGATATTTATATAATAATTATGTGATGATGAGAGTAAGAAATGGGCATCAATATGGTTACCATTCTCTATTGTTTTTTCATTTCTAATTTCTTATATTTTTAAGCTCCAAGACGTACAAAATATAAAAAGGCTCATAAAGGAAGAATCCCAGTACCTATAGGAATGTCAATTAAAGGTTTTTATAAAAAGAATAATTCAGAATACTTATATATACTGTAATAAAGGGACTACAATTATGTATGGTGATTTCGGTATGCGTCTTAAAGATCAAGGAGTTCGATTTACTGCAAAGCAACTTCAAACAGCTGAAATGCAGATTAAGAGAGTAATAAAGCCTATTAAAGGTGCTAAAATATATACGAGAGTATCTACAAACATTGCAGTATGTATAAAAGGGAATGAGGTTTGTTTTATTATAATTTTTTGATTTTTTTTACTCTTATAGACTCGTATGGGAAAAGGAAAAGGTAGTTTTGACCATTGGGCAGCAAGAGTACCTGTTGGACGTGTAGTTTTTGAGATCGGAGGTGGTGGTATTTCTAGTGAAGTTGCAACGGAAGCTCTTCGAAAAGCAGGATATAAATTACCTGGAAAGTGGGAAATTATTAAACGAGATATGCCGGGAAGGATTGGATTGCATTATGCCCCTTATAAAACATTACCTAATGAAGTAGATACATAGTTTTGTAAGAACAGTTTATTTATAATGAATGATATATTTGATATTCTTTTTAGATTAGTTATTTATTTAAATAGAATATTATAAATTAATTAAAATCATTATAATAAGAAGAATGTATTCTCATGAATTTTGAGACAAATGCTTCTAAATGGAATATTGCTTTATTTCCAAGCTGAAGACGATGTTCCTTTCTTTATTAATAATAGATTGTATAGAGCAAATTCTTACATAAAAAGTCGCCCATTCTATAGTTTCTGGCTTTAAGGCATCATCTATTTTTGAAATTAAATTAAATGTTAAAACCTTTTTATTAGAAAAATATATATTAATAAGTTGTTTATACTTCAAGAATTAATGATGGAGGAATACAATGTGTAATAAGTTCGTAAAGTTTACCACGTACTTGAAGAATTCTAAATATTAGTATTTTTTATTAAATTGCTAATCTATAAACCTTGACGGCGTTTGTTCTTGAATAATGGAATCAGCAATTTGACTAATATATATTTCCCAATCAGGCATAGGTATAGTTAGATCTTCAGTCAAATAAGAGCTATATTAGAATATTAATAATGTGTAATTGTCCAGAAACATGTGCTACTTTTTCGCATAAACTGCTTCCAGCATTAATAAAGCTCTTCTTAAATTTCTTTTACAATCTGATGCGATTTTATTACATAAGAGATCTGGGATTGAAAAATGCTCTTTGGATGCAATATACTTTAAAACAATGATAACATCTTCTAATTTAGGAGCCGAAACACGTACTAAAAAACATCTTGATTGAATTGGCGCCATAATTTTGGACGTCGAATTTGTAATTAGAATAAGGCGCAAATTAGGATAATATTTTTCCATAGTTCGACGCAATGCCGCCTGTGCTTCGCTAGTCAAATGATCTGCTTCATTAATAATTACAACTTGAGCACAATCAGCATAACTTTTTATTTTTTTTAATAAAAATAAATAACCTTTAAATCGTTGTTTTGCTGATATATCTACTTGTCGAGTTTGTGCAATCTCCTTCAAAAGATCTTGAATCACTATTCTGTCATAGATTCCCGTATCGCTGTATCATTAGTATATATCTTAAAATGCTAATTTTTCTTATTAGCAAACAATTTACCTTGGAGTAAATTCTAGATGATAATTACTAGATATTATATTGATTTTCACTTTTTTATTTGAGGGAGTCAGAATCATTTTTTGATCTAATTTTAGCTAGAATTTTTATTTATTTTATTGAAATTCTATGAACAATATACTTTTTCAATTCCTGATCCATAAATCTCACGAAGTGTTGCTAAAACTCTTGTTTTTTTGCCTGAACCATGAGGTCCATAGACTAAAAGATGAGGAAAATCACTGCTTTTTGCCTTCCTGTATTTTAATTGCTTTTGTTTCTTCATATTTCACTTACTAGTGCTTTCAATGTTTTTGTTAATTTTTCATGAAAATGCATATGATCTAATAATTTGGGTCTATATTTATCTATAAATAGAGCCATTCTATGTATTCTTTCAAATAATTCGATATCTTATGTCTTTATAAAGCTTAAAAGACGTTATTCAGCCGACTATATTTTTTGCACAATTTCATGACGTCGTCTTAATTCTTGCAATATTAAAGGTTAAGAATGATTAAAAAAGGGTTAAAAAATGATTGAAAGATTAGGTTGAAAAGACAAAATATCAGAAAATTATTCGGAAAGTATCCAGAAAGTAATTAATATTAAAGTAAAAAATTAAAATAAAAAGACAAAATCCTTTGTTAGTATATCTTTAAAAACTTATATAGAAAGAGTCCATTGGATTATATATATTAGTTTCTTTTTTAATCTCTTTAACTCTATAAGGGTATTTAATCTTGTTTTTATTGTTTTCAGAATGTTTTTGATGATTATTCTTATGTAATGGTATATTAATAGTATGAATTTTGCTTTTTTTAAAATATTTTTTAAAATATTCTTTTTCATGAAATCCTTCTTTTTGCCCTGGTAATGATCTAATAGATAATATTTTTTTATTTTTTTTTGTCCTGAATGGTGGTGAATGATGATATAATGTATGTTGTACATCGGAAAAGCTATTGTCTGCGCTGTCACTTTCTTCTATATCAGAATATGGGAAAGTAGGATCAATATCATGTGGTGTTACTATCTTGAATTCCTTCGTAAATCTTCGAATATCTGAACCCTCTTTAGGGGAAACAAGTTGATCCTCATCTAAATTTCCAAAAATAAAATCCGTATCGTCTTGAAAATTATTACTCCTAGATGAAGCTGGAGGATATTCAAAAGATTGATTAACGCAGTCAATTAATGAAACTGAAGATTTTTTTAAAGAATCGTAAGAGGTTGCAACCATTTCTTCATATGAAGCAGGTTCAAATGAATGATTTCTTATATTATTAAGGTTTGTTTTTTCGATATTTTGATTCCCATAAAAGCTTTTATATAAATGATCTGCCTCTTCTTGAATTTCCTTTTCTTCCTCATCTTCCAACTCTTCTTGAATTTCCTTTTCTTCCTCATCCTCCAACCCTTCATAATCTTCATCTGTCTCATCTTCAATTCCTACAAAACTTAATCTTTCTCTTGGAAGTACGTTCTCTAGAAGAATCTTGATTGACGGTTTTGATCCCCCCCTTAAATCATTTGAAATATCTATACTTTTCTTTTCATCCTTTATTAATCCATTTTTTAATATTTTTTTTGAGTTTATTTTTGAAAAAACCATTAATTCTTCTTTTGAAGGCTTTGATACTTGTGCCTGCATATTCTCCCCCTTTTGAACCGCTGTAAATCGAACATAATATTGAGATTTATCTTCTATAGGCTCTGCTTGAGAAATATGAGGAAAATATGGTTGTTGCAGAATTGGTGATAACGTATGAACTAATTCATGAACATTTGATTTTCGAGGCGGCGCTACAAATTTAACATTCGATTTCGGCGTAAGTCGAAGCATCAAAGGTGGCGTTGGTGTTGAATGCCCACTTGTTGACTCGTGATCTGATAAAAGATCAACATTCGATATTTCAGGAAGACTTGCTTTTGGTGATGAAAGAAACATTGATAATAATGATATGCCTGGACACGATTTGGAGTTCTTTCTCCGTTTCTCCTTACAGCAATTATTTGTTTCCTGATTAACTTCTTTACATGCTAATTGATTGAGCCTCTGTGTCAAATATTCCGCTGTTGTACTGGGTATATGCGTCATTTTTTTGGCTTATATGCGTATCTTTTTTATTATATGCATCTTTTTAGGCTATTTTTCTTTGTATAATAGATTATTGGTCCTGTTTTTACCTAATTTATAGAGAAGTTTGACCCCTTTTTTTACAAAGTAGATATCTCTGAATTTGTTATGAGATTTCTACTGACATAATTCTATTAATAATAGATACTTTCCTACTTGTATATGCATGCTTCCAAGGTATTTTTTGAGTCTATTTTGCGCCTTTTTCTTTTTAAAATTTTTTGTTTTTTTTTCCTTTGAAATCCCTTACCCTGAAATTTTAAAGAAAAATCGAAATTAACTCTAGAAAATTAAAATACATTATTATTAAGAAATTTGAAAATAAGAATGAATAAGCTTATGATTGATATATTAAAATATGTTCTAACAAAATATATATGTTTTTAAAATATATTGTATAAGAAATGATAGACGATAGATAATATATATATATATATATGAAGACTGTTTTTTTAATAAATGAATTTTACCAACGAGAGCTTTCTTTTCTTATTGCAGGAGGTTTATAGATGGCAATAGAAGGTTGATCGGTGTTTAAAGACTTGTTTCCTAATTTTTGAAGTGTTTCAAGTTTAGATTTGTTAAGGAGGTTAGAATCAGTAGATTCAGTTTGTTCGGAAACACGAAGCCTCCAAGAACCTTTTCCAGGCCTCCATTTTTCTTCTCCGGAGGGATTAGAAGGTAATCGATCTTTTTTGGACCATCGATCATAAGAATGATCGTTAGAAAATAATTCTTCTTTCTTTCGTCGAAGTTTGTTTTCTACTTCGAGTTCTTTTTGTTTTTGTTTCTCAGCCATTTGGTCAAGTTTTCTAAATAGAGTTTTTAGTAGAAATATTTTTATTGGAAACATGAATTACCTTAATTCTTCTTCTTTCCTAGCCCTATTTTCCTCTTGAATAGCTTTGAGTCTAAGCTCTTCTTGGCGAATTCTCTCCCTCTCCTCCTCTTCTTTCTTTTTTCTTTCTTCTTCTTCTAACCTTCGTTTCTCTTCTTGTTCTTTTTTCTTACGATAAGCAATTCTTCTATCCTCTTTTTCTTTTTCTAAGGCTTTATTGGCAATTTTGCATTGTTTATTGTGCTGTTTTTTGCATTCTTCTAGAAACATATCACAATAAATCATATAATCGGAATGAAGCCTTTGAAAGCGATGCTTAAGTGCAACCATATGATCATGTTTTGCTCGTGATGCTTCGAGTTTCAATTTTCTGGATTTTTCATGAAACAATTTGTCTGAAGCATCCCGATCAATTGCAAGTTGTTTAAGAAAAGGAAGTTCTTCTTTTCTGAATGCTCTTTCGAGATGATCGATTCGTTTAGAAGTAATACGTAATCTCTCATTAAGGTCTCGCGTTTCTTTTTCCAGTTGTTCTAGATGTATGGCTCTTAATTTAGATGTATCTAGTCCTTCTAAATCGTCAACATCTACTTTTAAAGCACCCTTAGCTTTAAGCTCGCCTGCCAATTTTCTAGCTTCTTCTGCACGAATGGCATCTGCTTCTTTCTTAATACGTTCTGCCTCTCTTTTTTTGGCTTCTTCTGCAATGCGCCGTTGTTCTGCTTCTTGTTCTTGTTGCAATTTTTGTGCTCTCTTGGTTGCTGCTTCTTTTTCTTTACAAATCATCATGTTTTCAACAATTTCTTTTCGATGCTCAATGAGTGCTCTTCGTGCCAATGTTTCATTTTGCTCTTTTTCAATACCATTAACAGCTCGTTCATTTGCAGCATTTTTTTGATTTTCACGTTCCTGAAGAAAAGATGGATCTATAATACAAACCGTAGTGAGTAAGCATTTCCCTATACGTGACAATTGAGAACGTATTAATTCAGATGGCGTAGACTGTAGTCGAATATTACTATCTGTTACTGTATGATGAGATGTAAAAACATCTGTTTCAAAAGTTAATGATCTGGATGAATGATCAATTCGAATAGATAATTCTCCTTTTTTACAGGCATTCATGATAAATTTTTCAATGTAAATTGAATCAATGTTAAATGGTTCTGAAAAGTTAACAAGATTAAATAAAAAGTCTAGTTGAATTGTTTCATATATTTGTGACAATTGTTGAAATAAACGAGTAAGTATGACATGTTGAAGAGGCTTAATATATTGCGCCATATCTGGATCTTGGGCTATGATTTTAATCAAAGGCTCAACTTTTTGACAAATGTTTAAAGGATGAAATTCTACTTCCAATATATTACATAATTCTTTGATTTCCTTTCTTACATGAACTAAAATGTTTTTTCCGAGCTAAAATTATAAATAGATGTTTTTTTTCAAATAATGCATGACTTACCGCTTCCTTTAAAAGATTGCTTCTAGTAGGAGGCTTTGAAAGCGATAATAGTGCTGCAAGTTTTGTATTTCGAATTTTCGTATCATCAATTTCCATAATATTATTTCCCTTTGACCTTGTTATATTGATAACAGGAATTGATAATGCTGATAAAAGAACTAAAGAAGCTATCCTTTCAAGTTCCTTATCGCTTAATGCTTTGTTTTGAGAAGAAATCAATGCAAAGTATTTATTCCAAATAAGTGCGTGAAATAAATAATTTTCACTAACTGCAAAAATTTTTCCAAGCTTTTCATAGTAGTTTGTCATTACCAATAATTTCGGCTGCCGTTTTGAAAGCATTAATAAGTTATTAATATCTTCGACTGATTTAAAGGCTTCCTGCCAAAGTTCGAGTTCTACTGCTGCATTTAATTGAGAAAAACGAGTATCCAAATGACGCTGAAGTGTATCTGGATCATTAAAATTAATCGAATGTTGTTGTCCAGAATATTTAGTAGCATTTTGAAGATGAGTACGAAGAAGATCACAAAGTCGACGAAATTCTGTTTTTCTTGAATATTTTAAACAAAAACTAAACGCTTGATTCACTGCACTTTGATATGCCTGCTCAAGCCTTGCATTGTTTTTTAAAATTTCTAAGACTGTACGGTAAGTCTCCCAAAGAAATTTAAGCCATGGTGTTACTACTGCACGGTCAGTACGATCTTTTGATTGATCTCCTGAAACAGTAGACAAAATAATATTTTCCGGTGTCTCTGATGCCTCTAAATCATCGATCGTATCTAAAACGAGCTTTTCTGCGTGTACTTGCGCCTCTGAAACTTTTTCTTCAACTAAATCAATAAATTTTTTTAAAACAACCTAAAATAATAGAAAATACGTAAATAAACCTTATAAAAAATACTTTCTCTTCTTTATACCTCAACCGTTCCTACTGATGTATTTTGTGCAATATTTTTATACTGATAAAGAGCCTCTTTTGCCATTTTTCCTTTCCTCAAATCTACACATAATGCTACAAATCGTAACATAATAGGTTTCAAAGATGACACCGCTGCATTCCTAGAACACCTCGAAAGGATCAATTCATGCAGTAATTGTAGTGCTGCTGGGCTTTGACCCACTGCAATTAGTTCTATTCATTAATCAGTCATTTTTCTTCCGTTTTTTTTCTTCAAACCCTCTGCACGCTATAAAATTCATTCCTATTAGTCATATTATTCTTAAATATCTTCCTTATACTCACTCTTAGGACATTCTCCGGTTTACTTTGCGGAAGTAACATCTCTACTGGACTTAGATATTTTATAGATTTTTTTAAAAAATGTGCCCGTCGCTTTGAGGCAACGAGTCTGTTTGTTTTAAGCTTTTAAAAAAGTTGTAAACATAGGTTATACGGTTAAGCTTTGTTTTTCTATCGAAAATACCCTTTATATATTAATTTATATATATAATTTTTTCTTTTTTTTCGTTTTTTTTGAAAAAAAACGGTTAATATTTATAAACCGGTTTTTAAAGTAACAATTTTCTTGAGATTTCTTGATATAGATTATTGATTATAGTTCGGCATATTGAAAATATTTCAGGTTTTTGTTTTTAGTTACTAAAGATGGTTGGATCGCACAAAAGACCTCTTAAATCATCAATATCGGAATTAAAATTACGTCGCATGACAGAACTAAATAATCGACTAAAAGAAGATTTGGAACGTCCAAGAATTTTAGTTAGTGAAGCTTGTCAATCGTTTTTTTTTTCTTTTTCTTCTTTAAATTTTCTTATTTTTATAGACTTATTCTTTTTGCAACTTCAACTAAAGATCCCATGTTACCTTCTGTCTGGGCTCAAAACGATCGATTTCCTGGATCATTTTCTAACAGAAGATCATTTTCTTGTTGTATTTTAATGTAATTTTTTTCTAACTTTGAATTTTTATACAAACTTGTTTATTTTTTTCTATGTTTTAAACAATTGGTTATATCTTCATTATTTCTCTTTGTTTTTCTGTATTTTTGTTTATTTTTTGTTTTAAGTTTTATTAGACTTTCTTTTGAGAGTCGGACGTTAACCAGATTTTTTTGCGAAACAAAAGTTGGCTATAAAAAGGTCTATAAAAGAGGGCTAGAAGGATAGAGTATCTAAGAGCTATAGGTAGGGTTTATAGGGATGGATGGAGATGTGTACCTCCGTCGGTTGGTCCAGTTTATTCGGGCAAATGAGTCATCATTGGCATCATCTTTGGAGAATCCAACAAGATGGATTGAATCAGAGGAAAAGAGGATATCAGTTCTAATGGGTCTTTATCAATGGATGAATGAAGGGAAAATGGGGTGGAGATCATGTACGTTGTCTATGACGCCGCATTATTTGTTTTATGTGCTTTCTCGGTTTAGTGAGTTGGAACTGACGACAGGACCAATGAATATAAGATTAGAAAGGTTGCAGAATGGGAATGAGGGTGGAAACTATGTATCGTTTTTAAAGGATTATCCGAATGGATGGAAAAAAGAAGATACAAGTGATACACGATCTATTCGGAGTGTAAATTCTATTCGAAGTGTAGTTAAGGGAGTTTCTAATATATGGGGGCGATTGAGTTCAGGATGGAGGATTTCGCCTAAAGAAAGGGTTTATGAGCAGGTTCGGACAGATATTATGTATTTATATTCATCTTTTACGAAGTTACCTTCGTTAAGATTGGTTCCGTCGTCAAGTTATCGAATGATTGATGGATATGAGGAATTTCCTTTTGATACAGCAATTCCTTTATTTGTATTCAAGAATTTAAAGAGTTTAGAAATTGTGAATATTGAAATTGGAAGGTTTTATGGCTGGGATAAGATTGCAGATAATTTGCGTTTTTTAACAGTGAAAGGATGTGGAATACGTGATGCTAGTGAATTGATTGTTGATATTGTTTTGAAGAATATTGAAAAACGTAGAAAAATGAGGATTCGTAAGAGTAATTCTTTGCCATTGGCATTACGAAATAAATCTGTTGAATCGAATCAAATTCATCCGTTGATTGAAATGGCTAATATTTCAAGTATAGAGTCTTCAATAGATCTTAAGAAGGCATTTGTATCTCATGTTAGAAAGTTTTCATCACCGTTATATGATAATTCCGAAGTACAGTATCATCCACATAATTCGGATTCTTCCAATAGATCTTGTAATTCTGCTGATACTATGCCAATTGCACAGCCTCATCCTGAAATTCTTCCCTTAAAGAAATGGTATTTTTTGAAATATTTATCTTTATCCAATAATTCATTGAATATGCTCTCATTTTCTGCAGTAATTCCAATTGCGCGTTCTTTGGTTTCTTTGGATATTTCTCATAATATGTTTATTGAGATTCCATATTCTTTATCGATACTTACTTCTTTGAAATCTTTAAATATTTCTTATAATAGGATTGAGTCATTACAATCGTTAATGCGTCATCCTCTTTTGTCAATAGCTACTATTGATATACGTTCTAACCGCTTACGATCGTTGATTGGAATTGAGAAACTGATAAATCTTCAAAGATTAGATATTAGAGATAATTGTTTGTCTGATCCGATGGAAGTCACAAGATTAGCAAATGCGCACACTTTTAAACAAATATGGGTATCTGGAAACCCATTTACTTATAAGCATTTTTCGACCTATCGAATTACTATATTTAATATATTTCGCTCCATGCCTAACCATGTTTGTGATGTTCTTATAGATGGACAAGGGCCAGGAATCATGGAAAGACGTAGATTGATTGAAAAAGTTCGCAAACGTAAACAAATTTCGCTGGAATCTGAAAAAATATCTCATGATTCATCTAATATTGATCCTCAGAAAATTATTTTTTCTGAACATGGTATTCTTGAAATTTCAACTATTGAAAGAAGTTCTAATGTTGGAAAAGGAATTGTTGATTTTGATGAGTTTCCTAAGGATGACCAAATATTAATTGGAAAAACTATAGTTAAAAATAATGATTGTAATATTGATAATTTTTCTCTAGTTCAGAATAATGATGTTGATATGAATTTTCAGAAGGATGAGGATTATAGTCATCAAGTAGAGGCTTTAAAAAAAAATGCTGGTAAAAACTGGTTAACAGTTTTAAATGAGGAGATGTGGGTTAAACAACAATAACTTTTAAATATGAATGTTGGTTTATATGTATTTTGTATGATATAATGATAACATTTTTCATATACGATTTAATTATTTATTTGGACTTATGGTTCAGTACTAAAGACAGTAGATGAAAATATGTTTTGAGAAAAATAAGTATACAATCTGTTGTCTTTGTCTTTTTTGAACGTTTGTTATTAATTATATAAGGGTTGAGTTTAGGTGAACATTTAAGTCATATATAAATTTCTAAAAGATATATATATATTTAGGTGATATGTGTTGATTTTTTAAAAATATAATAGGATATTCGTATTTTGGAAGTCATGAATATATGATACTTTTTTTATAAGTTTACTTAAATTTCCAATAGTGAAATGGTAAATGAGTATTATATTGTTTTAAAAAATATGCATATTAATGAGTGAATATATGCTGGAATAGAATATATGGAAAAAAATTTGAAAGAGTTTTAAGAGGCTAAATTATTTGAATTATTATTTAAGATAGAAATACATTTTTTTATCACAATAGCTCTTATGGATTTATTACTGGCTTATATACTATTTCTGAATAAAATTTTCACGAGAGTTTTGTGAATTATTAATGGTTATATATTGTTTTTGTTCTCAGAATATTTGTATGTCTATATATGATGTGTTTTGTCTCAGATGAGATGCGCATTGAAAGGAAAGAGACCAACCGTCACTGATATTCTATATATCAGCTGTTTAGAAAAGATTGTTTTGTTTTGTAATCTATTGGCAAATAACATTCTAGTATCATTTTTATTTTATATGAAAAGCAGTTTTATACTTATTTTATAAGATTAATTTATTTTAAAGACTGTAGATTGGTTACTTTTATGGTAAAGATGAAGAATTGTTATTGATAGTGTAGTAGACTTACTATTTTTGATGAATTTTTTGGATATTTTTTGATATATATTTATGATATAAATTATATTTTTCTGTATTTCTACAATAAAGATATTGTATATCTATTATATCGTGTTATCTATTATGAAGGTGTATGCAATATTCTTTTTTTTTTTGTTAAACTTGTAGCGGAAATGCATGGAAATATCCATCTATACATTTTCATATTTTCGGTTACTTTTGAGTATAAATGTATTATGTCTTAAGTCCGTGATATTTATTGTTAGTGGAAATATTATATTTTGTCCTAAGGTTATAGTATTTGCTTTTAATTATTTTTATAGTCTTTTAAATGTCTTAATAATATTTTATTTACATCCCTGTATAAATGTTTGTTTTTTCTTTTAAGAATAAATGTAATTCCTAGGTAAGTTTTATGAATATTTATTTGTAGATATAAGTAAATGTATTTGATAATAAAATAACAACAAGAAATTGATATCTACTGTAATTTTTATGATATATAATCCTATGATAAATTGTAAATATGAATATATTATGACTATTCATATAAACATTGATATATTATTTGAATTTCTGAGGCCTACTTCGTAAATTATGTTTGCTTTTCTTTTTTATATCATTTTTCATATTTTGTTTGTTGAGATTATCTTTCTTTTGAATCAAATTTACATGCCGTTCAAGAAGGTTAAATTCTTCATCAGCAATTTCAGAAAGTGGAGACATTGTTCTAATATCATCTCCTGGCCAAATTTGCACATATTCCTTTATAGATAACCCCTTTGGCTCAAAAATAGACCAATCCGATACCATTCTCTCATTCTCCATTTTCAAAAAAGAAATGCTGTTTTCTGCATCCAAAAATAATTTTTCACATTGTCGTTTAAATTTTACTGCCGTTTTATAATATATTGTATTGTGGTCATTGTATTTTATAGCATTGTCAAAAACATGCATCAGATCAGTCTTAAATCATTAATTAATTTCTTTTGAGAAAAAAAATACCTTAAATTGTAATAGATTAGCATATTCTCGGTCCTCGATTTTTTTAGAGATCATTGATAAAGAAGTGGGCATGCCATTTATTGAATTGTAGTTAAAAGTATCAATTGGAATATTCGAAAATAATTTATTTTTATCCCATCTTATAATAATTAAATTTAATAGTTAACTTGAGAAATAATGTACCCTTCAATGCAGTTTAATATATATCTAATAATATGTGTAATAGGAAAATAAAGTCCATCGGCCATTGTTTCTAAATAACATGAAATCTTCTTTTTTTCTTCTTCACGTTTTTTAACAGAATCAGTTAACTCTAATAATTTTTCTAGATCATGTTTTAAGATTTTTGCAAACTTGAATGATTAACTAACAATATGGACATTAATTAAAGTATACCTCAATTCTTTCTGAGAGTTGATCTGTTGAAAGATTACGAATTTCATTCTAAGTTACTTTAGAAATACAACTGTATGATATATTTTCCAAACCTCAGTTTTTAATTGCAATCTTTTTATTAATGATGCATTTTTTCGTGATTCTTTTTTCAGTGACCAATATTTACAAATATCTGTAATAAATATCGATTTTTTTCTGATTGGGAATTTATGTATATAATCCAATATTCTATTTTGAATATATACTGGTATAAGGGGGTATGTTTTTGCTTTTTTTAAATTTATATAGATTTTAGATGATGCTCCGTGTATATAATTAGAATTATGATTATTTTCTACGAATTCAGAAGTTGAAGGCGTATAAGATAAAAATTGTTTTCTAGTATCATAAAGAAATTTTGCAATATCATGTTCATTACGCCAGAAACTCTTTTTACATTAATGTATAAGAATCACTTAACTAAACAATACTCACAGGAACATGTTTATCGCAGTAAGCTTTTAATTCTGTGTTATTTTTCTTCATAGGCATATATAATTTTGCCCTACGTGCACATGTAACATGAAAGGCTCTATAACAAGATTTATTTACACATTGAATTGATGCGCCCATTCTTTGCTGACAAATATAACATATCTTTAAAATAAGTAAATATAATACATCTCAGACAAAACACTCACAAGTTTCCATCTTGATGCAGGGATTTTGTGAATATTATCAATAGGTTCTTGATAAACAGTATTCATAACAGTAACTTCTGGAATCCAAATAGCACAGAGTAAATGTGCCCATCTGTTATCTGAAGTTTGCTTAAAGGCACCTGAGGTATTAGGACAAAAGATACAATTCTTATTATGTTAAGATGGATATATAATTATATAACAACAATACCAAAGTATTTTGAGGAGATATAAGACATTTTCTACATAACCATTGCCCTTCAGGTATATATGGAATGCCATAACAGTCTAGCATATGTTATGAGATACTTATATTACTAAATAATCCAAAATACCTTGATGAACGGCTAAATTACATCCATCACAGAATACTATAGCATTGACATTTTCGCATTCTCCATCGTCACAAATTGAACATTTTGAATCATCAGGAGATAAATTTTCCTTTGATTGATCTTTAGGCATTCTTTTATCCTTCATATGTATGTTATTTTTTCATCTCAAAAAATACATTATATAATTAAAGACATACAAGTTCTATCCATTCTTTTTCGATTTTTGTTAATACGATTTCAAAGAGTTCATGTGATATAGTATCTCCCTCTGATTTTAATCTTTTTGAATTATATTGTTCTAACCAAAAATTATCCAAAGGATGAGTCTTCATTTAAAATACTTGTAATAACTAACCTTGTTCGTCCATGTCGTATTCGACTCTATTTGCTAAAGTCTCTTTAGACTCTTCTAAATTAATATTAGTTAGAAAATTTGATATTTTATTATATATATACCTACGAATCTAATATATGTATCTGAAGGCCTATTCCAAATATCCGCTTCTTGATAACCATATTCCATTATCGAACGTCCTGTATACCTTGCTTCTTTTTCAAAAGGTTGAATGTTTCGAAATGAAAATTTCGATGATTTTTGAATATATGGGTTTTCTATATTTTTCAATTGTTCATCTTTTGATTCTGATTTTTTATCCTGTTTGGAAATATCACATGACATATCAGAATCAAATATATGTTTTTCTTTTTTTGTTATTTTCGATCCTAAACATTTATCATAATTCCTATCAAAATCATTTTCTTGATTCAATTCGCCATATGATTTACGAATTTCAGAGCTGTTTAGATCATCTGATAAAAGTGGAACGGTTGAGTTGTGATCTTTAAAAGTATGTAAGAAAAAAAAAACATTGTTCTAATATCACTTGCCATCTTTTGAATATATAATTCTTAGGGGTTCGTTTATGTTAAAATTTGTGTAAAATTCCAAATACGACCGTTCTTCTCTTGGTTTTTCCGTAATTTGTTCATAATTATTTTCATTAATTACTGCCAGCCGGCTGGCATGAGCCGAATTAGAAAAACAACTACTTTCTCCTTTATAATCAATACGAGGAACCATTAATTATTCTTTTCTTATAAATTATTTACTTCTCTTAAATGTGGCTTTTTCTCTTGTATAAAAATCATACATAAACAAATTAATAAACCTTAATAATACTCAATATGAATATCAATTCAATCAGAAAATCTTGCATATTCCTTCTATATAATCTGTTTAGTCTCAAGTATTAATAAAAAAATAGAAAATACTGATTTAAAAAAATATAAGAATTTTATCTTTCGAAACAGTCGTATTTTGAGATTTTAACCTATTTTCTTAAAAATTAAAAATATGTATATTTTTAATCTAAATATGTCATTTGTTCTACATCTGTTTTATATTTCCATTTTTTTATTAATTTTAATTTTTATTTAATAGAAATTTTTATAAAATAATATTTTATAAAAATTTATTAATTTGTTTTTTAATTTATTAATTTACTTTAATATTTTTATATTTTAATTAAAAAGTTAAAATTTAATTATAATCGTCTTTACAGGTTAAGATTTGACTGATTTTTTAAGAAATTAATGTATTTCTTAAATGTTCTTGGAATTGCAGTCAATCTTTGAGCGGATTATAAGTGTTTTTAGTGATAAGTCTAGATCTTTAGAGAATCATTATAAATTTGTTTTTGAAAAGTATGCTACGGTAGAAAAATATGGAGAATTATATATGAATGTCGAAGATTTTGTCAATGCAATTACTTCAGAAGGAGAATGTCATAAGATAAAGCGGGATGAGTATTGTATTCTTTTTAGGGTAGCAGATGTGAAGAAAAAAGGTCTTTTAAGTTTGGAAGATTGGATTTGTTTTGAGAAATTACTTGCAAAATATGATGCAGAATATGAGATTATATTTAAATTTTTTGATATAAATGGAACAGGGAAGATTTCATATGAAGATTTTAAAAAGATAATATCTACGAATAAATGTTCGGATAGTATTCCTTTTAATTGGAACACATCATGGTCAAAAATTTATATGAGTAATGTAAGAAAATATAATATGATGACATATCCTGAATTTATTCAAATGATGAAAGATCTTGAAGAAGAACGTATAAGGCAAGCTTTTGTTTATTATGATAAAGAGAATTTAGGATATATTGGATTGGATGAGTTTTCAAAAATTATTAATAAACTGTCTTGGCATAAATTATCAGATTATCTTTTAACGCATTTGCATACTCTTTGCAATATGGTTAGTGGGCAAAAAATTAGCTATGCTAACATAAGGGCATTTCACAATGTTATTGGAAAAATGAATATGATTGAGCGTATTGTTAGAACTGCTACTTTGAATTCACCAGATAGTAGGATTACAAAAATTGATTTTATGAGAGAAGCTGAAAAAATGGGATGCTCTTCTTTATTTACGCCTATGGAAATGGATATTTTATTTCATTTTTCTAGTTTAGATAATGATACAGGTCGTTTAAGCTATCAAGATTTTATAAAAATCTTAGATGTTTCATGGAAAAACTCTGTAGAACAAAAGAATATTCTATCTTGTGATGAATTGAAAATAGTAAATAAATATGGAAAAATAAAAAAGTTACTTCCAAATTTGTTGGACAGTATTTATCATTTTTCATTAGGGGCTGTTGCTGGTGCATCGGGTGCCATTGTTGTTTATCCAATAGATTTAGTAAAGACAAGGATGCAAAATGCAAGGATCAGGATTGGCGAACAGATGCTTTATAGAAATAGTTTTGATTGTGCAAAAAAGGTTTTAAGAAACGAAGGTATTTGGGGGTTATATAGTGGAGTGGGTCCTCAATTAATCGTATATATATCTATTTTAGTTTTTAAATTTCTAATTGGTATTAAAGGGCGTGATACCAGAAAAAGCTACAAAGCTTACAGTAAATGATCTGGTTAGAAATATAGTTAAAGAGGATAACGGTAAAATAAAACTTTATTGGGAAATATTAGCTGGTGCTTCTGCTGGAGCTTCTCAAGTGGTAAATATTATTTAATATTATTTAATTGTTTTCTAATTATGGTTTAAAGATATTTACAAATGTAATATTACAATCTTAATTATTATTTATTAATTTATAAATTAAGCCTTTAGAAATTGTAAAAATAAGACTTCAGATGCAAGGAGAACACATTGTTTCTTCTAAGGATGCTTTTCGTAAGAATGCTTTATTTATTATAAGAGATTTAGGTCTTTCGGGACTTTATAAAGGCACATCTGCTTGTTTATTACGCGACATACCTTTTAGTGCTATATATTTTCCTGTTTATTCTCATTTAAAGAATGATTATTTCAAGGAAAATTCTGGAAAAAAATTAAAAATCTTTGAGCATCTTGTTTCTGGTGCTATTGCTGGTATCCCTGCTGCATATTTTACAACACCTGCAGATGTTTGTTATTACTATTAAATATATTATTTAAAATAATTTGATTAGGTTATAAAGACTAGATTACAAGTAGAAGCTAGAAAGGGCGAAACAACTTATAAAAGTATTCGGCATGCTTTTTTTACAATTATTAAAGAAGAGGGTGTTTCGACTTTGTTTAAGGGAGGACCTGCTAGAGTATTTCGTTCATCACCTCAATTTGCATGTACATTAGCTGTATACGAAGCATTACAATCATTATTTTCGAAATCTACACATTCATCTCAATTATTATTTGATTCGAAAGAGAAAAATGTATCTTTGCCATATTTACGATCCTGTAATGCTTTACATACTATACTTGTAAGTAAATTGGAAATTATTATTATCTAACTCTCTTAAGGATATGGATATAAATTATGGGAATTATTTTAAGCCTTAATGTATATAAAATCAAAAGTATGAGAACTGGTTTAATATTAATAAGGAGATATATTGATATTACTTTTTCTCTGTCTTAATTTTTAGAAAAACTTAACCAAATTTTAGATTTGTTTTCTATTAAAAATTCTATTTATTGATATATTATAGAATGTTTTTAAGAAATAGAAGAATTATTTAAGTACCTGTTTTGGCGAATGCATTATAGTTTTATGTATTCAAGAAAAGTTTTATATGTTCTTTGGCCATAAATAGAATAATTCAGTTCATAATTAAGCAAAAAAGTAGCTAATTGCATTCCCCATCTTTTTCCTTTTATTAATAATGGATTATTTCCTTGGCATTAAATGACTCTTGCATTATGAAAACAGGTTTGTATTGTTAATGACTTAATTTATAAAATCACATGTTTCAAACTTTTTATTATTAAAAGTATTAACTATCTCTGAAATTCGACCATCTATGAGTTTTCCATTAAAGAGGCATTTTTATTTAATTTTTTATCTATCTCATCAGTGTTTGATGGGCTTTTACTTTCAATATTTTTCTGTAGTTCTTGAGTTTTTAGTATTTGTAAACTCTGTGAAATTTTCTCTTGAGCCTGCAAAAGTAGTTTATTGCTTTCTTCAATTTTTTTTATGCTATCTGCATCAAATAAAGTGGAATCGACTTTAGTCAAATTTGAATCTCTTGTATATATAGTGTTGGATGGTGCTTGTGTTTTAAAATTAATTATATCCAGTCTTTCTGGGAATGCAGATTGAAAATTAGAGTCAACATTGTTTAGGCAAAATGCTTTGTAATTTTTTCCTTTATTAATTTCGGAGGATGAATTAGAATCTGTTTGTTTATTTTTATTAGTGTTTTCTGCATTATTTGAAAAAGATGTGTCTAAGCTATGAGATAATATTTTTGTTATAATAGTAATTACCTGAATTGTCATTATTAATTATGTTATGTATTGAATGAATGTTTTGATTAATTAATGGAATAACTGTCCAGTCTGAATAAAATCTATAATTGTTTGGAAATATGGGTGTATTTTGTGGATTTTGATAATTAGCAGGGTTTTGCGGAACAGGATTATTATTTTGTCTTGTTTCTTGATTTCTATTTGGTGCCTCGACATTTCTTCTTGCTAAATTACGTAAAAAATCAAATATTTGGGTTCTATTTATGTTAAATATTTCCCTGGATTGGTCTTCTAAAACTGATTGCCGACTAAAGATGTTAAAATAGATAAAAGATAATATGAAATATACCATGTAGGACAACTTTGCTGTCTTTCGAGCCAATTTTTTAGACAATTAAAATGTAATATATGATTACATGGTAATTTTTTAGGAGTGCTGTTGATACGTGATTGTGATTTATTGTTTTTATCTAACTTTTTTATGCTTGAATGAACCATTTCTTCACGACAAATAATACATGTTTTATCTTCAGTAGCAGCAATTTCTTCAAATGTTGCATCTATAAACCGTTGATTCATATTATTTGTAACTCTTTTATATCGAATAAGATCACGACACTTAGCAAGAAACGATTTGAAAGTCATATATATATCTCGAATGATATGAAGTGGTAGACCATAGAATGTTAATGCTAATATGAAAAAAATACTATATGCTATAAGCTTGAAAAGTTCTTTATTTTTACATCAGTAAGAAAACAATTAGTTTACAATAATTACCCATAAAAAGCTCGAGATATAAAATATATAATGCTTTATTTTCCCAATTATCTTGATATGAATCGATAAGATTAAAAATATATTTAATCCCTGCACCAATAATCGTCGATGTCAAAATAGCAAACTCAAAGGCGAACATGAGCATCATACTTGGTTTTTCATGAAGAACTGTATTAATCGAAAATTTGGTCATAAGAATATCAATAATTAATAGAAAAACGATAGAAACAACAATTCGTACATGCTGTCTCAATAGTATGCTTTCTGATTGTCTCGTCTAGTGAGTAAAATTAAAATTGTCAACTTAATCAACGAATATTTATATTACAAATTCTAGTCGATCAAAACAAAGCCAATGAAATGTCTTCAGAAAAATCAATGTAACCAAAACAATAATTGATCGTGTATCAAAATTATTCCGAAAAATAGTCATCGCAAGACATGTTTCTGTAATAGAATACCAAGCACGTTCATAAAGATGCTCAATTTCTATAGCACGTAACGGCCCAAAGAAAATCCTTTGAATTCCTTTTCCAATAATCGCTGTAAGGAAAAGACCCATATTCATTAAGACCTTTTATAAAATATTAGTCTCTTTTCACTAATAAACTTTTCTATACTATTAAACATGCACTATTTTCTGTTAAATATATGCATGCTGCGTAAAAATTAGATCTATTCAAAAATGCGCTAAGAATAACAAAAGCTGTAGCAATAGTACTGCTCTATCTTATAGTTAATCAACTTCCTCTCACAAAATAACTCCTACCGTCCCGTAAATAACAAGTTTCATGGCATAAATCTTTAAAATATAAAATTTTGGTTTTTTAGACGTTTAGATTCTAATAACGATGAATATATCCGTATAGAAAAAGCAAAAAGTAAGTCTAAAAAAAAAAGTATTGATAAAATAACAAAAATTATGAATATCTATTAGTTTTCAACAAAAAAATATGCTTGTAAAAATAATGAATATAATATTGTATTTTTTTAAAAAAAGAATTTTTGTTAAAAAATGAGGGCTACGTAACGATCATCCTTATTTTTTAATAAGAAATTGAGATCCTTTAAATAGGGCTAAATTTAAGAAGAAAAAACAGTAATGATCTATTTAAGTAGATTGACAGTGTTTTCTAGAGGTTTGTGGTTTTTTTCGCTCTTAAAAAGGTTAATTATGATAGGATTTGATGATAAAATAAGAAGAATGTTTATTTCTTCATGGAGACCATTTAATTTATTGAAAAAGAAGGAAATACTTGGGGAAAGTAATGGGGATTTAATTCCATGGAAGAAAGAAAAGTCGTCATTGGATTATGTTTTAACATCAGTGGATGCTATTGTTAATTGGGCAAGACAAGGAAGTATTTGGCCGATGACGTTTGGTAATGGATTAAAATATAAAAGAAAATGTTTATGAATGGATTTTTTGACATTTTGAAAGGTTTGGCATGTTGTGCTGTTGAAATGATGCATGCATCTGCTCCAAGATATGATCAAGATCGATTAGGTATTATTTTTAGGGCAAGTCCTCGACAATCGGATGTAATGATTGTTGCTGGAACTTTAACAAATAAAATGGTGATTTTTAAGGAAGAATGATTGCGTTTGTTAAAGTGTTTTAAGGCACCAGCTTTACGGCAAGTATATGATCAAATGCCAGAACCTCGATGGGTTATTTCTATGGGATCATGTGCTAATGGAGGCGGTTATTATCATTATTCGTATAGTGTTGTTAGAGGATGTGATAGGGTTTTTTTTATTATTGAAGAAAGAAATTTTATTTATTTAAATTAGATTATACCTGTTGATATTTATGTTCCAGGATGTCCACCAACCAGTGAAGCACTTTTATATGGTATAATTTTAATTAGTTATTTTTTAAAAATGCTTAAATGGATAGGAATTTTTTTACTACAAAAAAAACAACGAAATCAAAAAATCACACGTTTATGGTATCGAAAGTAAAATAGTTTGATAAATTATTGGTCTAGTTTATGGATAACTTTGAAAGTGCTCCTTGATTTAAAAAATGATAGTTTTGATTTTTTTTTATAAATAGAAATTGGGATATATCAATTAATTTCTTTTGGTCTATTTTTTTATTGTTTTATAATTGTATTTTTACGGATTTTTTCTTTAGAAAGGTTTGAATATTATTTTTCTTTTTTTATGTTATGTATATTTTATATTCGTGTATTATCTTGGATACAAGGTTTTTGCATGATAAAATTCTTTAGCAATAATTTATAAACTTGTAAAAGATGTATAAGTTTTTTCATTTTTATTTTTAAATTATTTATAAGATTTTTTGTTCATTTATGATTCTTTTTTTTGATAATCTTTAGAAATGCATGGATTTATAAATAGTTTTAAAAAAATGTTTCAGAATTTTTTTAAGATATTATATCTATTTGAAATCTAATTTGTATGTTTAATATCATGAATTTAGTTTAATGTTTTTCATATAAATTTATATTTTAATATACAATGTTTACTTTTTTACAATTTTGAATATATACACATTAAATACACAATTATGTTTTTATAATAGATATTACATAGATAAATTGAATCTATATTTATGTTTTTATGGTTATATATTTGAATTATGAAACCTTTTTAGCTTTTTCTCTGTATTTTTTCCCTCTTTTATTTTAAATAAATAGATATATTTATAGTTATAGATTATTTTCAATTAGAAATATGTTTTTTTCTTAATTTTATTTATTTTCTTCTTTTACTGATGATTTAGTTTTTTTAAAGAAAATATATTTAATATTATATAACAAATTTCATCTTATCAAAACAAATATATTTTATTTATTTTTCATGATATTTTAAAGATAATGTTTCTCTTTAATCAGTTTATATCTTTTTCTTAAATTACATAATGAATCATATAAAAAGTTCTATTATCACTATCGTATCTTAAATATTTTTGATAAAAAGATAAGAATAATTGTTTTTAAATATGTATCTTTTAAAAAGGTTTATTTGAGGATCATTAATGTCTTTTTTTCTTAACTGTTTTATTATTTTGAAATATTTTTCTAGGAATATCATTATATATTGAAACAGGTATTTCTTTTTAAATAGATAATATGATTAACTAGAGTTTTTTATAGAAAATAATAATTTATAAGTTGTAATATGCTTATAAGGCCTTCTTCCTCAGAAACTCCTATTTCATTTGATAATAATCCAAAGGAGGTTGTATTGGAGCTTGAAGATGGCACTGCATATCAAGGATATTCATTTGGAGCAGAAAAATCAGTTTCTGGAGAATTAGTTTTCCAAACAGGTATTAGAAGATATATAGATTTAATAGTTTTTAATAATTGACTTAGGAATGGTTGGATACCCGGAATCTATTACTGATCCGTCATATAGAGGTCAAATTCTTGTTCTTACTTTTCCTCTTGTGGGTAATTATGGTGTTCCGTCTCGAGAAAAAGTGGATCCATTATTTCCAGATATCCCACTTTATTTTGAATCCAAAGAGATTCATGTTTCTGCTTTAGTTGTTTCAAGTTATTCGCGTACATATTCTCATTATCTTTCTCAAAGTAGTCTTGGTGATTGGTTACAAGAGAAAGGCATTCCTGCAATATATGGAGTAGATACTCGGGCTCTTACAAAAAAAATAAGAAACCAAGGATCTATGCTTGGAAGGATACTGAAAATAAAACAAGATTGTGCTTTGTATGATTTTTCTAATAATGATGACTCTTGGAAGGATAAATTTGAAAGCGTTGAATGGGTAGATCCTAATATTAGGAATCTTGTTAAGGAAGTTTCCACAACTAGTGTGCATATTTATAAGCCATTGCCTGAAGTTTCTCAGAAGCTATCTTCTGGTGAGCAACTTCGAGTTTTATGTCTTGATGTTGGGATAAAAGCGAATCAAATTCGTTGTTTTCTAAATAGAGGTGTAGAACTTAAAGTAGTTCCATGGAATTATGATTTCTTTTTGGAAAATGATTATCATGGTTTGTTTATTTCTAATGGACCGGGTGATCCCTCTATTTTGACAACAGTTATTGAGCGTTTGAAAAAATGTATTGATGCTGAAATGACTCCAATCTTTGGAATTTGTTTAGGTCATCAGCTTCTTGCAAGGGCTATTGGTGCAGAAACTATGAAAATGAAATTCGGGAATCGGGGGCAAAATATTCCATGTACAAATATGATAAATGGTTGTTGTTATGTTACTTCACAAAATCATGGTTACGCAGTTGATGCATCAACTTTACCAAATAATTGGAAGGAACTTTATGTGAATATTAATGATGGATCTAATGAAGGTATTTATCACGAAACTTTACCTTTTTTTTCTGTTCAATTTCACCCTGAGTCAGCACCTGGCCCTAACGATACTGAATTTATGTTTGATGTATTTATTGATGTTATTAAACGTTCTTTTAGTGAAAAGCGTCTTGTTTCTTTTAAAATTCCTGGAAAAATTCTTCCAGATAATATTTCGGGTTTTAGAAGTTGTATTAAAAAGGTTTTGATACTTGGTAGTGGAGGTTTAAGTATTGGACAGGCTGGCGAATTTGATTATTCGGGTAGCCAGGTCTTGTTTATTTTTTTATTTTCATTAATAATAATTGTTTTTAGGCTATTAAAGCCTTAAAAGAAGAAGGTATATATACTGTTTTAATCAATCCCAATATTGCAACTGTACAAACATCAAAAGGGTTGGCGGATAAAGTTTATTTTCTCCCAGTTAATCCGGAATTTGTATTGAAGGTGATAAAATATGAAATTCCTGATGCAATTTATGTAACATTTGGGGGACAAACTTCTCTAAATGTAGGAATACGTCTTAAAGATGAATTTGAAAAACTAGGAGTTAAAGTTCTTGGGACACCTATAAGTACTATTATTATGACTGAAGATCGAGAGTTATTTGCTAGAAGTATGAAAGAAATTAACGAGAAATGTGCTATATCTGCTTCTGCTTCAAATATTAAAGATGCAATGAAAGTAGCAAATGATATTGGATATCCTGTTATTGTTCGAGCAGCATATGCTTTAGGCGGCCTCGGATCAGGCTTTGCAGATAATGCTACACAATTATACGAATTATGTAGTAAAGCATTTGTTGTCAGTCCACAAGTATTGATTGAGAAGAGTATGAAAGGTTGGAAAGAGATCGAATATGAGATACTTCGTGATTGCAGAGATAATTGTATTGCTATTTGTAATATGGAAGTAAGAGTTTTATATTTTAAAACGATAACATATTTATGTTTAGAATTTTGATCCTTTAGGAATACATACAGGGGACTCTGTTGTAGTTGCTCCATCTCAGACTCTTTCTAATGAAGATTATAACATGTTACGAACAACTGCTATTAATGTTGTACGGCATCTTGGTGTCATTGGTGAATGTAATATTCAATATGCATTAAATCCTTTTTTAAAAGAATATTATATTGTTGAAGTCAATGCTAGATTGTCTCGGTCATCTGCTCTTGCTTCAAAGGCTACAGGATTTCCTCTTGCATTTATAGCTGCTAAGCTTGGTCTTGGAATTACTCTTGATGAACTTAAAAATACTGTTACAAAAAAAACGTCTACATGTTTTGAGCCAAGTTTGGATTATATTGTGGTTAAAATACCACGTTGGGATCTTAAGAAGTTTACACGTGTAAATACCCAGCTTAGTTCTTCTATGAAATCTGTTGGGGAAGTTATGAGTATTGGTCGTACTTTCGAAGAGACTATTCAAAAGGCAATTAGAGCTATTGATTATAATAACCTCGGCTTTAATGAAACAGATGCTCTTATGTCTTTAGATATGGAATTGCAAACACCATCTGATCAGCGATTGTTTGCTATTGCAAATGCGATGTATGCTGGTTATTCTGTGGAAAGAATATGGGAGTTGACAAAAATTGACAAATGGTTTTTAGATAGACTCATGGGACTTATAAATTTTGAAAAGAAAATTCGAGAATATAACCAGTATAATATACCTATTTCTCTTCTTTCCTTAGCAAAACGATTTGGTTACTCTGATCGCCAGCTTGCCAAATTTCTAGGATCAACTGAATTAGCTATACGCAAAAAAAGAATTGATGCCTCTATTATTCCATTTGTTAAGCAAATTGATACTGTTTCTGCGGAGTTTCCTGCTTATACTAATTATCTTTATATGACATATAATTCTAGTGAACATGATATATCATTTGGAGATCATGGTGTAATGGTTCTCGGTTCTGGTGTGTATAGGATTGGATCATCTGTAGAGTTCGATTGGTGTGCTGTTCGTGCTATAAGGACTGTTCGTGAGCGGGGCGTGAAGACTATCATGGTTAATTATAATCCAGAAACAGTTAGCACAGATTATGATGAAGCTGATAGATTATACTTTGAAAATATTAGTCTTGAAAGGGTTCTTGATATTTATGATATTGAAAATTCTAGTGGTGTTATAATTTCTATGGGTGGACAAACTCCCAATAATATTGCTCTTTCACTTCATAGACGTAATGTTAAAATATTAGGAACATCCCCAGAGATGATAGATTCTGCTGAAAATCGATATAAGTTCTCTCGAATGCTAGATAGAATTGGAATTGATCAACCATTATGGAAAGAACTTACAAGTATTGATGAGGCATCTGATTTTTGTGAATCTGTTACTTATCCTGTTCTTGTTAGACCTTCATATGTGTTATCTGGAGCTGCTATGAATACTGTTTATTCTAAAGATGATTTAGCAAATTATCTTAAACAAGCTGTAGACGTTTCAAAAGAACATCCTGTTGTTATAACAAAATATATAGAAGGTGCAAAAGAAATAGAGTTAGATGCTGTTGCAAAAGATGGAAAATTGATTATTCATTTTATTTCGGAACATGTTGAAAATGCTGGTGTTCATTCTGGTGATGCTACTTTAATTTTACCTCCACAAGATTTGGATCCGGAAACCGTATATCGAATTGAACAGGCTACTATCCAAATTGCAAATGCTTTAAATGTTACTGGTCCTTTTAATATTCAGTTTATTGCTAAAGATAATGAAATAAAAGTTATCGAATGTAATGTTCGCGCAGCAAGGTCATGGCCTTTTGTATCAAAAGTTATGGGTGTCGATTTGGTTCAAATAGCTACAGATGTAATTTTGGGCTTTTCAGTTGACCCATATCCTATTGTAGATATATCAAAAAATTACGTTGGTGTAAAAGTTCCTCAATTTAGTTTTAGTAGACTTTATGGTGCAGATCCTGTATTAGGAGTAGAAATGGCATCTACAGGAGAAGTTGCATCTTTTGGAAAAGATAAATATGAGGCATATCTTAAGGCCCTTGTTTCAACAGGGATACAGCTTCCAAAAAAGAATATTTTATTATCTATTGGGAGTTTTAAAGAAAAAACAGAAATGTTGGAATCAGTTATTAAATTGCATAAATTGGGTTTTAAGCTTTTTGCGACAGCGGGGACTGCTGATTTTATTTATGAGCATGGAATTCCTGTGAAGTATTTAGAAGCATTACCAGAAGATGAAGAACATCAGAAATCAGAATATTCATTGACTCAGCATCTTTCGAAGAATTTAATAGATATGTATATTAATTTACCATCAAATAATCGTTTCAGACGTCCTGCAAATTATACTAGCATTGGATATAGGACTCGAAGAATGGCAGTTGATTATTCTATTCCACTTATAACTAATGTTAAGTGCGCAAAACTTATGATAGAAGCTTTGTCAAGAATTTCATCAATAGATATTTCCCCTGTAGACTTTCAGACTAGTCATAAATCTATAACTTTACCTGGGTTTATAGATATTGCTGCATTTATTCCTCAAATAACAGAAATTGATTCATCTACTTTTGAAAATATTACAAAACAGTATGTTACATCTGGTTTTACAACAATTTGTATCATGCCTATTGGGCTAAATAACTCTGTAATGGATGCAAGATCAATTCCAACAGTAATACTTAATCTCAAAAATTCTACGCATTGTGATTTTACTTTTTTAGTAGTGGTAGTTCCTGAGAACTTAAACTATTTGGATCAAATATCAGGAAATATAACATCGTTGTTTATTCCATCTAGTTTTTTATCTAAAAATATTAGCAAATTAGCCTCTGTAATTTCTAACTTTAATACTTGGCCTAATACCAAAGTTATGATTACAGATGCTAAGGGAACAGATTTGGCCTCTATTTTGCTTCTAACTAGCTTATATGACAAGCCTATTCATATTTCTAATGTGACTACTAAAGATGATATATTATTAATATCTTTAAGCAAGAAAAAAGGTCTTAAAGTTACTTGTGATGTGTCTATTTATTCTCTATTTCTTTCTCAGTCTGATATTCATGAGTCTAAGGCTTTGCCTACAGAAGTAGATCAGAAATCATTGTGGGAAAATATGCAAATAATTGATTGTTTTTCAGTTGGATGTTTACCTTATCAAGTCGCATATGAACTCAATCAGGCACATTGTTTTCATGTTGGTATTTCAGAGTCTCTTTCCTTATTATTTACTGCAATAACGGATAAAAGGTTAACATTGGATGATATATTGTTGAGATTATATTATAATCCAAAGCATATTTTCGGTATTCCAGATCAAGCAGATACTTTTATAGAGGTAGAGATTGATAGAAGTTATGTTTTAAATTTAGTAGATGGATGGTCCCCTTTTATTGGTCAAAAAATGGTAGGATCAATACATCGTGTAGTGTTTAATGGCCAAACATCATATCTTGATGGAAAGTTTTTTCCAAACTACAAAGGAAAAGATATATCTATGACATTTAACAGTTCGTCCTTATCTTTAACAGATGTTTCTCTGATTTCTTTAAAAAAAGATACAGACTTGAAGCCTTTTGTTTCATCTTCGAGGTCTTTAAATGAAAGAAATTCTCCATTAATATACTCTGAACAATTCAAGAAAACATCATTATCATTTGTTTCTCAGATTTCAGATGCTGGTACTTTATTTTCTTTGATTAGAAATACGAATTTTTTTCGTAAGAATATTATATCAGTTCAACAGTTTAATCGTAGAGATATGCATTTGCTATTTTCTATTGCTCATGAAATGAGAATTGCTGTGGAGCGTCAAGGCATATTGAATTTATTAGCGTCTAAAGTTCTTTGTATGATATTTTTTGAACCGTCTACAAGAACATCTGCTTCATTTAATGCTGCTATGCAACGGCTTGGTGGTCGTGTTATTTCTATCAATGTTAGCACTTCAAGTGTGAAAAAAGGGGAATCATTAGCAGATACAATTAGAACTTTAGGGTGTTATGGAGATGCTATTGTTTTAAGGCATCCTTCAGAAGATAGTGCAAGTATAGCTTCTAAGTTTTCTCCTGTCCCGATTATTAATGGGGGTACGTATTACCAAATTATTTGAAATTATATTTATTTTTTAAGGTAATGGAAGTTATGAGCATCCAACTCAAGCTTTTTTAGATTTATATACAATTCGTGAAGAATTAGGAACTGTGAATGGATTGAACATAACATTTCTTGGTGATCTTAAATATGGCAGAACCGTTCATTCTTTAGTTAGATTGTTACGTTTTTATCAGGTTGAGATTAATTTAGTTTCTCCTCCTCAGCTAGCATTACCGAAAGATATTAAGAGATCTATATTGGATCAGGATCAAATTGTTAATGAATATTTTGCTTTAACTGAAGAGATCATTTCTACGACAGATGTATTATATTGTACAAGAGTACAAGGAGAGCGGTTTTCTGATCCAGAAGAATATGAAAGGCTTAAAAATTCCTTTACAATTAATAATGATGTTCTTCATAAGGCAAAACCACAAATGGTTAGTCGGGAATTGTTAAATATAAATATATATATATTAATTTTAATATAGATTATTATGCATCCACTTCCTAGAAATAAAGAAATATCTGAAGAAGTCGATTTTGATCAGGTATTGTTGGATTTATTCTCATGATAATATTAATTATAATAGAGAGCTGCATACTTTCGAGAAGTAAAATATGGTATGTTTATTCGCATGGCACTTTTAGTAGCTGTTTTAGGAATCAATGAGCGATCATGATTTTTGGTAATAATATAAAGTTAAATATTTTTTAGAATATTGTTTAAAATGTTAATTTTTCTTATGTTTTAAATACAGCATTTATGTTTTATAAATATATTTGATAAATACTATTATTAACGATATATTATATTCATAAATACTGATACTGAATATTTTTTATTGGATATATATAAGAATTATATTAGTATGATATAATAAATATTAAGTTGATTTAGTATTAAGATTTGTATTTTAACAGAAAAGATGTGTTTATCAAAATTTTAGAAATTGCAAATTTAATAAGAAAATATTCAAAATATTTTTAAGTTTTATTTTTATAATGTTCTTATACTTTTGAGTTACATATTTTAGCATTATTTTGAAAGATTTCTCAAGATTATCAAATAAATCATTAATAATAAAGATAATATAATGTCTAGGAGTGTTTTGTATACAAGTAAATAGGCTATGTTGCGAAATAATGCATATATATAACTTAAAAAATTATTACTGGCTAACAAGATTTGTACCTAAATTGTGAATTTGAAGCTGCTTAATTTTATCATGCACTTCTGCCGCACTATTGCTCAGTGCAAGAAAGAAGTCGTATTCTGCTTTGAGTGTATTTAATAATGCTATTATTACATTATGAATATATATGTAAAAGTCATTCAGATAAGATACCTTCTGGACTTGTTTTGTTCTCACTATGATCTTTTTCAAGATATTCTAAATGTTTTTCAAGGTCTTCTATATTTTTTGCGTAATTATTGATCTTTTTTTCAATTTCATTTGAAGTATTTTCAAAGTATGCTAGTATTGGGTCTTTTACACGAGAGCAATCTATATATGGCATAGGTACAGAATCAATTACATTTTTCGACAACTTTGCATTGTTATAATCGTTATCTACTGTCATTTTAAGTGACATAAGTTGATTTACATCTGATATTAAGTCTGTTGCTGTTTGATCTGATCTCTAAAACAAAAACTAAATATTGTAATAAAATAATAACAATTACCTTCGTTACTTCTTCTACGTCTTTAGGTACAGATTTAACAAGCTCATCAATAGAAGATGCTTGTGATTGAAGATAATCTGAAATTTGTATTTGTGTAATAATATATTTACTGTAAAAAAATTATATTTTTTACACAAAAAATATCAAAGACCTACTCCATTTCATCTAAAAAATCCCTCTCATCTTTTGGAATCTCTGTATAATGAGTTGCACTTGAAATCATTTGACTTGACTGTAATGTTGGATCTGATTGTGAAAGACTATTTTCTTCTGTCAAATAAAATATTTACAATTCATAATAATTAATATACGATATATTTTGTGTATTGGATGTTTGTAAAGGATTTACTGTAATATTACATGTATCTGTTTTTTGAAATGGATTTCCAAATGAAAACCCCGTTGATGATTGACTTAATGGATTTGGAACATTTGAAATACTTATATTGCTATTAGATGATGCTGTCTTCGTTTCTAGAGCGGATAAATTCTGTGATTTATCTTGTTGTAATTGAGTATTAAAAGAAAATGTTGGTTGAGATGTTGGTGCATTTGTTTGTGTAGAAGAACCAAATGAAAAAATATTATTGCTAGATGGCTCCTTATTTCCTATAGAAAATGGCTTTGACGCTTCAAACATAATATATATAACCTATAACTCTTGTCTTTCAAAAAAAAATGAGGTTTCGCTGGACGTTCAAAAAATTTTTAAAAAATGGCAGACGATGAAGGGGATAAGTATCTATACGGAGAAGAAGACGAATATAAGACGTCAATTGGGGATGAAGGTTATTGAATTTTTGTTTTTTTTTCTGCTTTAAAATCTCAATTTTTGAGTAGGTACGAGATTTTTAAAGATGAATGAAAAAGACTGGACTTAATTATGATTCAAGTGCTTAAAAATGGGAAAAATGGATCACCTGTATTTGGGAAGAACGTAGAGATGCAAGATGTTTCAAAAAATAAGGAGAATGGAAGTGAAGAAGAGGAAGAAGGAGAAAGTGATTCAGTAAAACAGGAAAATTATGTTTTTTTTATTTTTGATAAGGGTTAGGATATAGAATTTGTGATAGAAACAAAGCCAGGACAAAGAGCAGAGCCTTTAAGGTATAGATATATGTTTTTTGGAGGTATTAGAAAGGTATTTATTATAAATTAGTCGACCTGCTCCGTATAGCAGTGTAAAGATTTCTGCGCCTACAAAGGGTATTGATAAAGTATTCATAGCTTCATCGAAGCAAGGTATGATTATGGTTATGGTGGATATAAGATTTATTAGTATTAAAAGAGATATTTAGAACCGCCGTCTACAAAACCTCCAGGTGTAGATGTGGATTATGTTGCGGAATGGAATGGTAAGCCATTGTATCAGTTAGATGTTGAATCTTTTGCGGAAAAGCCATGGAGAAAGCCGGGTATTGTCTAAGGGTTTTTTTTATTGATTGATTGTATATTTAGGTGCGGATATTACTGATTATTTTAATTATGGATTTGATGAATTTACATGGATGGCATATTGTGCAAAACAAACGGGAATACGGAGGGATTTTACTCCTCAAAAGATTATGCAAATGATGGAACATATGTCTGGAACAGATATGATTTCAATGGCACCTAATATGCAAGTTATGATGGCTACAGGTGGATTTCCTGGGATGCAAAATATTTCGGGAATGAAGCCGGATATTGTGCCTATGATGGGTATGGGAATGTCTGATATGAGTGGATTTGTGATGAATATGGGTCAAATGGGTTTTCAACAGTTTCCTCCAGGTTTAAATTCTATGACTCCTGAATCTCAATTAGGGCAAGCAGTTCAAGGAAAACAGATGCCGTATTCACATAATTTATATAATGTACAGTCTTATGGGGGATATAATCAAATGCAACCTCAATATGGTTCGCAAATGCAAGGACTTAAATCAATGTCTTCTGTATCAAAAGCACATAATACAGATGGGTATGTATTTCTTGTTTTATTTTATATTTTTGTTTATATATTAACTTTTAATAGAGTCAAAGTTTTATCAAATGAACGGGTACAATCTTCTGTTAATTACAAACAGGTAAAGTTGATTTTTTTTAATCATAAATTTTTGTTTATTTTTAGGAATCCTCCCTTGCATCTTCAAAAGAATCTCATGAATCTATAGAATCTATTTCCAGTACATCTCAAAATCGGAGCTCTGGAAGGTCTAATATGCAAAATAGAAATAAATCTTCGTCTTTATCAAATATCGGGAAATCTCGTTCAAATCATTGATTTTGAACAATATTTTATATTAGTGGGAATAGATAAATAGGTTTCGATCTTTTATTTTGTTGCTTTTTTATCCACTTAAATTATATTAGTTGATTTATGGGATTTTGTCAATAAGCAAATGATAAATAAATTGTGCTTTTTTATACTAAAAGTCCTTTAGAACATTCATTTCATTGTATTCTCTACTGTATAATTTTAAGTTTCTTTTCTCCTATTTTTATTATAATATATCTAATATCTTCAATAATAGATCTTATTTTTTTAAAGTAGGTATCATCATATTTAATGTTATGTTTTTAATTAAAACATTAATTATATGGTTTATGTTTTAGTCAGTCATGTTTTTAGATTTTTTTGAATATTTTTTTAATAAATCATTTAAAGTTTTATCAGATAATCTGATTAAATTGATAAAAATTTCTTTAATATTTAAAAAAAGTGGAATTTTTTATTAAGTTTATAGCAAATTAGTAAATGATTAGCAGCTTTTTTTCTATTATTTGAGATATGAATTAAGACTTTCTAACATGTTTTTATTATTATATCAATTATGGAAAAGTTACCGAGTATTCATTGCTATATGTTTGATTTTGATTTATACTTTATATTTTTTGATTCTATATTTTCAACAAAAAACATCTTTAATTGATAAGAAGTTATCTATTCTATCTAATTCATCTAAAGGAAATGATGTTATATGTTCAAAGGATGATAAGAATGATTTTAATACAGAAATTTCAAAATCTGTAAAAATAAGAACTCCTAAAAGATTTATTAGATCTTTAGCAAAATATCCAAAGGCTTTAAATGTTGATGAAAATACTCGTCAGTCATTTGTTGAAAATAATAGGCAGGCTATAGTGGATGTTAATGATATTTATGTTTCTATATTATATCAAACATTGTTAGGATCAACGGAAAAATACGCAAAACTATTGTATGATATAATTTCTCCTCATTTTGAAAAACAGGTATTGCTTGAGAATATTGATTTTGTTGAAGATTTTGATGACTATTTTGTATCACCGGAGAATCCTGAATCTCGTATATTTATTTTTCTTATTCCATCATATGAAACAGATTCTCCTGTTGATTTGCTTCTTTCCACATTGAAAGATATATTGTATGATTTTAGGGTGGGAGCTATTCCTTTACGAAATTTAAAAGGATATGCTGTTTTGGGTTTTGGTGATGAAAATGAATGGCCAGGACAAAAATTTTGTTATCAGGCTAAGGATTTAGATCAATATATGTTTAAATTGGGTGCTAGGAGGATAGTTTCCGTTGGCTGTGGTAATGTTAAAGGCGATATAACTAATGATATTCAAGCATGGGCTAATGTGCTCTTAAATGCTATAAAAAATGGAACAATGCCTGAATTGATATCAGATGTTTCTGAGGAAAGTGAAAATGAGCCTTTTGAGGATAATGAAGACTCAGTTGTTGATATGGAAGATATGGGAATGTTAATGAAGACGAAAAAAACTGAGCCTGGAGAATTGAAACCTAAAGAAATGGTTTCAAAAAGTTCTCCAACGTATAAATCATTAGTTAAGCAAGGATATACTATTGTTGGTTCTCATTCAGGTGTTAAGGTAGTTTTCATTACAGGATTTATGATATGTTAAAAATAATTAGATTTGCCGATGGACCAAATCTGCTCTTCGAGGAAGAGGGTCATGTTATAAATATTCTTTTTATGGGATTAGAAGCCATTTGTGTATGGAAACTACTCCATCTTTGGCTTGTGCAAATAAGTATGTTAATATGTATTTATTGTTTCTATTTTTTAATTTAAATAGATGTGTATTTTGTTGGAGAGGACATACAAATCCTGTATTTTTTTATTTTTAAAATATTTTTCTTATAGTAATTAGGTAGGTACTTCTTGGAGATGGAAAATTGATAAACCTGAAGATATTCTCTTTGGTATGATGGAAGGGCATTATAATAAAATTAAACAGGTAAAATTTCTACGAATATATTTTCCGTTTTATAAAGACTTTTGAAGATGAAAGGAATTCCTGGTATTCGTCCAGAGAGACTAAAAGAAGCTATGCGTATTCGACATTGTGCTCTTAGTCTTGTTGGTGAACCAATAACATGTATTTTTTTCTTTCAAGCGATTAGCATTTGTCTAATTTTATTTTTAAAGATCCTCATATTAATGAACTTATTAAGATGCTTCATGATAGAAAAATTAGTACATTTTTGGTTACTAATGCTCAGCATCCTGATGCTCTTGAGAATATAGGGCAAGTTACTCAGCTGTATGTTGTTTAAACTAGTATTATTTGGGTACTGATGTTTAAAGTTATGTTTCAATAGATGCAAGCACAAAAGATTCATTAAAAAAAATTGATCGTCCTTTATTTAAGGTTATTTGAAATTCATATTTTAATATCAACTCATTAAAATAGGATTTTTGGGAAAGATTTATTTCTTGTTTAGAAATTTTGAGTCGAAAACAACAAAGAACTGTTTATCGACTTACTTTGGTTAAAGGATTTAATACTGAAGAAGTAGAACAATATGCACATTTAGTATCTGTTGGAAAACCTTGTTTTATTGAAATCAAAGGTATTTTTTATAAAATTTATCAACATATATTTATTTCTATAGGGGTAACTTATTGTGGTAATACTCATTCTTCTTTGACAATGAAAAATGTCCCTTTCCATGAAGAAGTTGTTGGTTTTGTGAAAGCACTAACTAAAAAAATATCAGAAATGGATAATGTACCCGAATATGATATTGCTTCTGAGCATGTTCATTCATGTTGTGTGTTAATTGCACAAAAGAAATTTTATATAAATGATAAATGGTATACCCATATAAATTATGATCGTTTTTTTGAATTAGCTGAATCAAACATGCCATTTTCTGAGATGGATTATATTTCTGGTAAATATAGTTGTATATTAAAATAATCTTATATTTAACGTGAAATAGAAACGCCACATTGGGCATATTTTAATTCACCTTATGGAGGATTCAGTCCAGATGATATTCGTTGGAAAAGAAAAAATGCTAAAAATGTTAATTTCAAAAGAGAAGAAATTGGATTGCAAAATAATACTGAATATTGATGCTTTTTATAACTTGGAATTTATGCATCTTGTTTTTTTTTGAATAGAGTTATATGAATATAAAATACTATTTTTTAAAAAAACATTTATCTATATTGATGATTCTAAATTAAAATTTCCAAACTTGACTTCTACTTGAAATTCCATCAAATATATAAGTATTATTAATTGGGATATATTGCTTAATAATGATCTGTCTTATGTTATTTTAAGAGTAAATAATGTTTTTTTGAATTCCTTAATTGCCTCTTGGGCTGCAACACCTCCTATAAAAGATGCAATATTATGTAGTTCGCCCCCTCCTGCTCTTATTCTGTGGCAAAATTAGAAATAAATTAGAAGATAATAAATATATATTAACAATTCTTTACAAGCCATTATCTGAAATTCTGTCATTTTACAGTTAAATTTTGAAAGGAAGTGTTCTGTTAACTGGATGTATTTATCTGTATCTGCATCTAGAGTAGCTTGTTGGGCTCCTGCATATTTTCCAAAAATGTTTTTATATTTGTTGTAACTTCTAAGAGCAATGTACCATATTATGAGATCATCTGGCGTTGAGAAAGATGATTCTAGGGAAATTAGCATACCTTATATGTCTTTCCTAGACAAACTAATTAATTTTAAATCCGGAGATCTATATTCTTCTTTCAATGAACGGTAGCGCAGTATTCTCATGTATTTACATTGTTTACAAAAAAATTTTATTTTGTCATCAGAAATTTTTGACATTGGCTGAGATATTGACAAAAGTATATCTTGAACATACTTTCGGACACATTCATAGTCTTCTTGTGCCTTTTGGCGATAACTATATTTATTAATTTAATTCAAGGAATTTTTTTCATACACGTTTTGTAATTTTATATAGCTTTCTGAATCTGATTTCATATCTGGAATTACCCCAGAAAGAGGTAGTAAACCATTTCCCTCAGCTGATACATAATTGGAAATGGCATGACATAATATCCAGAATTCTGAACTCTGTAAATTGAAACTTCATGTTAGATTTTTTTAATAAAATCAATATGAATTTACTTCAGAAGATATGTGAACACATTTTTCATCTTTTAATATAGATTGAACATTATCTGGTATCTGATATAATTAATACACAGATAAATTATTAATCAAATTTTACCGATGTTATGCATGAAGCTCTCCATGAAACAGAAAGAACTTCTTCAATGCTTTCTTTATCGAATCCTTGCATATACGTCCTTATTATTTCTTTAAATTGTTGTTTTTCTTCATCTGTACATGGAAGCATTCCGTTATTCTAAAAATTAAACAATGTTTGTCAAATATTTGTATTTTACTCTTAGTTTCCATATATCAAGACAATTTAATAGAATTAATATGTAAGGTATGTGTGTATATGAACAATTCTTTTTATTTTTTAAATTAAAACTTGATGCCAATTCTCTAAGAGCTGGCCATGGACAATCTATTCTTAAGTCTATAAGATTTTCTTCATGTGTTTCTACAACTTTTTATCTATAAATATCTATTTTTTATTGAAAGGAAAAAAATTACCTGTGTGTTCTGGCATAGTGATTCTAAGATATCCGATAAATCCTACTGAATATGAAATAATTAATGGAATATCAAAATCCCATAAAATTTTTTCAAGTTTTAAAAGTAGTTCATCCTCATGTATTGAACTAATTACAATAGTAAATTGTTTAAAAAAACTAGGATTATGTATTAAAATTGATTCCAATGTCTCCAAAAATTAGCAATATTCCCCTAAAATATTTACAAAGCTACTTCTATTAAATATTCTCCTTTTACATCTTCATTTAGTTCTTGTAATAGCTCACACATTTGAGGTGCTTTAGCTTCATTTATACGATTTCCATCAACAAAAAAAGTAGTTCCAAGATCTTCTTCTACGACAAAACTATTATCTACAATTACGTATGACCCGATTCCTTATATTTAATAATAAAAATCTGAAATATCCTCCTTTTATTGTAATTTACCTGGCAAAATAAGATTTTTTAAGATTTCGGCTCCTGTAGCTGTTCCTTCTATCAAACAAACCCGGGATTTTTCAAGGAAACATTGTCCATGTTTGTTCCAAAGACGTAATTGTCTGTCATACTTTTTTTTCGGCAAATTCATGCCAAATTTTATGATTTTTTTTTATTCACTTTTTGTAACGTTAATATTTAGATTTTACGAGCTTTTAACGTCATCAAAATCTATTTTTTCTATAAAAAACCTTGAATGCCCTTAAATAACTTGTTTTATGAATAATCTTCCTAAGAAAAAAAATCTTTTGAAGCTTATTATTCCTTCTGGAGGCGCAACACCTCAACCTCCTATAGGACCTGCGTTAGGAGCCCGTGTATGTGTTTTTTTATTGTTTAGATATCTTTTTTATTCTCTTTTAGGGCGTCAAATCAATGGATTTTTGTAAGGAATTTAATGAGAGAACTTGCCATTTCATTCCTGGAATCCCTATTCCTACAGTAATTGCAATTCAGCCTGGTATTATGTTTTTTGATAAATAGACTAATGAAAAATTTGATTGTATAAGATCGAAGTTTTACGTTTGAAATAAAGACGCCTCCTACAAGTTGGCTGCTTTTTAAGGCAGCAAATGTTGATAAGGGATCTTCTATGCCTGGGAAAACATGGGTTAGTAGTATTTCTTTGAAACATATTTATGAAATTGCAAAAATAAAACATAAAGTATTTTTAGAAGAAAGGGATTTATATTTTTAATATTTAATAGGACGAAAATCTTCAGGGGATTTCTCTTGAAAGTATTTGTAAAAGTGGTGGGTGTATTTTTTATATTTCTTTTTAATAACAAAATAAGTGATTGCAAGTGCAAAAAGTGTTGGGATTCAAGTAGTTCCATAAATATAATATTTTTTGAATAATTCTTTACTTTTTATTCTTGAATCTGAGTGGAATCAATAATAATTTTTAATTTTTGTATAATCTTATATTTTGGACGTTTTGACTTTAAAAATGTCTTAGCATTTCAATGTCTTGGAAATATTGTTTATCTTATATATTTTCAACAATCTATTTTTTACTTAGAAACAAATATATCTTAATATTTAATTACAAACGATTTTAGAAAGAAATATTAAGATAAAAATTCTATCTATTCATATATTTGATTGTTTTATTTTATGTCTGATTTTTTTATTTAATCTTTTTTTGATAAACATTTTAAATATTTATTCTTATAATTAAATATATAACTATTATATTTATATATAATTAATTAATCATTTTTATTTATTTTATAATCTTTTATAATTATTGACTTTTATATATTTATTAATTTTAAATTTTAAAAATATTATAATATTGTTATAAAAAGGTCTTTTAAATTTTTTTGTATTGAAAATCTTTTTTTTATGAAATTTTGAGTTATTTCAGTACATATATTAATCTAAATATAGGTTGTTCATAGGTTATTATATTATTAACCGGTCTTTTTTATATTTAAAAAAAATAAAAACTAGAATATTACCAAAGTTGACAGATATCTGTCGTATATTTGGGTTTTGTCTTATTCTATGTAGTTTTCTATGTAAGGTTATGTTTTTGAAGAAAAAAGGCTAAGTAAAAGGCATTTTTGAAAGATATAGGATGGTAATTAAGATATTATAAATATAAAAAAAAATACATGGAATATACGGGAGATAGTAGTTCAGTAAAATGCGAAACGAACGATGTATCATTGTTGACGAAAAAATTGAGTATTTGTAGACTTGGATCATTTTCCACACCAGTTAGCAGGGTTAATATTGAACATTTGTTTATAGTAACGTTTTTCTTATGAAAATAAGGTTCCGTCAGCAAGATGCTGTAGTGATGTATCATTTAAAGGATCGTCGTTGGATTTTTCTAGTGTTTCTCCGGTTTCTACAATGAGTGATAGATTAAAAGTGTGTTTTTCTAGTACTGAATCTCAGTTAGATATGCATTCGTCTAAAAGGATTTTTTTGAATGATGAGCAATCAAGACGGCCTATATATCGTATTGGCAATTATTTTAAAAAGTCCAAGAATCTTTCAATTATTTCATCTCGATTTTTTTCAAAGTGTTTAAGTTCACGTAATAATTTATCAGTTGATGTATCAACGAAAAAATTCCTGAAACATGAAAATGAGAGGGTATCTAATGAGAAGGAGGCCCATGTTTCACATAGTTTGTTGGATTTGAAGCATTTTTTTAAGTCTCATCATGATCATGTACAGCTGAATACGCAAGAGTCTCTTAGGCAAAAAAAGTATTCATTATTTAAGCTAAAATTTCGAAAATTTGAGGATTCTTTTAAAAACAAGTATTCTGCTCTTTCTTACAGGTATAAGAAGTATGGAAAACTTGTTGGTTCTGGAACAGGTGGTTCTGTTCGGCTTTTGAGTTCTTGTGATGGAACTGTTTATGCTGTTAAGGAATTTCGAAAACGGGCGCCTTATGAAAGTAGTAGAGAGTATAAGAAGAAAGTATCTGCTGAATTTTGTGTGGGTGCTGCATTGCATCATCCAAATATAATTCAAACTTTGGATTTTGTGTCGGATGGATCAAGATATTATGAAATTATGGAATATGCTCCATATGATATGGTATAAAATAATTTAATTATAGATGAAATTTGATATAAATAGTTTTCTATTGTTATGTCAGGCAAAATGACACGGGAAGAAATATATTGTTGTACTAAACAGATATTACAAGCAGTAGATTACATACATAGTCTAGGACTTGCTCATAGGGATTTGAAATTAGATAATTTAGTGATGAATGACAATGGTATCGTAAAATTGATTGACTTTGGGAGTGCTATTGTATTTCGATATTCTTCTAAAAACTTTGTTAAAGCATCAGGTATTATGGGCTCTGATCCTTATTTGGCGTATGTTTTTGTTTTTAAGTTAATATGTATTTAATATTTTAGGCCTGAGGTTTGTACCGAAGAATATTATAATCCCCAGCCTGCTGATATATGGTCAATTGCAATTATATTCTGTTGTATGATTTTATGTCGATTTCCATGGAAAAATCCACGTGTATCAGATGTTTCATTTAGGGAATTTTCTATGGGAAAAACAGAGACTGAAAATAATGAAATTGAATACCTTATGTCTGCACCTACTGCTATGATAGGTGACTCTCCTTCGCCTAATGTTCGTGGTCCGTGGCGTCTTTTGAGGTTGCTTCCTCGGGAAACTCGTTCAACTATTCAAGGAATGTTGGAGATCAATTCGAAATGTCGTTGGACTATGGAACAAATTATGGAACAAGCATGGATTAAATCAGTAGAAATGTGTTATATTAACAGTAAGAACGAAGTTGTGAAAGCTAAGAATCATGTTCATACTTCAGTATTAGAAAAGAAAATTTAATATTTTATAAAAGTTTATATTAAAAGAAATGAAAAATATAAACATCTTGTTATTTTACATTGGATATTATTAGGCATTGTAATGATATTAGATATTATTAGTTTTTGTAGTTGCGTTATCTGATATACATGAGTATTATTTAATTGTAAGAGTTATGATTTTATGCTATGTATTATGAAGTTTATGAAATTATTTATAGTAATACAAATTTGTACGATAAATTATTATATAAACCAAGATAATATATAATTAGAATGAGACTATATGATTTATAAATTTATGTACATATCATTTTTTGAATTAATGCCAATAATGGGTTCGGCTGGCTTTTTTCCAAGAAGAGCAAAGTATACGATTTCTTTTTAAAAGATTAGCCTATTGTTATAAAAATATTTAAGCATACCAGATACGTGTGTCTCAGGGCCAAAAACCTTTAAAGGTAATGAAAGTTCTTCTCCAGCTGCTTTAATTGCTTTCAAGCCTTCCTGATAGTTGGGGCCTGCTCGTCGGACCCATATTTGTACCTTATGTGCATGAAATGCCGAAGCATAATCTTTCATTGCACGGATAACACCTTTAAATGTACTGATGACATTTGTAACTAAATAGTATCATAAATTTCTATTTTAGTTTTTTAATTAGGATAAAACATACAATTTGCAATCCCTCCTCCGATAAATAAATATTTTCCTTCAGGATGTAGAGGACCGCGTGTCATTAAATCAAAAATTGTACGTGAATACTCGTATGTTTGTGTTTCTGTCGGTGCACCACTATATTCTCCATAATTTGCTAGTTGATCTGCATATCCCACAACAGCAATTGCATCTGCATATACAACACTTGCACCACCTCCTGCAACTAACGTCCAGATACGACCATTTGGATTAAGAATCGTTAGTTTGAGTGATGCTCCTGTTTTTGAATCCAATTCTGCAATATATTTCTCTTCCTTTGTCATTTCTCTTCCGAAGGGTGCGGGAAACACTATAGGTGGCCCCTGATCTACATTTACTTTACTTGATGCTTCACAATGTGATATATTTAAAACATGTGGTGCCCTGGAAATCGCCCATTTTTCACTCGCTTCAAATTCTGCTGTTTGATCTAGTTTTGCTGCTAAATCTAAGTAGTAAATTTCAACGTTTTTCCCTTTTTTTTCCACAACTAAAGGATTGATTTCAAGGTATGTGAAATGGCATGTAACAAAGACTGTATATAATCTAATAATAAATCGAATAAGTGATTCCCTTACATATGTTGGCACTTCTTGTAAAAGTGTTTCTTCAAGAATTTTTTGTGTTGGAAATTCTTTCAAATTAATTGGTATTAAGATTTTTTGTGCTTTGGCTTCTACATTGCCAACATCTATACCGCCTTGATGAGTAAACATAATCAAATCTCCCTAAATAAAGCAATATATAAGAAACTCCCTTTGTATTGTTGTATATCAAAAAATTTACCTCTCTTGCAGACATAATACTTAAATAATATTCACTGTCATCGGCATGTGGCACAAATGGCTCACAAAGAAACGTATTCAAAATACCCGAAACATTCTCAACTCTTTGTTCTTTCCCTGCAAACCTTTCAATCCAACAACGAGTATCTTTCCAATTGTTCTTGAGGCAGATAAGACCAAGTTTACCGCGCCGTTTAATTAGCTGGTCTGGTTTGGCAACCAAATATTCTGTATTTAAAAGCCATGGATAAATAGACTCTGTTTTGTCCAAAACATGGGCAACATGCGCTGTATATGCGTCTGATGAATATGTATGCGGTGAATCAAAAATAATTTGTGCAAGAGATGTCGACTGGGCAACGGGTGTGTCTGATACCTGTTCATAAGCAACTATGGGAGCTGCATGCTTAAGCCAATATCCGAGAATGGCTTTCCCATCATATTCACGGATAGCTTTAGTCGACATAAAGATAATAATATATAAAAAGTTAAAAAGGATTTGCAAATGCTTGGGTGTGTGGGTAGACGTTATATAAGATGAAGAAAAGATTTCGATATAAATTAAAATGCAATACAATAATATATCGAAATATATACGTTATATATGTAGTTTTCATCGAATTATATGCACTTATGGATGAAATTTTTATTTTTAAAGAGTTTTCAACTAAATATATTGGATTTTACAAATAAAATAGTTTTTTCTTAATAATGTCCCTTTTTATAGATAAATAGCATGATATATGCGTTTTTATATGTTATTATTTGTTTCAGTATATGCATATAACCTAAATACATTTCTGAAATAAAATTTATACATCTAATTATATGTATCTTTTTATTTATCTAGATATATGTGTTTTTTACATCCTGAATATATAATTTTGTTGTCTTTTTATCTCTCAAGACACCCTTCTAGTATTTTAAGATTAATTTTAGAACCCCTCTTTAGTTTTGTTTCCATGGCGATACTTGAAATATCTTGCAAGATTTGAAAAAAATTTAATTTTTGCAGAGATGATATCTGCAAATGACAACATTTACCGTGCACCGGCAAGCACATGTTCAGTAGATCGTAGAGAATTATTCACATTTGATACTCGTGCATTTGTTTATGGGATGCAGCCTAAAGCAGTTCAAGGAATGCTGGTATGTTTTTTTTTTTGAAAAAATTATATTGAATTGTTTTTTTCAGGATTATGACTTTATATGTGGTAGAAAGACGCCATCTGTGGCAGCAATTATATATACATTTGGGGGGCAGTTTGTTTCTAAGATGTATTGGGGGTTATAATTTTTTTTCTTAAATTACTATTTTTGATATATTGAAGAACAAAAGAAACACTTTTGCCAGTATATCAGTCAATTTCAGTTGCTGTATCAAAGCATTCTGATGTGGATGTTGTTGTTAACTTCGCGTCAAGTCGATCAGTTTATTCTAGCACGATGGAGCTTCTTGAATATCCTCAAATTAGAGTATGATCCATGATACATAAAGTTTGAATTGTTTATTTTTAGACGATTGTAATTATTGCGGAAGGAGTTCCGGAACGTCATTCTCGTGAGATTTCTTATAAGGCAAGAACTTTAGGTGTTGTTATTATTGGGCCAGCGTATTTATGATATTTTTTTGAATAAATTGGCTTATTTTTTTTAGTACAGTTGGTGGTATTAAAGCAGGATGTTTTAAGCTTGGAAATACTGGTGGGATGATGGATAATATTGTTGCATCAAAGCTTTATCGTCCAGGATCTGTAGGATATGTTTCTAAGTCCGGAGGTATGTCAAATGAACTAAATAATATTATTTCCCAAGTTACGGATGGTGTTTATGAGGGAATTGCTATTGGTGGTGATCGTTATCCGGGAACTACGTTTATAGATCATCTTTTGCGTTATGAAGCGGATTCTAAATGTAAAATACTTCTTCTTCTTGGTGAGGTAGGTGGTGTTGAAGAGTATTCCGTGATTGAGGCTGTAAAAAATGGGACTATTAAGAAGCCTTTGATTGCTTGGTGCATTGGAACTTGTGCATCTATGTTTAATGTTGAAATACAGTTTGGGCATGCGGGGGCATTAGCTAATTCTGCCCTTGAAACTGCGTCTGCTAAGAACAGGGCAATGCGTGAAGCTGGGATTCATGTCCCTTGTGTTTTTGAAGAGCTTCCTCAACTTCTTAAAAAGATTTATGATAATCTTCTTGCTGAGGGTGTTATTGTTAAAAAAGAAGAACCTTCTGTTCCTAAAATACCCATGGACTATGCTTGGGCTCAAGAACTTGGCCTCATTAGGAGGCCTGCTGCATTTATTTCTACTATTTCTGATGATAGAGGACAAGAACTTCTTTACGCTGGCATGCCTATATCAGACGTTTTTAAAGAAGATATTGGTATTGGCGGTGTGATGAGTCTTCTTTGGTTTAGACGAAGACTTCCTTCCTATGCTTCTAAGTTTTTCGAAATGGTACTTATGCTTACTGCAGATCATGTATATTTTGTTTTTTTTCTCTACATATTTATTTATATTTTTAGGGCCCAGCTGTATCTGCTGCTATGAATACCATTATTACTACTCGTGCTGGAAAAGATCTTGTTTCATCCCTTGTTTCAGGGCTTTTAACAATTGGTACTAGATTCGGAGGTGCATTAGATAGTGCAGCTGAAGAATTTACCAGAGCTATGGATAAAGGATTTTCTCCTAGGGATTTTGTTGATAGTATGAGGAAACAGAACAAATTAAGTATTTTTGATTATGTATATTTATTTTTTTTTTTTTAATTTTTTTTTAGTTCCTGGAATTGGTCATAAAGTTAAATCTAGAAATAATCCTGATCTTCGTGTAGAAATTGTCAAAGAATATGCTAAAAAGCATTTTCCTTCTACTAAACTTTTGGAATATGCATTAGCTGTTGAAACTATAACTACTTCTAAAAAAGATAATCTTATTTTAAATGGTAAATATTGTTGTTATTTTTGTTAGTTTTTAATACGTTCAAAGTCGATGGATGTGTTGCTGTTTGCATTGTTGATTTATTAAGGAATTGTGGTGCATTTACTATGGAAGAAGTTGAAGATTATTTAAAGGTATATTTTTGCTATTCATGGTTTTACGGCTGACTTCATTTTTAGATGGGTGTTCTTAATGGGCTTTTTGTATTGGGAAGAAGTATTGGACTCATTGGACATTTTTTAGATCAAAAAAGACTTCGTACTGGTTTATATAGACATCCTTGGGATGACTTTTTATATCTAGGATTAGATAAACATGTACCGGGAGGGAACATGCGAGCACTTGTTTAGTTTTTATAAGAATTAATATTTATTTAATGGGAATAATTATATAGATGAAGTAGATATAATTTGTTAGATTTCTTTTGATTATTATTATTATGAATCTTATTTTTGAAATGATATTGAATAATTTCCTGTTTGTGGATCTTGAACAGCTTTAAAGTTGTCTGTTGAGAGTCCAAATTTCCCAAGGATGTTATTACCCAAATCTTTTAATTTATTAAGCATTTGTGTTTTTTCTCTTTCTTGAACTTCTGATAATATAGGTTTGACTCTTGAAATAGATTCTTTAATAGATTTATGTATTGGAGAACTACCTGGAAGACGTTTTTTTATGTCTTCATAGTCTTTATGTTATCGGTTTTTGTTAACTTTAATTAATCAAAACGACTTTACCAAGTAGTGCGGCATCAAGAGAATGCCATGTACCAATTTTTTCGTTAGCTTTAGCTCTTCTATGTAATGCCTTTATGTATTCCGGATCTTCTTTTAATGCTTTAAGTTTTATTAGTTACATTTTTGTTAAAATATTGCTTTAACCATTTGTGCATGCTTCTACTGCCTGATCCCATAATTTCTAAAATAATTTTATAAAAAAATATATAAATTTTTAAAAAAAAACCTTACGAATATAACATTCTGCTATATTAGCATAATAAATGGCTCGTTCATGTTTTGCCTTCAAAGGTGATATATCAAGAGCTTTTTGATACGATATAATAGCTTCATCAAAAAATGCTTGATAAAATAATTCATTCCCTTTAAATTTATTTTCATTCGCTTCTTTAATTAGTTTCTAAAAAATCATGATATCAATCTTTTTTTCTTTATTTTTTTTTTTTTACTTCATCTTGACATAAATCTTTTAACACTTGTGAATTCTCTTTTTCTTCTATATTTTCGTCTGTATTTTCATTTTTATAATCAATTACTTTTTCATTACTCGTCCTTAGTATTTCATCCTCTTTTTCCTTTTTATTTAGAGGCCCTTTATACTCCATTTAAGGCATTGAGAAATCCTGATGTCTTACCTGCCTTTATGAGATCTATAGCCTGGTTCCGTTGCTTAGACAACAGAGAAACGTACCGCTAACTTAAGAGGTTTTTATAAAAAACATGATACCTTCTTTTATAAGGCCAAATATAGTTTCTTTGGGCTGAATTTATCTCGGATGGACCAGTTTGAATGGTTCAAGCATTTGGTATTGCTTATTTATCAGCTTCAACGATGATTTTTCGACGATTGCCTAATTACTTTCATTATGGAGGAGAACGTCTTATTGATTCGAATATCCGTAGTAAGTTTGAGTTTTGGATTGGAATATGGGCATCACCGTTTATATTTCTTGCATTTGTTATGGTTTTTGTTTTTTTCTTTTATTTATATTGTTTAAATTGATGAAATATATAGGCTATTATTTTGAATCGATGTATTGTCTATGCTTCAGTAAGAAGGTGTTTATATTGGTTTTCTGCAGTTTACTTTGTCTTATTTATTGCTAGACCGGTTCATTTGAGTTTTTGGAAACGCCTGGTATTGCGTTCGGTGCCGATTATTTTACTTTTTAAGACATCTTGGATGTTACTTTCATATATTAAGTTTAAAAATGATCCAATTGCAAGATATTTTCCTGGTTTTATTAAGCCATATGAGGCTCCATATATTCTTTGGTCAACGTATAAAATTATATGTTTCGTAAGAGTGTAAAAATAAATATTGATTTATTTTTTACATTTTTAGACGACATTTATGAATACATTTATAGCGTCTTTACAGATGCGTCTTCCTTTAAATGACCATGGAATGACTATTTTCGAATATGCGTAAGTTTAATGTTATTTAATTTTTAAAATATTTATATCTAGCGTATCCTTTACTGAACTTAATTTTTCTACTCCATCTACGGAAATGATTGTTATTACTTTTTTATCTGTCTTTGGAATTTTATTGTCGCAATTTTTATGCCTTTTTAATATTGAACGTTTCAAAGTGAGTTAAACTGTCATTAATGTATTTATTTAATACTTAATATAGTTAATTTCATCAACTATTATTGGTTGCAGTTTCTTGTCTTATTTTTCATGGAGTATTTATAACGGACGAGGTTTACATTTTTCTACAAGTAAAGATGATTTTATATATGTTTTTTTCTGAATTAAATAAAATAGCTGTTTGTGTTTCATTTATACCTCATTTAATTACTATTTTTGTCATTATTATCTCTTTAATGATATCTTTATTAGTACGATTGATTGTTAATCATTCATCTAATTTAAGAACTGATATTTTCAATGGAACAATTTTTGTTGGAAATAATCTTGGTCTTGATATGAGTGATGATTTTTTCGGTTTGCTTTTGAAATTTGGAGTGATGGCACTTACTTCAGCACAAGAAGCTGTTTTCCTTAATGAAGCAGAAGAAATTAAACTTGTAGAAAAGACTTGGATAGAAGAATCAGATGAATATTTAAGGTCAATAAATGCTAATGGGTTTTCGAAGGAGAGGAAAAATATTGAGTGCAAGAATGGGAAACAAAAAGATTTTAACAGATATCGTGTTTCTACATGGAAACCTACTATAATACTTTTGACAAAAACCATTCGAACCGTAAAAGCATTGATTTTGTGGATTATAATTGTCTTGAAAAAAGGAAGGGCGCATCTTTATGAAGAACATGTTCAAAATAATCAGGATGTCAATTCTCTTTATAATAGATTTATTCAAGGATATGATATGTTAGAAGAAGAAAGTGATGATTCGGATTTTATACCATCATTATCGATATATAGCAATGATGATGTTGAGGATTGGAAAAATAATGAAGGCATAGAAACATATTTACATGAGAGCTCTAGCGATGATAATGAAAACTGTGCAGAAAGGTCATTTTCTGAGTTGTTTCCGAATTTGGGAAGTTTGGCTCCTTTTATTTCTCCTGATCATGAAGAATCTCGTATTCTGCAGTCACATATGTCATCACATACTATAGTTACAAGATCAAGATATCGTGAAATTTTATGTTCAAATCATGGATCGGATGATATAAAAAGACTTTTAGAAACAATAAAAGAGCGTAGACAGTCAATTAACAAGCTCGGGAATAATTCTGGGGATGAAAATGTAGTTCAAATAAGGAGATGTGTAATATGTTGCTCTGGTATAAGAAATATTGTTTTATGGCCATGTCGTTGTTTGGCTTTGTGTGATGATTGCCGGAAAACATTAGCAATGCGTAATTTTAAAGGTATTGGGTTGAACTTTTGATAATATGCTTATTTTTTTAGAATGTCCTTGTTGTAGACAACCAGTAATAAGTTATAGTAGGATTTGGATTCCATAAAATTAAGCTGAAAATGCTAATTTATTATTTATATTACATATAAGCTCTATAATAATATTAAATTCTTATGTTTATTAAAATATTTTTAAATTGAGGACTTTAAAGCCCATATTTTTTGGGATTAAAATTTTCAAGACTAGAAAGGATTTCATTATTAGTACCAATAATCTCCTCCTTTTTTTCTTCGAAATATTTAAGTATATCTGGTTCAGGAACCCAAATAACCTAAAACACTTAGTCATTTATATAGACAAAGCATAATAATATAGGTACTCTCATGCCAGCGGATCGTCCTGCTTGTACACCTAGAATACTATCTTCTAAAAGTAAATTAGAAATTGATATCAAGTATGATAGATTTTATTTCCCAAAAACAAGACATTCTTTAGACGTTATAGGTTCTAAGCTTTTTGATTTGCGTTCATTGTTGATTATATTTAATGCAGTTAAATATATATCTGGTGCTGGCTTTCCGCGCCCTTTAGGGATTCTAGGATCATCACCTCGAACAATGTTTTCTCCAAAGTGTGAGAAAATGTGGCTTAAATGATTTGTTTTTATGTGGAAGTTACGAATACTAGATGATGTGGCTAGCTATGGTTTTTAAATAAAGTGGAGAGATGCAATTTTTTAACAAACAACAATTGGTATCCCTTGATCTTTAAGATATTTCAAAACCATGTAACTCCCTGGCATTTCTTTAGTTTCTAAGAATTTTTTCTTCTATAGGCTTCTATTAGACAAAACTTATTTTTTATAGTATCAATCACTTGAAGTTCTCCTGCTTCCTTATAAAGCTTTTCTGCTGATTCTTCGATCTCATAAGACTTTATGAGAATTTTAGTTGCCTGTCATTTTTTTTATATAGATAATTTAGATTTTAAAAAATATTACTTCGAGTCCTGGGATTCCTAAAAAATAAGCTTTTAATTCATTTTAGTTATATTAAATAACCCATAATTTGAGTTTTAACTTCGATTGATAGTTTTGGCTTATTATAACGAGCTAATAATTCATTTGTTACTTCTGTATAAAGTTGTTCTGTGTTAATTAAAAGCCCTTGTAAAAATATTGAATTTTTAAAAAAAAGGCGAAGATATAATACCATCCATATCAAATATACATGCTTTTATTGGCAATAAAGTGTCTGTTTGATTCATTTTCTGAATTCAAAAAATAGTGAAAATCTGAAAATTTCTTTAAAGCTGGTTTATCTTTTCAATGGTTGCCTGGACAACAGAACAGGTACTGAACAACTACTTCACAGTTTTTTTATTTTATTGACTAGAAATGTCGATATTTTATGTAGGAATTGCACGAGGAAGAGACATTTTGGCTGAGTATACTGTTGATGGTATATTTGTGTTTTTTTCGGTTTTCTTTTGATATATATGTCTTAGGAATAGAGATAAAACATCTTGTTTCTTTGGTGCTTGAAAAAATTGAATCAAATGAAGAAACAAGGCTTACATATCTTTATAAGTCGTATATGATTCATTATATTTGTACTCCTGTTGTTCCTGTTGGGAGTTTAACGTATTTGTGTATTACTTCGGATCAGATTGGACGGAGGGTTCCTTTTGCATTATTAGCTGAGATAAAACATGAGTTTGGTAGTCGTTTTTCTTTATGTGATATTTTTGAGCTTCCCACGTCAAGTTTTTCGTTCTTTAGTCATGAAATTTCAAAGAAAATAGATACAATAATGAATAGTGAAGATGGAATGATAATGGTAGATATGGCACGTGTTGTTCACAAAGAAATTGAGCAAGTTAAATCTGGTATTTAAATTAACTAAATGTAATATTTAACGATTTTTCATATTTCTGTAGCAATGATGGAAAATATTGAAAGAGTTCTTGAGCGTGGTGAACGTATTGAACTACTTGTTGATCGAACACAAAATATGAATGAAACTGCATTTACTTTTTCTAAAAGATCTACATATTTGAGGTAAAAACTTTTTTGATTTAATTGTTATAATAAATATAACCTTTAGACGGCGTATATTGTGGGAATCGATAAAAACAACTGTAATTCTTTCACTTGTTGTTTTATTTCTGTTATATCTATTGATTGGTTTTGGTTGTGGATTTCCAGGTAATAATTTTAATAATCGTTTTTTTATATTTATCATTTGTTAGTATGGCAAAATTGTCGCTAAAATTGGATGTAAAAATAAAATTTTATCTGCATTTTATAGTAGAAATTGTTTTTTCATTTTTTTATATGATTTTTTTGAGAATTCTTATGCAAATTAACAAGATACTTTGTTTTGTAAAACATGAAAGCTGTAAGATTGTCATTATTATTCTAAAATATGAAATCGTTTTATAATTAGAGGATGCATATATTTTGAAATAAAAATATTTATATTAATATTTTATAATTAGTATATTTTTATTAAACATGATTTTTTATAGATGCTTTTTTTGTAATTAAGTTATTAAGCCCTCAGTAAAAAAAATTCTAATAGATAATATTGTCTACTGTAATAAATAGAATACTTTTATTTTATAATGATAATTTTACTAAGATTTTCGTGTTTTTAAAGTATATGTTAAATACAGTAAATGTAAATCTCATGCAAAATATCAGTTTTAGGGTTGGGTCTGATTAAAAGATGTATAAAACTGAAGTAAATTTTGATAATAGTATAAATGATAAAGAAACCGAATACAAATGAATTAAATGCCCTTTGGCATAATTACGAAATTATCTGCTCTATTTTTTATAGAAACAAAAACCAACATCATGGACAAGTTTGGTGGAAATATGTTTCCATGTTGCGGCAAAAACTTCGAGTATATTTCTTATTACCTTTACGTCTTCGTGAACAACAACAAAAGAAGATACTTACCTTTATCCCTAATGCATATTTGTATGTATAATTTTTGAAGCAACTAATACTTTTAATAAGTTAAGATATTTTTCAAGTATTATAGCTCAGGGTCAATTTCCTAAATTAGGCATAGTACTGTTTACAATTATAGCAAGTATTAGAAATATATTTTGGAAGGATGAAACGTTTCAAGAAAATACTCAAGAGATAGATTCCGAAGACATAGGTGAAGTAATTGACATATGTTTTTGAAAAATTTGATCTGATTAAATTACAAAATAATAATACCATGTATATTAAAAATAACACTTAGTTTTGCATGTGTTCACAAATAATGAATTTTATTTTTTGACTTACTATTGGCATATAATAAAATAATACATTTTTTATATTGAACTGTTAAATATTTATAATTTATATTATACCCTATTCAGGATTATGTGGCTTAATAAGCTGTATTATACGAAATGTTTTTTTTTTGATGATGATTATGTGTTTGGAAAAATGTAAAAAAAAAAAACGAATTTTCTGGCCTGAATATTTATGTTTTTTAAATAGTTGTATATGGTGCTTTATAATTTCTGACTAGCATCGTTTGTGTTTAATATTTCATCATTTTTATAATTTTCGCCATTTTCCTCTGAAGATATATCATCTATATTTTCAGTACTGGAAGATGATTCATTATTCGTTATAAATTCTCTATATTTGCTTTTTTTTAAGTACTATGATATTAGGCCTTTTTATATAAGATTTAGATGAGTACCATGTTAAGTTTTTTGGCTAATTCTTTTGGAAATCCTTCTGCTTTTACTTGCGCATCTAAATTGTTTTCTCTTTTCACATCCTTATGAAATATAGGAATGTAATCTGATTCAAAGCGAAATTTTTTTTGAAAATATTTTTTAATGCATTGAACATCACGATTAAAATATCTATTGTTTGTTAAATGAGACAATTAATAGTTAAATAATTTACTCTTCAGAGTTAAAATGATCAATACTAATCATTTGTGGGAAATCGATCATTATAGGATCTTCATTTTCATAAAGTAAGATATTAAATTCATTAAAATCTCCATGTATTAATCCGTAATTAGCCAATTTTACAATTAATTGCATCAAAGTTATGTAAAGTTTTTCAGGATGTACAATATTGTCTATTTTATGTAAAGGATATGCCTCAATTTTCTCCATAATAATACAATGTCGAGCATGATCTATAGGTTGAGGAACTGGAAATTTGTTTTCATACAGTACCTTTAATGATTAAAATTAAAATAATTAATTATGATTTAATACTTTCATAACTGTATATTCTTTTTTTGCTGCTAAACGTGACATATACATCCAACTAGCAGATTTTCTGTTTTTAAGATAATCGCGTTTTAATTTAACGCTTCTAAATGATATTCTTCCAAGTCTAGATGTAAAAATTATTCTTGTATAAAAATATTATAAGAAAGAAATGCCTATGTATCTTAAGAACCATTTGCTTTCCTGTTTTATCTGAAACAACGTAAACATCTAAAGTGTGTCAATTTTAAAAGAAATATTTACTATTTTATTACCTGATTCTTTACCAACTCCAATTTTATTTCCAATAGAATATATGTATTCTCTTTTTGAAAACGATTTCAATGCTAAATAATCATATCCAGCGTATGTAAGCCGGTATCCATCATCTAAAAAATTAATATAAAGCTTTAAATAAAATATTAAGTAATATAAACATTTTGCGTTCTTGATCTTAGAAATAAGACCATTTCTTGCCAATTTACTAATGCATTTTTGTTCATTACTTCCTTTTAATTTTGAAATTTGAGAAATTAAAGAAGTTGGAACAAGTTCATGATTTTTTGATCCCATTTCTACCTAAAAATTTTTAGTAATGAGAACTGATAAAAAAATAAGAATATAACAGCTGTAAGTACTCTAAAGTCGTCCTGTGATAGGTATCGGATGGATTTAATATCTAAATTGACCATTGTGGGTTTCTTTTTTAAAGAAAATTCGATAACTTGAAAACTTAAATCAGATATTTTTATTTTTAAAGGTTATTGTTTTTATGAAAAAGAAATTAATGTTGAACATACGGAAAATATTTTTTTATAACATAATAAATATATTGTGAATTTATTTTAGATTTTTTTTATATTTTTCTAAAATAATATATAATTAGTTTTATTTATATATTTAAGATACGGTATTTAGAATGCTTATTATCCTCTTGCTTTTATTTAGTTTCTGCATTGTTTAGAATCTATTATTACCTGTTTGCTCTGTTTCCCCAGCCTAATAATATGTTGATTAGAGAATTGATTAAAAAAAATGAAAATACCTTTGGGGTTTTCTTCTTTAAATTCATCCCATTTCCTTGCTTTATACATTTCTATATCTATTTCTTCCATGTTGTCTTGATCGATTTCTTTTTTATTTTGTGGTATTCTATTTTACATATTATAAGTTAAAAAATGAACATATAATAATAGTTACTCTTTGTTAGAAAGAATATTCCCTTTTTTTGCTTCTTCTTTTAAATATTCATCAATAGTCATCGTAGGTAGGTTATGATCTGGCCCAAAAACATTATTCTTTAATTGTTCTCTCTTTGCTATAATAGTAAAGGGGCGTAACGGCTATAATATTGTTATTGGAAAATAGTTATTTAATGAGATTAAAACTTTTCCATGTTTATCTAAAAGAGGATTGTCTTTTTGGAAATTATTTTTTGTTTTTAATGTTGAATGAATGTTATTTTCTGTTTCAGTTCTATGATAGTCATTAATTGAATCTTGATCTTTGTCCTTTGAAATTTCTATCATTTTTAACTCCAAATCTAATTGTTCTATGCTTTGTAATGACTTAAAAATAGCTAATTGAACTACTTCAAGAAAATGCTTTCGCAAATCATTTTCATCTTTTGATGGATTTTTTAAAAAAGTGGATATATTCTTGTTTAATTCTTTTTCTCTTTTGTATCTTTGAATTTTTTCTTCTCTTCGAGAGACATTAGAAATTCTATTTATATAGCCTTCATTGTATGTTTCATTAGAATTAAGATAATTAAATAAAGCTTTGTCAGAACTTGTTAGTAATGTATAGTTTTCACATAATGTTAAAAATGAAACGAATAAATTCTAAAAAAGTATAAGTTTGTAAAAATGATGTTAATACAAAAGACTCTTGATGATAATATAGTTGATGATCTATTAGATGTTGTATTTTTGTCTAAAAGTTCTGCTATATAATAATCTATCAAAAAAAATCTTATCTTTTAACTTTAGAAATAAATTGTTTATAGTATTTACCTAATTTCTGAAGTGCTTATCTCATCAATTCCTTCATTGTTGCTAAAAAGAGATAGCTTTCTGGCTAGATAGTGGCATTTTTCATATAAAGAAATACATTCCGCTAATAATTCCTATTAAATTATTATTATAATTTATAAAAAAAAAATAAATAACAGTTGATCCTTCCTCTATTTTTCTACGGAAATTTTCTGCTGAATCAAAGAGCTCACGAAGAGATCTATTTTCTTGAGGCTGATTTTCTATATCCATTTTATTAAATAGTTTAAAAGATATTGCGTAAGGTGGCAGTACTTTAGATATAAAAATAGATTAACAATATACAAATAAATATAAAAAGAATATAATATATTTAGAATATTTTAGATTGTTTTAATAATACTTGTATTAAAAATTTGAATTTTGTAGATTATTTTATATAATAGATATAATAATGAATGGTTTGTTTGAAGGTTATTTTTTAAAAAATTTTTAAAAATGAATATGTTTTTTATAATTCATAAATATATAAATGTTTTTAATGCTTTTTTGTTTTTAAAGAGATTTTGTTTTTTTTTTATAGATATGTTTTATTTCGAAATTAAAATATACTATATTAGGAATTTTGTTAATTATTGTTGAGATTTTTAATATTAAACTGTTTAAATAATCTAGGATATTTTTTTTGTAAATATGCTATAATTAAAAGTTTCATTTGTATAGATATTAAAAATAGAATTTAGTGTTTTAATAAATAATGTTATGGATTTTTGGTATTGATTAAATTATATTAAAGATGATGCAATTTTTTTGAATTATTAGGATTAGTGATGAAAGGTCTAAAATTATTTAGAAATTGCCTCGTCAATACCTAGTTGGTTCTGTTTTAAGTCAAAGTAACCTAAATATCTTATGAATTATATCTGGATTTTAACATTTATGTAAAATAAATTTTAGGAAAATTATATGCCTTAATGATATAACATTTTTTTATAGATTTTATCGTTGAACCTATTAAATTTATAGTTAATAATTTTTCATAGGATATTATAGTAGTCATTTTTAAGGATCATAATCTAAGGTTTTTTTTGCAGATATATTTTGAGATTTTTATAGTTTATTTTTTTTTAAAATTTAATTATTGTACAATTGTTATATTGTGTAGATAGTTGATTATTCTTAAACAAATTTAATTAATTTTATTTTTAAAATTTAAAATTTTTAATCAAAGATTAATTTAATTATCATTGGTATGGTTTTTGTTATAAAGTAATAATAAAAAATTATTAAAATAGGATATTGTAAATTTTTTAAAAAATATTCTAAAACTTTCATAAATACTTTTAATACTACTTTTACTATTTATTTGTCTGTACTTCTGTTTTATTCATTTATATTAATAATTAAAGGATTTTAAAAGTAATAGGTAAAATAATTAAGTTATTCCAGAACTATGTAAGTTTCCTAAATATGTAAAAAATTTAATACGTTAAATAAATATTATAAAACTTTTTCTATTTTTATAATAATTAGTTAGATTTTCCAATGATAAATTTATATTTTGTATAATGCTTATAATTGATTATAGAATAATGATATTTGGATTTCCGAATAGAACTTTATCTCTTGTAAAAATATTGTACATAGTTCTTAAAATCAGAAGCTAATGAATATGATTTTATTTTTATATGCTAAAATGCTTAAATAAGGAATAATTGTATAACTAATACATATATTTTTTTAAGTAAAAAATGTTTTGAGTAAACAGTTCTATTGTTCTTTGATAAAGAAAAATAAATATTGTGTTATCATAATTAGTAGAAAAATGAAAGTCATAATTTTGCTTATTTTTATTTTGCAATGAAGTCTCTTGAATCCAGATTAATAATATCAACAAGAAATGAAATGATATTAATTTTGTTTAATCTATTAAACATTTTTTTGATATTTTAATTGAAATTATTAATAATAATTGATCAGAATATATATATATAGACTATGTTTTTTATATAAATCTATGGAATATATTTACTATTTTTATATTTTATTTCTCTTTATATCTAAATTTTTAGGATTTTTGATAAAAAATGTTGCAAAAATAATGATAATAAGTAAATGTACTTATATATTTTAAATATATATATTTTTAATTGTTAAATTTCTTAATTTCTAATGTGTTTATTGCAATTTTTAAGGATAAATGTGATAAGCATTTCAGAAGTTTATTTAATTCTCTTTTCTAAAAATATGCTCTAAGGGTATATCTAATAACATTAGATTTAATGTTGGTATCAACATCTATAATTTTTATTCAAAGATGAAAATTATTTTTAGAATTAAATTTTATTTTTTTAAAAAATAATGCCTTTTTTATTAATAGTATTTTTTTTAGATTAAGATATTTAGAAAAGTTCTTTTAATGATATTATTTTCTAAATTTTATTTAATTGCTTATTTTTCCTATTTTTATAGTTTTTGAAGTCTAATCGATAGAGTATATTTAATTTTAGAATTTATAAATTTAAACTTTTAGAAAATTTTTAATTTATATAAGCATTTTCTGATATTTTTTTATATTTCTTTTTACTTCTTTTGAAAGAAATTATTTAGTTTTATTATAAGTTTTTTTCAAGGTATTTTTTGTTTATTTTTTAAATTTTAGGATGTTTGAAATACTTAATTATTGTAATGTTTAAGGTGTTTATTTACTGTGATATTCCTAGATGAATGAATCTACTGATTTAAATCTACGTTTTCCAAAACGAATTCTCCCTTTAGACATTACTGTTGTTAGTAAAATTGCAGCTGGGGAAGTAATAAATTTTTTTTATCTTTATATTTTCATCTAAATTGTTTTAGATTGTTCAAAGGCCTTGTAATGCTTTAAAAGAGTTAATTGAAAACTGTGTTGATGCGGGTGCTACATCAATTGACATTTTAGTTAAAGGCGGAGGACTAAAGCTTCTCCAAGTATCAGATAATGGACATGGAATTATGGTTGTTTTTTGGAAATTTATTTAGTTATGTTTATTTTATTTAGAAAGAAGATCTTTCTATCCTTTGTGAACGCTTCACTACATCCAAGTTGCGTACATTAGAAGATTTATCATCAATTTCTACATATGGATTTAGAGGAGAAGCGTTAGCAAGTATTTCTCATGTATCTTTCTTAACTGTAATTACAAAAACTACTGGTTCAAGTTGTGCATGGGAGTGAGAATAAAATATTGTTTAAGTTTTTTTTTGATTGAATATAGAGCTAATTATCTTAACGGAAAACTTATATCACCTAAGTTAGGTGAGCCATCGAATCCTAAACCGGCTGCTGGAAAACAAGGGACTCAGATTGTGGTATTTAACTTTATTAAGTCATAAATAATAATAATAATTTTAGATTAAGGATTTATTTTATAATATTCCTTCTAGACTGAAATCCTTTTGCAGCGCCAACGATGAGTATGTTAGAATACTGGATATTATTTATAGATATGCTATTCATTGTGAGAAAGTAAGTTTTTCATGTAAAAATGTATATTTTTATATATGTTATTTTTATGATTTTTTTGACAATTTTGAAGTATGGAGAGGCGATACCATCTATTTCTATATCATCTAGATCAACTGTAATTGAAAGGATTAAACAGTTATATGGAACTAGTGTTGGTTTTGAGCTTTTACCTTTTTCATTAACTTCTCAGGATTATATGTTTCAAGCTCATGGTTTTATTACAAGTACCAGTTATAGCGCTAGAAAGACTGTCTTTTTGCTGTTTATTAATCGTATGTATATTTTATCTATAAATACTGTAGAATAATTATAAATATAGATAGGTCTGTTGATTGTAATACACTTAAGTCTGGACTTGAATCTATTTATAGCAATTTTTTGCCGAATTCTGGTCATCCATTTATGTATATATCATTGGAAATAGAATCTTCTAGAGTTGATGTAAATATTCATCCTACAAAACACGAGGTTCATTTTTTTAATGAAGATGAAATTATTGATCTTATATGTGATAAAGTTCGTCTGGAGCTTTCTAAAACTGATTCTTTGAAGGAATTTTCGATGCATGTAAGTATTTATAATATCTTAAACATTTAATTTTTTTCTTTTAGTCACTTAAAACAACTACATATTCCCTAAATAGCGATATTAATTGTAATTCCATGGGTGGTGACTTTATATGTATTATTTATTTTGGTTATTTATCTTTCTAGGAAAGGTTCATGATAAATATCATGTTCGTACTGATTCAAAATTTCAAACAATTACATCATTTCTTAATAATGTTAATAGCCTTAATTCAAAAAAACTGAAGAAAAGTAGTTCTATTGAGGATTTTGATCATGAGCTTTTATATGAAATGAATAATAGAGAGAAGGTTATTGTTAGACTTGCAAGTATCAAGGAATTAAGAGATGAAGTGATAGACCGGAGAGATGATGGTAGTTTTTTATAATCTAATGTTTTATTGTTATATTTTAATTTTACTAAGTTTTAACAAATATATTTATGAATCATATTTTTATTGGTGTAGTTGATGAGGAAAAACAATTGGCTGCTATACAGTGTTCTACTGAACTATATTTTGTTGATTATGGGTCTCTTTGGTTTTTTGCTTTTTATATTATTTTATTTTTTAATTTTTCTATTAGTTTTGAGCTTTTCTATCAAATTGGATTGGCTGGATTTGCTAATTTCGGAACAATAAAATTGGAGCCACAATTGTTATTAGTAGAGTTACTTGAGATATTGTCGGAGAATTTAGAATGTGATTCTATGGTTTCAAAAAAAATAATAGTATTTATATCGTTTTTTATTATTTTATTATTTATTTTGCTTTTAGGATGTTTTTAAAATAATTATAAATTATAGGGAAATGCTTTATGAATATTTTTCTTTTGGTGTTACATCTGATGGCAAAATATATTCTCTCCCTTTGCTTCTTAAAGGCTATATTCCAAATATTGGGAAGCTTCCCTTATTTATTTATAGACTTTGCACTAAAGTATTTTTTTATTTCTGACTATTATTATCTAACATTTACAGGTTAATTGGGATCAAGAAAAGGAATGTTTCTGCACCTTTTTGAAGGAACTGGCTTTGTTTTATTCACCCGAGCCTTTGTTTCAAAAACAATATGATATTGAAACTTATGAAAATGAAAAAAAAATTCTTGCTAGAGTTTTAGAAAGTGTTTTGTTTCCTGCATTTAAAAAGAGATTAATTGGAACGATTGAGCTTTCTCGAAAAAAGAATGTAGTCCAAGTAGCTACTTTACCTAAATTGTATAAAGTATTTGAAAGATGTTAAGACACAAAAAACACTACATGTTAAATACATTGCTTATATTTGGATTTTTAGATAATACCTATAAGATTTCAATTGATTTTTATGTTCTTTAATAATTTTTGAAATCATTTAATATGGTATATTTTATAAGTAATATTGGATGTTATATAAATTGTTTATTTTAAATATTTTTATAAAATATTTAAGATTTATATATTAGTTATATTTTTTTTATTTTTAATAAAATATGTTATTTTGTATGAAGAATTTTGGTTGAGTTATTTAGAATTCACAATATTTAGATTTTATAAATTATTAATTATAAATAATTTAAATATTATATTATTTGGATACATTTAATTATTATATATTTATATTGTTAATGTATATTGAAAATAATAATTGCTAATTTTTTATGCTTTTACTGTATTGTTTGATTTTTAAGTTATTAAAATAATAGATTGCTTGAATTTATATATAACTTAACATCTAGTTTTTTGATTAATTTTAAAAGTGTCTATTTTTTTAAGTTTCGATTTTTATCATATTCCTATTAGATTTTTTTGTATTTTATATATATTAAAAATATTAAACTTAAAAATAGTTAGGTTACAGTTTGTATATATTTATCTATTGTTAGCATAGTTTTTTTATATTTTTACATTTTAATTGATTAATATTAAAAACACCTTATAGAATATATTTGAGCGTATAAAATACGTTTAAAATAATTTTAAATAATTTTATAAGTCATTTTTAAATGATTTTTGAAAATTTTAGAATTAAAATTATTTAGAAAAAAAATGATATAGAGAAATATAAAAATAGATAAATTTTTATGTATTTTTTTGTTAAATTTTGTTTTTTAAAATCAAGTTTTAATAATAAATATTAAGAGTTATAATTATTATATTTTATCATATAGTAAATATTACTGTATCTTTTTCTAAAATATTTTAGTTAATATATGCTTTGAAAACCATATATTAACTTTAAAAATGTATTAATATTGTATATAAATCAATAAAATTATATAGATAAGAAATTAACATTGACAACTTGATTGTTGAACATTTGTTTCTCGAGGATTAATATTAACGTCAATCACTATAAAATTTAATACTATAAATTTAAAGAAATAAAGTTACTTAATGTGCTATTTGTATCCTGTATATTTTCTATTCCTGGAAGAACACATGCGATATTCCTAAAAAGAGTTTTAACATTGCTACCTGTTTTTGCACTTGTCTCCATGAACTGCGTCTTAAGATCTTTTGCCATCTTTTCTCCCTCATCTGTTGTAACTTGGCTTTTTTATATTTAGTAATGATTGATAATATAAAATTTATCTTTTTACCGTTTACTGTTAAGATCTGTTTTGTTTCCTACTATCACAATAATTACATCATTCCCTCGTTCTGACTTTATATCATTTATCCAATCTTTTATATTGATAAAGGAATTTCGATCTAAACAATAAGAAATCGACTTGAGATTTAAAAGAATATTTACTGGTAATATCATAAACAACAACAGCCACACTAGAATCGCGAATATAACTTGGAATAAGACTTCTAAATCGCTCTTGCCCTGCTGTATCCCATAGCTGTAAACGCACTGTTTTGTCTTCCAAGTACATTGTTTTAGACAAAAAGTCTATGCCTATAGTTGCCTATTATTTAAATAAGTTTTATTATATAAAAATATATCACTTTTACCTGATAGGTGTTATCAAAAGTATCATACATAAACCCTGTAGGTATTAGTTTAAATATTTTATAAAATGCTTTTTAAAACGTGTAATTAGTGAAGTTTTTCCAACACTTTGATCACCTATATATTTAGAATTGTTAAATTCAAATATCATGTTTTATATGTTAAGATTTACCAAGAAATACAAGCTTAAATTTTTTTAGTGAATTTGCTAAATCTGTCATTTTTATTAAGTTGATAGCATATGAATTGAACGATAAAAAAATTGAATATTTTTTTAACTTAAAAAAATTATGAATTTTACAGTAGCTCTTAAAAAAATGTTTGAAGTCTTTTAAAAAGTTTTTATATTTAAGTGGTTAATTTGTTTAGTGTTGAGAAAGAAAACGTTGAAGGTGTGATTTTAGTAGATGATAATGGACTTTGTCTGGGATGTAAAAATATATTTTAAATTATATTATTATATTATTAATTCTCTATTTTAGCTTATGGAAAGGTGAATGAGGAATATGCAAACAAGTGTATTAAATTTGTAGATTTAGAGTTACAAACCAAAATGTTTGCTGCAGTGATGAGTAAAAAACAGTATGTTTTTAGTAAAATATATGGATATTGTTGTCTTATATGTCTTTAGAAAGGTACTTTTGCATAGGGATTTGGGTATTACGACGGTTTTGTTTATGACACGTTGAATTTGATAAATTTTTCTTGTTATATTACTATGGCATATATTTGTACTTTTTGATACAACATATTAGAAAAACACACTTTATGATTCTATGTCTATATGTTTTTTAGTTAGGCTCATGAAATTTTACTGTTTTTTTTTTATTTTTTTTAATAAGCCCTGAATTGATTTATATATAAAATGCTGGAATGTATCTCTAGATTTTTTTTCTAATGAATATATGTTCTTTTCATATAAAAATAGTATGTTTGAATGATGTTTTATATGTTTTTATATATGTTTTATTTAGGTTTTTTAATTGCTGTTTTACATGATATCGATGAATAAAAAATGTTACGAGTAAAACATTTTGAAATACCAAAGCCGACGGTTTAAATTCTTTATTTTATGATTAAGATTTAGTTTTAACTAATTTTTTTAAGTCATTTTTATATTTTCTGGATTTACAGATTGGCACAGAGCTAATTATTTTTTTTTCTATTTTAAATAAGGCTTCTGGCATTTATGGATTTTTTGTAACATTAATTAACTGTATTTTTTATTTTTTTCTGAGTAATAATGTTCTTATTAAGTGGTAGATTCTTCTTTAAGTATGTCTTTATGGAAAATGTTTATGTATTTTTACTCTTTACTTGTATTGCTTGGGTTCACAATGATGATAAAATATATTCGAATAGTAATTTATTGGGTTTCTGATTTTTTTTTTATACTTTTTAGGAATCTCCTTTTCATATATTGATTTGTGCTTATTTTTACTTTATTGATACTTTTATTAGTTCTTTATATTCTGCAATATTCACAATTGTATGGTTTATGAATATATTTAAACATGCAATAATTTCTTCTGGTGTTGGAAAATTGGTTAGTTCTCAAAAATCGGAAATGTATATTTTTTCTTTTTCTGATAAATCATTAAAGTCGTTTAGAATTGAATTATGGTCTTCTAATAATTCTGAATACGCACATGATAATTCAATTATGTTTTTTTCTATCGAAAATCTTTTTACCGTCTTTATTTTATGCTTTTTTTTATGCTTAAAGATATATTTTTGTCTCGTTGTGTTCTCATATGCACGTTATTTATTCTTGCGAACAGGAAATATGTATAAATATTTACATAACGAACGAATAAAGAAATTGGTGTCTCTATTGACTTATGGGAAATATTGGGAAAAGGCTGATAATACCTCTCGTAAGATTAAATGTTCATTGGATCTTAAAGTGTTTAATGCTAGATTACTAGATGGAAATTTTTGAACAAAATCTGTTAAATCATTCATTTTTCTTGGTTCTAAGATATATATAATGTTAAAATAAATCCATAGCACTTTTTTATGTATGAGATTATGTTTTTATATGATCAATGTCAAAAATCTAGTCTTACTTTTTTTGAATGCAGTTATTCTTAAGAAAAAAAGTATTTACTATTTCTTAAGTTTCTAACATCGAAGTTTCCCTAATTAAAGGTTAGTTAAAAAACAAATAATCGAAAATAGACCTTTTTTGGTAATGGGGGAAATTCTAGATCTATCCATACATGTATTAAGTCTTTTCTTTTTTTTTCGCTTTTAGTATTTGTTTCTATTGTACTTTCATTCTTTTCTTCCAAAATAGAGTTTGAATTCTCAAGGTTTAAATAATCTGTTTTTTTTGATGTAAAATCTGATAAATTAACTGTATTTTTTTCATCATTTGTTATACATATATCTTTTGTTGATAAATTTTCATATGTTTCCGATTTATTATCATTGTTTATTAATGATATTTTATTTGTTTCTTGTAATTTTTTTTTTTTAGAAGAAAGTATTTTTTTTCCTTCTTTACTACTCTTTGAAATGCTAATTAATGTTTTATAACCTTTATATCTTTCACGAAACTCATTTAATAAATTCTCCATAATGTTTTCTTTATGTAACTTAACAAATGTTTCCCTAAGTATCACATTCATATTGTCAATATCAGCAGCATGAGTCCAGTAAGAATCATGAACAGATGCAAAAGTAAGACCCGCATTTTTACATGAAACAGCTGACATTAGCATGTGAGTTGCATCAAGTGAATGAATAAAATTTGGTGGAAATGCCGTTTGTTGCTTTCGAGTATCAACAGGATTTATGTTATTAGGATCTGTAATGAAAATAGATTGAAGATTAGTTTTGATTTGCTTTCTAGATAATTTTCGATATGGCTGAACAATAGGTAAGTTGAGAGGAGATGTCCAAATCACACTTGTCATAAGATTTATATCATCAGAGAGGGATGTATTTATTGATTTTGATATTCTTTTAGCAGCCTCATTAAGCCATTCTTGTATTTTATGTGCTCCTGTAAACATTGATTTAAGAGAGAAAAATACCGTTTTTGCTAAATAAGATGCAAGATTCTATTTTTAATAAGTTAAAAAAAACTAATATATACACTTACAAATAGCATTTCTCTTGGAAGATCATTTATATTCTTTAATTGATTAAGAATTTGATTACGAGCTCCAACATAAGTGACTCCATAAACGTTTGTCATAACAGTTTGTTTGACAATTTTGCGTGTAATTTTTCCTTGTAAAAGAACAGCTAAATGATTTCCTTCTTTTGCGTCTTTTTGTAATTGCTCATTTACTAATTCTGCTACTTTAGTATATACATCATATGGTCGATTGCTGGGCTCAAGATTTACTTGTCGTGCACCTAAAATATCCCCTCCTAGTGCTGCATAGTGTTGCAGTCCATTGCATGTTCCATCTTGATGTACGGGAAGACGAGATTTGAATTTATATGGATCTGGAGAACGAAGTGCTGCTGTAAGTTCAAAACAGGCAGCTAAAGTTTGCCAAGGATCATCAAATGTTAGCCACCATCTAGAACCCTTTAAAAGATATAAGTTTAATGTAATGGAATAATATGAAATGTATATTATACCTTTAATGGATTATCTGCTGAATCAAAAATATTTTTGAGATTCTCGGTAGTAAATGCTTCTCTTTCTATAAAACTTTCTTTATCAAATCCACAAACATTTGCCAAATGAATTTTAAGCCATCTTAGACCTGATTCTCCTATTTCCTTTGCTTCATGGAACGTTAATAGTCCTCTACAAAGATCATTTCCAAGATGATTAAAGTGCGGTGGTATAGGATAGGCTCTTCCTCTAAAATCTAAATTATGAGGAAAATACATTTTTTCATGAAGAAACTGATAGCAAAAGTAAGTTATATATATATATACAACAAGGAAATCTCCTACAGCTCTAGCTATTTCTAATTTATAGTTGATATCGCATCTTATAGACTGTTTGTTTTGAGCGTCTCTTGCGATCTGCTTGCATAGAACTTGCCATGATATTCTTTCTCCTGGATCTTTGCTTGTAGGTTGTGGTGGAAAAGTTATATCCGAGTTAACAGGTGGTATTTCTGCAAACTCTTGTCCAGAATTCCAAACTTCACTAACTACATCGAATACCGGCCGGTTTATGGCCCATGCAGTAGAACCAAGAACATCTAAACCTTCAAATATTGATTTTAAATTATTCCTTTCAGATGCTGTTTTTAAATAGTTTATTTGTTCAGGTGAATCACGGGATCTCATTACTATCGATTTACTTAAATAATACCCCCCTGAGTCCCATGAGATCCATGGTTTAGGCTCAACTAACATAGGTAATAATCTAGGATGAATGTTCCCACGTAATGGTTGAGATCCAAGCTGTTTCATAAGTTGATCATTTAGCTTAATTACGCCAAGTTTTCTTCCTTTTTGATATTGATAAGTATGATAAAATGCTGGTGTTTTTTGCGAAATATTTTCATTTTCCGTTTCAGTAATTACATCAATTTTTGCAACATGCATAAGTATAGAAACTAATATAGAGCCGATTTTCGCTTTAACAGTCACAGGCCATTTTGGATATATCTCAAAATTAACATTATTTTGTGTTTTATATAATGCACTTTGAAATTGCCTAGGATTTCCAAAAATTTGAGAAAGATTAATATCTTTTCCAAGAATGTTTTTATTTTTTTTTAGAAGTTCTGATGCATATTCTTTTTCTATAGATTTCCCTACACTGAGAATTGCTCTTGCAGTTCTCATTCCTTGAGCGATTCCACCAGTAGAATGAAGTCTAAGAATTTCCAAAATAGTTATTGTGCCCAACTTTTCAGGTGAAAGAAGCTGAATAAAGGGCCCGTATGACAATCTATCTGTTTCGGTATTATTTGAATTTCTTTTATTTGAAAGATTATTAATTGCATTTTTACAACGCTCTATTTCTTCTTTTATTAAGGGAATCATAAGAGAATGCCATTCAAATAACAAGGGATTAAGAGTTTTGCTGAAACTAAGGCCTCCTCTTTGTACTAATTGTTCATGGTCCCATTTCCACCTTTCTAAAGCAGTATCTAATGCGTTGTTTTCTAACAGCCTTTGACGGGCCATGTTAAAAGAAGTAGAATGGAATTCTCCAGAAAGATCTTTAATGTCGTAATTTATTTCTGTATTGGGGTCTGTTAATGGTCTTAAAGTTTTTTTAAGTAGTTGTAATCCTGGGCCAGAAACACAAGTAGAAAGCAACTCTGGGACATTCTCAAGAGGATGAAATAAATATGTATTTGTGCTTCCTTTTTCGTCAACATCTACCACTTTTTTTAGTATATGACGATATTCTTGTTTTAGCTCAGAGAAATTGATATTCATAATCTAAACTATTAATTTAATTTTCTTGAATATATTATGTCCCACCTTGAAAATATTTAGTATTTCTTGATGATCTAAAACAGAACTTTCATTAAATATTTTTCCTATGTTTTCTTTTTTTTTTAAGTGCCATAATTTATTAAATCCATTAATTGTGATTTTAGATTCTTCTGGATCTTTAATATATAATGCGGCTTTTAGCATGAGAGCAAATGTTGTTTCATTTCCAATAATATTGTATTTTTTTTCTAAATCATGAAAGCATTTATTGATACTTTCAAAATCTCCTGTTTTTTTGATTTTATCAACTAAAGCTTGTAGATATCGATTGTGAATTTGGATAATAAAAGACGGTTCAGCTTCATGTGAAAGACGATTCATTAAAATATATCCCCTATTTAAATCACCTGTAGAAACGCATGCATCAAAAACTGCAAGAAGTTCGTTGTTATCATAGAAAGTAATTCCACGAGGAAGCCCTCCTTTATGAAATTGAGTAGATTGCTTAGGAATAGGTAGAATAATTATAGGACTTTTTTTCTCTAACGAAATATTTATGTTTTTTGAGGGTTCTGATTCTTGAAAACAATTATATTGATTATGAATATGTTGAAAAAAATTAAACTTGACATTTCTTTTCTTAATAATATTTGTTAAATAAAAATAGTATCTCATCCGTTTGAATATTTTTGTGCATGTTGGTAATGTGTTAAAGATATTAATCATTTCTAAAATTTTTCTATTTTTTTTTAGAACAAATGTGATATTTAATATTAGACATCTTTTAATATTCTTTAAGGCTTTTCGGAATAAAAATATAAATCTTCTAGTATCATACAACTCATTTTATTTTTTTTTATTCTCATAATTTATAGAGAAAAGCTATAAAATAATACGTTTCGAGTTGTTAAAAATGTATATTTTAAATAATAGAGAAGCTTCTCTAATATTGTATAGTATTAATGAAAAAAGTATTTTTTAGGAAAAATATATGTAGAAAATTATTTTAATGGATTTTTAAATTTTTGAATAAGTATTTTTAAGAAAACTTTCAAAGGTTAATTTACATTCTTTAAAGTATACATAATGATGAATTACATGAAGAGTTGAAATGATAATAAATATATTTAGTAGAATGCACTTTTATATGGTTGTAAATAGATGATTTGCTTAATTTTTGAAATCTTGAATTTTCGTCAGTGTTAAAAATCATCTTTAGATAGTATTATATGAATTTTTTGAATATTTTTGAAATTGAGTAAATTAATAGAAATAATAAATATTAATTAAATTTTATCATAAAAATACTGCATATTTTTAACTTTGTGTTTTTAATGTTTATAATTTTTGAAGGGGTTTACCTATATAGTAAAATTGTGTCAATAATAATTTACAAATTTTTCAATAGAATCATAATAGAAGATTTTTTAAAATGGTTAGTATTTTTTTTTTATATACAAATTTTCTTCTGTATGATTTTTACATGCTATACTAAGACACTCTTTTTCCATCTCCTGAATTATTTTTACTTCAATTCCATGTTTTTTTAGTGTAGATATGCCTGTACACTGTACAAATGTGTTAGGTTCCCTAACTCCAAGTATAACCCTTTTTATTCCTGAATGAATAATCCTATCAACACAAGGCAATTTTCCTGATAAACGTATACTGCAAGGCTCCATTGTAGTATATATTTCTGCCCCAATAGCAGTCTTAATATCTGAAAGTTTCATTAAAGCGCATTCTTCAGCGTGAGTATTATTGGGTAATTCTCTAGAAAACCCTCTAGATTCTATTTTCCCATTTTTTACAATTATGGCACCAACACAAAATGCTGTCTTTATTGGAATACATTTTTCTGCTTCTTTTATTGCTTCTTTCATGAAATATTGATCTTTTTGTTGAGTCATAATTTTCATCAATTTCGATATTAAATTAAAAAAATGTCTTTTAGGTCTTTACAATCTTTCAGAAAAGAAGAGAAAAATTTGACTAAGAACATAGATCTTGGTAATTTGAGGCCAGGATTAGAAGTATTACAAGAAAAAATAAATGAGTAAATGATGTATAAAAGAATGTGTTTTATATTAACTTTTTATTAGTGATATATTTTCAAAAATTTCTGATGAAAAACTTTTTTCTGTTGATTTTAAAGGTGATATTAGTGTTTGTGAAAAAAGGGAAGATGTTAAGTGTTTAAAAAATGATGAAATGTTATCTTATAAATCACCTATTTTATTTTTATCAAATTTCTCTGAAAAGGATCTTAAAAATGTAAATAAATCGAAATCTAAGAAACAGATGTGGAGAAATATGTTAAATTCTGAAGATATTTTCTTAGGAAAAAATAGTCAGAAACTTAATAATTTATTGAATAATATTAAAATTTCGGATCAAATATCATCTAACGATTCAAAGTTATATGATATATGGAAAAAAGACAATAATCCTCAGAAGTTATCATTAGTTAATTTCTCTCTTCAACAAAGATTTCCAAAAATGCCTTCTACTTTGCAGCATAAACCACTTTCTATATCAAATAATGTTCCTAATGTAGAAGTGGCTAATGCGGGGATGTCATATAATCCTTTGTTTCAAGAATATAAGAAGTTGATAGATAAGGAATCTACTAAGGAGCTTTTAAGAGAAATAAAAAATGATCAAGAAAGGAGGAAAAAATCATTTAATGTTTTTGAGCAGGATTCTATAAAGAATAAAGATCCAGAAAGTCTATCTGAGAATAGCAATTTTACAGAAGAGGTTCATAACTGTCTTATTAATCGAAAGTCAGTAAAAAAAACAAGAAAGCAAAGAAAAAAAGAGGTGAGGAGAAAAAAAGAGGTACTATTGGAATTGTATTATGGAAAGATTTTTAATGTATATAGATTTGCGAATATAATGAGAAAAGACGACAGAAGAAGCAAATAAAGGATTTGAATTCTATAAATAAAATTGTAAAATCAATAGAAGAAAAAGCAAATAGTCAAAAATTAGCTAATATTAGTGATTCTATACATGAAGTTAGGTTTAGGAAGAAGTCCAGAAAACATGGGTAAATATTTTTTATATTTTATAATTTGGATTAAGTATTTTTAGTGCATATGTACGTCCATTAGAAATTCAATTATCTGATGAACTTAGTGATTCTTTTCGATTGTTTAAGGTTTTTCCTTTTATACTATTTAAGGCCTTCTAATGTTTTATAATTTTATAGCCTGAAGGTAATATATTTATAGATCGGTTTATAAGTTTGCAAGAAAGAGGGCTTATAGAAACAAGATATCCTGTAATTTCTTACAGAAAATATCCTAGACGCTATGTAGAAAAGTGGAATTATAAAAGATTTAAATTATGATATATTTGTGATCAATAATTAATATTTTAAATAATATATTTTTAATTTGAATTTTTAATTTTTGTAAATTTTGAATATCGGAGTTTTTTTTTCAAGAGAATGAGTTATGTTCAAGAAAATATTGTTCATAAGATGACTTCAGAGCTTATGCAAGGAACTTGCTTGAGTTCTTTTGCATTTGAAAATCAGGCTCATGAAATTTTTTGCTGTCAATGTGGAGTACCAATATCGTAAATTTTGTTTTTATGATTGTTTTTTTTAATAATAGTAGTCCAAATTTATCAACAATGTGTATAGATTGTATTAAAACTGGTATTGATATTACTGAGGGTATGAGATAGTTTATTATGATTTCATTTTTTTATGACTTTAATGAAGGAATATCTAAAGAAAGTATATTGTATTCTTGTCGAGAATGTGGAAAATTTTTGCACCTTCAGAATCAATGGTTATCTGTTCAGATGGAAAGTAAAGAGTTCTTATCTCTTTGTTTAAAGAAAATTCGTGGTTTAAACAAAGTATATTATAGAAAAAATTTTGTATAAATTTGAATTATTTCCGATAGGTTAGGTTGATAGATGCATTCTTTATATGGACAGAGTCGCATTCTCGAAGAGTTAGAATTAAGGTGACCATACAAAAAGAAGTATATTATTTCTTTTTGATTATATAGTTTAATTCTTTATTTTAGGTAATGGTATCTACAATTTTGCAGCAGACGTTCGAAATAAAATATACTGTAATGTATCAGCAATGCCCTGATTGTTTCAGGATGTATTCTGCTCATACATGGAAGGCTCTTGTGCAGGTTAGACAGAAAGTTAATCATAAAAGAACTTTTTTATATCTTGAACAACTTATTTTAAAACACTCTGCTCATAAAGATGCTTCAAGCATTAAGGAGATCAAAGATGGTCTTGATTTCTATTATTTAAATAGAAATCATGCTATTAAGTTGGTAGAATTTCTTAGTACTGTAGTACCAGTGAAAATTAAGAAAAGTGAAGAGCTAATATCTACTGACGTTAAATCGAATATTAGTAGTTATAAATTTACGTATTCTGTAGAGATTGGTAATTTTTATTTCTTAATATATATAGTTTTAATTTTTTTAGTTCCTATCTGTAAGGATGATTTGATATGCTTGCCTAAAGAGTTGGCTAAATCTTTGGGAAATTTAGAGTAAGTCATTTATGATATTGCAATTTTTAATTTTTTAGACAGCTGGTTCTGTGTTACAAAGTAGGAAATTCTATTCATGTTATTGATCCAAGAAATCTTCAAATTGGTAATATTATTCCAGCTATATATTGGAAATTTCCTTTTTTTTCTCTTTGCGATGTTAAAGATTTGGTAGAATTTGTTGTTTTGGATGGTATATTTTATGTTTTATATAATTGCTTTTTATATTATTTTATAGTTGAATTAGTTGGACCAGTTAGTGGCAAATTTGTATTAGCAGAAGTCTTGGTTATTCGGTCATCTGATTTGGGTTTAAATAATTCATATTTTGTTCATAGTCATCTGGGTTCTATTTTAAAAGCGGGTGATACCGTTTTGGGATATTATCTTGAAAATTTAAATTTTAATAATTTAACTTTTGAGGCTTATCAAGAAACATGTGCTTATGTTCCAGAGGTTATTTTGGTAAAAAAAAGTTATCAGAGTAAAAGAAAGAAAAGTAGAACAAGAAATTGGAAACTTAAAAGTTTTTTTGGAAAAGAAAGAAGGTAATTGATTAATTATTTGATGTTTGTGTAGAAAATAATATTTTAGTGAAATTAATGAAAAAAAACATGATCATACATGTTCTGAAGAAGATTATGAACGTTTCCTGCAAGATCTTGAAGAAGATATTGAGCTTCGTCAAAAGTAAAACAAAATTGATATTATTATTGTTATTAAATTTAATTTAGTGTGAATTTGTATAAAACAAAAACAAATTGTAAAAAAATATCTATGAATGTGGACATCGAAGATGAAACGGAAAGTAGTGATGAATTTCCTGAAATAGACGTTAATGAATTAGTAAGTATTTTAATTTATTTCAAATAAAATAAATAATAAATTCAAGATTGATGAAATTGAGGAAATGAATATTTCTTCTGAAGAAATGTAAAATATTTTATGTTTAATAGTTATTTATTAGAAAATCTTATCTAATACTTTGTTTATTTCGTTTTTTATATCTGTGGATATGTTATTAATTATAGCTTCTCGTTGTTTAAATTTGTATTTAGTTCTTTTTTCTGAATTAGATGATATATCTTCATTGGTTTTTCGTTTCTTGTTCTTTATGTTTTCAATCATTTTACCATGTTCATAGTTTTTTATATAATTTTGATTTTCCCGTTTTGTGCGAGAAATTTCTGCTCTTAATTTCGATGCTTGAGAAGCACTTTTAGATGCTAACTAATATTAAAATGGAATTTATGAAGTTTAGGATTACCAATTTGTTCTTGTAAATGGCTCCATTTGAATTTGGGTAAATATTTTATATTCCATATATCATCGTGATAATATGTCTAAAAGGAATAAGTTGTAAATATTTAAATAAAATATTTCTTACACTTGTTTTTCCTCCAATAATTGTTGTATTCAATGTATCGGCGGCTAATTTTGCCTTTTTTTTTTCTTTAAACTCAACCCATCCTTCAGTATATTTCTTTTTTTTGTTTCCTTTATATCTAATTCGTTTTATATAACTTTTATAATCTTCTGGTGCTAAAAAAATTCTTCCTATTTCTCCATATTGTGAAAGAAGACGTCTAATTGTTTCTGGTTTCATAAATGGTGGTATTTTACTAAGATATACTATTCCAGATATTTTCGATTTTTCTGAAGCGTCAAGAACTTTTTTTGTTAATGTTTTTCCACAAAATAATATCTAATATTTCTAAATTGTAATTCTTATATTTATATTTTTTTACTGTTTCTATAGCTTCTTTATTAGTTTTTGATAAAGTGTTATCTATATCTATAGTAGATTTTATATTTGATTTTTTGCTATTATTTAAAGAGTCGGAATTATTAGTTTTATTTCTTGAATTCATATTGAGAATTATAGGAATATCTCGACTATTTGAATTACTTATTTATATTATATTTTTATATTTTTATTTTTTATTATTTTTTGATTTTTAAATTAATTCAATGAATTTTTATGTAATGGAAAAAATTTATCTCTAATATTTTATTATGTTTTTTTTTTGAATTTATGGATTTTAGTTGAATATATTTAAATGGCAATTTGTTAAATTTAATAGCTATTGTATATTAAAAATATGATAAAGATCTAGTATCTAATAGTTTTTTAAAAATATTTAGGGTGATATGGGATTTTTAAAAATTTCTAATATATTATTTTTATTAGAAATGATATTTTTTATTTAGAGATATAATGAAAATATTTTAATTTAAAATGTTCTGTAATTTTTTATATTTTTATATGAATAGAAAAAAAAATTAGATAATTTTTGACATTTTGATAATTTTGCAATTTCCCCATTTTAATACTGTATAGTTAATTTTATAGTAATTTTTGTAATTATTAATTTTAATTGATAATATTTAAAGATCATTTAAATTTCTTAAAACTAGTATATGATTGATGTATATATTTTATTGTTTTTAAGAAATAATTTATAACCTTTATATTTAAATTTAAAAAAAAAAATAAATGCATTAAATATAATACTTAAATACAACTATATACCTGTTTATTTGAAAATTTATAAAAATATTGAACAACTATAATTTAGGTAAATTTTTTTTTTTTTCCAATAAATACTGATATTTTGTCTGTTCTCTTGATTCGCGTTCTTTTAAAAATTGTACATCATTTTTTAAAGAATTTAATCGTTTTGGTAAGACTATCTTTTCTGAAAGATTCAAATTTTGGAAACAATACAATTCCTGTTTAGCAAGAGAAATTGCTTCAATAGAATTATATATTTTTTTTGATATTATTTTAGAACGTATTTGATATCCACTAAGAAGGACATCAAGCCTTTTTTCAATTTTATTACCATTATTTGCCTCTTTTGATATATTTTCTTGAATAATCTAAAAAAATAAGCTTTATATATATCTTAAAATTTATATACTTTCCAATAATTTTTTAAATCATCTAGGGAGTTTTTTGAACTTTTTTCTGGATCAGAAATAAAATTATATAAATTTTTCCTTTCATTTATTAATCTCATATAAGGGTCAATAGTTATAGAATTATATTTATCAATTTCTTTTTGAATTTCATTATTTGCATGATGCATAAGATCATTACTAATATTATCTATAAAATGTGAAGTACCTATTATTTTATCCTCGAGTATAGGATATCTCGAAGTATCATAAGAAAGAAGTTTTATCATCTCTTTAGTAATTAATAATTCTGCACCTTGAGCAGGTTCAAGCCATTCCAGAAGTAATCTCATATCAATAATTGGAGGTCGTGGTAAACCTTTTTGTATTACTTTGCTTTTTAAATCTAAAAAATTTTGTTTTTCATCAAGTGTTTGATTTTTTTTTTCTTTTTCTTGGGCATCTTCCTCAATAACTGATTGTTTTGGTTTATCGTTGTAATCTTCTTCAATAGGAAGTTCCAATTCAAAGTCATTCAAGGGTTTTGGTAATGATGAAAATTTAGAGCGTAAATATTCTTTTTGAGATTTTCCGTATAATTCCTCTTTATCTGTAAATTCAGCTGAGTTTGGATCTCTTTGATTAATATTAAAATTATCTCTTGGAGTTCTAAATGGAGTGGAATTTGGCTTAATTGATGCATTTCTTTGATGAAATGACATAGCTAATGGATTAGGTGTAACCGGTGTGTTTCTTAAAGCACCCTTATTAAAATCTGTTTCTACGGGTTGATGAAGAGGCGTATTTTCATCGCCAAATAAAGAAGATTGTTGTTGAGTTAATGCTCTAAGGTTTTTTGCTTCAATAAGTAAACGATCTTCTGTATTTTGTATAAATATTGAAAGTGTACGTAATATATATTATTTACCTTGTAGTGGTGTTCGTGGTGTTCTTATTGAAATTGATGTATTTATTTGGGAATACTGACCAATAAGTCCTTTTGTAGCCTCGTTTTCAGTCATAGAAACCAAAGATCGTGCATAATCACCAGATTTGCTTAATTTTATTACTTCATCAATCTCGTTATCATTGATTTGAGGTTCTGGTAATATTAGTTTTCTTCTTTTACTAAGTTGCTCTGCATCTTTTAGCTTTTGTATATTTCTAGCATTTTCAGAAGCTTGAAAAGCTGCTGTTACTGATTTGCTAAATTCTTCTTTTTTACGTTTTTTTTTATCTGTATCTTCTTGATCTTTTTTTTTTCTGTCAAATTGAGATAGATCTGCATTATTTTTAATTGCTTCGTTCATTAATTGTTCTTCTGTTGTATCATAAAATCCAAGTGCTGGTTTTTTTTCAAAGGGTATGTCTGCATTATAGTCCATTTGTCCCTTTTTTCGATGATGAAGTTTAATACTATTACATTAATTAGTAGATATTATTTTATTTTTATTATTAGTATTTATACTTAATTCCAGCAGCTTTTAGTTCTCTTCGTTTCTGAAGTACAGCTAATCGACGAGATTCTTCAAGTTGTTTTTCTCGTGCTTTTCGTTTAGCTTTTTTTCCTTGAGTATTGGCTAGTCGAGCTCTTGCTTCACTTAACATTTCTTTCTCATCCTCATCCATGTCCACTGCATCTGGCAAAGCAGGTTTATTTTCAGGATTGGGATCAATTTCACCTGGTCGAAGACGTCGTACGTCATCTGCTGTTGGAGCAGATGTTTCGCACCCCGGACCACCAAGATTCATAGTAGAATCATTGGCCTCCGCATCATCAAGGAGTCTCTGATATCTTTCAAGGCATTGCGTAGCAGTTCTACCAACTATAGTGGCAATAGTTCTCCATTGCGTTGGCATAAGTTTTGCAAGATGCAGTAGTTTTTCATCTTCTTCTTTATTCCACTCAATCTTTCAAATATTAACCAACCCTTTCAGAATCTTATATAATAGTATTTATTACTTTTTTAATTCCTGGATCAAGCCACTCATACCATCGTGCTTTACATTGTTTAGCTGTTTTACGAACAAGAAGACTACTAATTCGTGCCTATATACGAGTAATTAGAACAGGAAAAAGCATCTACGGGAAATATACCCATTGATTTTTTCCATATTTACTTACAGCTGCTTTTAATATCTAAAATAATTTAAAAATTGCTAGACAAACGATTTATCTTAACTTCATCCTCAATATTTTTCCAAATACCCCCTTTTACAGCTGGAGCCATTTCATAAAATTGCTGTAAATGTACTTATTTCTTAGTATTATATACGTTTTTATTTTAATTATAAAAGTTTTTATTTTTTTAATTTTTTTTTGATACGAAATCTAAAAATGTGAAATTTTGTAATTTAAATGAATTTTTGAAAATATATATTTCATTAAAGTATATTATTTAATGATTTTTATAAAACGATTTAAAAAATGTAAAAATTGTTGATTTTATATATGAAATATAATTAATTTGATATAGATTGTTAAAATAAAAATTTGGTTAAAAATGTTATATGATTTTGATTTTTAAAATTCTTTATAAAATGTATCTATTTTTAGCAAAAAAAATATATATACATATATATTAATTATAAATTATATTTTTAAATATAATTTTTAAGTTATCTGTTCTGAAAGTTATAAAAACTGTTGTATTTTTATTTGCAATAGGATGTAAGTTTTTAAAAAAAATGGATTATGTTGAGACTAAATTATTTATTATAAAATTCAATTTTTAAAAAAATATTTGTATTATTAATTTTATATTAATTTAATTTAACATTTTATAAAAATATTTATTCTATATTTAATGTATATTAGATATTAAATTTATGTACGGACATAATTTCAACTATAAATATAAATTATATTTTTACTTTATTTTATAAAAAGGATTTATTAAAAAATTTTAATACTTTCTATTCATTTTTTAAAATAGTAATGTTGAATTATATATATTACTATTACTGATTTAATAAATTTACGTATAATTAAAGTAATAAAAATATTTATTATAAATGTTTTTCTTATGGATTACTCAAAACTTAATTATGTATTTTTTAATATCCAAGTTTTTAAATATTTAATACGATTTAGAAATTTTATAAAACAATGTTAAATATTAGACATAAAATCCGTATATTTTATGTAAAGTATTTATATATTAACCAAATGTTGAACTAGTATGAGCAATACGTTTTTGTTTTGATATCCTCCATTCATCTTGATCCGTTGCAAATCTATTATATAAAGGCTCAATTTTCTCTCTTTGTTTTGATTTTGATATTTTATTTTGATCTGCTATTTTAAAAAATGCAGGGGCTTCTTCGACTAGCCATTTAGGTTCTATAGATGTTACACAATGCATATACTCTTTGGTTGTAGCAATAAGTTCATGATAAATAACCCATTCAACTGGTTTACCAAAAATTGAAGATGATGGATGAATATAGACCGGAGTTCCTTCAGCTATAGTCTTGTATCCTTCATGGGCATCTTTTTTGCTTGCATGGCTAAAAAATCCTGATATTAATGCTCGACGAACTCTATCATAATTTTTCCCACATGATATAACGTCATAATTATATCTTTGAAAAATGCTTAATAATTGCTGTCTTACATCTTGTGCCTTTCTCATACTTCTAGCTTGTATAAAATTTTCATAACACCAGGCGTTTGAAAATGAATTAGATTTCCATGAATTATAGACTGCTAAAAGTGTTAAATGGTCACCTTTTATAGTTAACCTTAAATTGAGTATATAATTTAAATGTTACCTTCTGGTTGATGAAATCTAGCTTTTTTTTCATCTGCTTGTTGCTGTTTATCTTTCGGTCTATAAAATACAGTTTGGACTGAAAGCATAGCAACTATACTAAGCATTTCTTCCGAACAATTCATTTCAACAGATGCAATTAATACTTTAGCAAGAGATGGTACCATAGGAAAGTCTGCCATTTTCCTACCTAATCTTGTTAAAAGTCCTTCATTGTCTAAAGCTCCTAAAGCATATAGCTGTTCTAAAGCAGCTAACATACTTTGAACTGGAGGAGGATCCATGAAATCAAAATGAAGAAGATCGTTGATTCCCATAGCTTTGAGCATAATAATTGTATGTGCCAAGTTCTGTCTTTGTATTTCAGGAATAGAATTAGGAAGCATTTCATTATGATAAGCTGCTTCTGTATAAAGTCTATAACATTTTCCAGGACCTGTGCGTCCGGCTCGACCCGCTCGTTGTCTTGCTTGTGCCTGAGATATTGGAGTTATCACAAGATTATCCATTCCAAGTTTAGAATCGTAACTATTTAATTTAACAAATCCCGGATCAACTACATAGTATATTCCATCAATTGTAATAGATGTTTCCGCAATATTTGTTGCGATAACAACTTTGCGGCTTCCAGGAGGTGCTGGTTCAAATATTCTACTTTGTATTTCACTTGGTAATGTAGAATAAACCTAAATAGATTAGAAAAAATAAATATTAAGATGGACGTAATACTGGCAAAATAATGAGTTCGGGTACATGTGAACCCAATGCTTTTACGCGTTTATAAAGAATTTCACAGCTAGTATCTATTTCTTCTTGACCTGTAAGAAATAGCAAAATATCACCAGGAGGTTCTGATAGATGAATTTGCATTACTGTTATTAAGGCTGCATCCAAATAATCTTTTTCTGGCTCTTTTGTATATAATATTTCTACAGGATATGTTCTTCCTGGAATAGTAAAGATTGGACAGTTATAAAAATATGAAGAAAATTTTTCAGCGTCAAGTGTCGCAGATGTAACTATTAATTTTAAATCCGGTCTTCTTTTTAAGGATTCTATTTAATTAGTACTAATAAATAAATAAATAAAAAATAAGATTTACTTTTAAGTAGACCAAAAAGAACATCAGTTGCAATCGTGCGCTCATGTGCTTCATCCAATATGATCACGGAATAACTTTTTAAGTCGGGATCTATCAAGCATTCACGCTGAAGCATTCCATCCGTCATATATTTGATTTTTGTTTTGGAACTAGTACAATCTTCAAAACGAATAGTATAACCAACTTCTTGACCTAAGCGACATCCTACTTCTTCTGCAACACGTTTAGCAACCGACATTGCTGCTACTCTACGAGGTTGAGTACATCCGATTTTGCCATTATTTGCAAAACCCTCTTCAGCAAGATATTGAGTAATTTGAGTAGTTTTTCCTGAACCTGTATCTCCAACAACTATAATTAACTGATTCTAGAGTTGTTTAGATTTAAATAATAGGAATCTATTTCACACTTTACGTATTGCTTCAACAAATGACGTTCGAAGCTTGAATACAGGTAATGCTTGTCTTTGTTCAGTAATACTTAAATTAGTTATTTTTCCAAATGATGTGTTTTTAGAAAATGTTGCTTTTTTCCAATCAGGGATATCATTTGTTTTCTTATATAATGTTGTATTCTTTAGGTCCTGAGCAAAAGTTTTTTCTCCGTGAGCCATTGGGTCTAACCATTGTGCACTCAAATCTTGAAATTCTTCTCTACTCGCTGCTTCACGTTCTTGTTGACGTAGTTCTTTTCTGTCTTTTGCCAATTGTTCTCCTTGCATTGCTGCCCTATTCATAGACCCATTAGGGGCTTTTACTATTCTTATTGGACTCAATTGAAGACTTCTCTTTGTTTGTCCTGCTAAAAATGGAGGTTCTTCATCTCTTACTTCAATATCAATGTCTTCGTCATCTTCTATATCATCTCCTCCATTGATATGTAAATTATAATCATCATCTAGTTCTGGATAATCTGCTGCTGAAATAGCTCCTGATGCCATTAGCTGTTTTATTTCCCAACGTTCATATGAATTTAGACGCTTTCTTTGTTTTATTGGATAATCTGAATCTTCATCTTCTATTACTGGTATATCTTGATAATTCTCTGGAAAATTTCCAGATATTTTTAAAAAATCTCTATCTGTCACTTTTTTGGATAAATTTAAGTCTTTTCCGGTAGATTGATCTACATCCTTCATTGATAAACTTATACGCCCATTTTGATCTATTTTTATTACTTTAACCATAACGTTTTGAAATTTTGATACAATATCCGATGGATGATTTACATGTCCTCTTTGTATGGATGAAATATGTACTAGTCCTGAATAAATTGAATAAATAGTATAAAAAAGTAAAAAACAAAATTTTACCATCCACTTTTCCATGAACACCATCCAAAGTTACAAAAATTCCAAAATCCTTAATTCCTGATACTTTTCCCTAGTAAAGGATCAGTATAATAATAAATATTATAAGATATTTAACGCTATAGATTTTATATAATTCTGGTTTTTTATCAAGTTTTTTAGAATAATTATTAGCTGGTACTTCATTATTTATTTTCCTATGTTTTTTATGTTGATAATCTTTTTCATATATAGGATTTTTATTTTCATGTGATACACGACGTTTTTTCTCTGTATTAATGCATATTTCTTCATTTTTGTTATTGGTTGGTTCATTAAGTTTCAAAAAATCTTTATTATTTGTATGAATATCTGTTTGAGGTACTTGATACCAGTCAATTTCCTTATCTGGAATTGATAGCCCCTTGAAAATTTTAGATTTCACATCATCAGTACTGACATTGTCATTATTTTCGTTATTAGTTGTATTTTTATTTTTTTCTACAGATTTTGGTTGTATTAACAAAATTAAACGATCAATATTTTCTATAAATGAAGATGTAAAATCTGCTCCTGCATCTTCCAGTTTAGTTTTAAAATCATTTAAAGAATCTGAAATAGAATGTAAATGAATAATAAACTCCACTAAGTTATCATCTTCTATTCCCACGTGGTTAACAAGTTCTCGTGTTATAATATTTATTAGATTCAATTTTTCAAGTTTTTGAAGTTCATCCATAATAAAAAAAATATGCAGGTATTATAAAAAATATGTATTTATATTAAAATTATAAAAATTTTGAAAGTTAATATTTTTTGTGTAAAATTTTAAATAAATGTTTTTTTTAATTTTTATAAATTATGTAAAAAATATCGATTCATTTTTGTAAACCTAGGATTTTAAAATAAAATCCTTAAACTTATTTATTTATATTTATAGACATGCCTATACCATTTATAGCACATTTGATTAATTTATCTCCTGTGTTTTATGAAAAATATGTTTTTACTAATATTCAAAAATATATTTCATTAATAATATTATTTTATCTTTTAAAAAAATGCTTTTCTGGAGCAAATAATAAGACAGACAGGAGATTTAATGGAAGTGTTTTTCTCATTACTGTATGTTTAGTTTATGTATTATTGCTTTTTATAAGGAATTTTAGGGTGGAACTTCTGGAATAGGTGCAGAAGTTGCAAAGGAGTTAGCTAAGAGAGGTGCTCATATAATTCTTCTAGTTAGATCTTGTTCTGATTCTTGGACAATTGATTACATTAATGATTTAAGAGCCCGGACTAATAATCATATGATATTTGCAGAAACGTGTAATTTATCTTCTTTGTATTCCATTCGGCAATTTGCTACTAAATGGATTGATAATATTCCTCCAAGAAGGCTTGATATGGTAATATGTTGTGCTGGCGTGATGTTGCCTCCGTTTAAGCCTAAATTAGTTACTGAGGATGGTGTTGAACTGCATTGGGGTATTAATTATTTAGCACATTTTCATCTTTTAAATTTGATTTTTCCGGCATTACGATCTCAGCCTCCAGGAAGAGATGTTAGGGTAGTTCTTACTATTTGTTCTACTTATATGTTAGGAGATTTAGATCTTATGGATTTGGAATTCCATCGAAGGGGATATCCTTCATCACGTCCTTGGAAATGTTTTGGAGCATCAAAAATTGCTCTTATGAATTTTGCAAGAGAATTCCAGAACCGCATATCTAATTATAAGAGACCAGATGAGTTTCCAAATAATGTGCGTTGCTATGTTGTAGATCCTGGTTTTGTAAGATCTCATATGACGCTTCGTTTTTTAAGTTTTGGGAGTTTATGGGGACTCCTTCTATATATCATTATGTGGCCTTTGTGGTATATTGTTTTAAAAAGTTGCAAGCAAGGTGCTCAAAGTTTGTTATATTGCATAATGAGTTCTGAATGCGGAACTGGTCAAGGAGGAAAATTAATAGTTAAATGTTCACTGAGAGAGTAAGTAGATCTGTATTTTTTAAAAAAAAAATTAAAAATTTAAGTATTAGTACAAAAAAATATATTAATTCTGATATTTCAAGTAGTTTATGGAAAATTACTGAGACATATATTATGGATGTAGAGAAAAAAGAAGCAATAAAACGTAATATTTTAAAGAAAAAATGTAAATAATCTAGATATGTTTCGAATAATTTATTTATATGTTTATATGTTTATAATATTTATATTTTTATATTTGCATATAAATTTAATTTTTTAAATCGATAATTTAAAAAAATTAAAAAAGTTTAGATTATGGTAAAAAATTGTGAAAGTATTCTTTATATACTTAAAATAATATTAAATAGATACCTTGCTTCTCTAGATTACCTGAATCCCTTATATTTCCTATACAAACAACTTCTAGTCAATCTGTCAAAACTATTCATGATACTTTTAGATTTGGTCTTAAATCTTCAGAATTAGATATTAATTCGTATCATGATTTAGAGGTTTTTCTAAAAAGATGGAAGTATGAGGAACATGAATCGAAAATGGAATTGTTAAATAGAATTTTTGGCATTTCAGAACCTATTCGTCGTAAAATGGAATTGAAGATTATTGATTCTGTATGTATTTGTTATTTTTATTATTATTGTTATATGATATATTTGAGTAGGAATTTAGGCCTATCATTTTTGGAAGGTCAAGCAATATTCATCATGATATACTTACTGGAAATGATAGTAGTGTAGATATTGATGAAATTTTCTTAGGTTTTATAATTTTTTAATTATATAGTTACTATAGTATTTAACAAAATTAGGTGATGAGGATTGCTTTGTCGATTTCCATAGTGAATTGGAGAAAAGAATATTTATACAATAATTTTTAGAAAGCTTTAAATGGTATTAGCCTTTAAAGTTTATAATAATAAAATAGAATATTAGGATTCTTTCTATTCCATTATTATATGAGTTCAATTGGATTTTGATGTGAATATATATAATGATTAAATGTTTGGTTTAGATTAGAATATTTTAGATAGGTTTATTTTAAAATGTATTAAATATTCTTTGGTAAAATAATGTTTATATTATTACAAGTTCAAAAAATGTTAATTCATAATTGAAATATGCTATAGATATTGTTTTTGAGAAATATTTTTGAAATTTTGTACTTTAATGATAAAATCGAAAATAAAATTTCATTTTTAATGTTTTATTATAACATTGAAAGTTTAATAGCTTTTATTTACTAAAGATATTAATAGCTTCTATTATTAAAATATCAAAATATTATTAAGAATTATTTAATTAATTTTATTTTAGATTAAATCATTCTCAATAATAAATAAGTTTAATCAAACCTAAGTTATTTAGCATTTTTTTGTTAATTAAGTTTCTAATAGTCTATATGATAATTTCTTTAATGCAATTAATTTTAAATTTGTGTAAGATTTTGCTTAGATAGAATTTTAATATTGAAATTTTTTGTGTCAATTTTTTTAAAATATTTTTAAAATTATAGATTTTTAATATGAATTAGTATCTATGTTATATGCAATAGATTTAAGTAGTTGAAGTTAGATTAGTATTATAAAGTATTCCGATATTTTTTCATATTTAAAATGAATATATTATAAATAATATGGAAAAATGCTTTGAATTTTTTTCAAGTTTCGATAATTTACTCAGAAAATATTAGATTATGATTGTTTATTTTTTTATTAAACTACACTGACTGATTCCTTAAGAAATCTATTGATGTCAAATAATATAACTGTTGATGATTTGAGAAATTTAATTAATGCTAAAATTTATTCAAATCGTTCCCTTGTTTTAATTGGTAAATATAATAAATATATGATATTTAAAGATATATTATTAGGTTTAAAAAAAATTTTAGATTTTTTTATGGATTGTGAGATACGCTTTTATGAAAATTTAGGAAGTTCTTCAGTATTATTATCTTATTTTAATACGGAAGTTCCATGTAAAGAAATTTTTGAACTTTGGATGTATTTTCATCAGGTCATACTATTTTAATATTATTATTTTTTAACATGTTGAAAGAACAATGATTTTCCTATTGTTTCTCTTATTTTGGAAATATTGATTTTTGTAATACGAATTATTGGATTACTAGGTAGTTATACAACAGGCAATAAGATTATTAAAAGAATTTTGGATTTTCATATTAAATCTATTTATCGTAATTTGTCCTCCAATATAGATATTTTGGTTATCGGGACTTTAAGACTTTTAATTGAAATGTCATGCTTTAATTTAGGGTCTTTTGTTTTAGAGATTTTTAAATCTTTTGATTTCTCGCATAAGGTTATTTCTAAAATAATGAAGGTATTTTTTTGTTAATCAGTAATTTTAGAATTAAGTTTTAAATAGAATTTTTCTAAGGTTTCAATTAATACATCTTCACGAATTAATGCACGGTTTTTGGCTTTTGAGACACCTAGAACTTTTATGATTAGGTTTATATTTTGTTTTTTGGAATTTGGCCCCATTTCTTTGAAATTAGAACTTTTTGGTTATAAAAATATTTTTTATGATATCTTTTCTGGTCTTGTTAAAGATGATCTAAGTTTCATGCAAAAGGTGTTAGATATTATTCTTCAATTTGTTATTTTTGAGAAAGGTATACCTCGTAGTATAAAAATGTCGATATTTAATGAGAATGTTTTGAATGAAGTGAGTTTAGTTATGTTAAATAATTAATATTTAAAGTATAGTTAATTGCTTTATATTCTGAGACGGATGATGGAATCTCACGATCTATGGCTATACATAATTTTTTGATATTATTATGTACTAAACATGGAATGGGTATATGCTTTGAATGCAATGGATGGTATCCAAAATTGGAAACTGATTTTAAAAAAAATAAGAGTCTTTTAATATACAATAAAAATTTATCATCTTTTATATTTAAACTCAAAATAACTCAGGATATTCTTCAACAGGAATTGTTTTTAAAGATATGTCAGGCGTGCCCTGAATTGATTGCATATTGCGCGCCACAATTTAGTCTCAATATTCGTTTTGAACCTCATTTAACAATATCTTGGTTAAGTATATCTTCTGTATATCAGTCTCTTGTTCTTTTACCTATCCCACTCATGACTTTTTCTTCTATTTCTTCTGAATTAATTCTTACTACTATTTTAGAAAATATTATTCCTTCAGCATTAACAAAGGTATCGCTTAGTTCAGGATTGAAATATAATAGTGATTTGGTTGTATTTTTTACGGCAAATTTGATTTTGTCTTCAATAAATAAATATCGTCAAATAATGACTATATTGGATAAAAAAAATGATTTTAATATGAAGACTTTTGAATGGAAAAAAAATCGATTATTGTTAAGAAAAATGTTTTTAAAACGTTTGCCTGATATTCGTGTTATTTTTTTTGTATTCAAGTCAGTTTGGGGAAAATCTAGTAATCTTTTAAAATTTTCTGTGATAAAACTTTTTGTATATTATATGGAAACCTTTCCTGAAATTATTTTTTTTGGAAAATATGATTATTCATCAATTTTGATAAAAGGTTTTTCTGAAATATCGGAAGAAGCTTCATATGGTTCTCTTATTCTTTATTATTTATTTCGTATATCTTATAGATTTCTTCCAATATCTAAATGGTGGAATAAAAATCAAGGTATATTTAGTATTTAATTTATAATTTTCTAAATTTATAAGAATTCTCGGAGACTATATTTACTACTTTAGTCAAATTTTATCTTTCTTCAAGAAATAATGAGTTTAGAAATGAATATAAAAATCTTATCTCATCTTTGTTGATATCTTCAAATGCATTTTCTATTGCACTACGTATGGATTCTGCAGAATTGATATTAAAAACTTTAGATGATGTAAAATGCTTTACTAGTAGGGTTAATATTATAGTTGATTTTTTAGGTGATAGCCTGATGCTTTATATGAATTCTCCTTACAAATACATGGATTATTTGGTCTCTTTTATTTTTGATTATAAATTGGAAATTAACGGGAGATTTCCTAGTTTAGTGTTAATTGTATTAATAGAGCAATGGGATTATTTTTTTAAATATTCTATGTCTTCTGATGATGATAAATTTTTGATTGCGTCATGGTTGTCTAGAGTTCTTGGATTTTTTACTTTGAATGAAGATATTTGGGAAATTTCAAAAAAAATATCTTGGAAATTAACGAAATCAATGGAAGAACGATCATTTGAGATTGCTTGTATATTTAATGAAACAAAATTATATACAGAGTTTTTAGAAAAATCATTTTTAACTGGAGTTTGCTCAAAAGGCTCCAGTTTTTGTTTAGTTACTAAAAAGTTTCAAAATATTTCTTTTGTGAATTATAAATATTCATGGTATTATCCTTTATTTAGTTATTTTTTTCTGATTGAATAAAAAGTGTTTCTTTATCTGATAATTTTATTTTAATTGATTTTATTTTGCATGGAGGAATATCACAGTTATACATTCATTTTGATAATATAATACATTATATCCGATATAAATATATTAATGTTTGTTTATTGGATGTCATTGTTCTGAAGATGATGATTTATGTCCTTTTTTTTGATAATAGGGAAATTATATATGATTTTAATGATGTTATTTTAAAATATTTTAAAATAATTAGATCTATTGGTGATGTTTTAAGGGACACTAAAGATTATGATAGATTTAGGGAAATTATAATTGAAAAAAACAGATGGCTTGACAATTATTTAAATTTTGGATCTAATTTCAGTTCGTTTAAAATACGGATTTTTTCAAAGGGTAGGATTTTTTTACTTTTTTTTACTATTTTTGATTTAATCAAAAGAATTTATATATCTCGTTATAGACTTTATAGAACCATTGGACTCATGTTTATTATTTGAAATTATGAATAAAACATATGAGAATTTTATAGAAGTACTAACTGATGATTCAATAAGAATTCTATCTTTATCTTCTGATGAGGTAAAAGAATAATGTCTTGCAAACTTTTTAAATTTTATAGTGGAATGAAATTTTTTTATTATTAGAGCCATATTGGTCAAAAGATCGGTTTTCTGAAATATGGGCAGAAGTTGTGAAGAGATATATACAACAAATACATGCTTTTGGTGATACACGTTCTGATATCTTAGATTTTTTTACTCTTGTTTTTGGTCGATTTTTCACTGTGAACAATATTGAAATTGTTACAATTTCTGATTTCGTTTTAATTTTAAATACAGGACTAAAAAACGGATATTCTTTGAATCATATATTTGAGCTTTTAATAGCTAAAATTTTTTCTTTACCTGATGATTCTATTTTTACTTTCTATGAGTTTATAGGTAATGTGTTTTTTTTAATATTTCAAAATACGGAAAATATCTTCTTTTCAGACTTGGTCAGTAAAATTTGTTCTAAATCTTCTGTTTTTCTTGAAATTATGACTGAAAAAGTATGTGAAATAGTAAAGAAGTATGAAAATATTTCTACTTTTTCGCCTTTTTTTTTTCCTAATTTATTATGTTTTATTAATGCATATATTTTATGGAAAGATTATTCATTACAGAAAAAAAAACTTATAACAGATAAATTAAATCATCATTTTGTATTTTTGTTGCAGTTTATTAAGGATGATTTATTAAACGGGTTTCTTGATCAAAATGAAAAGGGTTTTATATTATTCCAGATTTTGTATCAAAGTATAAAACTAAATTTGTTATTTGAAGATGGGAAAAATATTCTTGATAAATTATGTATAGGTTATAATAATATAATTTTAAGTAAAAGATCTGTTGAAATGATAGAACTTGTGGCTTATAGGTATGGAAATGAGATTGTTGAAAAATATATAGGAATTTGGTTTAATAATATTATAAAATTATTGATAGAATATTTTTCGGATGATATAAAGCTTTCTGATGATTGTCTTGGTTTTATGGAATCTTTTGGTGAGTTAAATTGTATTTAAGAGATAAAAAAATTTGATAATTATTAGCTAATTATCTCAAATCATCGGGGAAAATGTTATCGAAATATGTCTCGCAGAGTCTTTTGATTCTTTTAATAAAATTTGGACTTAAAAACCATATACTATTATATAATGTAGTTAAATTTATTTATTATGTTGTTAAGGAGTTTAAACATAATGTAAGTTTCATATAATGTTAAATATCTGTATTTATATTATGAAGATAGAAGATTCTACATTATTTGTATCGCTAATTTTGTCTAGTAGTAGCAATTGGAATGATATAAATACCAACTCTGCTATTTTTTTTGAGCATAGATTAATTATTGTTCAATTACTTCATTATTTAATTTGTAATTTGTCTACTCATATATCTTTATATATAATTGAAAGTATTTATAATGTCTATACAGGTACTACGAATGCTGTTGATGTGATTTTATTGGATATCTTGCAAAAATATGAGGAATTTGTTCGACATAATTTTTTTAATAAAAAAATTATTCTTAATATTCAATCTGAGACCAAGAAAAATATACCGCTTGAAATTTCTTTTGATACGGATGACATTACTGTTTTTTTATCTTCTGAGATTCTTAAAAAAAGCATATATTCTTTTCCTATTATGAAAGAATCTTTATTGGATTTTTCTCAAATATATAAGGATGATTTATGGTTATATTGCGATGTAATTGAAAATGTATATGATTTTTCTTTTTTTCTTCCTCTTGTTCTGGCATATCTTATTTCTAATGAACATATTTTAATTAAGTTTTTGATTGATTCTAATATATTAGGATATGTTTTGATATCTTTATCTTCTGATGATAGAACCATAAGAAAAATGGCGTTAACTGTACTTTCTATGTTTGAAAATAAGGTTTCTTGTGTTTCTTTGTATTTTATTATTTAAGATTAATACTCTAGATTATTTGTTTCTCTGAAAAAAATCAAATATTGATGTTTTTTCAACTACTGAAGTCATCTATAAGTCTTTCTGGTATGGAATTGGAACCTATTCCCTATGTTGTTTCCCTTTTTATGGCGTTATCTATACAAATAATAATTAATCCTTCTCATTTTTTGTTTGATGAAGTTTGTCGTTTTTACTTACAAAGATCAAAACTTGATTTCCATGATATTCCTATATTTTTTAGTCTTTGGAATTCGTCGAGTGATTACTATAAGCAAAGTAATTGGCTAATGTCGTTTTTAAGTTCTGGTTTAAGGACTCTATCGGTAATATTTTTGAATTACTTGGATACATGATGTTTAAAATAGCTTAGGATTATAATATATATAAGAAGAGACATATTTTTGAACTTTTGTGTTGTTTATTCTCTTCTGAAATTGTTACTAATGATATTCGTTTTAAAATTATTAAACTTTTTTGGTTTGCTTCAAATATATATGAAGTTAATGTTTCTTTGGTCCGTGATTATGGCATACTTTCTTGGATTGATCAACAAATTGCTATTTGTAAAGATGGAACGCTGAAAATAATGTTAGAACGATTGTTTTTACGTTTTCATCATTCAAGGTTAAGTAATCTATATAAATATAAGTTGAATTTATCAAGAGAAAAAAAAAAATTGTAATATAAATTAGCTCAAGAAATTATAATCTATCTATATAAATAATTTAAATCTATTAATGAATTTGATATCGTTTTGACGTTCGATAAAATTCGAAATTTGACGATTATATTGAGTTATGTCTCTAATTTATTCTGTAGAACAGCTGTTTGATATTAAAGAGTCTCCTCTTGTTAAAAAGCCAGATAGGTTGCCTGATGGGATAGGGTTTGCAAAAATAGAAAAATATAATCTAATTTTATGTTAATAATTAAGATTTGAGACAGAAGTGGAATATAATAAATCATATAATGATGCAAATGTTTCTTTTAAAGAAAGGTATTAAACTTTATTTTCTGAAAATATACTATTTTTTATTCTATTATATTAGGTCCTCCGGTGATGTTGAAATGTTTACTAGTATAAAAGATTATAAATCATTTTATGCTTCGGGTAATATCTTAAAGTATAAAATATTTTTTTTTATAAATTTCTGGTATAGATATGATGACTTTTGATCCATATAATACTGCATCTTTTATTCCGGAATTTAGGAATAATGTTATTAATATTGATAATAATGATGACAATATTTCCAGAACATTTACTAAATATGGTATTGCGCATATATTTAATGATGATGGTATGTTCTTTTTTGGATTTATGAATTTTTTTAAGTCTAGAGTTAATGATAACTGTGAAGCAAATTCTGCACGAATAGTACATGGAAAATCTATAGCTATTGAAAATGTAAAACCAAAAACTAGTCAGGGTATATGAATAATGTTTATTCATTCTTTGCATATGATTATGTTTTTAGAATTTGCTGAAGAAATGTACTATAAACGTAAAATACGTACGAGTCTTCGTGAAAAAAAATGTGAATCAGCTTTTGAAAATCGTAATAATACGTTACTAGAATCTTCTCTTGATAGAATTAAGCCCTTAAATCTTAATTCATCTGATTTAATAAGAAATGCAAAAAAAAATACTATTAATGAAATTAAGACATGGGAGATGGATATGAAATATAATAATATGCCTAGTATAATTGACGATAATAAAAATGTTGAAGGTTTTAGGGACTTAAAAAATACAATTATATCTGGTGATTCTAGAGATCGTATAAAAACTATTCTTAAATTGGAAGTTTCACGAAAAGATGTTCCTATAGAACATAAAGAGGAATATATTTCTGAATACGATAATAAATATGATAGAAATTCATCCAGTTATTCTCGATTAAAAAATGTTGATGGTGAATTTGACTCGATGTATTTTTTATCAAATTCAAGACAAGTGTCATCTTCACGATATCATAATCTTGATTCTAATCAAACATCTCGTTTTTCTACTTTTTTCGCTAGTGATTCCATAAATTTGATAAGTGATGTAAAGAAAAATAATTTGAATGTTTCATCAAATAATGAACCTTTGTCTACCGAATATTCTGATACTGGTTTGATTTATGGGTCTGATTATAATGATAAATTTTCTGAAATTTCTATTACTACTTCTAAGACGAGTGATGAAATTGGTTTTCAACGAATAATGGATATGCTAAGAAAATCGAATCAATCTATTTCTACGAATGTATGTAACCTAAATTACATTTTTTTTTTATATAATATATATATAGCGTTTGATATCTCATAACTCTAAAATAACATCTAATGAAATAGATTATAATAAGAGCAATGAATATTCCATACAAAATTCTGATAATTTACTTAAATATCAGTCATTTATGCATAAGGATATTTCTGATTCAAAATTTTTTCTAAGTTTGCTTAATCAACCTTCTCATTTATCTTCTTTACATGTTGATTCATTGAATAATGGTTTGTATATTAAATTATATATATTAAATATATAATATTAATATTAGAGAACATAAATGCTTTTCGGGATTGAAATGTTTTTCTTGATGTATCTAAATGTTTAAGAAAATTGATTTATTTTCAGTTTTAATATTATTATATTAAGAATTCAATGTTAGATTATATTGAAAATAAAATTTATAATGAAATTTTTATAAGTTGTACTGTGACATTTTTTTGATATATTTTTGAAAATGTTAAAACAAATTTAAAACTTATTATAAAAAACCAATTAGTATATGTTAAATATTTTTTTAAGAAAAAATGTATATTTAATGTTTTTTTGTTATGGATATAAATTAGTTAATATATTCATTTCTTATTATATTTTTATAATAATTTTAAATGATTTAGATTAATTATTATATATAATTAATTTATAAATATGCGTTTTTTATTAAATATATATTATTATTATAAATATATATACTCATTGAAATATTAATAAATAGTAAATACTAAAAAATGTAATATATATGATATTTATATATTTTCCAGAAATAAAATGAATTATATAAATACAAACATTTTAATTTGTAAATTATAATTAAGTGCATATGATTTATTATATATTTATAATTCTATTATTAATGTTAAATGACTATTCATTAATAAAATGTTTAATTTTCTTATAAAAAATATTTTTAATATATATTTTAATTAAATCATATTTTTGAGATATACATTTTTCGAGTATATTTTATTACAAGACTAAATTATTAAAACATACAATATTTTAATTGTTTATATAATTTTATGAAATGAACCAAGATATTATTTTAGAGACACCATCGTCACATGTACTTCTAGACATTCCTATATCTATAAATCCACTTCTTTTATCCAAAGAACCAATTACAAAACCATTTGAACTACCTGAATCTGAATCATTACATCAATCTGAATTCCTAATCACTAAGTATAATTATTGGAAGGATGAAATAAATGAAGCATTACAAGAAATGCATTATATGAGAAAAAATGAAAAATGGACATTAGAAAAAAAAATAATAACAAAAGAAAAAATAAAATTCTTAGAAACACTAGAAAATAATATTTTTTTAAATTCATTATGCTCTTATAACATTTTAAAATCAGTAAAACTCCTTGGAGGACAATTAGAGGATTTGGAATTAGAAAGTATTTAATATTAAACTATTAATGTTATATTTTAACAACAGTAGATAATAGCTATAACTGGTTAGATATTTATAATCGTGTAGTAATTAATTCAGATTATCATACAAAATCTATTAAAATTTCAAACAATATTTTTCATATCCCTCCTAAATCATCATTTATTTTAGGAAACATAGAAGATAATATAGATTCATTAATTAAATATATTATTAAAAATGGTACATTCGATATTATTATTTTTGATCCTCCATGGAAAAACAAGTCATCAGCTAGAAAAATGGCATATTCATTAAGTTCTAATTACATCTTAATGAAGGTAAAAAAATATTAAAAAAATCTATATTAATACTACTAGATACCTATACAAAAACTATTATCAAAAAAAGGGATAATTGGTATATGGGTGACTAACAAAAAGTCTATTCATGAGTTTGTAGAGAATAAGTTATTTAAAAATTGGAAGATGTCTAAATCCGGTTCATGGTGCTGGTTAAAAGTATATATACATTTAATTTATTAACAATTTATTATTTTCAGGTTACTGATACAGGTGAACCTATCTTTAATATTCAGTCATTTAACAGAAAACCATTTGAAGAGATATTGTTTGCACAATTTACAAATGAGCCTAAAAAAATAGAAATTTCAAAGCGAATAATAGCAGCTGTTCCTGATTTACATTCAAGAAAACCATGCCTTAAAAGTATATATCATGTGAATGTTAGAGTATATTTTTTAAAATATGACAGATTTATTAAATTCGCTAATTCATGATTATAAAGGATGCGAATTTTTTTCTAGAAATTTAATACCTGGATGGTTCAGCATTGGAAATCAAACATTAAAGGCACAATGGGATAAATGGAACACAAAATATACAACATAAAATAAATTACATGTTTAATTCTGTAATTTATTATAATTTCAATATTAAGTTTATTAATTAGTTAGATCTGTATTATGATAACATTTTTCAATATACACAATTATTATCAAATTTATATTTTAATATTTATTAGTATCATATTTCATATTTGCTTAGATATATAAATACATGTAATTCCACATAAGGCAGTATGTTCAACTTTAATAACAATTTAGTATATGATCTATAATATAAAATAAACCTAATTTTAATTCAATAACATCTATTTTAATAACTATTTTACATCCAAAATTTATTTACTACTACTTTTATTATACTATTTCTAATACCATAATATTCATATAAACTATTCAGAATAATATATTTCATAACAAATTCCATAATTTAATACTATTATCATAATTACGTGAAATGCATTTCATATCATTATCGCTATCATTATCATATTTATCAAAATATTTTTCATCATATTTTCTTGAACCAGAACAGGTTGCAACTAATGGATATAATGGATGTACAACTACAGAACTTACTACATCTATAACAAAATAAATACATATTTTTTTAAAAATAAAACATTTATACAAACCATGATGGGCATTCCATTCAAATAGTAAAATATCATCTTTCCATATCCTAACAATACCATCCATGCTTCCGGCTATAATATAATTATCCCAAATATCTACAGTCATTCTTTGTTGTGTCATAGCAAAACGAGGACCCAAAGTTTTAATACATGAAAGGGTTCGAATATCCCAAATGCTCATTTTTTCAGACTTACGTGAAACTACAAGCAATTTATAGTCATTTATCCATAAAACTTGTGTCACACCCCCATCACCAACATTAAAGACAGAAACAATATCACCACAACCTTCATTAGAATATATACCAACAGTTGAACTAAAAGTTCCAGCAGCAAGAACTCCAAGAGTATTAAGACTAAGTGAAGAAATAATACCTTTTTGAATAGGATGAAACAAAGAGGATTTAGAATGCCTTGTGGGTGTTGTATGAAAAGTAGCTATAGGACCATCACCATACATATGTAAAGCATATATAGATAACATATTATTAGTACCAGCGATAAACCTAAAACAAACATATTAATCAACATTTAATTATATAAAACAATATAACCTAGCACCATCCAAAGAAAATATCAAGGAATTCGGAGCAAGAAATCTTTCACAATGATCTATAAGAGGATATGAAGCCCTTAACTAAAAATTAAATTAAATTATTTTAGGATAATTATTCTAATAAACCGTTGAAGTTAAAGCATCATATAAATGAATAGGATGGTCACGAACAGAAACTAAAAAACAACACGAATTAAGATCTATAAAATGAATTATTTATACCAAAAATTAATAACCTACCATTTAGTTTCATTTTAGGATACCAAACATAGGAATAAACAGGCTCAGCAGATCGAATAAAGGAAGAGCATGGTAATTCAGAAACTAGTAAGATTTAATTAAAATATAAATTACTGCCATCTATTTACTTTCGTTTTTTTCTAAAATACTATCTGAACTTTTTAAATTAGAATTAAAATTATATAATTATTCGTATCTTTACATAATAAAACTTCGCAAAATATTATCATTAGAAGAACTCAAAAGACACATCCCATCTGGAGACCTATTATTTAACCATAAATAATTTATATTTGTTATTAATAATATGATACCATTGAATTTGTTTTACAAAATTTGTATTATTATTATTATTATAAATAACACCAAGCTCTTTCAATCCAGAAATTTCAGACTTTTTTAATGCAATCAATTCCGGATAACAAAAAAAGCTAGATTTATTATGTTTAGAATATTTCATAAATCCATTCATTTAGTTAAATTCAGATAATTAAAATCAAAATCCAACGTATTTTTTTAAATAAAAATATTAAATTTATAATTTATTAAGTGTTTATAGAAAAAATATTTAATACCATAATTACTATATATTTACATTTTTTTTTATATTTTTTAAAATATTATAAACAAATTATATAACATCGAAATATTTTTTTATTTATATATTTTTTTTATATTTTCATAACATACATTTTTACATGTCAAAATACATAAAATAATTTCATAATGTTAATAACAAATATACTATTTTTTGCATAGTAAAAATATATGTTTATTATAATTCATATAAATTAAACAACAAAATTATAATAAACTCAAACTTATATAAAAAAGTACAGCTATTTTTTTTTCTGATAGTTAATAGTATTATATATTATATATATATATATTTTCACTAAAATTAACCAAAGCTAATATTATATATATTTAATCAAATCTAAATCAATATTAATTAAAAAATTCATAAAATTAAATAGTTATGTATATAATTATTATTTCCGATTAAACTTATGCTAAAAAAAGTTAATCTTTAATTTATTTTCTAAATCTTTAAAACTATAAAGTTTAGGAATTTCAAAGCGATTTATGATTTAATATAAACAACTTTCTAAAATCCTAAATACAAACTTAAAAAAATTATATGCTCATAACATTAGAAAATTATATTTTCAAAGATCTATTCAAAAAAAGATTATAAGTTTCATTAATAACATTAATACCATTTATCATCATTCTTCATTATACAATGTTCAGAAAAAGAATAACTCCTATCAGTTTCAGAAAACAAACATCCAGTAGTAATAGAAGGTTTAGATTGACTATTAGTAACTATATCCATATTTTTATTCAAAATGTTATCATTTATCTTTGTCGAATCAAAAAGCCCTACTAAAGAAGAATTCAATGTCTCTTTTAGTTTTTTTTCATTAAAATTTACGAGAATTGAATCCTAAAAAAATAAATATTATTTAAAAACGCTACAAACTTACTACTCGATTTTCATAAACGTTCTGAGATTTTTCCATTGAATCAAACCCTGTGTCAACTATAAATGATTCATAATCACATGAGGTATTCAAAGCATCTTCAGTAAAAAAAACATCAAGACTATGCAAAGTTGACACCATATCATCAAGCGAATCACCCTCACAATCATCAGAATTTTTAGAAAATGCAGTTCCTGAATGATTATCTGTTCCATGATAATCATCTACATGAAACTGAATATCTGAAGTGATTAAACTCGTATTCGAAGATGCAACAGTACATGTGCAAAACACGGAATGCACATTCGACCTAGTGATAGTAGCAGTAAAAGAAGCCATAGGTACTGCCCATCCATTTTCATCAGGAATACCAAACAATTCCTCAATTTTTCCAAACTCTTTTAAAATAGTTTTATTGCTCAAAATCATTCTTAAAACATGCTTATCTATAGAACCTCCAGATATTATATTTATTTTCTCTAAAACTTCTATGGCCAGCTGAACATATTCTGTTTTCAAAAGCCTAAGAAGAGGAAATATCAAATCAGCACCAAATCCAGAAAACTTTGGCTTACTAGTATCTATATAAAGTAACATAACCTTAAGAATCTCCATAATTTTTATTTTAATCCACTTCCGTTTGTTCGAAAGCATTCTTAACATAAACAAAAGAGCAGATGTTTCCCATTCAGGAAAATAAATATCATGAATTATAAAAATAATTTGTTTTATGAAATCCTCTTTAACACGAATTCGTGACTTAGAAAAAGAAGAAATAATCTTTTCTAATTCTAAAAGTCCTTGAGAGCTAGCCATAGCTTCGAGATTTTTAGCACAGTTAATAACATTTTCAGATAATGTAGAGTTTTCTAAAGCATCCAAAAAACGTGGTAAATTAGCCAATACAGCAAAAAGCAATCTTTCATTATTCCCAATAATGTCATTATTAGGTAATCCAACTATAAAATCCAAAACTCTAAGAGTTATATCATAAGAAGTAGATGATCTCAATCCCTTTAAAATTAATGATTGCAATCCATCAAAATCTCCAGACCATTTAAGTGGGAACACTGATAGTAAAAAGTTAACATTAGAAGGAAAACCTAAATCAATTTTTTTCATTATTTCCTCCAAAATCAAAATACACTGTACAAATTCTTGTTCATGAATAGTATTTAAAGATGCTACTACACCCCAAAACAACTGAGGATAATTCTTAAACTCAGATTCATTGAGTTTCTCTGTTAAAACTTTTAGAGTTACTAATATTTCCATAGCAAAACCCTGAATATCTAATGAATTATCACAAATAGTATTTGATAGTCTTGCTAACATATTAGCAAGTATATTTTGATCCAATGGAAGCAAAAGACATCTAAATATTTCAAAAGATCGACATGCTAAATGACGAACTGGACACAATGTTGCCCAAGTAATTGCAACTTTCCCCCATATTTGCCGTAAATCATTATATTCTACAGAACATATTTTCAAAACATCGTCCACCATTTTTTTCATTTGTTCAGGTATTTTTGGATTTTTTTTACTATGATTTAAATCATCGTAAGTCCAAAATAATTCAGAATCTTTAAATCTTAAAATACTAACAAAATTAACTTTAATTTTCAATAATTCGCTTTCCTTCAAGCTATAAAAATTAATGCAATTTAGTAAAGTTATTAACATTTCTTTTGCTTGATCCTTTACTAAATCAATATAATGATCTAAATGTATAAATGCAAGATGCAATGCTAATGGTAAAATAGCAGCAATAGAGAAATCAGTTTCTGTTATTAAATCAACCACAAATATCAATGCTATCTGTCCATGAGAAAAAATAATTGGTTTTTTTGGAAGAGGAAAAAAATCATCCAGTATCGCCATATAAGAATAAGTAGCATTTGTATTAGAATAATGAGTTAATTCACGAAGCTGAGGAACCATTGAGCGCGGATTTTGGAGACAATTAAATAAAGTATCCATAATTTTAAATCCTAATGGAGATCTATTAAGATAAATTATAACATGCTTTGCAAAAATAACGAATGCTGGATCTTTTCTTTCTATACATTTTGACACGAAGAAATCAAGAATAATCTTTATATTTCCAACATAAGGGCCAGAAACCAAAGCAGTCCAGAGCTCTTCTATTTCATTTTGAAATCTATCACCATATTTTACACTAATTTCTAAAAGATTAACCAAAACCATATAAGAAGATAAACCTAAATCTTCATTACATGTATCAAACTGAAGTTCTATAACTTGAACCCAAGGCAAGAGTATTATGATAATATCTTTTTGCAATTTTTCAGATACTAAATAAAAACATTTCAAACATTCAGAAAACACGATAAAAGCCAAATCAGAATACTCTTTCGAATATCTAGAAAGTAGAAGATATTGACCACGTCTATAAATAGAAACAGTATTATTAAAAATTGCAGCTTCGAATCCCGATACTAATGATTTACCAAAAACTAATTCTTCAGAATATTTCAACAATCGCAATGCATTAATCCTCACATTCAGATTCTTATCACCAATTCTAAAGAAGCAAAGCACTAATACTTGATGAATAGAATATGGAAACATAGTTGCATTTATTAAAACATCTACAAGTACAGAAAAATAACACTGGGTAGATTTTGATTCCATATGAGATCCATAACATTTTTGCATGCTTTTTTCAAGCAAAACAGGATAATCCAAATTATATCGTAACAAATTAAAAAGTGCTTTACAACCTAAATCTGAAACTCTTTCATTTTGACTTAAAAATAATGCATCTGTCCATCGAAAAAAACTATCAATATCAAATGATACAACGTCCTTTTTATTAGTATTATCTTCTATTACCGGTATAATTCTTCCAGACTATATAAGATTAACGTCAAAATAATGGATAAAAATATAAGACTTACACAAAGTGAGGTCATACAATTAAGAGCAGCCATTTGCAGATTTTTCTTCTCGATTTCCAATGATGCAATTATAGGATTAAAATCACGTACATCTTTATATTGATCTAAAACTAGTTGTTTTATATATTCTTCATGCTTCTGAGCAAGTGTTTCACAGGAACCATATCCACACCATTCTTCAATCATACAAAAATAAGATATTCGATCATCAAATGACATCCATCTTAAAGGATCAGAGGTTCTACAAATTCCTCCGTATACATTTTCAAGTAATCCACAAAAATATCGCTTTAACTTCAAATATTCCCATTCTCTTTGTAGATTTAATTCACCAATAAATATCCTAACATCTTTGATATAAGATACCAATGTATTTAATATCCACTCATCTTGAATTATACTATCCTCCATTAAAAAATGAGATGTAAGTTGAAGAATATGCGTGACTTCAGTTAATAAATCATATAATGTTGTCTGAGGAAACTTCTCAGATATTCGAAAATGAAATAAATGACTATTTTCTGTCGACTTTTTTAATACGAGTTGCAAATCTTCTAACAATACTCGATATACATTTACATTTATAAATTCTAATGCAGATACAATAGAATCTTTAATAGCAATGCAATTTGTCTCCAATAATAGAAGAATCTCTTGAAAAACAGAATGTGCAGAAATTGTTTTTTCAAAAAATATACTCATAACATTTTTTTTTTGCTCATATTTCTGAATATATTTTAAAGCCTCATCATCAGTTGAAGTCAATGTAGAACATGCAACTATAAGATAAAGTTTCCATTGCTCAAGAACAATATCTGAAAAATTAGAATGTCTATTAGAATACTTTGACAATATATCAAGAGAATTATTTTTTCTTGAAATCTCAATAGTTTTCATGATAAACTTTTGCATTCGCATAAGTCTTAAACAGGCAATATTTCGACAGAAAATAACATTAATTGGAAATTTCTCAAAACATAATTTAACAAACTTAGGAAAAACACGAAACCAAATAGCAGTATCAATAGTACTTTCACTTTCTGATATTTTTATAAGTATATCATTACGTTTACCATCATGAACTTTCTGCAATCGATTATATTCAACAACTGACAAAGAATCAACAGGAAAAGACAATAGCCTTAAACCATCATGATAAAATATATTTATTATTCTGGAATATGTAAAATCTTCATGTCTAATTGATTGACTTAAAGAAAGATTTTCTACACTATTTTTGCCACATTTACCTATAACTTCATCAATTTTAACGACTAAATGCAACATTTCAAAAGCATAACATCTTATAATTCTTGATTGACTAAACAAAAAAAAAAGACCATTTGATTCTATTTCCTCAACTAAAATCAATATACTAGTCATTTCTACTCTTCCTTCAGAATCAACATCACTAGTAATCTGATTCAAACAATTAGAGAGCTTTTTTTTCTCATTTACTTTATCTTCAATTTGTTTAATCCAAATCTTCAATAAATTAACAAAGAGCCGCAATATACTTTCAGTACATGAAAAAATATTCTGATTAGCAGTAGCAGAAACATTATATTCTTTCAAAAACAATTCATCATACTTTATTACAAGTTTAGAAACAGCAGATAAAACTATTTGTGCCTTATTTTGCTTAGCAATCAACTCAAGTGCATTACTTGCAGCCTTCGAAACTCCAAGATCAAAATGCAAAAGATTCTTACAAATCATATCAACTACTTTTACAAGAGATACTTCTTTGAACAAACATTTTGATAAAGCTTCAAAACTAACAATTAAAAGCTCATGATATATTCGATTATCTTTTAAGTCCCCTGATAAATAAGATTCATTGCTCAAAGAAGACACTTTTAGTAAAGATAAATCAATTTCTTCAATTTTATAACCATAACTCTGATCACATACATATGCTATCTTAAAGACCATCTTAGAAAACAGTTCATAATAATCTTTAATAATAGACTTATTTATAACATCATACAATAAATTAAGCTGATCATCAGAATATGCAGGGATTTCCTCAATAATTACAGGAAATGATGGTCTATTTCCAAAACATGATAAATCATAAACAATAGCTAAGACAGCCTTCATAGCAATTATCATTCTTTCTGGAGACAAATCATCAACAACAAGAAAATCCTGAGAAAACTTAGATGTATCTGCACTCATAAGAGGAAATATAATATTTTTAAAACAATAATCGGGATGTTTTAATCCAATAAAACGGATAAAGGCAACAAGAGCCAAAATACACGATTCCGAAAAACCTAGATACCGTTTTCCTGGAGGAAAAAGCATTAAAATTAAATTATCTAACTTTTTTGTAGTTGTATTAAGACTTTCAGAATAACGAAACATATAAACCCATGTCATTCTTGCTATGCATGTTACTAAAAATATCCTCGTAGTTTTATCTTTCAGCTTCAATATATTTGATCCAATTAGGTTAAGCCAGTTAGCCAAAAACATATCCTTAGGACTAACGCAAAGAAGAGTTGTAGCTAAAGAAAACGCCATATTCCACAATCGAACTTTCATAGACATTTTAATAACCTTAGGATACAACATCTCAACAGTTCCAGCCCATGAAGGAAAATTAAGTTCAGCTGTTGCACTCTAAAAAAATTAATCTAAAAACCATATTCTTAAGAAGCATACATCAACCATAGAAAGCATAGAACGATGAAAAAGAGTAGCATAAGCATATTTAATACGATAACAACTGGTCTCCTGAAAAAATCTAGCTAAACTTGCAATAAAATCAGATGATTCTTCTAATGCATCTTCTGGGCATAACTAAAAAAAAATTAAACATTATTTTTTAAAAAAAGAAAAGCATTGTTACTTTTATTTTAAGATACTTCATGCCATGTATAACCATTTCAACTTTTAATTCTTTTTCTTTAGTAATATTTCCTTTAAATTTTTCAAGATCAGCGATAAAACGATCACTGACACTAGAAAAACGAATTTTACTCATCCAACCAAGAAGCTCAGCAAACAGGTTCCAATTAGCTAATCTAATGATACTATTAGATAAAACCCTAGGATTAGTAGATCGAAGTTGATTAAAAACAATTTCCTCAAGCTTATTTCCAAGCTCGTCTCCTAATGTATCTGCAGATACCTGCTTTATTATCTCAATAAGTGCTCTACATAAGATATATATTGAAACAAGAGATCTTCTATCCTTTATAACTGAGACTCTTCGATTGAATTGAATAGTGCTTGAATTAGAATTTTGTATTTGAGAACCATCTTTAATTTTTCCCTCACTAAATAAATACTCTTTATTAAGTATAGAAGCAATAGATGCTTCTAATTTAGACTTCCTCCAATACATAAATGAATCAATAATAGGCTTGGGTTTATGTCTAGCTATGTATCCCAAACTTTTTAAAATCTTATCAAATATAGGATCAACACCTTCGCCAACTATTTTAGCAATATTAGGTTCCCAATCCAAAGGATATTCCAATATAGTATTAATTTTTTTTTCTGAAACACAAACAAACTGAGCAAAAAGAATATAAAATACATATTCATTAGGTGTCTTGAATTCATGTTTCGACGAATTATATGGTATATGACAAGAAAAACGAGAGGAAAAAACGTTATTGTGAGAGCTTAAAACAGTATGATTTGAAGGAGAGAATGCTTCTTGATCAGAGGCAGAAACCTGAGAATATAACAATGGTTCTTTTGATAAATTTTGAACAAGAGATTTTTCCATACAGCTAGTATCATTTAAACCACATTGAATGCCAGAACTCAACAAAATATGGCTATTTGGTACATAGGAAATAGAATTTTTAGATAAAACTTCAAGTGATCCTTTATTTATTGGAGAATGATGTTCTGAGAATAAAAAGGCATTAGATGCTATTATATTCATAAATAAAAACAAGAAACCTAAAAACATAACAAAAAATACATACCCATTATTATAGTTTAACAAATTTTTCTAATATTTTTCAATCATACTTAGTCAGACAATTTAATATCAAATTAAAACCAAAAACTCTTCTTTATCAAGAATAATATATACTAAACCATATAAAAATAATATTTAATATGTATAATTTGCATTAATTACAGTTATTATATATATCTTGATGCTTAATGTTTATTCTTTTAATGACAATTTTTAACAATTTTTTGTATTTCGAATCAAATATTAAAAAAAAATAAACATTTATAAAAATTAAAATTATATATTGAAAAAGTAAAAAAATATACTGGAAAATAGCATATTTCTATTCAGTGAATTCAAGTATTGTTTAAAATTTAATTTTATTTACAGCTTTTAAATTTTCAAAGTTAAAATGAAGCTTAAATAAACAAAAGTTTTTTAATTTTTAAAAAATTTATAAAAAAGAAACTTCAATCAAGTAATCAAAAAAAATCTTTTGTAAGAAAAATGGTATTTCTCTAAAAAATATAAAAAAATGTTCAAAGAAAAACAAGAATTAACTTTAGACGCATTTGATATTATTTTTATATTTGCGATTTTAACAACAATTATATATATATTTAGAGGAAAGTTATGGACAAAAAAAGGATCTATGTTATCTATTTTTAATAATTCCACAAATGATACTCTAATAATACCAAAAAATACTAGAAATATCATTCAAAAAATGCATGATTCAGTAAGATTAATCATAATTATATAAAGACGCAGCTAATATATAACTAAGCAAAAAAGTGTGGTTATTTTTTATGGATCTCAGACAGGCACGGCAGAAGATCTTGCTTTTCGTTTAGCAAAAGAAGGTCATGCACGTTATGGCTTATCAACTATGACGGCTAATTTTGAAGATTATGATTACGAAAATCTTAATGATTTCCCCGCTGAAAAAATGGCAATTTTCGTCGTTGCTACTTATGGTGAAGGAGAACCAACTGATAATGCTATAGAATTTTTTAAATTTTTGCAATCCAAAAATTTAACATTTTCTAATGGTGATACTATTAATAATAGACCTTTATCAAACTTAAACTATATTATTTTTGGTCTAGGAAACTCTACTTATGAATATTATAATCACATGGCTCGTACTTTAGATACATTACTTATTAAACTTGGTGCCAATAAAATTTCAAAAAGAGGTGAAGGAGATGATAGTAATGCTACATTAGAAGAGGATTTTCTTAGTTGGAAAGATAAAATGTGGGCTGATGTAGCGAAGAAAATGAATCTCAGGGAAAAAGAAGCAATGTATTTTCAAGATTTATTTTTATTTTTTAACATTAATTAGATATATACCAGAATTTGAAATTATCGAAGACTTAAGACTATCCAGCTCTTTAGAAACAGTATTTCTTGGAGAACTAAATAAAGAATATCTTATTGGGAAAATAAAACCATTTAATTCTTATAATCCGTTTATTGCCCCTGTTATTGAATCACATGAACTCTTTTTTTCCGGAAAAAGAAATTGTTTGCATATGGAATTTAGCATTAAAGACTCTGGTATGAAATATCAAACGGGTGATCATTTAGCTATTTGGCCCTCAAATTCAAATCAAGAGGTAGACAGATTGCTTACTATTTTAAACTTAGCTCATAAACGGAATACTGTCATACGGGTCAAAAATATTGACCCTATAGCTAAAGTACCAATACCTCAACCTTCAACATATGATTCTATTGTGAGATACTATTTAGAAATTTGTGCACCAGTATCTCGACAATCATTGACTACTTTAGCACAATTTGCACCATCTAAAGAGGCAAAAAAAGAGACTCTTAGACTAGGATCTGACAAAAATTATTTTCATAAAATTATATCATCTCGTTGTTTTAATCTTGCACAAACAATGCAGTTCATAACTTCTGAATTATGGACGAAGGTCCCTTTTTCGTTTATTATTGAATGTTTTACACGTCTAAAACCAAGATATTATTCTATTTCAAGTTCTAGTTTAATTTATCCAACAAAAGTGCATATTACAGCAGTTGTAGAATCAAAATTTTTTCCAGAGAATGATAATATTTTAAACGGAGTAACAACAAATTATTTATTAGCTTTAAAACAGAAACAGAATGGGGATATTGATACACGTTCCTTTGAAATAAATTATGAATTAGATGGGCCTCGCAATAAATATCGTAATTTTCATTTACCAGTATATATTAGACGGTCAAACTTTCATCTTCCTCATAATCCAACTATTCCAATTATCATGGTTGGTCCAGGTACTGGAGTAGCACCATTTAGAGCATTTGTTATGGAAAGGGCAGAACAAATGAAAAGGGGCAAGAAAATTGGTAAAACAATACTTTTCTATGGATGCCGATACAAAAATGTGGATTTTTTATATAAAAATGAGTGGGAAGTATGAAGTATTACTTAAATATAAAGTTTTTGTATCTTTACAGTTATTAGGAATATAAAAATATTATGGGAGATTTATTTGAAATGTATATTGCATTTTCACGAGAAACCAATAAAAAAGTATATGTACAAGATTTATTAGAACAAAATTCATCTAAAATAAATAAAATTTTAGAATCAGGAGGCATTTTTTATATATGTGGCAATGTATATTTTTCTATGAAATATTATAATTTCTAAATAATTTTTATATAGGCTGCTCGTATGGCTAGAGAAGTAAATATAACTCTACATAAAATAATTAGTGAGGAACGCGGAATAGGGAAAATTAAAGGAAACGAGGTTATAAGAAAAATGAGAAATGAAAATAAACTATTCGAAGATATTTGGTCTTAAACATTAAAAGTTAATATATTAGATAGATATATATATATATTTATATACTAAATACATACATATATATATATATATATATTAAATAAAAAATATCATTATTCTTTTGCAGCCCTTCCATATTTTTGAATATATGAATTATAGACTACTGTAGGTTTTATTTTTAATAATTGAATCATATTATGGTTCAAATTTTATTTAACCTTTTTTATCGACAAATAATTAACATCAAGTGTCTAACAAAAAAATGACGATAATTAAACATTATTTTAAATCTGATAAGCATTATGAATATGTAATAATCTAAAAATAAGAAACAATACTTTATTAAATACATTTTATTTATTACAAAAAATCTATTAAAATCAAAAAAATTATAAAATCAAATATTTAATAAATACAATATATTCCATTAATTTACATATTATACAAAAAAGCAATAGATTCTTTTAAATAGTTTATATTAATTATAATTATCATTTTTAGTAAATCTAATATATAGGATGTGCGCGAAACAAGCCTTTTGGTCCACCTCCGTAAAAACTACTAATTAATTTAGTTTATATTTTCTATTTTATATTGCTCCTATTTTTTCTAGCTTATTGACCCCTTCTTAATATCCTCGAACATCTTTCATGTTATATAGAAACTTTATTATACTTTGGCAGTTTCATCTATTGGTTCTTTTTTAACATTATATTATAACTTCATTATCTTTAGATTCTAATTTTACTTATTCTCTACCTTGTGACTTATTTTTAGTCTTTATTTACTATAAATTATAGAAATTTGTTCTAAATATTAGATCAGATAATTTACTTATTGTCAAATATCCACACTTTATAGGTATTGCATAAAAATCTAAGACTTTATAAACATATTGAAATATTATATAGGCACTTTTTGAAAATTATTATTAATTATTTGGTTTCTTTTTTATATTACTAATTTATTAATCAATGTCTACCTCAGATACCACTCATATTTCTGTTCCATCTAATAAAGAATCACCATTGACATCAGCAATGGCATCTCTTAGTATTTCCGCTGCAAATAATATTACTACTTTAGCATCAGAAGAGTCTATTTTTGATGGGTTGTCTAAACATATCAATATACCGTTAACACCTGCATCTAATGAAGTATCACCTGTTAAATCACAGGAGTTATTAACATCACATCAACCAGATACCAAAGCAAATTTATTGTCACCACCTTCATCACCATTACTTTCTGTTCAGGATCAAAAATTACCTACTTCAAACTCATTTTCTATAAAACAGCAAAAATCTATACAAAATTCGGATATAGTGTCACATACACAGCTCGAGCCTTCTTCCTTTTCTGGACATCAATATATCCATAATAACAATATTTTATATAATAACAAAGGGAGATATATTCGTAGAATTAATTTAAATACTATCAATAAATATCCAGCAGATCATCAACATACATATGCTATGAGCTCTTTTTTAAGAAATCATCCTGCTCAAGTTAGACCTTCATGGTTTACAGCACATAACCATCATCCTGCTTCGTTATATCATTCAATTCCTTCTGCTAATATAATTTCGAATCCTACAATAAATACTGGAACATTCACAACACCAGGTACTTATAGATATCCTACTCATGTTCAACATCCTTCAATATCCTCTATTTATTCATCGTCTTCATCACAACCTCCTACTCCACTTAGTCCTCAAATTGCTGGAATGATTGCATCAGGGCCACCTGTACCAGCACCCGTTCCCTCAATATTTTCTGGGCCAGCCTACTATGATACTCTAGAATCATCTCTTCAGAATCCTAATAAAACAACAAATGTTTATATTAGAGGACTTCCTCCAGATACTACAGATGAAAGTTTATACATTTTAGCATCCAGATTTGGAAAAATTCATAGCAGCAAAGCGATCCTTGATACACAATCTGGTACTTGTAAAGGGTATCTATATGCAAATAGTTTTATATTTTTATATCAATAGTTTTTAGATTTGGATTTGCCTGGTTTGAACAAGAAGAAGAAGCAAAAGCATGTATTGCTGGTTTAATGCATTTTGGTTATCAAGTGTCTTTTGCTAAGGTTTATATTTTTATTATAGTTATTTCTGCTTATTAAATAATTTAGGAATCTTTCAGTACAAGACTTAAAAATTTAGCAGATCCAGGATCAACTAATTTATATTTATCTAATCTTCCTTTAAATATGCATGAGAAAGTGAGCTATGAAGAAATAATTGTTTAAAATTTAATAATATTTAGGATTTAGAAGAACAATTTGCTCCATATAAAGTTATTTCTAATCGTATTCTTAGAGATTCAAATAATGTTAGTCGAGGTGTCGGATTTGCTAGGTTCTCTAATCTAAATATATAAATATTTCTCTAATATTTAGAAGAATGTCAGACAGAGAAGCTGCTGACGCAATAATTGAAAATTTTGATGGTAAAAAATTGCCTGGTGCTACAATGCCATTACAAGTACGTTATGCGGATTCACCTTCCCAAAAACGTACAATTATATCTATAACTATATACATTACTTAAATTATTTAGGCCTTAAAGGTCAAACAGTTAGTCGCAGATTATGGAGAGCTCGAGAATATAATGTTTTAACTGGTCGTTCTATTATAGATGATTCATTAGGCTTCTCTAGTTTAGGCTTAGGTATAGACCATTATGGCATTCAACATAGTGGAACAGGTATCACTGATGTTCATAACGATCCATCAAATTCAAGTACATTTTCAAATTTACAAATGTATTTTCCAATAAGGTATGATTATAAAAGTTGATTCTCACCTCTTTTAATCTGCATAGCCCTGGAATAACAGGATATCCTTCTAACTGCGAAACACACATACAATCATATATCTGGAACATAAATCATCCTCATGCTTCATATTTTAAACATCTTCAGCAAAAGTCTTCAATAAATAGTAAACCGAAATCATTGCCCGAGACATCATCCTTAAATTCTACATCGGTCCCTTGTGAAACAAATTCTGAAACGAATAATGAAAAATCAACAGTTATAAAGGAAAAAGATATAGCATATCATTTAGTAGATAATAATATTCAGGTAGAAGCTTAAAATATATATATTTATTTTTAATATTACTAAGGTTAATTAATTGAATAAAATATTAACAATTTTGTTATTGCTTTATTATTATTTCTTTTATTACTACTTTTGCTTAAAAGATTTTCAATTTTGCCAAACGTTATAATTGAATTATGTCAGTGCAATTGTAGAAATAGGCAAAAATAGCTTAAAATTATCAGTATATTTTACTTTTAACATATTGCTATAAATATTTTTAAAAGAATACATTATTATAATATCTTGTTTATAAATTAATAACACTAATTACATTAAATAATAAAATAATATAATCATTTCTATATAAATAATGATATTATAACGTATTATAACTTGAAAATGCATTCATTTTAAATTGAAACATTAAATGTTAAAAAAATCAATTAAAAATAGATAATTTAAAAAAATAAAATATTTCTAAATTCTTGATTTTTTTTAATATACATTAAAAACTTTCAAATTAAAATTTATATATCCAAATTTAAAAATATTATTAAAATATTAATGAAGTACAAATATATATGTAATTTTATTGTCAAATGACTAAAGTTTTTTATAATCCTTCTAAACAAATTGTTAGAATTTTAAAAAATTAAAGCATAATAATAAATAAATAAATATCTAACATTAATAACACTATACACTTTCTACTATATCAACCATATATCGATATAATTGTAACTTTTATAAAAATAAATTTGATAGCCTAAAATAAAAAATATTAATATCAACGTTATATATTTTATAATTTACATATCAATTATAAATTATATACAATTAATAAAATTTTAATATCGAATATATAAAATTTATCTGATTCTGTACAAATATCCATTTACCTCTAAAAAATTTATTTGTAAATAATTATTAAAAATATAATTTCATAAATTTAGCTTAAATGCTATTGTCAATATGTTTTTTATTATTAGTAATGAAATATTGATAGAATTATAAAAAAAATTGATTAAAAATAAATTATAATTTGAAAAATATTTTATTTCATTGAAATATTCAATGTAAATCTTTACTAGTAACTTTTTACATAAAAAGTAATCAAAATTAAATAATTTAAAACAAAAATTCAATTATCAATAAAACAAAAAAAACTAAATCAACATAAAATTATCTACATAAAATTATTTACGCAAAATATACAATAAATAACTTAATACAATCTATATAAGCATGATTTCTTCTAGGGAAAACCAGTCATTCATATTATATATATGTGTAATTATGTATCTTCTTCCATATAATTTGGATTTTTCCTCAATATAACAATCCATTCAAGTGTAGGTGTAAGAGATATATATTCATCAGTTGCAAGTTCTGCACGATCACTATGCTGAAGCAAAGTTGGTGTCTCTAAAGTTTGAAACCCAGTTATAGTTTTTGGCCGTCCAATCTGCCCGACAATATCTACGGCAGTCCCTTGCCGAACCACTGTTTTTTGAAAATTACCAGACTCATCAACAGTTAAAAGCATACGAGGATGTATAGCCATAGTAAGATAATATAAGATCCAATGGGATGTATCCAATATAACTAAAATAAAATTAGATATAAAGATGGATACTAAAAACATTACAAGACTTAGAGTCCATCATAGTAACTAATACAGTAAATAAACCGGACATTGATACATATGACATAATTTGTCGATCAGTATGATATGGACTAAGAGTCATTGTCCCTTTTCCCATATGCAAAAGCCCTTGAGCTACACGAACCATAAAAAGTGCATTTGGTGTTTTATAATAATAGCTAGATAATTGACGAAGCAACTGAGCCAGTCTTGCATTATTCGTGCCTGATCCTACTAAACCCATTGCAAAAATAGCATTAATAGCAACGTCAATATCAGTATCATGTGAATATCTACTAAGAGTCTCAAATATTTTAATTTGAGGATTAGATGCACTAAGTAATCCTAAAGCCAATGGAACTGCTTTACGAATGACAGGCTCGCCATAATACATCTTCCGTTATAAGTATTGTTATTTCTAAAATATGAACTTACTAAATGATCAAATTGACGAAGAATCATCTCTGCTCCTATATCCTCTCCCATTGCAATTAAAGCCAATCCTAATACTGCAAAACCTTGATGCAAATCATTTTTTTCTTTATCAGTATCTAAATGACTACTGCATATATGCAAAAGACCTTGAATTTTCAAAACATTACCTGTACCTGCATATGAAAAAATATCAACAAGGACGCTTGCTTGCCGTACAATAGGATGATTAATAGCTTTCAATATTTCTAAAGTTGCATCTGACGCATCTTGCTTACCAGCATACAACAACGCTAATCCTAATGACATAAAACATCCCCATTTTTCTTCTAGACATTTATTTTCTCTTTCCATCATCGTTTGAAGAATTGCCGATGTTATGTCTCCATTACATGATCCAACAAATATCATGCCAAGTGATAAAGCAGCTAAACTAGACACTTCCATGTGTAATTCAGTATCATTTACAAAAGGAAGAAGTAGTTCCATAATATCTTCCATATTAGAACCAGCATATGCCATACCAAGACTAAAAATATGAACTTAAAAGATAAAAGTATTAATAAAATTATACCCAACGATAGCACTTATTCTAATTTTTGTATCCTTATTTTCCAGGTATTCACCAAGTAAAGCCAAAGCTGGATCAGATTCATCATGAACACCAGTATTAATTAATCCAATACCTAGCAACGCGCCTGCCTTAATATTTTCATCGGATGAATAAAGATACTTATCAATTTGTGTAAGTCCCATTTCAATATCCCATAACATGATCATTCCAATTGAAGCTACAGCAGACATCATTCCTGAAATAAAATTAATAACTAATAGTAAATCTAAATATGAATATAACCAGTATCTTTATTTTTATAAATCCATGAAGTATTACAATCTTCAGAAAGAACAAGTTTATCATTACCAAATCCAACATTTACAAAAGCGTTAACAAATGTGCTTGCAAGATTTTGTTTTGTAGAATCAATAGCAGAAGTTAATGAAGATGATCGAACCTCCAAATGACTTTTATATATATCATCGGGAGTTTTTGGTTCGAAAACATTAAGTTCCTTAGCAACAAATCTAAATAATTCACTCAAACGACTATTCCTCAAGCATTCATTTATGCTTTCATCATCATCTTCAAACCAAATCTGCTGTCGAGCTATCAAATATGCTAATTGCTTTTTAATACTTAAATCGCTTGTGCTATTAAAATCATTTTTGATAAGTTCATAATCCCCTAAACGTATTGCCAATATCAATGCTTGTGCTATTTTTCCCTGACTTTTATATATAGCATGAGCAGTTTTCAAAAAAGCAACATCATCCGGAGGTGCAAGAAGATTAACACAACTTAAACTAGCTTAGAAATAGGTTATTTTACATAATTTTTCTACCTCACCATATATGAACATACTCGAGCATATGTATTAGAATCAATAAAAGGAGGTAGTTTTTCAATAGATTCTAATTCTAAAAGAAGATCAACAGCGTCAGCCTCCGCATTATGAGTAAGAAAAAATGGAACAATCCTTAATGCCAAATCCATAAGATCATCCGTTGAAGAATCATTTTCAATTCTTATTGAATATTCTTCCCCAATTTCTGCCGATAAATGTCTGAAACTTTAATTCCAATACTAAACAAAAAAAATCTTTACCTAACATATTCATGCCCCCAAAAACCTATATCATTTTTCTTACCCAAAAGACAATATTTAAGAGATTCTCTTTTCCCGTCTTTAGCGTAAGTCATACCAAGAACAGATAATATATCGGCAAAAACAGCCTTTTGTAATTAAAAAATATAATATAAAAAGTTAAATACTTTTTGTTCTGATGCTGGCCAAGTTTCATAAATTTGAATAAGATCAAAAAAATGTGGCCGCAAAAATTTCAAAGGCTTGGGTACAGCGGTCATAGAACTAGTTGATGTTCGAATAAAAACTTTTAACGATTCCAATGAAGGCCCATGTAAACTAATATCAGATTCCTAATTTTAGAATAAGTCATAATTTCAACTATAAAAATATTATCATACTTTAAGTCTTTCAACTAATATATTAAGATTAGCTTTTAATT